CTTGAAAATGCTGCGATTAGAATAGCCAAAATCTATTTCGGATCAGCTGACAAATCTCATTTTACTTTTGACATGAGTCGGCCTCGTTATTTATACAAAGATGGCTTTTTATCTCTCTTTGGCGATAACTGCTTGTGAACCGAGTTTATGCAAAACTCCTTGAGAAGTTATAAAAGTCGGTTTCAGTGGTCGACTATCGCGATGCTAGGATTTGCATTTTCCTCTGGCTTTGGAGTGGTTAAGATAAATCTCAAACAGTTTTTATACAAAGGCGTCGTTTGGGAAGGCACTTAGGACCAAAGGGGGAATCTTAATTGGCAAACCTTCTAGTTTTTAGCAGTTGCTAATGAGCCTGGTTCACTCAAACATTTTCTTCCGAGACAAGTGTCTCAACGCGTGTTCAGAGGGCGGGAACAAGTTCCGATCATCTACTGATAAGAGCTAATGATAAGGATCCATACGCGTGGATTTTTAGACGCCAATTTAGAATATTTACGAAATTTCCTACGAAAAGTGTTTGATAAACTGTACAATGGAGCGAAATTCGAGCCTGAGAAAAAAGTTCTAGCATCGAATTTCTGTCTGTCAGTGCTCTTTTACATAATTCTCCCGAGCACCTGCCGCAAGTCCAGGTCAAGCCCAATTTGGCACGTTAATGACAGAAGACCAAGTGGAATGAAGTTGATATCGCTGATCATTGTCGAGGGGATCAACGTCAATTTCGACAAATTTACCCGGTTCACAAGTCTTTTTCATTTTGCCGCGAAAGGCGAAAATTGTTAATTGGGGCTAAATGACAACCGGATTATCTGGCGAAGATCAAGCATCACTTTTCTTTTGTACAACTAAATGGATTGAAATGGGGCTTTCAAAAGAAATGGCACTAGAAATTCGAGCGTTCATTTGAGGGATGCCGAAAAGTCATGAGGAGATGATGAACCACCTCTACTAAACATCGAAATAATGAATTTCTATTTACCGAGTGCTAGACATGATGGGATCGCAAATTATATTGTTCGCCCAAGAAATTATTGTTTCACGGCCAAAGCCGCACGAAGACAAAAAAAAAGAGGAAGAGAGGCCAGCTTTGAAAAAACATGGCGAAAAAATGTAAATTTGAAAATGGCTCAAGCCCAAATTGACCTTTTCAAATCGTCCAAATTATTTGGCCCTTGAAATAAATAATTTTCATTCCTCCGAATGTTGCTGGCGCTGGAATGTGTTGTGTTCTTGAAAATGTGGCATTTATTTTCAAACGGCGGGTCAAGCTTTTTTCGGGGAAAGAATGATAACGATTTGGCCAACTGGGAGTCAGCCAAAAGTTACTTCCGGAAGAGAACTTCATTTCTTAAATATTTATAAATCCCAAAAGCAGCAATCGAAAATGCTGCTCCGACCCTTCTAAATCCAAGTAGTTAAACCGTTTATAAATCGGTGAGAAAACCGGTGTTTGTATAAAAGGCGGAAGTTGCAAGCCGGAAATGTGGTGCGCGCCATAATCTGGACAGGGGTCCCTTAATCCCCCGTGTTCCAGTAATTTCTTGCTTGTGTCCATAAAAGACATTTCGGCAGTACCCAAAAATCGCGTTTCCGATTTGGCGATTTTCGCTCCTCTCGGCTGGAACGTGCTCCAAGACACACTAGAATCGGATAAACAGGACATACAAATACCACGCCAAGTACTAAGCTTTCTCACGCTCCAGGATTCAAGCGAAGGAGAAGGTCGCTGGTTCCAAGACGCAACAAATCCAGTTTTTCAGGAAAGTGACATTTTCAACAATTCGATTTCTTGAACGACGCTAAATTGCAAATGGCACGAGACTCAACAGATTTCATTATGCAAGCATTTCTATGACTCGTATTTCTGAGCTCGTGCTACGATAATCGAAGAGGCGTAAAAATGCAATGGTAGTTGTTCTAGTCGATCATGTGCCGCTGGACGGGCGAGAGTGTCATTTGACAGCAGGTTGCAAGCAATTTGTCCTGAGCTTTGTTTGAAGCTCACCGAAGCTTATCCACAGGCAGCTCATTCACAAATCTCACTGTTCTCCACACAAATCCGCGCGCATGCGCCCATTTCCTAATCCGCTCATTAACCCCTGCTGTTCATCTGCGCCATTCGAAGGAAATCCCTCTCTATAAGATAGAATTGATAAATTGTAAAAGGAAATAAAACTGGATGTTTTTACTAGTTTATTATTCAGTTTGAGCATTTTTCTTAGCTCACAGCATCAATAACACCATTTACTCTTCCTTGATATCAAAACGAAGCACCCTAGCAAAAATGAACCTTCGCATTCAAACTTTGTGAATAGCGAGTGAAGATAAGTCAACGAATATTAACAGGCAATTGATTTTGATTCTGCAGTTTTGGCAATTTTTGAGGGGATGAGTCTCCTGCTATGAGAGCGTCTCGCAGAATGGCGCGTTATCAGAAGAATAAGCCGGTGGGTTTCTTCGTGAAAGATATATAAGTAGTAAGTATAACAAATAATATTATTTGGATAAAGAAAAAAAAATGAGATTTAGAAATCAAGAGACCCCGGAAGATGTGTGTTTGAGAGAGTATACGAAAGTGAACAGGTGAAATGAACCGGTTGAAAAATCGGCCAAATACATGTATGTTTTAAGCGATGATAAAATGGAAGAATATAAAAATTATGTTCATAAAATTCATTCTACCTACCAAGACGAGACGGCGGAATCTTCGTTTTCTGGAACGAGTCGTCTTTCTTCATCTCCTCCGCTGTATTCTACAGGTCGAATGAGCGGTAATCAACAAATACGGGGAGAAGAAGGAGAAAAGAAGAAGAAAAAATCATGCGTCGATAAACTGAAAGGTCTTTCTGTTTTTACGAAGATATTGGTGGCTCTCATAACAATCGGAGCAGTTCTTTTTCCGATATTACTTCTAAAAAAGCCTTCTGAATTTAATTCTGTTTCATTCACCAACTCCTCCGTTGATCCAGCTTTTACGAAGAGAATGAACACGCCGGAAACATCCTCAAAATTTCAAACAACCACGACCACAAGGGCACCAACAACAACCAGAAAGATAAGAATATCAAAGTGAGTGACTAAAAGGATAAAAAGCATATTTTAAATATCAGAGATCCTGTGAAACGTTCAATGATGGTTCTCGCTGGTAATAGTGTTTATCGTAATGCAAAATTTATCAGCTACGTACTCAAACCAAACGGACTGATGAATAATCGTACTATCAGAATGCCCTTGTCAATAAGTGACCATCACTATCTTCAAGATGCGATTTCTGCTTTAATTCGAGGGAAAGTCTATATTTTTAGTCCACAATGGCTACCCTCCTCAATTAACGATACACTATATTTAAATAATACCTCCAAAGTAAGCCATATTAAAAATGATATTTCATAAAAACTAAGATTGCGATGATAAGTGACTGCAATATCAAGGAGTTAGATGTAATACTTAATAATGTGTACTTCTTTGCCTCTGCTACAGTAACGGCGGCTGACCAACAATCAGGTGAAGGCCTTTTTGAAGGATGCTTCAGAATAAACATCTTGCCACAGACTCTGACAGTACTGAACATCAAATAAAACTATAATTTTTAGCGCTAATTTGCTTTCCAAGTTCTGAAACTATTGATTCACGGACAGAATGCGTGGAGTTCGACGGATCCTCTGTAAAAATAAGACCGTCCACAAAATACTCGCACAGTAATTCATGTCTAGCGCTGCTCAAAGATAAACCAGTGGCGGTCAGTTCCTCGAGATCAGATGGCTACAAAAAAGTAGAAAAACTCACTGGCTCTTCATGGAAAGATCTACCGGATCATCCAAAGTATGTAAGAATCCTTTTTTGGGTCGTTTCCTGATTATTTTAAGGTCAATATGGGTTCACTCTTGCCTTGGAATCAACAAGGGCATTCTTCTCATGGGAGGTCAATGGACAAGTGATGATACTGACTATTACGCCTCAAAAGAAGTTTACTTACTTCGACACTTGAAATGGACAGTTGTTGGGAAGCTTAATGAACAGGTGTGACAAAACAAAGGAGTACAGTGGTATGAGCGGTTTCCGCACCCCAATTTTTCGCCTTTAAAAATTCATAACTTTTGATTCAGATATGATATTTGATTTCTGTTTTCAGTAATGAAATTTTCACGCCATTTTCTATTAGGGAAAAATACAATAAATAGAGTTTTTGGAAATTTACTGTGTAATTTTAAAAAATCGTAGGGGTGCGGAAACCGCTCATACCACTGTACTAACTTGAGTTTTAGCATTACTACTGCTCTACAATAAGTATTGGAAATTTTATTTATCTCGTCAGCGGCGTAGAACAAAATTCCGAAGAAGAAGAGTACATCAAAAAGAATTTTCCTATCACAAAAATCAAATGGGATGGAGAAAAAATATCGTCGAAAGTAATTAACAACCAAACGCAAAAATTTTGGCGCCCGATAATTTTCCCTGTTGATGAATTCTATTGTGTATAGAAACATTATTCAAGCTGAATAAAGATTTAAAAATGTCATAAATCAACATTTTCAATATGTTTCCATTCATCGAAATTTATAAATAATTTATTAACAAAAAAGTACAGCTGGAACTAAGAGCAGTAAAAGAATCAATAGTAAAAGTTCGTGCTAGTGCGTGAACCTTGAAGGAAAGAAGCAGCAATAAAAAGATAGTACGATTTTGCAAAAAAATTATGCTGCGATTTGTCGATGGAACGAGATAGGAGCGATATATCTTTATTTATGAGTTGGGATTCCATTTTTGCGAAGAGGGGAAGACGTTTTGCTCGAACATAAGATATTATGTCATAAGTACGTTGACCTTGGTATTGTTTGTGCTTTTTCAGGGAGCGATTTTTTTAATTTGAAGAATATGTTGAACTCAGTTGGAAAATGTAAAAGAGGGAATGAAAGTCGATAAGTTGAAGAAAAGAAGAAAAGGGTTGAAGGGATTCGTATAAAAAATATTCACATGAGTGGGGAACTTTGCGCAGTTTCTTAGCTCGTCGAGTTATTCTTCTGCTTTTGGGCGAGGATGATTGCACCTTTTTGCTTAGCTTCGTCTTTGACGGATCGCTGGGTGGAGATTTGCTTTGGCCCGCGCTAGGATCATTTTTAGCGAAAGGTTGAAATCAACGAAGAGTACCTTCAGGAGCCTCTGAGCTTCTTGCCACGTTCTGGTTAAATCTGTTAGCCATTGATGTCTTTCACACTCAGAGTCGAACTTGATCAAAAACTCTTTTTGAGATTTCAACCTAAAAACGCTTTACGAAGTGAATAATAAAAAAGTAGTGAATTTTTTTGCTTTTAAAAAACTCCTAAAACAAGGCAACGCCGACTTATTCGATAAGTGGCCATGATTTGTATGCGTAAATACGGATGTTCCATGCGCGCAGTGTCCGAAAAAAGTAATTTCATACAGTTACATAAATTTTTATGTGCGTGTATTTTGCGGATAAATATTGCCACTTTTTTGGTGATTCTGCGACTTATTGAATGGATGCAATATCGGATAGACACGTAGAGATATAAGTAAATTTTTCTGGTCGATACCTAGCTTCCACACGATTTTGTTTTATTTGATTTTCATTTATATATGGATCTGGGGTTAGATAACAACTATCCGTTACGGCTTCACGGTAGCTAAATGTGAAAAGCCATTTTTCATCAATTTCTAGAGCCAGTCTTTTTACCTCAGCTGAATTGTCCTGTATCCACGATGCGTATGATCTGTAATTGCTATTAGCTCTTCTAGCGGCCAAACGTGAAGATCTCCATCCATTCCTAATTCGAGACGATTTGGAAAGAGAAACAGGTGCTTTCTCTAAAGAAAAAACACTTGATAGAACTCGAGTGGCGCGAGCATTGATGCTAACCTGCCACTGGGATTGAAAGGGGCCGCCAAGTCTTTGACAGGGGCCCCAGATGATCACGTCCTTGCCATAAGCGTGCTCAAAGGCTTTTGACTGACGTTTCGTCAGCAGGCTGTCTTCGCGATCGCGTTCTGTGTTAACAACATTCCAGATCGTGTCCAAGACCTAAAGAAACATAAAGCTATGCATAACTCCCTATTCACCTCTTGTTGCCACCTAGAGCTGACGATAGTCGTGAAATTCTCATAATGCGCGAGATCTTCTTCACTGAGCTTGATGCCCTTGGTTTCGTCATCGTCAAAGTTTCCGATATCGAAGGCATCCGCGGCGTTTACCTCCCCTCTTGGAGGTATAAGCGGTGGGTCGTAACCTAATCTTGCTAGGCGAGACCAATCGACTTCGTCGAACCAGGGATGTTTCTTAAAAATTATCATTTGAAAAGAGATTGCAAGCATGATCCCACCATGATATCTTTAGCACCGCCAATACCAAGACGTTTTTTAGGGTCTTTGGTCAAGAGTCCATTCAAAAGGTCTTGAAGCTCGGGTGTGAAATCCTGAGGCATTTCGGGCTTGTATTCAAGAGTTCTTCTGTCGATCTCGCGCTTGTCTTTTGCTTTGTTACTTCGGAACGGGCTGAATGATAAAGTAAGGATAAAATGATAAGGATGGATAAAACCTGTGGCCCTTCAGAAGTTTGTAAAGCATGCATCCAAGTGAAAACCAATCCGCTGGAAGAGAATATGTCTGTCCGCGAGTAAGAACTTCTGGGGCCATGTATCCATGAGTTCCGACCGCAGCTTGAGGTAGTTTCTTTTTGACATCACATGCTAAAAATCAATTACCGCTTGCTTGCCAAAGAGGTTTTACCAAGTCCAAGATCAGAAATTTTGGCATGTCCTGACTCGCATAATAAAATATTAGCTGGCTTCAAGTCTCGATAGACAATGTTTCTTTCATGCATGTGCTTCAAGCCGAGGGTGACTTCTGCCGCGTAAAATCGAACTTGCGGTTCTAGGAGAAGTGTCAACAAAGGGGCACTCTGTCAGATGTTAACCTGTAAAGCACCCGTGCTGAGTTAAATGATAATGAAGATCTCCACCATTCATGAGGTCGAGGACGAAGCAAACGCGGTCAGCAGTCACAAATGCATAAGTCATGCAGACGATAAATGGACAGTCTTCGCCCTATGATGAAAAATTTTAGTTTTAATTCCTACTGGTTAAGAATTTAGACAAATCTGTTAAGAAAACGGGGAAAAATTCACCTCGGAGACAGCTTGCAGCATTTTGCGTTCGTTCAGCGCTAATGCCTCGCCATTTTTGAGCCTGATCCTCTTAATATCCAAGCATTTCATTGCATACATCTTGCCAGTGTCTACTTTTCGGCAGCCAAAGACCTCGCCAAAGCCGCCTCGGCCTGAAAGCATGCGGTAATCTCAAGTTGAGACTGATTAATCTGGGCTAAGGCTCCTTACCGATAATTCGGTGCACTGAGAAATCTGTCATATTTAAGTTGATGGAAAGCTCTGTGACAAGTTTTAAATTCGAATGCGAAAAAAAGATTACTCCACTCTTCCATGATTGCATTAATAAAACGATCCTATATTTTTCCATTGGCAATAGCGGGTAAACTCGCGTGATTCGGTAAAAAGCGGCCAAGCAGTGCGTTTGAAAAGGTCAAGAAGCGCGCAGTGGAATGGATCGAAGACGGTGGGCTCGATGATGACATCATCGTTTTCGAGGATGTGGCGGACTTCTTGGGAAGATTGCTCAAAACCGGAAATTGTTTTGATTCCTGGTGACGGTGGGGGCTCCTAAAGGATGAATAAGTTTTCTGTAACCGAATCATATTAGTATACATGAGCATATATTAATTTCATACAAGTGGGGAAGTACTCATTGGTGACTTGCGACTTTTCGTAGAAGGAGATTCAGCAGGAGAGTAATTGCAATCGGGCGAACCATCATTTTCTCTCTGCCTTTTTTGCCTTTCAATCAGCTCCCGTTTGACGAATGTATCATATATTTCCCTCGCCAGGTTGTGACGATCTTCTGGCTCGATATTCGACGATTTGAATTCTAAAAATTTAAGAAATAAAGAAATTAAATAAGCGATCCTACCTTCAATTTGTCTGTAGAACAACATTGGCACATGAAAATGCGCCTTTTGATTAAATTTCTTTCTTTTGCAAAACGCGGCGAAAAGCTCAAACCCGAGCCTTTCATTAAACACCTTGTGGAACTGGAGGAGATCTCTTTCTGTCAGATAGCGGCGAATCACATGTGCCGAGTCTCTATCAGGAAGTGTCAGTCGACGCCCATTCTTCGTCGACGATGTTGACGATTTCGACTTCTCCATTGCCATAAGATAGGACACATCGGCGAGAACTGCTTCTAAGTCCGCCATTCTAAAATATATCAAGATTTTTCTCTCCAGATCTTTTTGGTAAGGGGCATTAAACGGAGCGCGGAAAAAATGTTTGGCTTTTCAGTCAGTAGCCGAATGTAGATGAATATTGATGCCGCTACTTTTGGAGTAATTGAGAAAGCTTAGACAGCATTTCCAATTAGTGCTTCCAGGCCATTCAAGGGGCGAAGCGGGTTAATTGGCCGACTGGTCGCGCGGGATGACGCAAATTCGGTAAATCTACTATCATCTATTGAAATTTGTAAGGAGATACAGATAATCAGATTTTTGAACTACTGAAAATTTAATTATTTAAAAATCTTAATTGAATTTCTGCTGATACAAATTTTCAAAATTGTAAAAAGAAGAGATTTACCGGGATATACTGAAAATATATGACGGTCTTATGTTCTCTTTTTGAATTCTCTGGTTACTTTCTTAAAGAAAAAGTTTAAATGAAAAAACGTGTTGATCGCTGTTTTTTCTACGGTGATTGTGGTAATCAAGGTGCAGCGTGTCCTCTTGGGACACAAAGAGGCCTTTGAAGGAGCGCTGCTCAAAGCATATATTGTTGCAATATAAATCGCGTATTTAATGGAATGTATCGATGGGTCAAATGTCCACGTGCACGTCATGGCCATTCGATATCGTCATCAATATTAGATATATTCAGTAGTGGATTGACAAAAATATTTTTCTATATTTTTATTATTCTTTATTAAAATCTCCCAATTCATAATTTTTATTCTGAATTATTCTAAGTTTCTGTCACAAGTGAAGACATAGAAGAGAATGACTCAAATGAAAGCTAGCTCAAATTAAGTCATTAAAAATATATCGATACCTCTAATAAGCCGAAATAGACCAGGAGTTTATCTCTAAATATTTTGTCTCACTGGATATCTTGAAAAGGCATATTTTCAGTAAAATTGATTTGATCTTATTTTCCTCGTTCGAGGTACAGTGCGGTCCATTTTAAGGGTGCCTTCCCGTCGCCTAATTGATTATATATTGATAAATTCAACACTGCTCAAGCCGCGAATAATCCAATTTCCAAAGCCCGCTCAGATTAACTCCGAATATATTTTTTCGATTTTGCACATTTTCCTTCAGTTCAGTAGACAAGGTGCGACATTAATCGCAACGCTAGTGTCAGCCAAAGTAAAAATAACCTGTCGGAGTTGTCCCGGCTTACTGTCGCTATTCAGATTATTATTAATACCTGGTTTTCATTATGCAGTGTTTTATGTCTCGTGTGGCGGCGCCTATTATACGATAAATGATTATGGCTTGGGAATAAATCGAGTCCAAGTTTTGGATGGCTTTGTGGGTATAACTTAATTCTCCTTGATTCTAGTAGCGTACCAGAATATTTATTCACCAGATCAGCTTAAAGTTCGCCATGCTGTTTAATAAATCACACAGACGTTTGAGAAAGAATAACACCAGGTGACTAAAGCTCGCTGCTACATTTAGAATTCGAATTTGCCAAGCACTGGTAAGTTGTCTCGATAAGTAATTAATCTCTGTTTGAAATTTTTCCATAAAGAAGAAAAAATAGCAATTCGAAGCTTAAAATATGGTGAGATATTATCCGAGTATCGATTTCTCACTCTGCCTGAATAAAATCATCAATTCGCTTTTCTCAAGATGACGTATCCGAGTGACGTTGCCTTCTTTCCAAACGATAACCTTTTGGAAAAGGTTTTTCGGGAAGAGCTTTTCCCTTACATAATTGACAGTCTTTCCATTATTTTAGGTCTCGAGTTGGAATAATGACGATCTCATGAGGTTAAAATTAAGGGCGCATGGGCCAAGTATTTTGCTTATTTTCTTCGTTGATATCAAATTGGTCACGATTGTGATTCAATTAGGCTCGGCTCAGTGAAAAGAAATGTCCCTGATAAAAGGCCAGAAGAAAATTAAAGCCCTGATTTTCTTCAAAAATAAACTGTATTACTGTAATAACTGGAAGTGGTTGAAATCATGATTTACAGTTATCAACAAAAGGAATGTAGGTCAATTAATACTAAATAAATATAAAGGGACCTCTACTGATAAGCGACAGATAACAATACAAGTAAAAAGAGAAAGAAAAGGAGAAAGTCTACAAAATAATCTCTAACTGGCGGTCTAGTCGTCGCCAAATAGCTCTTCATCGGTGTCAAAATCATCAGCTTGTCTAATCCTGCGGTTAGCATGAAGAGGATTGCGCGCTGGAGCTCGCTTATCCTCTGGTGGCTGATTCACGTCGCCACGGTAGTTGATCGCTTTTGATACTCCAAGTCGCCACTCGAGCATTTCTGTGCTGAACTCGTCATGGCCTCCAAGTTGGTCGAAACCGACGACTTTTTCCTTCACAAATAGATAAACTCGTGATCGTTTTCATGTGATAGATACCTGTGTTTTGCCATCAACAATAAGCAAAAGAGTAGGAATAACTCGAATGTTCAACCTTTCGCAAAGAAACGGACACTTTTCTGCGTTGAGCTTCACAAATCGAGTTTCCACGTGTTTTGGCGCCAGAAGAGCAAGATGTTTGTCTGTAAGATGTTTTTATAAAAACACATATGCGCAAGAAACATACCGAAGATTTCACATCGAAGAGTTGTCGGCCTGTAAAAGTGAACCACGGCTCGTTTGCATTCCTTGACCTTATCAAAGAAGTCTTTTTCCGAAGGGAGCTCGTCATATCCACCGTGGCCTTTCGCGATGAATTCCTGTTTTGCCGCATGAGCTCGTTGCATCGCTTTCAGTCGTTTCTGTCGGATCTTTTCAATGTCGTCATCGTCCATTTCGTCCATCTTTTTCATCTCGGAGTCGATCTGTTCTTCCATAACTTCGGCAGCTAAATTTAAATAAAACCATCAGCTCAAAATTAAAGAAGTTTACCATGAAGGAGCTGCTGCTCGAGCATTTGCTGCTGCATATGCGCATTCATCCTGGCTTTCCTTTTCTAAAGAACAAAATTTCTTATTTACAAATTTATTGGTGTGTATATTTGAACATGAGAACGTATGATTTTTCTTCGAACTTGGAGGCAAGGAACTTGGGTTCACTTTCGTGAACAATAACTTAAACTTTTTTTCTGAGCAGATTTTCGATTTAGAGCTTCTCGATGACGATGGCAGCGGCTCCACCACCTCCATTGCAAATGGAGGCGCATCCGAGCTGGCCAGACTCGAGGTTGTGCACCAAATGAGCGACTAAGGATTTTTTAGCAAAAGTATGAGAACAGCTGTTTACCGATTCGAGCGCCGGACATTCCAATGGGGTGACCGATAGAAACAGCACCGCCATTGGGGTTAACTTTGGCTGGGTCGATCTCGAGCATCTTCTGGTTTGCAAGAACGACGACCGAAAAGGCCTCGTTGATTTCCCACTGGCTGATCTACAATTATGAGGTTTAACAGTATCCAATTATTGGTATTATTCTTACGTCATCTTTGGAGACACCTGCCCACTTCAAAGCCTTTGGAGTGGCATAAGCTGGAGCAATGGGGAAGTCAATTGGCTATTTGAATTGAATAATAGTCAAAGAATAAAGTTGAAGTTCAACCTGAGTAGCGGCATCAGCGAATCCACGAACTCGGGCGAGTGGAGTCACTCCAAGTTCTTTCGCTCGCTCAGCGGTCATCATCACGAGAGCGCAAGCACCGTCGTTGAGGGTAGAAGCGTTGCCAGCAGTGATCGTTCCGTCTTTCTTGAAAACAGCTCGGAGTTTGCCGAACTTGCCTTCGTTGAATCGAGTGTATTCTTCGTCGACAGAGATGGTGGTATCGGGCTTTCCGCGCTTGCCAGGGATGACGACTAGTTTTTGATCATTGTTAATTTTCCTATAAAAGGAAGAAACCCTAACCTGGGCAGATTTCAGCGTTGAATTTTCCAGCATCCCAGGCAGCTGCAGATTTATGGTAGGAGCTAATCGCATAAGCATCCTGTTCAGCTCGAGAAATGTTAAGGTTTGCAGCTGTGTTTTCTCCACAAACTCCCATGTGGCAGTGGTTGTAAGCGTCAGTAAGACCATCGTGGACAATCAAATCGTCAATCTTGACACCGCCGTAAGCTGGAGCGGCTCGCTTCATCGCATAGGGAACGTTTGACATGCTTTCCATTCCACCAGCGATCATGCACTGGTTGTGACCGAGAGCGAGAGATTGAGCGGCCATCATGACGGCCTTGGTTCCGGAAGCGCATACTTTGTTGATGGTAGTGCAAGGAATGGTATTGGGGAGACCAGCTCCAAGGGTGGCCTGGCGAGCGGGAGCCTGACCCTGGTGAGCTACAAATTAGTGATGAAAACTCATCTTTTCTTCCTTTCTTACCTTGGCAGACGTTTCCGATGTAGCTTTCTTCAACAACAGATCCCTCGATTCCAGCTTTTTCAACGGCATCTTTGATGGCGATAGATCCCAACTGGGTAGCGCTCAGAGAAGAAAGAGCAGACTGGAATGAACCCATGGGAGTTCGGCTGGCCGATACGATAACGACATCATGAAGACTTCGAGAGATAACCTTTCCCAACATGACTTTTTCTCTGAAAACACACCTCTGTTAGAGTTGACAAAAAGGGAGGAATGCGAAGAGACTACGCCCAAAACCTTTGAAAGAGATCAATGGGTCGAGCTTGAGTGAAAATTGAAAGAAAGAGATAATAACACGCCTATTGTCTGGAAATGAGTGATGCATAAAAATGAGAGAGAGAGACAGCTTTGAATTAACAAAACGATGGAAAATATGATAATAAAATACTAGTTTGCGTAGAAGCGATTCTGGTGTCTCGAAGCTCCGCGTTGCGCTAAAGAAGGATATGACATTTATATTTGTATTTGAAGCTCGAACCCAATTCGTTCGCCTGTTGATGTCCATACTCAGAATTTCTTCTAACAAAACAGAATTCCACCTGATTCAAGCAGCCACAGAGATACTGGATTTCGTCAAACAAGTCGAGATGACAGTTTGGGTTCCATTCGCCATTCAAACAATTTACACACCAAGTCGAGTCGCTGCGAACCTGGACGTAAAACAAGCCGAATTTTACCGCGTGACTAAATACCCATCAACAAAGATTCATGTTAATAAATTGCTACCGGAGAGCCATAACAATTGAAAACAGTTCGGCGAAATTGTTTGTGTTGGAGTATCGGTCGTCGAAGTCGGAATGCTGAGAAATGGCACGACCTGGCCCAAAAAAGCAACCATAGCCAGAGAAAAGTTGTCGACGAGCATCATTGTTATTGAAGGATGAACCATCACAATAACACACGTAAAAACCACGGCGATCCATGTAATATCCTCGGTTGTCCAGCTGTAACTGATTAGGTCTCGCGTAAAATGGCATATTCCTGCGAAAAAGAAAATGCTGACTGTATTAGTAACTGCATAAAAAAGCAACAAAAAATGCATTTTGAGTATCTAGAATTTTATTCACGAATGATGGTTTGTACAATCATTATGAAGGAAGATTGATGGGAGGCAGAGATACGATAAGTTTTCGGAAGAATTGTAAAGACAGTGAATGAGTATTTTGTTGAAGAAATATTTTATGCGGAAGAAGACGAACTTGAAGTAGACTGAGTATATTTACAGGATGAATCGACTCATCATTTGAGTCCAGGAAGATTTGTTGGCCTAGTCAGAGCGAGGAGATTTGTGCTCTTTCTCAATCTCGGGTCCATTCGAATTTTTCCCTTGCGCGTGTCGTTGTCGATGATTTGTTTTTCCAGTCCGGAAATATATTCGTCGTAAGCGTCGAGTGGGTCTGGCTTCGAATGGGGGTTGAAAATTGGTTTCGCTCGCCCGTGTGTGTCTACCCAACGATCTTCTTCCTCGAGGAGGAGTTTTCTGAAGAGATAGTAAAAGGTTAGAGAAAACATGATGGATTCTTACTTGACATCACGGAATCTCGTCAAATCCGCAGCAGTTTTTCCCCGGGCTGTCAGCAAAGTCGGATTCGCTCCATTTTCAACCAGGAGTTTCACGATGTCATAATGACCCCTTGCCGCGGCCCAGTGAAGCGCTAGAATATGAATGATATCATTCCTAAACTGCTTTGTCTTACCAGTGAGCCCTTGACTAGTTCCAGCGTTGATATGATCCTTGATCCTCATCTGATTGAAGATTTTGTTGATGTGCTCGACGTGGCCACTTCTCGAGGCGTTGCGAAGCCGTTTGATAATTTTTTCGATGAAAATTCGCTTCTGCTCGAGTTTCTGTTGTCTCTTCACGTAGAGAGCTTTCAGCTCTTCTGGTGGAAGGAGTTTCTCGTTGGTTTTCTGACGAAGTTCTGTTTTCCGACGCATTGTCGGAACCTTCTTTTGGACTTTTCGAGAATTCGAGCGAATGGCTTTAGTTTTCATCCCTTTTTTTTCTATCTGAAAAAAAACGAAAGTTTGACGCTGCGAAATTTAAATAAATAGAAATCACAGTTTGAGAACTTTTTTGACAAAATCATTAACATTCTGCAGCTCTTCTAAGCAGCTTGAGTGTTCCATTCCTTCGTAGGAGAAAAACTGAAAGTCTTCTTCTTTCTCAGCGACTTTCTTGAAGAACTCGGCCGACTGCTGGGCGAAGTAAAAAGGAAGGACGCCATCGGCAGTTCCGTGATGCTGGGAGATTGGACCGGGGAGGGATTTTTCTTTGTTCAGGAACTTCTGGAGCATTTCGTGACTCTGAATAATGATTTAATATTTCTTTTCGAATATTAAAAGATCAAAGGCCTCTCATTTACCTCTTCGATAGGGAGGAACGTCGACATCGCTAGAATTCCAGCCACATTATCATAATGATTTAGCGCAATATTCAGAGCAAGAGCACCACCTTGTGAGAAACCACCGATAACTAAATTTTCTCGCCCAAGACCTTCTTCTTCCAAAACATCGTCGACAATCTTCACCAATTCTTCTGACGTTCTATTCAACTGATCTAAACAAAATAAGCAATTGACCCTTTTTTTGGTATTTTTACCTAAATCGTAACGATCACTCGCGGAAGCAGAAAGTTCTTTGATGTCGAACCAACTTGGCATTCGCATTCCCATATTCAGCGTAACCGGCATTTCTTGAGCTGAAGGGAAAATGTATCTGACATTTGGATCGGCGCAATAATTGGCGAAGGCATCTGCCCAGCCCATTCCAGAGTCGCCAAGGCCGTGCATGAAGAAAACGACTCCCTGAAAATGACTTTTTTTATTGGAAAATTGATCTGGCGAGGACGTAATTTTCGCGTTTTCGAGTCGAAAAAAAAAATTGTTATGTTTTTCTTATTGACTAAGAATCGTTAAACGTACCTTGGCTTGCTGATCAGCTTTAATCTGAAAGCATGGATGAAAAGGATGGTTTTTGATAATTCCAATTTGCCTGGCCGCGTTTCTCCACATTTTCCTCTCTAAAAAATCGCGCGCTCTGAACTTGATAATTTCCCAGATTCGCATAAAAGACAGAATGATTGTAATCAAGTCGACATTCTCTCGGGACACGAAAAAGATGGAACGAACGACAAACAAGAAATTGAAGTTGAAGTGACTCAGAGCTCGCGCAAATTTACTCACGACGCGAACGACCCATTTTTCGCCAAAAAAGAGAAAAAGAGGAAAGCGCCATATTATTTATTTACTGTAATTTATTGTATTATAGTGAATTTGAACAATTTATTCGGAATCTCTAATTGTAATGATCATTTTATTTAAACAATTTCAAAAATTTTATATGATTGATTCAATCATTTGAATGATTGATTTTTCAATAATAATTTTGCTCAAAGTATTAAATTATACTTTAATAGAGAATATTGCCTAATAGTTTATCGAATAAAGCTATCAATAGAGAGTTAGGCTGTGACTCTTTACTTTTATCATTTGAAGCGGTTGTTGTTTTATTTATTTTTCATGAATTATGATCAGATACATTAGCAAGTGTCGTAACATCACTCGTCCGAATTAATTTAGTTTTGAATGACATCAAAAAAAGCTTGAGCCACTTGCCCGCGAGGCGACCGATTTGAGCTGAGTAGGAGGATAGGCTTCGTGGCCTAAAAGTAACTTCAACCCACCGCCGATTTTTGCCGACACTTTACCGGCGATCCGGTACCGAGAGACAAACAACCCTCTTTTCAGCGAAAATATCAACTTGCTTTATTTTATTAATTTCTTCCAAAACTTCCTTGCTACTATTTAGACCTAAGTATTCAAGACAAGAAAGTTCACAGAGAGTTTATGGAATGATTGTTTTCACAACAAGCATGCTCAGAATAGAGCAAAATCAACGAAACTCGCAATCCTGGTCATTTCAAAATTTAATCTTTAGATTGAAAATGAAATTACTTGGTGCTCTTTTGCTCCTCACTCCCCCGGAGGTAGAATGCAAAGACATCAAACAGAAGATGATGGAGAATCGTCTGAAATTCGACCGAGACGTGGTCATCCACGGCGACGAAGAAGAAGATGATTGGGATCCTTGGGATTTGGAAGACGACGAACTCCAGGCAAGACTCAGAAAACTCGTCGTTCGAATGGATCACAACCGCGACGGATACGTTGACCAAGAAGAACTCACCAGTAAGTAGAATTAGAAAGACAGTAGAATCGTTTTTTTTCTTTGCGAATTGAAAACAAATTACCTCCCCAGGTTGGGGACTGGTCTCCATTTATAACATCCAGGGAAAGGATGGCCGTGAAGACTACGAATTCCTTCTACATGATGGCGCTAGCGGTTTAGGCCCGTACCGGTTGCGGAATTTCCCGAATTTTTAAACACGCTTGGTGTTATAAAAATCATGCTCTATTTACAAAACAACGATCTGTTTGTCGTTTCACCAGCGGGAGATTTTCGCCTCCTCATTGAGGACAAACAGGTTAAAACGAGTTTAACCTATTTTCGTAAATAGGTCACTATTTGGTGGCACAAATAGAGGATTAATATTCTTTCTCGTTGTTTTATCAACCGGGGAACTTTCCGCAACTCGGAGTAGACTTCGTCCATCTGACGGACGATATTTACGGGCACATTTTCTACGGCGACGAGGCCGAGCCGTTTGACAAAGACGACTCCATATACGACGTGAGAGTGTTTTCAAAATCAACAAAATTTGAAATTCGCACACTATAGCCGGCTTTTTGGAGGTTCCATAAGGTCGGCTGTAGTTGAGATTTTAAACAACTGCCATAATGAAGAAATCTTCATTTGGCGTCAATTTTCATGAAATCACTTGACATTCTTCTAGCACCAACAGTATCACGTCCAAAGCCCAATAGCTTTTCAAAAGCCTCTTTTTGCGTTCTAATTGAAGACTTTCTCAAAAAGAAAATCTTCGATTTCCCCCTTTTCATATCCATTCATTTTTGGGTATCTCAAATTATCCACCTCTAATTCGTCTTCAGGCTGGTCCCTTGGAGCGGTTTATAATCTCGAGTCAGAGAACTTGTCCCTCGAGTTCCATTCGCATATTCACATTGGGCGAGGCGGCTTCCCCGATGATTTCGCCGCGAAAAAAGAGGCTGGCGATTATGAAAGTGTCTCCAAAAATTTTTTTGTTCTGTTCTTGACTTATCCCCCGGTCGGCTTAGGAAGGGTTTAACCGTGAGGGCGGCGGGGGATTAGTGGGTTTGCTCGAGACACTGAAATGAAAGACGGTGAATTGGAAGGAGTACGTTTTCACCAATTGGAATATCCATATTGACGATGAGGACCATGTAGCAAAGCCTAGGAGCAAATCTGAAGACCAGATTCTTAAATTCAACCAGCGCAATAATGTGAATCCCTAAAATACTTCCTAGGCTAATTTTTACCCCTTTTTTGACCCGTAGAACATTAGATTGAATTTTTACTTTTTAGTTTGGTGCATTCACTCATTGATGTCGATCGATGAGAGTCATAAGCTGCTCTTTTACAATCAAAAGGGGCAGACTTTCGCGTACGAGTGGAGGGCTCATGCGAAATTTTTCTACCGGCAGACCCTTGATGGGGAGCTCAGTGCTTCCAGCTTTCGTCCCGTAACAAATTAGCGCTAGAATGGTCGAGCTAGAGGATAGAATAGGGGAAACAACTCGGATAAGATAGTGGCTAACAGTTGGCTTTTCTTAGGGTGGTGCGTTACCGGCGTAATGGCGTCGGAAACGGCTGAAGAGGCGGAATCGGAGTTCGCGACGATCCGCCGAAACGGAGGCAACATTCCCTCCAAAGAGCCAGTTTCGTTTCATGACTGGATTGTCGATTTTTACGAAATCGACGAACCCAAGCATTTAAACAAACACCTAAAGGACTCTGTCCTCGTTAACGAACGCGTAAATACAAGAAATTATAATCTCTTTCTGGTTCGTGGTCTTTGATTTGGCATTCGATTTGTTTACAAAATGTTATGTTGTTTATGCCAAGAGAGAAATTTAATGCTGCATCACAAGGCCACGATGCCTAGCAATTAGGACGGCCCAGGGCTCCGGAATTAAACTTTGATGCTTTTTAATGTCACTGATTTTGTTATTGGAACCTGGAGGCCCGAATAAGTGGTCTTTCATATTTATCCAACAACTAACCCAACTTCCTTATTTGACCAATCAAAAACATCGATTTCTAAAGCTGGCCAATCAAAAATCCTCATTTCTCAATTGAGCGAAATTGATGAAATTTGTTTAGCTTGGACCTTAGTCTCCATAATCAACATCGAGGGCGTCGATGCAAAGGACGATTTCTCCTTTGAAGACCTTGATAAAGATTCTTTCATGACATGGGGCGAGACCTGTCAAGAATATTACAGCTTCGATCCTACGAACGAGTCTGATCTCGAGGACGAGCGAGAGAATGAGTCCGATAATTATCAAGTGAGCCATGCTTGTTAGCCTTTTTTGGAAAGCAACCGACTGTTCGGCGGCTTTTTACGGTGCCCAAGCATGTCAAAAGCGAAAATTTAAGAAATAGCTTGAATGTTAGAAAATGTTAAATCAGGCCCAAGACTTTTTAGATTATTTATTTCCATTTGGTGACATACTAACTGGTGATTATCCGCTTGATTTTTGCACATTCAAAAAATTAACGCGCGGATGAAACTATCAGTATTCTTCGGTTAAAACAATTTTCGTAGGAATACAACAAAATGTACAACCGAGACAAGGCTCGCTTTGACGCTGCCGATGTTGACCACGACGGAAAACTCACCGAAGAAGAATTTGTCTACTTCAAGAATCCCCTGAAGAATGAAGAGATCAAAAAGCAGTTCTCGCAGAAGCTCTCAATTCTGTCGATACTGATGGAGATGGCAAGATTTCTCTCCAAGAATATCTCAAAGATTGGCATCAAACTGTAAGTGAATACATGTTGATGAGAACTCATGGATGATTTTAGCCATCAAATGTCGACGAAGAATTCATGGAACTGGAGACCGACCGCTTCAAGGACGAATACGACAGAGATAGCAATGGATTTATTGAGGCTGATGAGCTTATCTTCTGGGTAAGAAATCGCTTAATTGAGAAGAATCTTCTTGATAAATGTCAATATCCATCTAAATTTGATCAAATTGAGCCCAATTTTGATTAATTTTCCTAGCTCTCTCCTGACAACACAGAAATCGCCATCGACGAAGCCGAACATCTGATCGACATGTGCGACGAAGACGAAGACGAGCGACTTACTCCCGACGAAATCGTCGACAACCACGACCTCTGGGTGGACTCTGACGCGACCGAATACGGCGCCCAGCTTCGTCATTACGATGAATTGTAAAAAACATTAATATCCGAAATATTAGATTCTGCCACAAACAAAAAATCGTTATAAAAGCAACTCAATACTACTTTCAAAAAAAAAAGAAAAAAATAATAATAATGCTGTTCATTTTCTGTAGACATATTCTTTTACTTTCATTCTGAGATGAGATTATGCAACTTACGTTACGACCTACTTTATAAACCTATGTTTGAGAAAAACAATAAATGTTCAAATTAGACCATTAGTTCATCGCTTTATGTTTCTTATCTTTTATTTACAAATAAGCATTCTTATTGGGCGATTGTTGATAAGAGGATTTCTTGTTGGTTGATGTTTTTCTTCAGAAAAGTCGAATTTGTAAAATGTCCGAAAAATCAGAAAAAGATGAAAAATGCGGATTGTGCTTGATTTACCATCACTATATTTGTAAAATGAAAGCCGATATTCTCTGCAGCTGTGGGAGGTTAGATCATTTTCTAGAAGAACGCAGTTTTATTATTTCTTATCAGGAAGATTTCAATCAGCAAAGCCGGAGAGCCGAAGAGGCCGCTCTTGCTCATGGAATACAAATGCCTCGTCGAACAAGCGGAAGAAAAGAACGAAGATGATAAAAAAGAGGCGGACGAAAGTATGCCAGAATTGACAGACCCTGAATATCAGAAAGAAACCGAAGAGACTATGACGGAAGACACAGAAGACGACGACAGAATATCCGTAACAATCAACGAGGACTTTTTCTCCGAACCAGAATCAAGCAAGAAATCCACGAGGACGAGAAAAACCTCCTCAGACATGGATCTTGGCGAATCTACCGAAGACGAAGTCGAAGATTCTGAAAAAATGCCCGAACTACACTTAGAACAAGACGCTCCTGAACCAGTTCCTCCGCCACCGTCGCGTGAAAGACCAGAACGCAAAAAGGTATTGATAACGGGCCTTTCATAGAATGATCTTTCTTTTTAGACTTTCTCTTCTGAGCCGCCTCCAATGGACGAAGTCCCAATGCACAGCGACGAGCCAACAAGCGATTTCATCAATGAAACCGTAGCGCCTCCACCCTTCGACGAAGAAGACAACGGTGACGGGATTTCGTTTTCTCAGGCAGATTTGGCGGCGATCTCTCGCAGTCGCCTCCTTAGTCCCATTCAGAATCGCACCGCCGATCATGGCTCTGACAGTAGTCTCTCTGCTTCAACAGGTGTTTCCTATTCAAGCTACGTCCGACGGCTAATGTTTTCTAGACGATGAGGCGGATCTGCCCGCGCGAATTGCACACAGAGATCACCTTGCGTTTATTAAACAGGAGCCTAACTACGATGTTTAGCCTTACTTAGACCTACGTTTAGAAACACCTTCCATATGTTACTTTTAATAACGCACAAACCTAATTTTCTATTCAACTCAACTCAAATCGATCAAAATGCAGCTTCGTGTAAATATACAATTTAATTTCCCAAAATCTAGGTGACTAACCAACTTATCTTTTCTTTGCTTCATATTTATACTATTTATTCAAGTTAAACCCCTTCTACCTGACCCTATGTTTGTAAAGAGGTCCTGATTTCAATATTAAGTTTAATCTCAATAATTTCCTTTGATTTCTGCCCAACTGCCGTATCTTTTAATGCAAGAAGATATCAATTCGAAACTTTGTAACATTATTTTCTTTTTAGACTAAAATGCCCATTGGTCCAGCTCTACCACCACATTTACAAAAACAGCGAGAATCACCGGCTGAAAATGAAAGCAAAGAAGACAATGCAGATATCGGTCCAACGCTCCCTCCTCATTTACAGAAAAACATCGGCCCTTCTGTTCCTCCCCATACCGAGTCTACCGAAGAATCTGAAAGAATAGGGCCGGTTCTTCCCCCACATTTACGTCAGAATGAAGACTCGCAGGCTGAAAGTATAGGTCCATCGCTTCCTGCTCATTTACGACAAAGTGTGGAATCAACTACTGCCGGTGCGTCATCTATTGAGAATGAGCCCGTGTCAGATATCGGGCCCGCGCTTCCTCCTCACCTAAGAAGTGGAAATGAAGAAAGTGACGTCGAGGAAGAGTTTGGCTGTCCCCTCCCACCTCCTCCAGTCAAAGGACCTTCGCGCCCGCCTGCAGAGTATACTGAAACTGATGACGATGATTACGTCGTCGGACCGGCTATTCCAGCATTTTTAGCAGCAGGAGGAGCGAGTTCAACGCAAGAGGAGCTTGAAGAAGCAGAAATCGAAGCTCGATTTCAAAAGAATTCCGAAAAGATGAAGAAGAAAATCACAACCGGTGACGAGAAAAAGCTAGAGCGAGAAGAATGGATGTTGGAGCTTCCGTCTGTTAGAGTGAGCGATTTACGGTTAAAAGCGATTTCTATAAAAAGTTTCTAGACTGGAAACGCAATTGTTGGTGGAACAACATTCCGCAAACACGAAATCGCTGCCAACAACTTTGGTCGCTCGGAATGGACGAGAACACCCGGGCAAAAGGGCCCTTCGAAGAAAGAGGCAGCTGAAGAAGATCGAAAGAGAATCCAGGCCTTTGCCGAATACGAGAAGAATCAAAGGATGGCGAAGGAGCTTGAGAAGGCAAAAGAAGCAACAAAAAGGTAGAACATGATCATCAAAACAGGATTCATTTTCTAATTCCATTCAGGCCTGCGGAATCACTCTTCGCCTCGCACCAGAAGAAGCTGAAGAAAAAGGAAAAAGAAGAACGCAAGAAAGCCGGTCACAAGAAAGAACGAGTGGCTTTCAATCGCGAAACCGATATGCAGTCGACTATTCTTTCAGATGCTCAGAAGAAGCAAATGCTCAAGAAAACAATGGGCCTTGGAGGACGCTTTTCTTCCGGCGGTGGAAAGTTTTTATGAGTTCTTTTTACTTGAATATTTCTGTATATTGATGTGTCAAGCAAGATATGAATGATAACATGTAAAAAGCCGCTCTTCGGCGTTTAATTGAGACGCAACGCGGCTTAGATTATGTTGATGACCAATTTCGATTTGTTCTTAACTGCCCTAAATTTTTGTTCATATTTGTCTCATGATTACTTACTTTTTCATGATTTAGAATGAATCGTCTGGCTCGACCTATTCTCCGCACATATGCGATGACTCCTCGAGTCCTCGGCGGCAAGCCATCTCGGGATGCCTACTTCAACGATTGGAACTATCCAGACGGCGGCCATTCCGCCACTTCTCTCAAATGCGAAGATGACGGTCAGATTTCCACCTTGCCATTTGGTTCCGGCTTGGCCCGTCGAGCTCGTATCAATCCAATCATCACTCTCTTGAACGAGTTTATTTATATTCTCTGGGCTGGTCTCCTGATCTCCGGTAAGCCCCATTTTTAGCTTCTCAGTCGTTGACTTTTCGGATTAACTGACGGAAGTGTTCAGTGCCTTGGTTTTTCATGCGACTGGGCATGCGAAAGACTATTGGCGACCCTGAAGCTGAAAACTTACCGGAAGGCTTCACTGCGACTGTAACAACCACTTCCGGAATGGTTGGATCCTATCTTTCAAATTTCCACGTCGAAGTCAACTCTTTTACGAAGGTAATCCTTGATCTTCGATTTTTCGTATTACCTATGGTTCTAGGCCAACACTCTTGGTCTTTCTGGACTCATGTACTACGTCGACAAGTGGACCGTTCTCAACAAGTCCTCTAAGAGCGTCCGTGCTGACTGGCGAGAGAAGCGAAAGGCTGCCTGGGCCAACATTAAAGCCCAGAGAGAAGGCCAAACAGCTGAGCACTAGAAACAAAGCACTGATAAACCTGATAAAGCTCAGCACATTCCATTTACCTACCAATGTTCTTCAGTTATCAATAAAATCGTTTTAAAATGTTTAACCTTTATGTGTCTTTATTACGCAGGGAAGAGCAGAGATAGAATAGATTTGCGGCGCCCTAAACTCAAAAGTACGGAGTCTTTTTGTCTGTAAAAAGAGAAAGTAGCGTGAATTACGTTTGGCTCAAAGCGGATGCCCCGTGTTTAGCTTTAGATAAGTGTATTTGCACAGTAACTCTGAAAGGGCAAATCTTTCATCTCGATTTACAAGAGACTCAATTAGAGTCGCCAAAGCGAAGCAAAGCTCCTTGAAACAACTTTGGTAATCTTCTAGAGTGTTGTTAGATTACCGATAAATTTTTCGCTTTTGTTTTTACTTTTGGAGGCAAGAGGCAGCCGCGGAGAAGACAAAGAGATCAGGTCGGTGAAGATTCTGCTGGGAGGGGCGAAATTTGCCACGGGACAATGCCTTTGTTGCGGGGAAACACACATTTGCGCATACAAGCAGTGACACATTTTTCACTTAGAACGAGGATTTTTTATAAGAGAAAGGGATTTAGAAGATTTGAGGTAGCTTGAGCAATGATTATATTTGTACTCCTCCATGATTTCAACCGGAAATCTTTTGTTCTCGTTTTCCTAGGAAGGAACAAGTCAAAGAAAATTATTAGGAAGCATTCAACCGGCACTTTGTTTATCATACACCAAATTTACCTCCCTATCTTTTTCTCTAGGGCCCCAGAAAGTCATTTTTTGTGTACCAAGCTGTGATAAGCTTCTCTAATAACATTCTGCGCACATGTCGATGCAGAACGTCAGCAGTTTCCGGAAAAGTTTTATGGTCCTTGTGAAAGTCAATACCGAACATAAATGTCACTGTAAATCAAGTTTCCTCAAATCAAACAAATTAAGTTTATCTGAGTCTTCAAAATAGTTTTTCTTTTGATCAGCCAGAATTAAGCTATTCTTCAGATAATGAGTCTATGCTCGGACGGATCGACAGATGAGAGCGAGAGTTCAGAGGAGGAGGAATTGATTACTTGGCGTTATCAGAAGTCGACTAAACATGGCGCAAACGTGTGTTTCAGGCCTGAAGTGGTCGTCGAGCAACCGAATAAGCAACGGAAGCAGATTGGGGTGCAGAACAATCTCACCTTCAAATTCGTGAGATCCAGTACCAGTCTCATTCGAAATATTCTCACGGTAAATCAGATAAACTTGTTTCTTCAAGAATGCCCAGAAATAAAATCATTTGAGTGTGAAAAAGTTGATCTATTTGATGATATTGACAACTTATCCTCCCAGATCTGGCCACTATATAATTTATTGGCATTATCCGTAATTCTACAACAAAATCTCCATGTCTCTATTTCCGGTCGGCCTAGAGATCGTGATCACAAATAAAAAGCTCTTGAAAACATTGACAAGCTGAAGAACCTGTTTAAATATTATTTCTAGGCATATGGTTTCAAAGAAGCGCGGGAAACATCCAACGATTACAACATCATGTGGCTCAACTCGCACGTGAAGCCATACTCGTTAAGAAATCTGATGGATTTCCAGCGCGTCAATCATTTTCCACGGAGTTATGAGCTAACGCGCAAGAATTTACTCGCAAGGAATGTTGAAAGAATGGCTCAAACGAAGAACGCAAAGCTCTTCGACTTCTGCCCGAAATCATATATGATGCCGGGACAGTATCAGGATTTCTGCCATGCTGCTGCTCGGGAAAAAGGGCCTTGGATTGTCAAACCACAGGCGAGTTCCAGGGGTAGAGGAATTTTCCTCGTGAATTCGCCTTCTCAAGTCCCACTGGATGATAGTACAATGGTCTGCAGGTGAAATCATCACAACGCACATTTTATCCGTAACTTATACATAGGTACATTCACAACCCGCTTCTCATCGATGGTTTTAAATTCGATGTCCGCCTGTACGTCGCTGTAACCTGCTACGACCCTTTGATTATTTATTTATACGAAGAAGGAATGGCTCGTTTCGCAACAATCAAATACGAAACCTCGCTCAAATCCATCAAAAACCAATGGGTAAGCTTGACCCGCTAACCGCAATAATCCTAACAGTAACAGTTTCTATCGATAGCGGGGACAAACTCTAAAAATGCGCGCAGTGTCATGTTTTATTTGATACTGTCAGTGGAGCAAATACTTTAGATGCACCTTACGAATTATTCGATCAACAAAAAGAACCCCGAGTTTGTTCGCTGCGATGACGCCGAACAGGAAGACTTTGGGAACAAGTGGACGCTGGGAGCGTTGCTCAGGTACTTGCGTGACGATGGTGTCGATACAGCTGCTCTTATGTCGAGAATCGAACAAGTCGTCATCAAGACAATCATTTCTGTTGAAGGTCAAATTGCTGCAGCGTGCAAGACATTTGTCCCTTATCGCGGAAATTGTGCTGAGCTTTACGGTTTTGATGTTCTGATCGATGATACTCTCAAGCCATGGATCCTCGAGGTTAACCTTTCCCCAAGCCTTGCCACAGATGCTCCTCTCGATCTCAAACTCAAGTCGAATGTTATTGCTGACTTCTTGAATCTTATGGGCGTGGAAAGCGTAGACCCGTTATCTCGCAGATCTAAAGATGCGAGACTGACACACGCTTACAACCTCGGAAGAAATGGGAAGAATTCAGCAGCTCCTAGTCCGTCGCAAGGACAATATGATACTTCCTCTCTTTCTCCAGACGATGTTAAACTTCTAAGATGGGTCCAAGATCAGCATGAGCGTCGAGGTGGTTTTCTACGAATCTTCCCAAGAGCGGATACTTGGGCAAACTACGGCGCGCTGCTAGAAAACAAAACTCATACGAACGAACTTCTCGCTTCTCGACTTTTCAAAGAAACCTACAGACCTTATTCAAGTGTCGTCAGGAATAAATTTAATGAACGAACCGAATCAAGCAGATTTAATCGGTACGAAGAAAGACTTGAACCTCTCGATAAAAAGAAGAAGAAAAGGAGAAGGAAGAAAAAATCGAAGACTAAGAAATCTTCTACTGCGGAAAACTTAATTGAAAACGATGATTATGAAGACGAAGGCGATTACGCGGCTCCAATTGAAACGATCTCAATTTCAAGCCAGCAAAGTATTCCCAATGTTTCTTCTGGTACTTCGACGAGACGACCTGTTCCTTTACCTAAACCAGAAAAAGATCAGAAGACTATTCCGAAGCCGATGAAGAAGTCTGTTGAAAATTCAGATATCTACAGGTCAATAAAGGAAGCCCAGAAAAAGAAAATCGCTGTGTCGAAGAGCCCTGAAAGAGTGGAAGAAGTCAAGGTAACTTATACATTGTAACAGGACTTTTTAATAAGTTTTTAGATTATTTCTGAGCCAAAGGATACTGCACTTGATATCACTTCCCTTGAAGATCTTCCAGACACAATCAGTTCGAGCCAAATGGAATTAGTGACGAAGAAAATCTTGGCAGAAGCTGGAAGGCTCTCTCAGATTGAAGCGAGAGAAGCGTTTGTGACTTATCTGCGACGCCTTCAGCTTCGTTTTTTGAACGCTGAGAATACTAATATAAAAGATCATAACATCAGTAAGTCTTCTTACATAAAGTTGACCCTGGGTCGGCTTATATATCACTATATTTGGGCATGTTTTTTTAATAAAATTTTGCGACTTTCGCTGGCGCCAGTTAGCATGTGCCAGACAGAACTAGTCCGCGCAAGAAAAGTAATTTATATTTTTCCAGCACAAATGGACCTCGTTTGTCGTTTCCTCCGGAAAGCGTCCTCGAACCTCCAGAATCCGATGGAAATAAAAATCCCTACTGCCGAATCGGGTATCCCTGTGATTCAGCGAAAGAGGATTCTAGGGGATTTGTTGGTGGAATTCATTGCGAGATATCAAGGCGACACTGACATGATGCTAAATGATGATCCTGTATTCTCCGATGTCGTCGAGCGTCCACTATTTCAAAAGTTCTGTATGAGCTGCAAAGAAAGTGAGGTAGAAGAAATTCTCACGAAGTATACGACAGAGAATAAATCTGCATCTGTTTTCCTTGGTGCTAAAAAGTAAGTGTCGCAAATGTATTTTGGAATTAAAATCAGTAAGGATAGAATTTTTCATCCTCATCATTTGTTATAAGAATCTTTTAACTCATTACCATATAAGATACCACTGCCAGTGCATTGAAATATTCATAATGATTATATAACAAAAGAATATATTCCCTCATGATTTTTCTAGGCGTCCGAAAGAAAAGAAGCATCAGGAAAACAAACATCCAGATGCGCATGATCCAGTGCAACCAGAGAAACAAGAACATTCTGGGTCTACTAGCCCTGTTAAATCTGAGAAAGTGGAAAGCGTGGAGAGCATAACGGTTCAAGAAAAGCCCACAAGACAACCATCAGCATTGGAAAGCCCGTATAGCGTAATCCAGCAACATGGTGCTAGAGGAAGACCGAATTTTTCAACTGGGCGAGAGAAATCGAGGGTGCGCAGCGCGAGTCAAGAGCCAAAGGTACTCAGGTTATAGAAAAAAGTCTAAATATTTTAAGCTCTTGAAGCGAGACAACCGCGAAGCCAACCAAATCCCGTCTACCTCCAACCAGGCTCCTCCGTATCCATCATCATGTCGCGACGCTGCATTCATCTACAGCGGCGGCAATGCACAGAAACAAATAAGGCCTTCTATCGTTCCTCGTGCCGATTTTACGACGGCTGCTCTCGCCCCTCGGGTGAATACGGCATCTCATTTTTCGTCGGCAACGTCTAGCGATGCAATTAAATTAGCCCTCAAGGGACTAGATAGGCATAATACCCAAGCTGAGCATAAAACGGTGACAGAGCTTGCCAAGCAGCTGGCACGTGTTAAGGTGAGCCCTCCTTGATTTCAACCAAAAAGGTTAAACTGTTTTTTAAGCTGAATCAAAATGTCAAGAAACGACCCAATTCCGCCACGACCGTCCAACATCAACGACACCAGCGCTACTCCAACAATAGACCAAACGTAAGTCAAACAGTAGTAATTTTTAGTTTCAATTGTGATTTGACTGAGTTGGTTTAGAAACGCAATATTGATGTGGCCTTTTGTAAGTTGAGCTACCATATCCTCGGTGCACTGAGTCCGCACAATACCTTTTTTAATTGCTTTATCACACGCGATACTCAATATCCTCGAATCGAGGATGTTTTTCGTTAATTTTACCACTTTGAGCATTTACCTTTTCGGCTGAATGCTTTTTATTTTTTTACATTCCTCTTCATCCTTAGTTGTAAGAGGAAAGTACAACCTACTATGAAGGGCTTTCACAAAAGCAAGAAACAAAGCTCTCCACGGAAACCTTAATCGCTAAACTCTCATCTCAATTTTAGTCTACAACTGATCGATCAAACAACACAGCTTCCGATTTGTTCTCGATTCCGTCCCGCACGAAGCCACGCCCGTACTCGGCAACCAGCTTCATCCCTCAAGATGCCCTTATTCCTAAACCGCCGCCCAAGCCCTGTTGGCGCTGACTGTAAATTTAAATAGACTGTATCATTCGAATTGTGCTTTTTCGCCAAGTCTGCCTTTTACTTCAAATCTCTCCTTGTAATCTAATTTTATATTGATCTTGTTTTTTCCACAATACAGATTCTTATTTTTATAAAACCTTCGTGAATGATTTTAATTCTCCATTATTCCAGAATGGAAGCAATCGTTGAAGCAGTGTACCGCGATGAACCATTTCCAGTGGAAATGACAAATGATATGCTGGACCAGCTTGATCCTAGGCACGGGAGATCTTTCATTACTTTGACCAAATAAAGCGACTTCCGGAGTCGGAGCTCATGGGATCAAGAAACTTCGGAAATTTATTTTTCAACTTACCGATTCTTACTCAACTCGGTTTTCCACTTTCATAGCATCTATTCTTCCGTTTTAAAGCTCCGGAAAGACGCCTCTCGAACTTGCAGCATGTCTTGGGAAGCCTGCTACGATTGCGGCTATCCTAAAAGCCCGTCCAGATTTGTTGCATAAAGAAGGAGTTTCTGGCTTCACCCCTGTTCAGTTGTCTAGTTTCTGGGCGAATAAAACTGGTTTTGAAGCGCTTTTCGCTGCCGGTGCCAATATCAAGTAAGATTATTCCTTTTGCTGACTGATATTAACGAAATTTAATTCTAGCTCTCCAGCAGTCAACGGATTAGATTGTAAAGCGATCGCTGTCTCCGCCGGCCACGCTGACTTTGCCAAAACTATCGACGAAATTGGTAAGTCCTCATTCATTCCTCAAAGCAATATTTACATGTTCTGTAGTTAATTCAAAAAGCAGCAAGTCAGCACCAAAGGGCAAAGGAAAGAAAAAGTAGTCAAGCACCAGTCAAGTTCAAGCCAAGTCAAAAATACGCATCCAGCATGTTCTCTTTTCTATGTTTTCAAGCTGTTTACCCGAACACCTCATTTACCCAAGATTTACCTAGTTCAATTTTTGGAAGAAGAAAAGGCGAAAAAGAAGCGAAAAAAGAGTGCCAAAGGAAAAAATTCAAAGCGCCGCTGAGATTCAAAGACATTCTACTTTTCTACTACCAATAAAGTTTATTTTCATAAAAGCTCTTTCACATTGAAGACAGTAAAATCTTCAAAGAATGCATCTCTTTTCATTTTTGTCCAACCGCAGGGGCTGGTTCTCGATCATTTTCTTCATTATAAAAGTTGTTGAAAACGAACATACGTCCACAAAATTTTCTGTCGTGTCTTCTCCCAGCTGTCGCTCCCTCCCACCTCACGGGTCAGTTGTTCGCAGTTTTCCTTCTTGTCAAAACACACAACACGGAAGTTTGATGTCCTGTCTTCAAGAACACATTTCTCTCAATTAAAAAACGTGTTGACCTTATTTTCTTCCGTGCAAAATGCACCAGTGGTACGCTCACACTCCCTCCCTTGCTCTTTTCTTTCCCTTGACTCGACGAATATCTCTTTTTCAAAAGTAAAATGTGAGAGGCTTTGCGCGTCGCTGATAGAATCTACTAAACTTGAATTATTGCACAACTGGTGATCGTTCGCCGTGACATGAAAAACGAGACAAATCTCAAACTTTGAAAAAAGAGACATTTTGAAAAGAAGAAAAAAGAGGAACCTTGAACTTAGCAAGATTTACGATAGATATGGGCTCCCGTTTCTTTTCGGATTAACATGGCGTAAGTATCTTCAAAAGATTATAAGTTCATTTATCAACCAAATATACTCCTTTCATTAAACACATCAGATAGATCTCGATATTCATCTAATATTTCTCGAAGATGTGTATGAGACGGGTTCATTTCGCCATTTTATAAAATTATGTAGTTACAGCGTTTTGGAAAATCTCCTCGCTCAGGTGAATCGACACGCAACAATTCTCGGAAAATACTGGTTCGTTGCTCTGTATACTTGTAGAATTGTAATTGTCTGCAGGTTTTGGTGATCTATATTTGACCTTAGGTAAAAGATATCGTTAGTCACCACCAAAAAGCATTGCTTCGGCAATTTATTCTGACGAACAGTCAAGTTTTAAATGCAACACACTTCAAGTGGGTTGTGAAAATGTCTGTTTCAATCAAATTTCGCCCATTTCTCAGATTCGATTTTGGGCGGTCCAGGTCAAGGTCCTATCTAATAAAAATAGTTTTAAAAGTCGAATGAATTGCGCTACTAGTAGATGTCAAATGTTCGATAATTGATTGACCTTCAAATCAAGATTATTTTCACATGTGCGCCTACAGTTATATTTGTTCTGGAAGGGGTTAAAATTGAAGAAGTATTCTTCCCTGTAAATTTCTTAAACAAGGCAGGCCGCTGAAGGTTTAACTACCACCTTGCAAAGTCGTTCATGGCTTATGGATTGATAAATGAACGCTTACTGTCAGGTGCTAGGAGCTGTGGCATTATAAGTATCAAAACTCTAAACCCTTCATCAAGTGGGCGGTCAACGCTGTTCATTGCATGATGAACCTCGTCCGGGAGATAATCCAGGAAAGAAGCTCATACTTCACCATTTTATTATAATAAGTTGCCATTCTTATAAACGCTAATAATAATCATATACGCTACCTCCAGTAAAATTTAGATATGGAGAAAAAATGTCCAATCATCCGACAGATAAACGGTTTATTATAAACCAATTCTCTTCGTGATTGTTTTTTACGAGAGCTTAATTTTACCTCACTAAAAGTATGAATACCCGAACTTCTATAAAGGATAGAGCCGTACAAAATGCTCTTGATTCACGATCTGCGGATGGATCAGCCTCGGAGTTGTCGCTCAAACTTGTGGATTACCAAAATTATACTCTGAAGACGAAAATGATCAGACAAGAAGTTCAGAATATTTCAGCAGAGCTTCCCTCGATTCTTCTTATGTACATACTACAGGTAAGATACTGGCAGCTTCCTTACAAGAAAATGTTTTTGTAAAAAAAGAAATAAGGAGTGCCAACCAAATTATAGGTTTTTATCTTTTTTTTTCTTCCTGTCACCTTGTTATCACTAATGATTTGTTTCTTCCTTGTAGCTGCTGCTGAGGATAGCCATGGAATGTTTCTTTGCCTTCGTTCAATTCAAAATTTACGGCACCCAAATCAAGAATTCATATCTTTGCAATCGCTCCCCATGTCGCGTTGTAACTCAGTGTTTCATGAGCAGGTCAGTTTTTATGTCCAGGTTTGCGGGATTAAAGCGCGCCCATTTTCAAATTACTTACTTTTAGACCTAAGGAGAAGACAATTATCAGCTGGATTATGTTTGGTTTGACAGTTTGGTCAAGAGTAGTTAATTATCACCTGTTTATTGTCATGGTTCTTATGGTCACTTAAAATCATTTGAATGAAGTTAACTCAAAAAAGTCAATATTTCTCTCAGTATCAGAACTCTTTCTTCTGGGATATAAGGCAGCGAAATTGATATGGGCACAAAAAATTCACATGACGATCAATGGCGAGCCTCTGAAAAACCCCCATCCTAACCGGTATGAACCGAACCTTTCTTTGACGTATTTTTTGACATTTCAGGTACAATTTTCCGTCTAGAGCTCCAGACAAATCTGTCCACAATTTTTTACTATATTCACTCAGGCTGAAACGAACTCTGGAAGGTCTCGCGGAAATGAATCGAACGGTGAACAACAGATTTTACTCCGATCCAATTAATCAGGTATTTTAATTGTGTTAAATATATTTTGAATAAAAATATTATTCATGAGCATCATGTAACTACCTAATAAAAGGACCTACGGCTGAACCTTCCGCTGGAAAAGTGCTTCTTAATTTTTATCCAACGCCAGCATAAGATAAAGCAAGAAGAGTTGGAGAATGAAGACGTTGAGAATGACAAGACACAAGACCATACGAATGAGGATGAGGAATTAGATGATCTTGAAGATGATTACGCTAAGGGCTCAACAGACTTTTTTCCAGGGCTTAACTTCCGTATTATAAATACCTCATGAATCATGGAGGCTCATAACTTCGACATATTATGTCACATACAGTATGTTACATACTCATCATATTTTGCCTGAATTTCTCGTGAGCCAAAAACTCAGCATACTACTACAATGACGACGACGGATTCTCCGATTCAGATTCATCCTCAGCGTACGGGTTAGAGCTCCTCGACTCAGAGGCTCAATCTCATATTATCGTCCCTCAAGATTTTTTGGATTATCGACGAAAAATCTAAGTCATTTGAAAATCAACAACGATTTTTGGTAACTTTTCTAAGAAAATATCGTACTGGTATAAATGTGGTTTATTTCATTGTCTAGCTGCCACGTAAATATTAACGGCAAAGTTCTTTCGAATCGAAAATCGGATGTATACTCAGTTCTATCTGATGCTTCCAGGTATAATAACCCTATTATCAGATGAAGATGCTGGAGCTGGCGCAAATGATGATGCTTAATCTTCAGGTAGAGGCCGTATCACCGTTTCAAGTTATGCTTCAAGAACTTGAATCTATGAGATCACTTTTTATCCAATAGTAGTATTATGCAGGTGTTATCGACGTAATAAGTCGGACTTACCCGTATCTAATAGAAATTTTCTGAACAATTTTCTGATTTTAGCGTTTTTCTACCTAATTTTTTAGCTGCAACTTGTGATTTTTAAGATATTAATTGACCATATTCTTCAGGTTTCAATCATTTTCCTTACATGGCTCCTCTTCACCAGTTCAAAATGCCAAAAAGTTCAAACCAAACCGAGAATCCGACGCGTCTATAACTCCCCTGTTTATACTGTATCAAATAAAGAACTTCGTCACTTCCACAAACTTCCTGATGCGTCCCTGACCTTATCATGTATTTAAATTGTACATCCCAGGAAATGTTCGGGGCCCCAGAATCAATGCGCAAATGAGTCGCGCTATGGTAGAAAAAATAGTGCGATTTTTGCCATATTAGGGCCACCCTCTCGCGCCCTCAGCCGTCGTCCAGAAGCAAATAGCAGATTTATAAGTTCGTGCGGATACAAATTTCTACAAACAAATTAAGAAACACTAGCAAAACATAGAAATGAAATCATCCGATTCTATGTCACCTTTTTCATACCAACAACTGCTTGGACCTCAAAATGGTGCATCTCGAAATGATGCAACGATGAACTTCAATGATAACTCGTCAATGCTCGGCCAGTTTTCGCCACCGACTACTCCAGATTCCGCCCTTCAGCTACGCCGAGAAGCCAACAACGCTCGGGAACGAATTCGAGTCAAGAAGCACCGCGAATGTTTCATGGATCTCAAGGATGTCATCGGCCGACATGTGAGCTTGGGCAAAGATGTCAGTCGATTGGCTTTGCTTCGTTCTGCAACGGAGTTGATAAAGAAACTCGAACGAGATATCATCTCAATGTCCCAAGCCCAAAATGATTCTTCGCGACAAGGATCAATGTCGGATCCTCCTAGCCCAGTGTCAACTGGAGCCATGGGAATGGCTACATCTCCGGGAGCACCTCTTCGCTCTGCAATGCCTGATTTTCAAGCTGTTGGTCTTCCCCACCCATTTGCTCCTGCACTCAACAACGCTAATCCGACGCAGCTCTTCAACCCAACTCTTCCAAACATCCCACAAGTTTCCGCAGCCCATGCAATGCAGTATCAACACCTTCCTACTCTCAATGATCTCCAGCAAAACATGGTCAACCATCCATTCGAATACATCATGTGATCATCAAAAACACAGAATACTGTTCATAATTCGATGTCATCTCTTGTAATTAGCCCCAGTTTAGGAATTTCTGCAGCAGTATTATCTTCTGAAACCGCGATTGCGCGAAATAAATCGGAACTTTTAAATTTGTGTATTTCATAGAAGCTGTTGGAATTTGCAAGAATACGACTGTTTTACTTCGATTCTAACAGCCATACTAGAACAGGTCTTTAGGTAGCGTAAAAGGAAAACATAGCGAAAGACAAAAATTGTCTTGATGAAAATGAAAGTAAAGTAGTAAAAACGTTCGTGCTAACTTCTGAGTGCTATCCTCACTTTGACGCTGTGCCAATGTCAATGCCACGTTCTGGATGAGTGCCAAACCTTGAACCCCAGCGTGCTAGTCGCGCCCCGGGCACAGAAAAACAAAGAATCCTTTGAATGAGTTAAAAATGAGATCATCCAAGAGGGGCTGAGTAAGAAAAATTGATCGCGCTCACGCCAAAACAAACGGGTGAGACATACAGTCAATCCGCCAGGATTCGTAGGGTGTTATGTCAGAAGGCTAACACTGATCTTTGACCTGGAAGAAATCAAGAGAAATATTGTTTACTCGGCTAGAACATCTCGCCATAACAAAATTACACATCGTCTGTCTGGTCGCCGGAAAATAAGAAATTTGAAGCGAAAAAAGAGGAAGGCCATGGATTGATTTTTCAATTAAAAAAACCCAAAAAAACGAGAAAAGCAGAAGGAAATTTCGAAAGAGGATAAATAAATATGGGAAAGAGCGATGAATCCCTCGAAAAACAAAGAAAACTTTATATGGTGAGTACTTTGTGGTGGATCAAATTGATGATTGATCCGATCAATCATATAAAAAATAAACTCAACCTGCTCGAGTCGAGTAGCATGGGGATTAAAATTATCTTCGAATTAATTTGCGTCAATTATATATGCCGAATTCAGAATTGCTCCGAGAATAGTATTCAAAGCAGATGAATCATTAAAATAATGAGACAAAGTCCTATAACTGGCGCAAATTTATTAAATATAATTAACCACATATGTTTTAATTTTATGATTTACTCTGTCTTAAGATAGCAGTTGCTGTCTGGTATTTTTCTGCTGGAGCTGATCGGGCCCTAATTATTCCCACTGTCAATGCATATCTCACGGAATATCTCGGAGCCGCACAGGATGGGTATTTCTTTGAAATATATTCTTACGTATAATTTGAGAAAATAAAATAATCAGCCCCGTAGTAAGGAACTAACGGTTTATTCGATATCCTGAGCGTTATTCAACAAAGAAAAAGAACCCGATAAAAGGTTTATATGGGGGTAGTAATTTCCATTTTCGCAATCGGTAGCATAATTGCTGCTCCTTCTCTTGGAAGAATTTGCGATTGGTTAGGAACGTCACGGCCACTTTTGATCTTTGGCGTTTCTCTCCATCTAACTGGAAGTATCATCTACTTCTTGGCGCCCGGACTGCCTGGAACAAAGCCTGAAATGTGGATTGTATTTGGTCGATTCCTGGCAGGAATAGGATACGGACTGGATGCACCTGTTGTCGGGACGTTGACGCGAAACGCGCCACCAGAAAATCGTGGATCTGTGATCGCTTCTGCGATTTTGATGAGGTGAACGAGCTCGCACCAATTTGTAAGAAGTATGACATTAAAATTTCAGACAAGTTGGCGTAATTATTGGACCATTCTGTATGTTATTCCTGAAGTATGCTAACTTCACCCTCCCTGGCGGCGTGCAAATCAACCCATACAATGTGCAAGGCTTCTTCCTAATGTGTATCTGGGCGTCTGTGCTTACTGTTATTATCTTGCTGTATCATGACGCTGGACTAGGTAACTCGACCGACATTCCTAAATCGAAAGGATGGGCACCAATTTCGTTGATTCCTAATGATCAGAATGATTATAAATGACAATAGTTACGAAAAGTTCATTGATTGAAAAATGATTGCAAATCAATGATTCGATAAATTCAGAAATTATCTTTTTATGAATGAAATTTCACAATGATTTATACAGTGAATTCATTATCTATGGAAATTTATCAAACAGGGTAAAACGGAAATATCGAGCCCCATTTAGCATATGAAGAAAGTGAGACCATTCCAGAAGACGATGATGTCAATCTTACCGCGAGCATACACAGTCTTCATTTCAAATGGAAAGAAACAAAAGGTACGGTTTATCAACGTAATAATATGTCTCTATCACTAAGACAGACTATATTGATTACCACAATTTGAGATGCTATCAGTTAGAGTGTAGAAAATATTCATACTCTCTTGATAGTACAGGTTAAATTGGAATACCTTTGAAACGTTATTTAGATATCACATCTGGTGGCATACTTAAGCTACTGCTTCGTGAGCAAGTTGTTGTCTGTCTTGTTGGATCTTTCGGTGGAATGTTCTTACAGTCGTCTTTGGAAACAGTGTTCACTCCTCTCTCCAAACGATTTCTTGGTTTCACAAGTGTCCAGAATGCGATGACTTATGTCTTTATTGGCGTTGTTGCTGTTTCTGGATATTTCTGGTGAGAAATATTGTCTTCGATCACAAAAAATAACCGTTATCTTCAGCATGAAACTCATATCCGATCGACCTGGATTTCAGCAACGAAGAGCACTCCTGATTGGAATGTCCGTAGAGTTTCTAAATACAGTTATCCTCACCACTACAGTTCCCAACGCTACATTCCGAGCCACTTACTTGTATATTTTGACGGGCGTTGTCGTCCTGTTACAATGTTTCTTCATGGCCTGGCTCGTGGTGGCTTCAGGAAGCGGTCAGAGAAAAAAGTCAAGCACGTTTTTCTTCTCTAATAGAGAATCTCTATATGCAGCATATAATATGCTGACCGTTTAAAAAGCATCGTTACTCTCTAAGTTTACACCTCAATACTACCAAAGTTCAATTCAAGGCGTACGAATCGGCGTCGAAACTCTTGCCACAATCTTAGCCCCTCTATGGATCAGTTCCACCATAAACTTTTCAATTTACGCTTGTTTTTCTATTCCGGTAAACACACGAAATCCTTACAATTGCTCAAAAACTTTTTCAGACCTTCATCTTGATTACTGGCTGCATATTAACTACCTCATCATATCATGTTCTGGAGCCTTCAAGGATAGACTTTTATCCCCTGCCGAGCCCTAACTCAAAGAAGAATCATGACAACAGACAAGAAGATACTGAACTAGCTAATATTGTAAAAATACTGAATAAACAACACTACAGGCTAAAGGCCTTTGCTTACGCAAAATCTGAAATTTACAAAAGTTTATTGAAAGTTTCCCAAAGATTGAGAAAAATAAGCAGTGAAGGAAAGTAAGGAACTTATTGTTTTGATTGGACGGCAGTATCTGTTTTTCCTAGTAAAGAAGAATTTCCTACGAGCAGAAATTCTCTTATTTAGCTTTCTTCGCGTCGCCATGTTTGGATGATCCAGCAGGGCGTTTAATTTTCGCGTCTTGGATCCAGCGAACTTGTGTTGCTGGCCCATACCCCTGGAAGCAAAGTTAAAAGGATGATAAAGCAAGTCGTTACCTTTTTATTTTTCGCAGCTATCCTGAAAATAACTGCAGCTTTGTTAGCATCATTTTGACTAGTTGCGGCTTGCGATAGTAGAGTATGAGAGACAACACATGCAGCGTCATGCCCGATGTACACTCTTGTGAAATTTGATTTTCCAGCACCCTGAAGAAATCTCGTTAGACAACACTTGACTTGAGTCTACTAAATAGGGAAATCACAAGGTTTCCCAGACTGTCCTAGACGGCTGCGGCAGCGAATAATGTCATTATCTTTGATAAGGAGGAAACCAGACATCACTTACAGGACTAGAGGTAAACTCTTTCTTCACTGAAAGATACACAGAATATTCGATGACATCCGCGTTCGCTGGAGGTTGCCAAGCAAGAGATGCGCCAGCTTCTGTTTTCGAGACTTTGATGTTCCAGGGAGCACCAGGGAATCCTGGTGTACTTGTTTTGTAAGAGCCGTAGTCAGAGAATTGAGATCGACCGCAGGAGTTTATCGCGCATACTCTAAAATCAATTAAAGATCGGTGCTACTCGTTATTCAATACATACCGCACTCTATAAGTTACTCCAGGCGACAGTTTTGTCTTTTTCCATGTTTTCTCTGCATCCAAAAAGGCCTTTTCATCTTCTGAAAGCGTTTCACCTTCAGCTGCTTGTTGGTAGAAGTGTTGTATCTCGCAACTGACTGTGGGTCCAACTCCTGTGTGTTTGAGAATCTGTACATCGTGCCATTCAATTTTACTCGCTGGAATCTTACTCTAGTAAAACTTTTTCAAATCCGCTTCGAATGATTCATATTTTACCTTTTCCACTTCTTCTTCCTTTTTATCGTCGGATTTAACTTCATCAGTTCCTTTTTCACTTTCCTCTTTAGATTCCGAGCTATCAGCCTTCTTCTCTACCTTTTTCGGTTCTACAGGAGAGCATTGAACTAAATACTTTTCCGCTGTTTTGATCGAGCTCCAGGCGACGTGGATCTCAGTTTCCAAGCCTTTCCGACAAGTTACAAATAAGAAAAATTATGTAGGCTTCCTTTTGCGATAAAGCAAGAATATGAAATGTGTGGAAAAGTCTTGTTACTCGTTGCTTTCATAAGACGTAGATTGACGGGCCGCGGAGGGGTCTTTGTTTCAAGAAAAACGAGATCATTGACACATTCACGATCGTTTTTCTTTCCAGCGAAGATGTAGATTTGTGATCCAACGAGGGCCGCTTGAAGGCCATATCTAGCGAATGAGAGCTTGTCCTGTTGTTCGCCCTTTCTTGGGTTTCCTAAGTGGACAAATGTTCTGACTAGACTAAAAGTTGTCTGAAAAATAGATTATAAAATCCCTTTCTTTACCAACACATGGTGAAAGTGCCATTAGACATCTGCCAGTTTATTCTCACCCGACAAATTAAGCTAGCAGACGCTTACGAAACCCAAATCCTGAAGTCCCTTCTCTAACCATTCATCGGCAGCCAAATCTAATATCCTGACACTGTCGTCTGGCTCCCAGACATCTTTTCCTGAGGGACAGTGGTTGTCCATTAACAGATCGAACTTGTCGTTTTTGTTAACGAGTCCGCCAAGAACGACCATTTTTGTTTCACTGACCATTACAGACGCGTGCATTGAGCGCATCAATGGTGGGTTACCCAAAGGTTTCAGCTCTGTCCAAGTGTTGGTTCCAGTGTCGAGAGAGAAGATATCGCCAAGGCGTTTTCGCTCATCTTTGCCTCCATAAATAATGACCATTTGAGCACGACCTTCGGGCTTGTAAACGCAAGCAGTGTGGCTCTCCCTCGGAGACGGAGGAGTTCCAGCTATGGTCGCTTTGCTCCAATTGTAAATGCCCGTTCCGCCTTTGAGCGCGAGATAATATACATCGTTGAAGAATTCCGGACGAAATAGTCGCTCCGGAGAATCGGATTTATTCGTCACTCCTCCGAAAAGAACGACTGTTCCAGATGAGCCCAGATTCGTGAAGCTGTGCGCCATTCTTGGGCATGGAACTGAGCCCGCTTGTCCTTTCTGCTCTAATTTTTTCCATTCCCACTAAATGAAATCGATTAATTGAAATTATGATAATCCTTTCAGATTAGTACCTTTGACGCTTGAAGCTCGTAGAGATCATTTGACATTTTACCATATTCCAGCATGCCACCATGAATTAGAATTCGCGTGCCATCCGCAATCATGCCATGCGCTGCAACTCCAGGAGGAATGTCACCCGAGCAGCTTGGCTTGAACCAATTTCCATTTTCTGTGGAGTAGACCATCAAATCATCCCGGATTTCGCGATCCCCACCGCCGAAAAGAAGTATCAATCCTCGGATGGCGACGAGTCTGTGCCCATGTCGAGCGCGAGGGAACAATCCAGAGCCAGCTTTGACTAAATCGTTTCGTTTGGCGGGAAGCCAATTGTCCGATCGGTTGTCTACTTTCACTTCTGGCTTTTCATCTTTGTCCTCCTGAATTTCCATATTTTCCATTTTCACCTCCATGGGCTCGTCTTTCGATTCCATGATTGGCTTTGGCAGTGCTGCGGAATCATTGTTGTTTTCCCCTTCTGCTTTGATTGAATCATTTTCTTGGGGATTTGTTTCGGGAGGCACTGAAACTGGAGTAGCGGTTGCTTCAGGCTGCTGGGTTGGAGGGACCTGATCGACTTCCATGCTCACTGCCATGATATTTTCATCTGAATGCAGTCCTTTTTAATTTTCAGTTTCTAAGTGAAGCACTATATTTAGCGAAAGAAAGGAAGTACAGAAAAGTTTTATTGCACTCACGATATCTAATAGATAATGAGAAATGAATGTTAAAAAAAGACGAAAGAAAGTTATTGTAATTAAAGGAACTTTCACTTGAATAGTTTTGCAGTGGCATAAAGAAAATCCGTCTTGAACTGTTCCGATGAGAATCTCGCACATGCGTTTCTTGCGTTTTTCTGAATCTGACGTCGTCTCTCTTTGGAAAGAAGAAGAATCTTTTCCATGGAATCAGCGAAAGACCTGGCGTCAGTGGCGAGAAAGCCAGTCGTTTCTCCGTCATAATCGACGAAAATGTCTTCTTTGGGACCGGCCGAGTTGTGCCCCACTGCGATTGTGCCGGAGGCTTGAAAGTCCACGCACGTAATTCCGAAATGCTCATCCTTCATCGTGTGTATGCCACAGGAAGAAGTCTCAAATAACTCGATGATTCGTTCAAAAGAAATATTCTTCTCAATGGTGATTGAATCGCTTAGGCCGTATTCGGATATTAAGTCGTTTAGTTCGTCCACGCGGGATTGATCGCCTGGGTTACGAACTCCTCCTGCCATGATGAGTCGGGCGGACGAAAAAGCAGGATTCTTGTACAACAGCTTGAACGCTTCAACTTGGAGCTTAGTTGAGGGTCAATAAACAAGATTTCCTGATGTAGAAATATAATATTGAATGAGTTGTTCTAGTCAGAGTCTCTAACAAAGAGATACCTAAATTAACGCCTTTTCCTTATGATTTTTCTCTGGCCTAAATTGGGCTAAAGACATAATCTGAAATGGAATTCGCCTCTTTTCCAGCTCTACAAGAGAGCTTAATTAACATTTTTCCTCTTTAGATTTCTCTGATGAATTGTCACAAGGAATAAATTATAACGAAATAAAATGAAAGCAAAATAGAAATAGCACTCTTTCCTAATTTAGTAAAAGCGGACACGTCGCAAGGAGGAAATATTTTCGACGACTTCCTGGTCCAAATTTGATCCAAATGATTTTGCGTCCATGAAGAATTCGTCATGACGACAGAAGATCGATTTCCACAGAAAGCGTAAAGCTTCGAAAACAACTGATAATAGAGAAGTTTTCCTGAATAGAAAAATGACAAATCAACTCAAGAGAAAGAGAAAAACCTGATGAAAGGACAGAATTATTGGCAATCGTTTCACTGTTGTTAAAATCTGCTTCTCGCTTCGAAACCTTTTGTAACATGTCTGTAGAAATCGTTGGATAGTGGATGTAGCAGCCAACTTTGCAACCGAAAAGCCAAAAGAGGGGGTAGGTAAAGCTGTAGCCCATCGAGTCGATGACGATTTCAGGGTTCACTTTAAGCAGCGCCTAGTAGTTTTTAGGTTGGATCGTTCGGATATAATGGTTCGAGCGTGAAACACCTGTTTTCTCGTATAAAATTGGAAAAGTTTTGATTATTTTCATAGTCAAAATGAATTAAGGAATCGATTAACGATTGGATAGTATAAGAATGAGATTATTCAATGGATAAGTGTTACAACTGTACCTCGAATGCCAATAAAATTGACCCGAAACTCTGTCCAGCAAGCGTGAAACTTGGCCAAGTAGCCGCTTCGACTAACCATCGATACTTCAAATGCACAAAAATAACATCTTCAACCTTGATATTGAATCGTGCTTCTGCTCTTTTTAGAATTTCCTTTCCAGAAGCTTCATCTCCGGTGTAAATATAAATTTGCTTGTTTGAATATTTCTGCGAAATAGCAGTAACAGCTTCCCAGAGAACGCGTTCTCCACCTCCACCAGCGTCGCAATAAGGATGAAAGAAGGCGACTGAGTTGTTTTGACGTCTTCCGAAGCGGATTAGAATAAATACGAATATAAAGAGGGTAGTTACGAATATCATGCTGCTTTATCAGCCTTTTAGAACATTGACGAATTCAATCTTAATTGCCACAGATGTTATGAGTAGAAAATTATACAAAATATAATAACTGGGAATTCTGGCATAGTCTTATCAAGATTCTATCGTAAACAATTGTTCACAAATTATAAACATTGACGTAAAAGATGTTTAGAGTCTGATAAGTATGCGACAAAAGAATAATCGAAGAAAACTGATCACTGATAAAATTAGAGCAACTTTTCGATAAGTAAAATTAATAATTTCCAACTACAAAATATATTGCATAAGACAGATTATGCAAAGATCTTGATTTTCAAATAAAAATGGCGTAAGTTCGGTTGGTCGTTTTTCTCAATTTCGCTCGCTCGGGCGCACAATCGCGCAAATCTGATTGGTCGATTCCGTTCAAACGCATTCTTCGAGTTATTCTGAGGGCAAACTTATTCTCACTTCTTTTTGCTTCCATTCGTTTTACTTTTTACGTAGAGATATTACCGTAAATACGATACTGATAATTATCAGTTCTTTAGAGAATTTCGTCGAAAAATTTGATTACGTAATGACTTTTGCTAAAAGCTTGTTTTCTTCAGAAAAATAGAATGGCGGCGCAACTGTTAGAAATTTTGAAGAAGACGACGGACGCAGTTCACTGCAGGGAGGCACAGACTCAGCTTGAACAAGCTGCCAAGAGCAACTTACCAGAATTCCTTGTTCAGCTCTCAGTAGGTCAGTTAGCCCTCCTCTTTCTTCTTCTTCTATTTCTCGTTATAGTGCTCGCAAATCCGCAGAATGATGAGCTCTGTCGATTCCAGGCCGCGTTGCAGCTCAAGAATCACTTGGTCTCCAACAATAATCAGACGAAGATGGAGTATCAGCAGCGCTGGCTAATGATCGACAAAAACCTCCGGGATCAAGTCAAAACGAACTCTTTCAACGCTCTCGGATCTGAAACACGGTGAGGACAAGGCAATGTTCTATGATTCTTGACCATTCATTTTCAGTCGGCCGAGTTCTATTCCTCAAGTAATCGCCGCCATCGCCGGAGCCGAGTTGCCACACGGCCACTGGGGAGAAGTTATCCAAGCCTTAGCGACCAATGCTACTGACGTACGTAACTATCCATTCTTCCTAACTAATTTTCTTCCAGGAAAAAGCAGCTTGCAGATTCGAGCGAACAAAAGAAGCCTCTATCGAGGCTATTGGTTACATTTGCAGCGACGTGAAGCCGGAACTGCTGAGTTCGCAGTCCAATCTCATCCTCACCTCCATTTGCTCTGGCCTTGTACGTTCCCTTGTCGCGTACAGTAGATTACTCCATTGTTCAGCTAGCGAACCAAAATCAATACATTCGGCAAGCTGCGATTACGGCGCTTTTCAACTCGCTTGAATTCGTCAAAAATAATTTTGAAGTCGACAATGAAAGAAATCACATCATGCAGGTCGTCTGCAACCAGACAGTCAAGGACCCCAACAACAGTGACAACGATGTCACAATCAGAACGAGAGCACTTGAGTGCCTCGTCAAAATCGCCATGCTCTACTACGAGGTAAATTGCTCTTTTCCGATCAGGTTTTCAACGAAATTATTTAGCATATTCAAAACTACATGCAGGATATCTTTAAAATTACGATTTCTTCAATGGATCTCAGTCAACCAGAGCAAATTATCCTTCAGGTATGAGATCAAAGTCTTTCGTGATAATTTCTTTATTATCAAGATTCTCTTGTCTTTGTCTTTACAAAAAAGACATGTTTTCACCGGTATATACGGGTTCTTCAAGATGTAGGATCTTACTTCTCCTAATAACGATCTAGGCCATCGAATTCTGGTCGACTATTTGCGATGAAGAAATGGATTTGACTCTGGAAGCCGAAGAGGCCCGAGAAAGCGGTCAGGAACCAACAAGACTTTCTCAAAACTACGCCGATGGGGCCCTCCCGCATTTGTGTCCCAAATTAACGGTCCTCCTTACGCAGCAGGACGACGACACGAACACTGACGAGTGGAGCCCTTCCAAGGCTGCTGGTGTTTGTCTTATGAACTTAGGTATAGAATTCGACTACGTCAGAAGCATATAAGTTTTCTAGCGAACTCTTGCGGAAACAATATCCTCCCGCAAGTGATGGATTTCATCGGGTCAAACTTCGAAAACCCCAAGTGGCAAAATAGAGAAGCCGCGCTCATGTGCTTCGGATCCATTCTCGAAGGACCCGCTGTTGAAAATCTCAAGCCTGCCATCGACCAGGTACGCAGTTCATCTCTTGAAATTTGCTTACTAGTTTCAGGCCTTCCCAATCATCGTCAAAGCAATGACGGATCCCTCCGCGGCTGTCCGAGATACAGCTGCTTGGTTCGTTGGTCGAGTCTGCGATATCGTCCCGGAAGCCGTCCTCAACCCCAAAATCTTCGAGCACGTCCTTCAGGCTATGGTCAACGGTCTCGGTGACGAGCCCCGCGTTGCCCAAAACATTTGCTGGGCGTTCTCTTCTCTCTCTGATGCTGCCTACGATCATGCGCAGAATCAGCTCGGAACTGAAGACACACCAACAACTTACTGCATGTCTCGAGTAAGCGCTATCCTCCTTATCTTCCCCTACTCAATTTTAAGTTCTTCGGTGGTATCATTGAGAAGCTCTTGGCCACGACCAACAGACAAGATGGTAACCAGGAGAACTTGAGAAACGCGGCTTATGAAGCCATCATGGAATTGATGAAGAATGCACCGGATGATTGCTACGACATTGTCCTCAAGGTACCATCATAGAAATCGAGCGTTCGATAAATAGGGTTTTAGACAACCGAAGAAGTCATGACTCGAATCCAGAACCTCTTCGCCATGGAGAACGGAATCGATAGCTCGATGATGTCGCAGTACCACGATATGCAGGGTCTCCTCTGTGCCACTCTGACTGCCATCATCCGAAAGGTCAAACCCGAGCACATGAATGAGCTCTCCGACAAGTGCATGGAGTACCTACTCAAGATGCTTGCGTAAGTCGTATTTCTAGACATCAAAAGGTAAACTCTTTTTCAGCAAATCAAACGGCGTTGGTTCTGTCCAAGAAGATGCTCTTGGCGCGGTCGGAACTCTCATCGAAGTCGTCGGCAAGGGATTCGAGAAGTACATGCCCCACTTCAAGCCGTACCTCATTGTTTCCCTCGAAAACCACGCTGAAATTGCTGTCTGCATCGCAGCCGTTGGTGTCGTTACCGACCTCTGCCGCGCAATGGGCAAAGACTTCAAGAACTACTTCGAGGAGATCATGACAAAGATGTACAACGCGCTTATCTCCGCCTCCATCGATCGATCTGTCAAGCCCCAAATCGTTGCCGCCATCGGCGACTCTGCTCTGGCCATCGGTCCTGACTTCTCACAGTATCTTGCTCCAGTGATGGAAGCTCTTCAACAAGCTGCTTCATTCGAGGTCGATGCCAACGACTACGAAATGTTGGACTACCAAACCGATCTCCGCGAAGCCTGCCTCGACGCCTTCACCGGTATCATTCAAGGGCTCAAGGGCGACGATGAGAACTCAAACCCACAAGCCAGCCAAGTTCGAGCTCTCGAGCAGTACTTGCCATTCATCTTCGAGTTTTTGTGCAAGATCGCAGAGAATACAGACGAGATGACCGACAGCTTGTTGAAAAACGCTTGCGGTCTGATCGGGGATATCTCGATGGTTTTCGGATCTACTATCCCTCAGAATCAATTGATGCAGGCTTTCTCTGCTCAGGGAGTTCAGGTTAGTGTTAAAATTGTGAGATTGGTATCAACGAAAAATTCAGAGCCTTCTCCAGCTTGGAAACCGCTCGAGAGTGGATAGAACCAAGCGTCTTGCTGGCTGGGCGATCAGACAAATCCGTAAGATCGAGCGCGGTCAAGCATAAGCAACTTTGGTGTATGTTATTATGTTTCTACCTAGTTCACTCCTCTTCCTCTACTTCCTACCTTTACTTCAACGTATTTAATCTGTAAATGTATCTTCTTGGACCCCTCACTCCAATTCAAGTTCAAAACACTGTTCAGTTGTACCCAGCCCTGCTCGCACACAACTCAAACTCTGATTACCTAGTACCTTACCTCTGTTTCAAAGTAACTGCTACTCTCAATTCATTCTCGTGTGCTCCTGAACCGAACCCTGCTATATGTGCAGCAAATCAGACCAAAGGTGACCTTCCACTTTGAGCATAGTTTTACACTTTCTTTTGTTTATTCTCGGGATGGCTTGGCAAATTTTTTTTTGTTCTTGTAAATTTCAACGGCCTATCCAGCTATCCCGAGATTCTAGCATACTTGCAATTTGTCCCTTTTGTGTGCGAACAGGTTGCTACAGCTATTATTTTTGATTGGCGTAGTAGTATACGCTTAAATTTCTCAACTTTCTTTTCATATTTATTTTTATTTATTGAAGGATAAGCTCATTTATCCATATTTTAGTTTCCCCTAGCGTTCCTTTGAAACGTACCCAGTACCTAAAATGATCAAAGGAGCGCTAAGGACTTTCATTTTTTCAATGATGAAACTTGAAAATTCTCTGACTTGTGAGTGAATCTGACTGAACCCGTTCTGCCCTGCCTCAGCAACCCTTTCCTGTACTAGAAAGTGCCGGACTGTACTTTTATCCACTTCACTGATGAACCAACCCTTCACCTGCCTCTTCGGCGTCAAAAATCGTACCCAGGATACCGGGCGGACAAAAAAACTAACAGATCAAAATCAGAGTTATGATTTGTTTCCGGAACCTCACTGCCCTCTTCACTGCCTACCATTCTGCTGTACCCACATCAAAAAAGCGATTTCAAACCATCATCACCTGTACCACCTTTATCCCCAGAATAAACCCCTTCAACCCATCTGACGATGATTTCAATGTCTTTATTCAAAAATCCAATTTCTTCAACCGTTTCTGGTGCAGAAAATATAAACGACCAAATATTCAAGAATTTCTAAAGAAAACGTGAGCATCAAATTCATGTGATATCATGCAGGATTTATTGAGCAGGATAGTTGAGCATCCAATTGTCTATCCGTCAGATGATAGCAAAAATCGCAACAGCATAAGATAAGACTTCTCTACTGTTTCCTGATAATTTTACAATTGTGGAACGTGAGTTGCCGCCAATCAAATCGTTATCAAGCATGTCCGACATCCATTTCCAGCTCATAAAAACACCGCCGAGATTAAAGAAAGCAAGACAAATTCGTGAGAGACCGAAATAAATAGGTATTTCGATCGAGCAATTTCAAACATAGAAAATATGAAGAGTGCATTTTTATTCGCCGGTTTCTCCGCCATTTCCGCCGAGAGCATCGACCTCGATACTGCTATTGAGAACTTGAGAGTGCTGAATGATTGGGTTGAGACTAGCCTTTATGAGCAGGAAATGGTAGGAACGAAGATCGGCGACAGGATGGAAAAATGGCAGGGAGATCTTCAAGAAGCTTTCCGAGCTGGGGCGAGTAGAAGTGATTTAGGAAAACTTCTATTTTCTGGAAGAAAGCTCAGGCTTGACTTGATGATTGACCAGGAAACAGGAAGGTGTTTTCATTAGCGATAAAATATTTAACGAAATGAGCACTTGATAATTCCAAAATAAGCTTCCAAATACGCCTTGGAGGATTTGGAAGAAACTGGCTGCTACGGACACCCACTCCAAAAAGGCGAGACTGGGTACGCTGGAAAAGGACAACCGGCTGATTTGATCGATGAGCTCTCAAAATCACTCCTTTTCTGCTACAAATGCGCTGCCAAGGATCATGGCTCAACTTGCAACGGCCGAGGAAATTACAATTCTAGCTTCAATAAGAAGAAAGGATCCGTTTGCCAAGATAGACGTGATACTTGTGGGCACACCATCTGCCAGTGCGATCTTCAGTTTGCTCAAGCTTTCGGAAAGGTAAAGAGTAATCCAAAAATGATGTGTTTTCAACTTTTTTAGATGTCGATTTCGTTCGATGAATCTTTCAGCACGAAGAACGGATTCGACCGAGAAGCTCGATGTATCCCAAAGGCACCGAAAGACAGCTCCCTTGAAGGCCGATCAGGATCTTCTGGAAACAAAGCTCAAAAATCAGCCGCAGCTGTGACAGAATGTTGTGGATTTGGACTCGGTCGAACTATTTTCAAGGTTAGCTCATTATGTTGGCGTTTATAAAGAGTCATTAAGGTTGACAAACAAGTTTGCTGCAATGGCGATACCGTCAAGCCGATTGGATCTTGCTGAGAACGTTCTTTTATGCTTTCTCATGTTTTTATACAAATAAATTTTTACTTAATTTTTAAAGAAGGTTCAAGAATTTTTAATTATCGATGTCTATAATTACTATCTTATGAATAGTAGAGTTCACCGACAAATCACGGATACACGACGTTTTCCTCAAACCGACGTTTTCCTCAACCGACGTTTTCGTTAAACCGACGTTCTCGTCAATGGTCAGAACCAGGGGTGACCATTTGGGCAAAAATCTTCGTCGGGCCGACCAATTGCCCGCCCAATACCAAAAATCAAGACCCGGGCCGACCAAATGCCCGACCAGTCCAATGTGCCCAGAATGCCCAATCGGGCAATTGGGCAATTTTTCGGGCAAAAATTTTCCCGACATTTCGAGCTTGTTAAAACTTTAATTTTCTAAATTTCTCTCAATAATTTATTTCAGTTGAAGATTTGGAAGGTTTGAAATTTATTTAAAAAGCGGTTAAAAAAATAATTTTGTAAAAGATCGATCAGGTTGTCAAGAATAGACAGCTAACCATTAAGGTCCACTTCACACACTCTTGCATAACCGTCTCGAAAAAAGGGGTTCAAAAATGGGGTTGGAAAAATAAGGGATAAAAAGGATCTGGAGGTCAAGGGTAGACAGCTAACCATGAAGGTCCACTTCACACACCCTTGCAGAACCATCTCCGCAAAGAAGTGGCTGAGTTAAGGGTAGGGATAATTTCACAAAAGGATCAAGTGGTCAAAGGTAAACAGCTAACCATAGAGGTCCACTTCACACACCCTTGCAGAACCTTCTCCTTTTATCTTTTTTCTTGTTTGTGAGCTTAACGACCAATAAGCGGACAGGAAAACGCCCACGTTTATGATTTTTCCCGGTGGGCATTTGCCCAACTGCCCGATGGTGCCCAACTGCCCAGAAAATGCCCAAATGCCCGACTTTTCCAATGTTGCCCAGCCTATTTTCAGGCGTTGAGCCGACCAAATGCCCGCCCAAAAGCGTTTTTGCCCGAAAATTGCCCGATTTGCCCAAATGCCCAATGCCCAAATGGTCACCCCTGACTCAGAACGTCGGTTTGATCAGAACGTCGGCTTAATGAAATTGTCGGTTTTCCCTTAAAATGCGGGGGCAATCAGAGCGAATGAGAATAGGCTCTTTTTGGAATAATGTCTTTTTCAAACCGACATTTTCCTTAAATTGTAAACTTTGAAAATTTTAACTATATTAATTATTAAAAAAGATAAAAAGTAAGTATCATTTAAAGTCGATATGTTTATCGGAAAAACATTAGCCAACATAATTTATGCAGTAAAAATGATCGTCTTACATTTTATCGGTCTTGTATACATTTTAAAAAGAAATATTTTAGCTGTATTAGTTCATAAAATGAAAATATACAGTATTCTTATACTTTTACTCTTCATTATGCGTTCAAGCGTTAAGTTTATAACTTATAAATTATAAGCATAATGAAAACGTTGGTTTAACGAAAACGTCGGTTTCCAAACTGAGTCTTAGTCGAATTCTAGGCGCCCACGCATTTTTCGTGAAAACCGACGTTTTCATTAAACCGACGTTTTGATCAAACCGACGTTCTGATCATTGAGTAGAACGTCGGTTTAACGAGAACGTCGGTTGAGGAAAACGTCGGTTTGAGGAAAACGTCGTGTATCCACAAATCACCAAGATGCATTTATCCAGATAAATGCCCAGTGAAAATCAAAAGATCATGATTTCAACTTGGTAAAAATTATTCAGTAACATTAGTTAGATAAGCTTTATTGATGAGAGATCATGTACAGGCGGAAATATAATCATGACTAATTTGAATTGCAATCAGATGATCTTCATTGAATAAATAAGCTCGTTGCTTTTTCTAGTGTCCAGAGCTGACGACGGAGAATCGGTTAGAATGAGCCATGTAGTAGACAGCAATGATCATCAACGGTCCGTAGTTGAAGGCGCTGTCAATTGAGTTTTCAACAAGCTACAGTATTGATTCAAATAGAATTGATCTAGCCGCAGTGAACGTGGGGATATAGCTCAGTGGTAGAGCATTCGACTGCAGATCGAGAGGTCCCCGGTTCAAACCCGGGTGTCCCCTTAATTTTTTCTTTTTTATTTGATTCTCGGTTCAGAGGAAAAACTCATTCCTGTTGTGAAAAGATGCGTATTTGCCGATGACGTCAAAATCTCGGACTTTTTTGACGAGCGGAGCTTCCTGCCAGAAGTCGGAGAATCGGTCCTAAAAGGAAAAGTTACCTGAGCACAAAAGAAAAGACAAATTGTCTATACTATATACAGAGATTCGTGAGAAAAAAAAAGTCTTGTTGAGCTTTGAAAGATTCTTAGCAACTGTTCGATAAATTTACTTACAGATAAGGACTCGTCTCTCTGAAAATAGGCTTCTCTCTCCTCTTCCGTCATCATCTTAGGATCTTGGTTGGCTTGAAACATCCTCTGTAACCTGACTGTATCTCTTCTTTTATCCCTCTCGATTTCTAGGCGTAGTAAAAGCGCCTGTCGATAAATTCTTCTTTCTCGCTTTTGGCCAATCAGCGCCGCGCTCCGCCGCCAATCGAAGTTCGTGTTCGAGAGAATCGACGGCGATATTTTCAATTGAAACTTGTTGCTTAGACGGATTCTTTCTAGAATGTCGGAAATGTCGACCGAGCCGAGAAAGACCGAGGGTGGATTTGTCACTTATGGCAAGGAGCCCACTCAGGAACTTGTTAAAATACTTTTTCTACTGAATATTGAGTTAATGGAGCTTCTTTTTTAACGAGACAAAGATTACGTTAAAAGACGACGATACAGTGTATGTCATTGGATCAGAAGTAGGGAACTATCTGAGAATGTTCCGTGGAAAATTGTACAAGCGATTTCCTGGTTTATACAGGCGAACTGCCACAGAAGAAGAGCGTGAGTACATCAAAAAGGTGCGTCTTTACAATTTTTCTAGGCTAATTTTTCTCTAGACATCGACAGACCCAAACCATGCAAATTTGCCGAGCTCCGTTAGTTTGATGAAAGCATCGGAGGTGGACGAAGTCATGGCGGGAAGAGGAGGAAGGTACAGAACTTCGAATAAAGTCGAAGCAGAAGAAGTCGAAGAAAAAGTCGAAAATTACGCGTCCATGCAATCCGCTGTTCCAGGTTCTCTTTTGTCCTCTTTTACTCGAGGGACCAAATTATTTTAGGAAACAGTACTCCAACGACGCGTAGATCGTCCCTAGCGCCTATTCCACAGACAAATACAAGCGTCGCGCAGCATTTGGACCCCGTTCCGTTGACGACTCCTTGTCTTATTTTTGCGAAGAACAAGAAAAAAGTCAGAAGCTACCCGATGTTCCTCAACTCAAACGTAGACCATCACGTGCTCAACAACGCAGATCAGGAAGAATGCTTGGTTCCTATACGACTTGATATGGAGCTCGAAGGTTTGTCACATTCATAAAATTTCATGATAAAAGTTCAATCAAGGTCATAAATTACGAGACTGTTTCACTTGGAACCGGAATGAAAAGCTCATCTCCCCGGAACAATTTGCAGAGCTGATGTGTGACGATATGAATTTACCACCGGGACTCTTTGTCCGAGCGATTGCGGAATCAATACGCGTCCAATGTGATCAATATCAGCCATCTGAAGATGTTCTCAAAGAGTAATTCTGCGAAAATGTGTATATTGTTTTATTGGAAAATTAAGGGCATCTGATGCGAGAGTCATTTTGAAGCTAAATGTGCATATTGGAAACATATCTGTCGTCGATCAAATTGAGTGGGACATGGCGGAGAGAACAAATGACCCTGAAGTTTTTGCGAAACAGGTTTTAGGAAGATAAATCTTTTCGGGGGTTAAAATTTATTCTAGTACTGCCAAGAACTGGGACTTGGAGGAGAATTCGTGACGACGATTGCCTATTCTATCAGAGGACAGCTCACCTGGCATCAAAAGACGTGCTCGTTTTCCGACAATCCTCTTCCAGGTAAGAGCTTTATTCTTCCTTGATTTCACAGTCGAATTCAAGTTGTTTCCGTGGCGCTAAGAAACACAACCGAAGCAGACGCCTGGAGCCCTCAAATGGAAATCCTGACAGACCAAGAGCTCGCCAAAAAGACCCGCAACCAAGATCGCAACACTCGTCGCCTCAGGCGCGTTGTTCGCGAAAATTGGTAGTGACATGTATTATTCTCCGAAACTCTCCTCGCACTCCGAAAACGAAAAAAGCGACCTACATACATTTTTCTTTAGTCTATCTTTCTTTCTATAACTTTCATGTACTTTCTCCAACTTTGTCTCACAAACACTGCCTTGAAATAGAACAAAACTGCTAAAAGTAGAAACATTTCTTTGATATCGTCATCTTCAGATGGACTTAGAGCGAGAATCGATTGAAAAACGAATAGAAGAGGTCTACAAGAAGCAGAAGTTTTTCGAAATTAATGATGCTAAATACATCTGGATGATGTTTTTCGGCTTCAAAGTCAAGAAAGCAAAACTACTCCCATTCTTCGAAAACGGCCGCATTTCAAAAGAAAAGCTGGTTGCTTACATTATTCACTACAAGTCGATTGCTGGTAATTCTTTCAGTAAAATATTTCCTTAATCGATTTTAGATGACGACTTCAGTATAATGTCGCAGCTTCTCGACCACAACCACCGCGGTTTCTACACAGAAAAATCCTTCGCCAAACTCTTCGAACGACACGGAGAAGATCCTGCTGAAGCGAGGAAAATTTTCCGCAACCTTGATCTCGATGGATACGGGCGGATCTCGTATTCGCAGCTTTTTGAAATTTTACATTCCTAAAAATATATTTTTACACTTTTCTTTTTCTACCCACTCTTCAAGATTATTTCCTTTTAGAATGACGATCAATAGTTTATTTATAATCGCGACGAATGACTTGAAAGTCTTCATGGAGAAGCATTGGTGCTCGGCGATCAAAAGAACAGTTCTTGATGATTTCTTAGAAAATGTAAGATTATTCTAATCTTCTTCTCTAAAAGATTCTAGCTCCGTGGATTATCTGATGTTAACGACATGCCGATTGTCTATCTCGGGCCGAACAACCACTACCTTATTCACGTTCTTCACAAAGACACCATCTTTCTAGCCGTAACTCGCGAAGGTATTAAAAATCTTTAATCCAAATTTCATCTCTCCTATCTAGATGTGATGCCGCTTATGATCACAGAATTCTTGCATCGAATCAAAGATGTCTTCATCGATTACTTCGGCGAGTGTTCCGTCAATTCTATCAAAGAAAACTTCGTCGTTGTTTACTCCTTATTGGACGAGCTCCTTGACGCTGGATTTCCTCTCGTTACCGAACCCAACGTCCTCAAGGAGCTTATTCGGCCGACAACGATGCTCAGTTCAATCAAGAATACTGTCACTGGAAAGAGCAACGTGTCCGAGAACTTGCCTACTGGGCAACTGTCGAATGTTCCGTGGAGAAAGGCGAACGTCAAGTACAACAACAACGAAGCATATTTTGATATGAAAGAAAATGTAACCCAGTATCTTAACAATATCAGATTCATCCCTTTTATAGCTGAATATGGTGGTCAACAAACAGGGCTCTCATTTACTGTCTCTCGCAAATGGCCGAATTGACTCGAGTATCAAGCTCTCAGGAACACCAGATCTGAGGTAGGAATTATTAAAACGCTTCCCCGCTCAAACATTATTGCAGCCTCTCATGGCAAAATCCGAAAGTCTTCAACAACGTAAACTTCCATCCGTGTATTCGACTGAAACGATGGAACGTTGAGAAGATGCTCTCCTTTATTCCCCCAGATGGTCAATTTGAACTCCTGAGATACCAGGTGGATTGCAATTATTTTCGAGTTATCCTAACTTTTTTAGTCTTCCATTAATGGAGGAGCGGCTTTGCCGTTTTATATTCGTGCAAATGCATCGCTTCAAGCAGGAAAATTAGACATCTCCATATCACCAAAGGTATTTATTGTGATAAAAATCATTTTTACGCCCTTTTCTAGCGGTTAGTGACCCCAAAGCCCGTGACAAATGTCTTTGTTACATGTAAAATGCCCGCTTGCGTAACGAACGTCAACCTGACCGCCTCGGAAGGATCGTACAGCTTTGACTCTTTCGAAAAGCGATTGAAATGGGACGTTGGTAAACTTGTGTCTGGAACGGCGCCGTCATTGAGAGGAAGCATCAACTTGAAAGAAAAGTGCGACCTGAGGCTTGTCTTTTCCGTGCAATTCAGCGTCGAGCAATACGCCGCTTCGAATATCAAGGTTCACCAGTTGAATGTCTTCGGCGAGGGCTACAAGGCTTTCAAAGGCGTCAAGTACATCACTAGCGCCAACGCTGTCGAGATCCGCACGTGATTTGCCAAAAACAAATGCATCTTCAAAGTTTCCGTTCCTATTACCTTTACCTGTCCGTATTTCTTCATTTATCTTTCTCAACGTCTCAATTTATCAGACCATCACGAATGTATTTCAAGTTCTTCAGTGCAATACCCTTTTCTTTAATAATAAAAATAACATAAAAATGCATATTTGAGTTTTTTATTTGTTATTGTTACAGTCAGGTTTTGGTCAAACACGAGTTTTAAAATTAGCTGGCTTCACTTGCGGCTGGAGCAGCGGCTTTCTTTCCTTTTCCTCCTTTCTTTGGCGGTCGGCCCTTACCCTTGCCCTTCTTAGCTGCAGCTGGAGCGGACTTTTTCGCCACCTTGCCTTCCTTTTTTGGAGCAGCGGGCTAAATTTTGATTGAAATCAAGGAAGAGTATCGAATCCAAGAGCATTTCTCACACTTACCTTATCTGCCGCGGCCTTAGCCTTCTTAGCTCTTGGCTTTCGTCCCTTTTTCTTTGGAGCTTCTTCCTTTGGCTCTTCAGGAACCTCAGCGGGAATCTGCTGCTCTTCGGAATCAGACATATCTTTCAAAAACTATTTGCAATTCTAATGTTAAAACGAAAGAAGTTTGCTTTCGCTTTCTGAAACTAGTCTTAGCGCGCAAAGGGGAAAAGCTCTTCCGAGCGTGCACGCCTCAGAGCGCGTCATACTTTTTCTGTGTTCAAGTGCCCTAGCTGTCTTGATTTAAATTTTATCAGAACGCTTTAGAATGGAAGTGGAATTAACAGAAGCTCAGATTGAGCAGCTAGAAAAGCAAAATAAACGGATGGTTTCTAACTTCGAAGCGTCTAAATTGGAGCGCGAAGCGAAGAAGCATTGGGACAAGTTCTACATGCGCAACACTACGAATTTCTTCAAAGATCGCCACTGGACCGAACGCGAGTTTCCCGAGTTGGCAAGCGAAAATTTGACAATTATTGAACTTGGATGCGGTGTGGGCAACTTTATCTTTCCAATTTTGGAAGCAAACAAGAGCGCTTCCGGATTCAGTTGCGATTTTTCCCCAAGAGCGGTCGACTTTGTAAAGAATAGAGCAAAAGATGAAGGGCTAGAGGGTCGTTTACTAACGTTTACGGCTGACTTGACACTAAACGACTGGTTAAAAAATGTAACGGAAAAGGTTAGCGTGAAAACGAATTGTCAAATAAAAAATAAGTGCGATTTAGCCTCGCTCATCTTCGTCCTCTCCGCAATTCACCCTGACAAGCACGTGATCGCGTTGAAGAACATTTCTGAGATTCTCAAACCCAATGGAAAATTAATCTTCCGAGATTATGCAGAAAACGATCATGCAATGCTTAGATTTAAGCCAGGAACAAAGGTAATTTATTCGTCTTTTTATTCAATTTTTATTTGGTAATATCGAACTTTTTCGTACATCTTGGATTATTGAGATTGATTGGTTCTCTTCGATCCCAGGTCTTATAGTCATTCGGGATATTCTTCGGTTCGTATGGACAATTTTTCGTATGTAAAGGCCGACAGAAATGCTAGAAATTTACTGAAACAAAGTAATACGGTAGATTTTACCAGAATATAGCGGCAAAAGTATTGACAAAGAAAATGACTTTTGGTGTGTCGAAAAATTCCACCATCGAGTTCGAAACATAAGGAACTATCAGCGTCAAAGATCCATTTATGACTTGATCGCATAGAAGAACATTTCGTAGTTTGTCCGTTCCGACGAGCTCGATGAACAGGACGAACTTGATTCCCGTATATCCACAAATGCCGATTGAGTACAGAAGCATTCCGGATATGAAATGGGAATAGGAAGAGGATAGAGCTAGGGCAATTTGAGAGAGCAGAAATGAAAGGAGGTAGAAAAGTTGCATCAAGGTCACGTCGTGCTTGTTGCAGAAATATCCCCAGATCGGTCTTTTTATGTCTTGCAAAACGTTTTATCGTTAATTTACGTATTGTTAGGCACATTCCTGAAAATCAGCTCGGGTAGAGATGCAAACAGAAGTAGCTTTGTAGCTAGAACTGGCTCGATGCCAGATTCAATGGCCACATTGGTGACCTCTGTCATGACCCCAGAGCAAATAAAACCTGAGGATATTGCTGACACAATCAGCATTGGCACGCATCCCTATTTTCAGACTCACTTGTTGTTGTTTCTTAGTTCTTAGGAGACTAATCCGAGCCCGTTCCTTGATTGCAAGAACGTTTTTAATCTCGACAATGCTCTCACCGATTTTGAATTTAGTCTTCTCGAGTCTGACAGGCTCCGACTCGTGTCTAATAAAGATCGTTCCCAGAATCAGCTGGTTGAGAAAAATTCCAACGATGACGATCACGGCGCCGTACCATGAGAAGATGCTGCATAAATAATTGCCGAGCGTCACTGATAACAATAAGAACCCTGGATAGCCCAGAAATAGATATGGATTGAGTTTTTTGCGTTTTTTCTCAAGCCAAAATTGCGGAGTGATGCAAATTATGCCGTAGGAAAAACCAGAGCCAAGGCCGGCAAGGATGCCCATGATGATTTGTAGTACTGTTAGCCAGGAGCTACCGAGAAACATAAAAAGTAAAAGTGTTCCGTAACCAGCGACAGATAAAAGGGAGGAGAGAATCATCCATTGTGCGGGAGATATTTGAGCGTAGAAAATCGTTACCAGAATTGAGCCAAAGTACATGAATCCCTCGATTGAGTTAGAAAACAGAGTTTACACTGACTATGAAAGTGTTGATTATTCCAACTTTTCCTGAGAAAAACGCTGGTGCAATGAAGCAACCTGAATCGGAAGCTGAAAGTGCACTTTCCATTGCGCAGTTAAAACTTGTTGAAAGCCCGTAAATCTGAATTCAGCTTTTATTTACAGAACAGTTCGAAGGTTTGTTTCAGCCAAGAGTAAAAAGGTTTCGTTCGCGGATTTGTCTGAAAAAGGAGCGGGTTTTCGTCCGGATCGTTTTGATCAACTTTGGTTCCACCACTCTCGAAAAGTAAATTGGCTTTTCAATTGGGAAGTCCCAATTGCATGCAGTTGCATGAAGTTCCAAGATGTAAAAAAGGATTAAAAATATTCTTTGAAAGTTCATTTTTATTCTTTTTTGCGTTGTTGTGTGATTTCTGGAAGAATCAACCTTTTTTATATTCGATAACCCGCGTGGGTATGAAAAAGTACAAGACTACTACGTATAATCGAATGTACGTAGTGGCGCCTTAATAAATCAAAGTTTGTTTGAACTTCTGAGATTCTCAAATAGGCTTTATTATCGAGAAACTGGTAACATTTGTTACAGGCAGCAGATTTGTTTGCTTGTGTTTTCAGGCTTTGTTTAGTGTAAATAGAGTCTTACCCGAAGCAAAAGCCAGAAAGGATAGCGGTAGAAGCAACGACCAGAATCGCATAAGGTCCATCCTTTTCCAAGCTCAATCCGAATCTTCTCTTCATTTTTTTATATTTTCTACTGGCCAATAAAAGCACCGCGTCTTTTTGAAATTGAGGCAATTTTCACCCCGGAAGAAGCAATTTGACCTTTTTTTATCTTATCCGTTGATTAGTTTTAAGATTTCCGTCCTTCAAAAAGCTTTTTAGATCAGCGACAAATTTTACGCTCGCCACGATGGAACCAGAAGCTATTTCTTTGGAAAAGAAGAATTTACTTTGATCGCCGAAGCGGCTGGATTTTCTGTTGAATCTGTCGAAATTTGTGAGAGATCGACGACGAACGTAAAAGAAGAGCTCAATGTGAAACGACTCTTTTTACAGGCTACGCTTGTCAAACAATAAAAGACATTTGCTAGTTGAATTATCTGAAATTTCAAAACTGTCTTTTTAGAATGGTTTGATAGAAAATGAGATGTCTTGTTCAAAGAAGATAAAATGAAAACTGATTTCCAAATCCAAAGTTAATAACAGCCATCCCCATCTCAATATTCAATAATCTTATAATTTTATTCAAAATAAGTGTTAAGAAAAGAAAGGAAATCTCTCAGTTGCTTCGATGTGACTGCATACTATTATATGATCTCTTCCTCATTGATCTAATATGAACCTATAAAATGAATCAAAACACTTTAGGCACCAGATATGAGATGAGTAAATCCAATCTTCAACTTATTGCTATTTTCAACCTTTCTCTTCAATGTTGAGTCTAATTGACTAATCTAATTTGGCATTTCAATGTGCAACGACAATATTTAGAATGGTCGCCTTGGTAAAATGATCCTACACTTTCATACGAATTCAAGCTTTTGTTCTTCAAACCGATAAATATCAAATGAATACTTTTATTTTCATTCATAGGTAATGGTTTGAGTCATCATAATTTAGAAAATGCTTCAGTAAGTTCTATATCTTTAATTAATATGCGCAGTTTCACCATGATTTCTATTTGTCAAAAACTGTTACCTCTATAAAATGTCTAAACTTCATTCAATTTTATGTTCCAGCGGACGTAGTAATAAATTTATATCTTATAATTCAATTATCATCAAAAATCTGCGGTGTTATTTGATAATATCTTGGCAATTTTGCAGCTTCGTCGGACCGCCATGCTTTCAGGGCTTCAAACTGATTTTTGTATCTGAAAATGCCGCGGATTGTCCATTTTGCGTCCACGTAACACTCAACGAGGGCTGTTATTTTTCAATATTTTTTGAATTTCAGAGAATTATGGATGACATTGATAAGCTTATCGAGGCCTTGCGACTCAACGAGAAAAAGTTTAATGAAGAAGAGATCCGCGCAAACTCGTGGAAAATCTTCACGAACCCTGAAATGTCTATAGAAATTGAGGCATTATACCAGCGAGGGTTAAAGCTGCAGGAGAAAAGGAAGAAGGAAGAAATGGAAAGAATTATGGAAGAAGAGATAAAACTTGCGAAAGAGAGCTGGTTCGAAAAAAGCGACGATCAAGACCCGTTTGACGAGCTTGAAAAGTCAATCGAAGTGCTGAATAATTGTTTCGTGCAGATGGAAAACGATTTCGGTCATCCCTCGAAACTTACAACGGAAAAGCTTGAAAAGGCCGCTAATGATATTTTAGAGCAAAAGGTAGCGAATACCATTTTTAATTCTCTTCCTTGAATTCATTTTTAGAGGAAACTCGGGGAAACTGTCAAGAACTTGTCAAAGAAATTAGAAAATTGTGCTAACTTCGGTAAGAAACTATTCTCGAGAACAAGTCCTAAACCAATTCCTTCAGGCTCAAGCACAGCAAAAGCCTTGAAAATAGAGGAGGCCGCTTATTTGAGAATAGAGACTGAGGTTGTTTTCAAGGAGACTTTCCTGCAGAAATATGAGGAACGTTTCACAAATATTAGATTCAAACTTAAGCTGTTAAAATAGGCTATGAAACCGATTAAAGGAATCTCGTTCGAAAATTGAAAATACCTTGTCGATCTTCCAAGGAATGCCTGAAGAGAACCGAACTGTTCTCAAAGAAAGCTTGAAAGCTAGCGTTGAGGATTTGAGCGCTCGCATCGCGAAGTATCTCGACGAAGGAGAGAAATTTCTCAAAGGAAAGACTCTTGAGAGCAGAATTGCTAAGGATGTCCTGAAGAAGGTGTTCGTTGAAATGGAAAAGTGCCAGGCGAACGAGAGAAAGCTCAATGAAGAATGGAGTAAGCTCAGGAAGATAATCGATGTTGATGTTGATAGGATGCGAAAAGTCTATGTCAGGAATGGGATAAAATGGTGCATGACTTTAATTCAGTCAAAGGAGTATTATTTTTATCCCCTAAAAGGCTTAAAGCATTGGAGCCGATTGCGGATGAGAGCTGCAAAGAAATGGAGATCTTGATGGAGAAGATCAACATTTTCAAACGTGACCTGAGCGCAGCTGAACTCGATGCAAAATCGGAACTTGTAAAAGATTCTCCCATTAACCGACAGCTCGCAAGTCTCTGTGGCTTCGAATCGTAAGCAAATTTGCTGAAAAGAGATTATATAATTTGTAGGAGCATGGTGAGAAAAGATGAGTTAGAGGAGAAGCTTCATTCATTGATTCGCGAAAAAGAAGCCAGACGAATGGAAGTTATCTTACAAAATGAAGAAAAAGCCCGTGAAGTTTCTCGCGAATTTCTCAAGTAAACATGTTCTTTCGTTCAATCATTCATCGTATTTTAGAGCCCAAGAACAGAATCCACCAATTCAACTAGCGAACAAATCAGAGGCCACTCTTCAGCATCTTGCTTCGCTCTAAAAGGAGCATCACTTTTACACTGCCTGTTTACACAATTCACCATTCCACTTTTTTGCAAATAAATTATTCACAATTAATCAAATTTTTAATAAGCAACTTGCCCCGTGGGGTTTCTTGCTTCAGCCTTTTTTAAAAACTCATCCCACTTTTGAAAAAAGAGTTTCTCTTTTAAGGGACCTGGGCGAGCAGCGCTGAGCCAAACTTCACGCGCTCGCCGTTCTTCTTAGAAATAAGATTTTTTGAAATTTCTTTTTGTAAATTATATCTCCAAATCTTCAGCTTTCTTTTCCGATTCTTAGTTTTTCTCTATCATTCTTGGTTGATGAGCTAGCGAGAAAAAGAGAAGCCCAACTTCAAAGGCATCAAGTCTTGCAGACTAAATATTTTCCTCATGAAACTAGCACCATTGAAAAGAGCGTTAAATTCTGAACAGATCCCACTCCATCAGCTAAACTAAGTCCGTACTTATAGGCGTGTAAGGCCAGATTAAGAAAATTACTTAGCGCGCGCAGCTGGTCGCGGCGCGGCTGGACGCTCCGATTTAGCTATTTTGGGCTTCCTGGACATGATTCCCGCTGCGCGGGCGCTAAGTTATCTTGTTTATCTGGCCTCTATCTCCAGTATGTACAGATTTAGTTTAGCTGATGGAGTGGGATCTGTTCAGAATTTAACGCTCTTTTCAATGGTGCTAGTTTCATGAAGAAAAATTTAGTCTGCAAGACTTGATGCCTTTGAAGTTGAGCTTCTCATTTTCTCGCTAGCTCATCAACCAAGAATGATAGAGAAAACTAAGAATCGGAAAAGAAAGCTGAAGATTTGGAGATATAATTTACAAAAAGAAATTTCATAAAATCTTATTTCTAAGAAGAACGGCGAGCGCGTGAAGTTTGGCTCAGCGCTGCTCGCCCAGGTCCCTTAATTAGCTTATAATTAGCATTTAAATAGCTTTGCTATTGAAATGCATCATGAGTGAATGCGCTAGAATATGGAGGAAAGCCATTTATGATAAAAAATCATCATGAAAAAATTAAATGAAAATTCTCAACCACATAAGTCATCAGTGCTGATGTAGAAAATTAAGTTTGTTTTTCTCATATAATTTTTATGATATAAATTTTATGTTTCTTACCCGAATAAATTACTGAAATGATCATGAAATACTTTATTGAATAAAATCACAAGAAAGAAAATCTATGGATCAACTTTCCACCTCTCTTCTGCTTCTTCCTTGCGTAAAGAACGTAGTCCGAAAGCCAGTCTTGAGGCAGGGCAAACTCGAATGTGTCGGCATTGTTAGGTGCATTTTCACGAGGTTTTAGTCGAACATCTCGGAGGGAAGCTTTCTCTAGGGATCCACAGCTGACAAGACTTTAAAAGGATACCACTAATATCAAAACCATGCATATCTTTTGACATGAAATCTGTCTCTGGATAAAGAAGAAAGATAAGTATTCCTTTCCTGAAAACTAGAATGGAAAATTTCATGTCACTCCTACTTTTTTGGATGTTCTAAAGTTCGTCTCCTTATATAATGCTGATCATTCAATCTGTGCAAATCATAAATAAGGAATGTGACCAGAGCATGAGAAACGGTTGGTGATGATAAGCTGCCAGTTGCGTCAATGGTTCGCGATTTAATTCGAAGCGGAGCTGCGACAACTTCACTCCCGCTCCTCAACAAGAACGAGGAGCAGCTTCATTTTTTCACAAAATGAAAGCCACGGGAGCCGACAACAGGTGAGTTTGCACAGAGAGAAGCCGATAGAGTAAGAAAAAGCAAAGATTAACACTTTTTGATTAATAAAAGGTCGTTCTGGGGGAATTTTCGAGCCTGGAAATAATTAGTCTTCCTTGATTTCAACAACCCTGTTTTTAGCGAAGAGATTGTCTCTTACAAGTCCGTTGCCTACGAGAGCCCCGGCTCGAAGTATGTCGTCCCAGTTGGTTCTTTCCACGTTAAGGCCATCTTCCTACTCTTTTTCACCGTTCTCCCTGTAGCAGGTAAATCGACGTCGATGAATTTTTTTTGCTAAAGAGGGATTCAAGTGTCCATGTTCGGCAGCGGCTACCTCGAGAATTGTCAAATTCACCTCCCCAAGCAAGTACAAACGGTCTACGCGGCGCAAACTTCAGGTAAAAATACTAAAACAACAAAGATCACTGAAATTCAGCCCCGACAACAACAACTAAAAAGCCTTCTTCTGGGAATTTTTTCGGAAGAAGACGTCGCTCCGCAGATGATGATGGAGAAGAAGTTCTTTCCTCTATCAACCTCTGCGAAAGGAACGGATTAATATACTTCATTCAGCGTTGCCACTGCAGTGGATTAACAACTGTAGCTAAATAGTATCAATTTTTATCCTTTGAACAGTGTTTGGTTGCCTGTTTTCGGATTTTATCTGTTGGCGCTGCTGATCAGGGTGGGTCCTCGGATGTTTATAGATTTCGAACAAGCTTGAATCTATATCACGAGCACCCTTCAGTACTTTTCTGGCGTGGATGTTCAGACTCGTCTGTATATTTCTGTCAAATCACCGGAGCTACGCTTGTCTCGTTCCTCCGAAATAGTGATTTTCAAAAATATACCCTGTTTTGAGAGTTGTACAAAAGAAGTTGAACAGGCATGGAGTTTTCGATAAGAATACGAGACAATTTCTGTCCATCAAAAGCCCCAGAAAAGAAGTCACTTGTCCCGCTACTAAATTTTTGGAACGATCAGTCACACCGCAAAAAAACTTTTTCTTGATATAAACTGTTTTTATTTTTTGTTGCGCTTTTTTATGTTTTCTGTGCCCATTTTTTATGTAATAGACGGATTGGAATTTTTTTTTATTGAATTGACACTTTTTTTCTTTCGATATTAGATTTTCATTGCTTTCTGCTTTCTTGTCTCTTTCCTTATTTCAATAAATCTGCATTCACAAACTTTGTTCTTTTTGCAATCAAGAAAGACCCCAAGAGAAGGAGGAGATAACCCCCTTAGATTAGAATAGACGTGGAAAAATAATTAATTGTTAATCCTCTGAGTGGGTACTTGAACAACAATTCCTAGCTTATCGATTTTAAAGCCTCTTATGGATGGGAAAAAACTATATCTGCTCAATTAAAGTGCCAAGACTTTTATCTGTAACTGCTGTATAATTTTTGCAAACAATGATTAGTTGCCTAGTTTGCCTTTCAAGAGCTCTGAGCATAACAGTTATGCCTCTTTCCGAGGATATTTTCTAGAGTAGGGACAAGCTCTTCTGTTCTAAAAATTGTATTCTCGTCTGAACGACAGCTAGAAATTCTCCAAACAAATCGCTCGAGAGAATTATTTTCTGAAAATGAACATGAACGGGTTCTCCAACGAAGACACCAGTAAAGAGGTGACGTGAAATTTAAAGAAGTGAGAATTAAAACTTTTCAATAGGCTGATTTCAAAGAAAGAGGAGACGATCTCATGGAAACGAAGAAAAATTTTAGAGAAGAGCAAGTAATAGATCTTACAGGTCTTCCTGATCTCGAGGAATGTAGCGATGATTGTGCTGAAGACGATGGATTCATTTTGATTAGCGACGATGATGATGGTTCTGTAGCTAAAACTGAGTGTAAATCGGGCGAAAACAATGTCTCAGACAAGAAGATCATCGAAAATCTAGGTGTATAAATTTTCTACCTGCCATGAATTAAAACTTTTATAAAGCGGAGCGCAACGAAGATGACGACGAAGAACAACTAGTAGAATCAGACGAGGAATACGAAATCATCACAAGTCAATGCGAGAGAATAATTTTGCCTGACCACTTTACTCATCCGATTCTCAACGCCGAAGGAGAACATATTTTAACTGTGACCGAAAGTGAAATTTATCTCCCCGAAGATATCTTTCATTAAAACAAATTTACCACAGTGTTCATTGTTATTCAAGAATTTATTGCGCTCTCTCAGCGGGAATCTACTGGCGCCCTTTTGCTAAAGAGTTCAGGGCGACGGTAATTTCAGTCGAAAGGAGGGAGGAAAATTAAGTATCAGATCATCGCAAGTAGTTCAATGAAGTCTGAAGTCGATTATTAACGATAAGCCGCCGTCAATAAGCTGGTTTTATGAATAATTAATGGTGCAAGTGTGGAGCTCGCTACGCACGCGCCGCAGGCTAAAGCGGGTTCTCCCGTTGGCGCGCCTTTTCTGAGACCTCTCCTATTGATTGATCAAAAAAGGAGGAGGAGCGATTGGCGCAAGGCACGATCCTCCAGGCGGGCCTAATTTTTCTGTTTTGCCGAGTACTAAAAAGGAAGTTGGCTAAACAAACAAGTACAGAACTGGATAGAGAATAAGGAATTATGTAGAGAGGTCGGAAAGAAGATAAGAAGTTGACTGTTAGAAGGAAATCGATTGTTAAAGTACAGGTACAGTGGTGATTAAGGGACCCGGGCGAGTAACGCGATGGCCAACTTTACGCGCTCGCCATTGATCTTTCAGAAAAGCTTTTTTGAAATTTCTTTTTGCTAAACATATCTTCATTCCCTCAGCTTTCATCTCCTACTTTCAGACTTTTTACATCATGATTAATTCTTGAGCTAGAGTGAAAAAGAGAAGTTCAACTTCAAAAGGCATCAACTCCTGCAAACTTCATTTTATTGACATGAAAGCAGCACCATTGAAAAGCCCATTATATTCTGAACAGATCATACTTAATGCGCTAAGCTAGAACTGTACTAATTGCCCTGAACGCGCTGATAAACAAACAGACTGAGCGCTCTCAGCAAGGCAGGACACTCCGATCGGGCTATTTTGGGCTCCCGGGACATGATTCCCGCTGCGCCCGCACCAAGTTTTCTTGTTTATCTGGCCTTAATCGCTCATTACTGCAGTTTCAGCTTAGCGCATTAAGTATGATCTGTTCAGAATTTAATGGGCTTTTCAATGGTGCTGCTTTCATGTCAATAAAATGAAGTTTGCAGGAGTTGATGCCTTTTGAAGTTGAACTTCTCTTTTTCACTCTAGCTCAAGAATTAATCATGAGTCTGAAAGTGGGAGATGAAAGCTGAGGGAATGAAGATATGTTTAGCAAAAAGAAATTTCAAAAAAGCTTTTCTGAAAGATCAATGGCGAGCGCGTGAAGTTGGCCTTCGCGTTACTCGCCCGGGTCCCTTAAGTTAGCCAGAGGCGCGTGTTACTAATCAAAAATTGATTAATATTTTTATTTATTTTCTTCTTTTTTTCGATTAAGGTGAACTTAAAGGGTTTTCTGCGGGCTTTTTCAACCCTCTAGTACCAATTGAAAATCGTCAATTTGGAATAATTAAAAAGGTCATGTGAGGGTATTGCATAATTTTTGCCGATTTCTGTGAGCTGCAAAATTTCGAAAATCTCTGTGTTTAAAAAAACACTTAGTCCCGATTGGGGGAAGCGATTTGTACTTCGCTCCGGTGAGTTCCGCTAAAGAGAGCGTTTAGAAACATGCATCACGTTGATCATTAGAACTTCCGTTTCAGACCAATCAAAAATAAATTCAACGCCTTTTGCTATTTACCCCGAGCTTCATAATTTTTAATTTGTCTTAATGTCATTTTCGTATTCATGATTGGACTTGAAAACGCAGGATTTTTGAACTCTTCTATTGAATGACTGTGTATTTTGATTCTAACTTGATTTGATTCTTACGTTATTCGAAAGAGAGTAGATGTTTAGCCGCGCCGAGTTGATCCCTTAGAAGAGTATCAGTACTTTCGCCCCTAAGCCGGTTAAAATGTTATTTTTCCACGAGCGTAAGTCTGGTTTAGTTCATAAAGTAGCCCCGAACGGGCTAATTTGTTACGCTACGTAGAGCGAAAAACATTTTTTTTTATTTGCTCGAAGACTGTCTTTTTACAGCAGCTACTGATTTTCCACGTCGATGTATTCAGCCGAATGATAATACGGCGGCCCTTAATTCAAGGGTGCACCTCTGATGATTTCTGACTGGGCTCAGAAACTTGTGTAGATAACCTGAGTCAGGGTCTGAAAAATATTTTGTGAAAAAAACGAAAAATTGTTTTTTCTCAAAGTACGAAATTTGATGCGAAAATTGATTTGCCTGAACGGGGGTTTGACCTGCCAGGTAAATCCGACGCCAGGTCGAACCCCCGCTCAGGCAAAACCCCCGGCAGCCTATTTTATTGATTTACGATATTGTGTTATCCCCTTGACCGATTTCGGGCCTCAGCGAAGCGGTAGTGACGCAACCTGCCGAGCTAAAGTTCCGATTACCTATATTACCGGTATTTCTGATACTGCGCCAGATGACGCTCTCAGCTGTTTTGTCTCATTCGAAATAAACAAACTACCAACTCCGAGTTAAAGTCTGGATTTTGTCAGGGGTAGCGAGTTCTATTTCGCATCAAAAATTTCTTGTTAATAAAAATTAATAGAATTTTCAACCTCGCGCTCAACTTGCAGAAAAAGGTCTCGAGGCCAAGTTAAAAAGCAGAAAACGAGAAAGAGGAAAGATTAAAAGAGAGGCCGCTGGGATTTCTTTATTACAATCGGATACTTTTCGGTTTTTATTTAGATGCAATTTGTGTTTTGAGGTTAGTACTGATTCTCCAATGTTCATCCCTTTTATGATGTCGCGCGCGCTTGGAAAGATTATTTATGCAGCAGATAAACAAGTGCATACGGTTCACCCTTATTCATTTTTTTACCGGTAACAGAGAGTTATGAATTTCGGTTCATTTGAAAATTTTTAACGTGTCGCTCTGTCGAAAAAGCCGCTGATCGAGCAATCGATCAGGACACCACGCTGCCCAAGAATGTTTTCGCTATTTTTTCGATCAGAAGTAAGCTCATTTTTCTGTGATAAGAGGCCATCCTCGATGGATATTTGAAACAGAAACTATTCGCGTGCGCGAGTGTATTTTTGTGGTGTTTAGGTGCTCATTAAGAGGATGGTATGCTTATTAAAAAAATGGAGTCATCTTTGAGTTGCTTGATTTTCGAACCAATAAGAAACTCGAATCAGTACCCCCTATTTTATTCAGTAGAAAAAAATTGCAGGATGATCCATTGGATCAATATCTTATCTTTCCTTATGCCTCCCACTTCCTTTTATTGAATTTGTATCGAAAGAATCAAAAATTGATCAAGTTCAAATTTATACGATCAAAATCTTACTCAAAGAGGATAAAACTAGAGGATCGTGTGAATGAAATAAGCTGAATGTTATTTCGAAAAGGTGAATCACATCAAATCGCCTCTCTTGCTCCGGCGAAAAAGTCGTAAACCCCGAGATGCAGTAAAGTTGATTGCATTTTTGCGCACTTTTTGCTCATAAATTTAGAGAAGTTAGAGATAAACTCGAATATGTAGAAAATTGAAAGTAAGATCAAGCAAGATGAGTGAAGAAAAAGGACCGTGTTCGAATTTCAAGGGCTCATTTTTTAACCCACTGGCGTAATTTTGCCTTTTTCGATTTGTTTTTTGAAGAAACCTCGGATTTCTGCGGATAAATTTAAGGTTTTGATAAATTTTGAACACGGGAAAAAGGTCCGAATTGGCAGTTTGTCAGTAAGTTCAAAATATCTTCCGACGGAAGGTTAAATATCTGATCCGCTTATTTTACCGTTAGAATCCGAATTAAGGGTGCTATCGGTGAACAAGTCAGCGGCGCCTAATCTCGGCACGCGATACGTTTTCGATCATTATGTTCTTACCCAAAGCAGAAGACAATCTGAAGAGCTTTGTATTTCGCGCCTTTGATCTCACCCTTCTTAATTACTGAAAAAGAAAGAAAAAGCAGATTACTGTGATTTCAAGAAGCGTGGTATTACAGTTTACTTGACCTTCAACTTGAGTTTTTGGCTTTTTAGCGAACAAAGCCGACTGGAGGAAGCATTGAAAGGCGACACTCGCCGGAGGAGTCATCTTTTTTTTTTATTAATTTTGACTGTGATTGAGCTTTTTTTTCAAAATTCAACTTAGAGGAGATTTAGTGTGATTCCGGAAGAAAAAGTTCTATTTATGGGCCATAAATTATGGTAAAAATTATTTTGAATTCCAACGGGTCAAAAGCTCACTTTCTTATTTGCCATCTGGATCTTAAGAGGGGGGGTCGTCAATATGGATTTTCAGAGTAATTTTGAATTTTTCTCATCCAATCGGGTTTCACCGCTTTTTTTGTTTTTCAGTAAGCCCGATATTGACGACCCCCCTTAATCGAAAGAATCGGAGCATTTTTCAACGAAATTCGAATTTAGTTTTTTTCAACTTGAAAACAACTTAGTTGTCATTTAGAGATGGACACGACAGCAGAACTCAACGATTCGATTATTTCTACCGCAGAGCGGGAATACGTATTTCCAGATTTCAAGGTAGGCAGGACTGGGCACCACTCTTTCTCAGACTTTGTTCTCAGATTTTTATCAATAAACGAAAGAAAGGATTAGCGATACTGATTGGCTCACTTCCGATTTTCGTAAATCCTTTCCCATAATTATTAGAATCGGTTATCATTAGCTTTTTGTCAAGCTTTCTCATTAGCATAACTGTATGTATTCAGGACTCGAGATGGGAAAGAACCCAAGATACAGAAGGAGAAGCCTCCCACTTTGAAGTTGAGCGCATAAAACAACTACAAGGTACAGTCAATTCGCGAGATTTTCCCAATCATTTTGGACCTCCAAAATCAAAATCATCATCAATTGTTCTTGAAGAATGATTGTAATCCCTCTTTCATGGTCACCATAAAAATGTTTGACCTGGCGTTTTAGACAAAAATAGCGGTCATGAAAATCTTTTGCTTTGCAATAATGGTCAAGTTTCTCGTCCGATTTTTGACCGTAATTACAAACTATCTTGAAGCGCAACTGACCAAGTCAAAATGCACACATGAGGAAGTAATTAAAAGGACCCAGACTGAACCTTAGAACGAACTTTGAGAACGCTAATTTTAACTTGCTCTCACGTAAGATTTTTTTGGATCAGTTTACCCAAAAACCGAGCTGAGAAGAAAAAGAGTACTCGTACTTCTTGTAGAACAAGCTTTGATACATGCGATTGTATACAGATCTGGCGAGTAAAACGTGATGATGGAATCATTTGTTTAAACTTTTTTCCATTGCGACTCTCTTTTTGTCTAAATGTAGCATGAAGAGTTAGTTTCCCATGACGGTCAAAAATGAGCTGGCACCAAATTTTCTTTGGAGAAAAGGAAGATTCAAGGTCAAGTTTCTCTTCATAAGAAATCTTCCTGATCACCAATTGTGATTCATGATTAGCATCAGTTGAGCCGAGTTTAAATAGTTTCAAATTGATCAGCGTTAGTTGATCCCTTCCTTCGCCCCTTCCAGTCTCAATATTTTGGCACGTGAAAGTCGCCCCGGTCTCTTATCCGGGGTCATCCATTTTTTGCACCAAAAACGAATAAACGTCCACAACTGTTGTTACACTTGGCGGACAGCGCGAGTTTGCTCGATTTCCAAAGAAAACCCAAAGTGAAAGACTCGTGTCTCCGTCAGGACTCACTTGTTCCGGACGATAATAAAGTTGGCTGACGCGCAATTAGCACGATTATTGTTTTTGCAGATTTCTTCTAAATGACTACGGTTTCACGCCTGGTTATTTGCTCTAGCGTAATTTTCATTTATATCGGAGATGGAAAAATCATCATCATTTTTCATTATTAATTTCAAATAAATAATCTCAGTTTAGAAGATATTTTTCTTGCTCGAAATTAGGTGACTTATTTTCATCATAAGTTCATGACTCCTCCTGTATAAAACCAGGTACTGAATGAAGTGAATGGCATAAGATACAGTTAGCGGGATTTTAGACGCGGTCGGGTGTAAAATGGACCACAAGGTGGTTTCTTTCTAACCCCGATCCACTCAGACAACTAATCGTATCAATTTAAACACGGGACTTTGAATCGCTTTTGAATCGACAATTGCGCGGAATTTGAAATTGACCGGTGCGCGGTCGCCCAAGAGGCTTGCGGTGCATTAAATAACCTTCAAAAATGTCAAATGAATTTTACTATTACAAATCACGATTTCGTAACAAAATCTTTATTGCATCCGTCTTTCTTCACTCCCGTTTATTGCAACACTCGATTATCACATTCTGAAGCTGGGGGTGGCCCGGTTTGACGGGCTAATCGAGGGAGGATGCGTGAAAAAATTCAATCACAAATGTTTACATGCAAATCTTCCGATAAATCCTTTCACGCCCTTTTCAGCGCTTCGATTACCCTTGCAATTATTTTTCCGCGAAGCTGTTTACTATACGAAAGAGGGGAAAACTAAAGTTTATTTCTGATGTCAAGGCAGATTCAAGTTATCTTTTGTTTGGAAAGAGTCGTAATGCCATTATCAAAAAAAGATAAGAAATCCCAAAGTACCAAATTTGTGGCAACTCCGGATCATTTCTGCCATCGTTTCACATTTTAAAGAAATGTTATTTATCTGAGTTTTCATGTCAGTGGGCCAGATCATTATTTTTTCGACGGAAACAATATTTTTCACACTTAGCATTTTTACGCTCTTCAAATTTGCATCTCCACATTCTCCCGAAAATAAGTTCAAAGGATGTTTCCATCAAGTGAAGATCTGTTCAAACATTCGTCACTCTCGGTATCTCTCCCTATTCTTGCCCGGATCTCGCCTCGGATGTTTGCTCCCCCAGTTGTCCTTTAGTTCTTCTCTTAAATATCTTTCAAGAAACTCGATCTAAGGACTTTGAAAGTTGAAATTTTTCATTTTCAATTGTTCGTCGGGAATTATTTGCTCTACGCAGAGCCGACAAAATCGGCCTCTCAAAAGAGCCTCACGTAAAACAGAGTAAATTTCAGAATTCTGTATCTTCTGACTCTCCCCTCGCCGGCAGAGATCGAAACTTTATTCTTTGATTTTATTGCCCAGAGAGAGATTTTGATTAGAGTTGAAACTTTCATGGAGGCTTGATTCTCAAAATAAGAGATAAAAATAGAAGAAAATTATGAATGGTCAATCTTATCAGGGGACGAGGAAGGCTTCGATGACGACGGTTACGACCTCGTCGACGACTTCTTCGACCAATGGCGTCACGATGAGGGATGGTTCATTATTTTTTTTCCACAGATTTAGATTTTTTTGAATTCATTTTTGAATCATCTCCGAAGAAAATCTTCGTTGACAACAACGTCCAATGTCCAGTTGCGCCGCCGCTCTCAGGCAGACACAGTTGGGCTCGTTAATTACTGTCAAAATTGGATTCGGCGGGAATGAATATCATTCAAAGGAGAGAAGGTTGTAGTGTGAGCCTGTATTGTGACTGATCGATGTTGCAGGTCTTGGTCTATTTTATAATCAATATCAAGGAGCGAATATTGAAATGATCGAGTTTTAAATTATGAGAAATAAGGACTTTATTATTTTATGATGATTATTTTGAGATGACGTTGGGAAGAGGAAGTAGCCAGTTGAGCGATGTGTTTGAAAAACATGTCTTCGGAAAACGAGGTATAATTTTTGGACAGCAAGAATTTGCGATGCTGTTAGAATGAATGTTGTTTTGAAAAAGTTGTATTTATAGACCTCAACAGAAGATTCTAGTCACGAACCTTGACTTTTAAAACTAGGAAAGTTAAATACCTGTCTAATAATGCATGAACTTTCCAGATCGTAAAACAAATATTAATAATTCTGACACCGGGCAAATAGTAGATCGATTGGTGGCTCATGAACTTCTGCATTTATTCCGGCAAAATTGTTTTCAATTCGAATGATGATTGATACAATTTTTCTTCGCTTGCGGAAATTAGAATATTTAAAAGTCTTGAGGGCTTTACGAGCCCTAGAATATCCTCATGGCATTTATAATGTAAATATGAGCTCGATAGCAAGTTCAAAATCCGTATCTGTTTGCCTGATTGATCCAAATGGGGAAGCACTGGCCGGAGCAGATCCTTCCCGAATGTGAATGCTGCATTCAGGATTCATAAAAACGCGTTACAAGAAGCAAAGTGCTCGTTACTCGAGGAGTAAATGCAATAAACGCGATCTTTGTCCGACTCCTCGACGCAACAGCACAGCCACATCATCAACAAGAATTTCGCAAACTCAGAATTAAAGTTTCTTTCTTTCTAGGTCAGCGCCTTTTTTTGCGGAAGTTTTTGAACTTGAAAGAAGTTATATTTTTTCCCTCTCTTCTTTGAGGATTCTCTCTGTTTTCTGACTGTTAGGCTTTGTTTGGCTCAGTCAGTGTTTTCGGTAATCAAGTTGATGGGATCTCTTCTCTCTCGAGACAGGTGCAAATTTGTATAATTGGATACTTTTTATTATATTTGGGGTCAAATCTCATGAGGCCAGCTCAACCTTGCTCGTTCCCTGCTGTCATTTTTCTTCTCAACCGAGAGAGAAGCTGACCAATGATGCCCGGGCGAGATAATCACCGGCGCGGGAGGACGATTTAGCAGCGCAACCGACCGAGTGTGGACAATTAGCGAGCCTTACCGAGAGAGTTACCGCCCGATTGTATATTTTTTATTTACGTTACGTGAATCCGAAAGTATTAGACGGGTTCAAATAGAAGTTTAACGAGCCCTAATATGGCCTGGCGTGGCAAACGGGCATCGGCTCTGTACGAAAATGACGACTCGGGAGAGGGGATAAATGCTCAAGTCAATAAATTGAGAGGTACAGTAATCCTATCTTTTGGTATTCCAGGAAAAAGGAGAGCTCAAAAATGGGCTTTCATTTTCGAGTTTTAAAGCGCTTGGTTTTACAAGATTTTTGGAACTTATGTTCAAGTTAGAATTTTCCCGGGAAGTGGACGCCATTGAAAAGGGGGATTACAATAAGTTCAGATAAAAAATCGCGCGTCAGCGGTCGCGTAAAATATCTTCGAGGTATCAGCATTCCATCCATCACGTTCATGTTCTCACTTAATTTAAATGTTACAGTGCATAACAATTCTTCAGTTCCTTCGTCGGAAGTCCGACGTCATGTGGAGTTCCATATGTTTCTTTGCCTGATATCGTTTAACATCTTTTCAGACGAACGGGAAGCCGTCCAAGGTCGAACCTTCACGAAATGGGTCAACTCGCAGCTTTCTCGCCATCCCCAAGGCGTCAAGATCGACAATCTTTACAGAGACCTGTACGACGGAAAGAATCTGATCCGGCTTCTCCACGTGCTTTCTGGCGAGCATCTCAAAATTCCAAACACAAGAGGGCGCATGCGAATTCACGCGATGGAGAACGTTCAAAGAGCTATTGACTTTCTGAGGGAGAAACAAGTGCCCATGGAGAATATTGGAAATCACGATATTGTGGACGGAAATCATAGGATCATTTTGGGACTCATTTGGACCATCATTCTTCGTTTCCAGGTGAGAACTCCAGTATTTGAGCTGACTCAGACGGGAGGACGTCATAATAGTGGGTAACTGTTAAATTTAATTACTCGTGAGAGTCGTGTCAAATTTAGCTTAGAACTTCAATTGCAGGTTGTGATAAGGCACCCTGTTGCGCTTGAATTTCATTTACCAAGGCGGAAGAAAAACACAACTCGTTCCACCATTTTTGAATTTCGAATTTCCTTGGATGCATACCAGCATTATGAGAAAAAGTTCTTGCTCTCGAACAGTCAAAAAGGAAGAGTCTATTTTGACAACGTCTCTAAAACACAATTTTCCTGAAAAAAAATTGCGCACACTCAAGTTGCGCTGTTTAGGAAAGGAGATCATCCTCAATTACATTGTGTCACGTAAACAAACTTTTGAGTAATATCATCGCATTCCTTGGCGGTTTTTTAAGGAGTCTTCTTTTTAGAACCCACTGGGTTAAATTTACGTCATTACCAAAATATACCATAAATGAATCGATTCATGATTTTTTATGAAGAAAGTTCATATCAGAAAAACTGGACAGGCTGTGATTGACTTTGTTCAATACCGAAAACCTCTCCATAAAATTACTATTTTCAAAAGACTATTTACTTATGCTTACTCCCTTGGCCGCGAAAAGGGCTGTCTCTGCCCAAAAGAGGCTTTTTGGCAGGAACCATCCACGCTGGAGCAGATTAATGCCTTCTGAGCTTACAAAAATATCCAAAGAGAAACTCGTACCCGCAAATTGGGTTTCACTAAGACAGTAGCTCGCTTCTAATGAAAGTGCGAAGTTGGTTCTTTTCTAATTTTTCAATTATGCGTAAAAATCCACATGTTTCCTTCTTGGAGTATTGAAGTGGGTAGGACGAGAGCGGCTCGGCACGTTGGAAAGCGACATTTTCGCCACTTTCGCTGGACAAGTTGCGGCTAAATAGGAATTCACAGCGCAGGGCATACTAAACTCACATTTCAAAAGTTCAAGTTTGAGATTGCATCAAACTTTTGGGGACATAAATGATAAGCGAATATCATGAATTTCAAAACATACTGAAGAAAAAAACTTATTTTGAAAATATTTATTACCAAATAAAAAAATTGATAAAATTTATTGGAAGATTCTTTTGATTTCACAATCTTCTCATTCAAAAACCCCTTCTTCACCATGTCAACCGAGTTTTCGCATCCGTTTCACTCTCGTAGAGTGCTTTTCATCCGAAAATCCTTGCACTCAGAGACGCCCCAAATGCACAGTTGTCTAATTTGAGCTGGTCGTGAATTTTGAAAGGGGTCGATTCCTTGCGGAAACTGAATTAGAGATTCTTTTTGGTACTTGTCAAAACGTATATTTCACAGCGATCAGTATCTAGTCGCTAGTATCTTTCGCCTAAGAACTGCGCTAATCTTGGTTAGTTCTGGAGAATTTTCGAATTAACTGACTACCGTTGTTAAATGATTCCTGTCTGTTAGTCAGATCATTTTTACAATCACAGATAGCAATCTTCTAACATCGCCCAAGAACGTGTCTCAGTAGTATGTTCTACAAGTTTCACTCAGTTCCTTTTCCTTACCTAGAAAGGGCCTTCCTCGGCGGTGGCTCCCTTAATCCTCCCTGTCCGTTTAGAGTCCAAGTACTGACTCGGCTTAGTTAAAATCTGAATTCCGCTGTTTGAACGTGGAAATTCCCTTTTTTGAAAATTCTTTTAGATCCAAGACATTGTCATCGATACCGAGGATTCCAAAGAGAGGAGGAGCGCCAAGGATGCCTTGCTACTCTGGTCTCAAATGAAGACAAAGGGCTATCCGAATGTGCAAGTCAAGAATTTCACGAAGTCGTGGAAAGATGGCCTTGCTCTCAATGCAATTATTCACAGACATAGACCGGACTTGATCGATTTCAACAGTCTACCAACTGATGGCTCCGTGGCAAGCAACACTGCAAACTTGGAGAATGCGTTCAAACAAGCGGAATATTTAGGAATGGAGTTGAATATTTATCGATAGAATAGCGTTAGATGTTTTTTTCAAAAAGCTGTGTCTTCAAAAACATTACGAAGAACAAGTTGTTCTTGCGATTTCACCGGACAGAGTCTGTCATCCAAATACCCTCGTTATTTGCTTTCTCTTGTTTCTGTTTTCCGAGCAGTCACTTTGCCCAAGTGCCCCTTAGGTTCCGCTCTAGCCGACCTGAAAACAACTCTTGCCAGGAATTACCCGTCTCCTAGAGCCGGAAGACGTCGCAGTCGAGAATCCTGACGAAAAGTCCATCATCACTTACGTTGTCTCATACTATCACTATTTTAACGAGCACGCGCAGAAAGAAATCGAGTCTAACAGAATCGGGACGATTCTTGATGCCGCTCTCGCTGCCGAAGCAAAGATCAACAACTACGATGAGCTGGTTACTAACTTGCTTAAATGGATCGAGGAGAAGATTGAAGAGCTCAATGATCGAACCTTTGCAAATTCAATCGATGGAGTCAAGAAAGACTTGGCTGAGTTCAACGCTTACCGACTCCAGGTACAAGATTTTATCTCTGATTTTGAAATTCCATTTTTTTTTCTTCAGGAGAAACCTCCGAAATTCGACGAAAAGGGGGCGATAGAAGTGCTGCTTTTCGACATTCAATCCCAAATGCGCGCCGATAACCGCGTTCCCTGGACCCCAGCTGAGGGCAAACTCATTGCAGATGTGCAGAAGCGATGGGACGAGTTAGAACTCGCCGAGCATGCACGTGAGCTCGCCATCCACGAGGAACTTAAAAGACAGGAGCGGCTAGAGCAGCTGGCCGAGAATTTCTTCACCAAAGCTCAGATGCGCGAGGAGTGGCTCAAGGATGTCAGAGGTCTACTGGAGAAAGGAAAAGAGCTTTGCATCTTACCTTGCGAAAATTTCCTGAAAACAGTGGATTGATCTTGCGATCATGCAGCTTGCGGTAACCCCCTTAATTCTGATAACCGCCTATCAGTATCGCTATGAACACTATCTTTATTAAAGATTACCCTCGTCACGTTCCTAGCAACAGTAATATCCGTAAAAAGTAAAGCTCGATAAGACAATTTTGGAAACAATTTGGACGCGGTAGAAGCTGCTCAGAAAAAACACGAGGCTATCGAAATGGACTTTGCCGCCTACCAACAGCGGATTAACTCGATGGAGGAAAAAGCAGACGAGCTTGAGAAGGAGAACTACCATGACATTGCAAAGATTCTGACCAAGTGAGTTCCTGATGCTTTGTGATTAAGTTAGTAGCTATTTTTGACTCAGAAAACTGTACATTCTCGATGAGGTGGCTTAGTTGCGTAATGATAAGGTGGGACGAATCTTCGAAATTCCGCCCCTGTCACAGAATAGTTTACATTGTCCAAAAATATTAGCATCGTCGTCAAAATCCAACATCCGATGCTTTTCTCTATGCCCTCTTTATTATTAATCATAGCGAGAAATGCGACTCTTTCTAAAAATCAAAGTGTAATATTATTTTTTTCTAAAGCGAGTGTTGTATTGTCGCGAAATTCATTTAACGTGGGATGAGCCTTCTATCTGATATTTGCTGAATTTGAAGGGGAGACCCTTAAGCTTAGAGCTCCGAAAAGGTGATCTAAACTCGACCACGATAATGCCCCTCCCCATCTCAAAAGCCGAGCCAATATTAGATCGAATTTTTGACAAAATTTAGCTGATTCGATTTTAGATTTTATAAAAATCTAGCTTTCAAAGATCTCCTCTTTGGCACCACTGGTTTTTTAAATTTAGAAGGCGAGACATTTCGAGACGGGTAAAATTATGACCCAAACATTTGGGTGGACTTCGAAAGCTTATTTTATAAGTAAGCAAAATCTGCTCAAAAAATGCAATGAAAAGCTGGCTTCTTTTCAGAAGGTCAGAATTGTGTAAGAGACTGAAATTCCATAACCAGTCGTTCTGAGGTAAATCTGAAAATAACTTAAAATCTCGCAATCCCTCTTTCAAACGATTCCTACCGCAAGAAATAATGTGAGTACGAGGTTTTCTCTCAAGGAATTCTTCTGTAGATTGAACCTCAAAAAATATCTGCAGTATCTATTTTTATGCTGCATCCGGCACCGCTGCGGTGGTTATTGCATCTGCATGTTGAACATTGACTTTGCGGCAAGGTCGACATGCCACTGGAATCATTCTTTGCTGTTTTCTATTAGATGCATTCAAATATTCTACTGTCATCCTTCCTCATCAAACCAGAATCATTCTAATCCCAAGTTGGAAGAAAAACATGATTCAAGAAAAAAAGCAGGCCACGTCCGTAGAAATTGCGGTCGCTAAATTTGCTCCTGTCTCGATATTTTTTGGTATTTTTCTAAAACGGAAAAGCCGGATTTATTTTTAATCGGACGGGATTCAATTTTGCAAAAGTCAATAAAGTCGGTTAACTCGATTGAGCTACTTTTGATCAGCATCTCAATTGGTTATTTAATAAAGCTGGGCGATTAATGTTTCCGCTTTTTATTTTGAATTATCAATTAATTTACAGAATTCGCCATTTTGTTCATTTCCAAGTCAAAAACCTCAATCAAGATAGAATAAGTGAGCTCTTTTCCCCCTAAATAGCCGGCTTTGCAGATCCCGCTAAGGTCTTCCGTCGAATATAAAATTCAAAACAGAAAACCCAAAGCGATACCCAAAAAGATAAGTCGGAAATTTCCCTCGCTAGATACTTTCGAAATTGTCCTTTTTGCCCACCACATGGCGAATAATTACTTCACTGCTTCACTGTTGCTTAGAAAGAATTTTCGGAAAAGCCGTTTTGATTTTCTTTTTGAAAGATTTGGTTAGGCTAATTGCGGTGGGCTATTTTCGGCAAAGGGAGATTAGACACGTGTCCGACTAGTGTTTTTAACAGACTCGTTTTTGTGCAGAACTCTTAACAGTTTTTAAGAAAAAAGTCTAAATATAGGTGCTTCCGTTTATTTTCAAAAATAAATATATCGGCATCTTGAAACTATGAAGCGTGTCATTACCATTAACCACATTAATCTGAGGTCTAATAAAAAAAGAGTAGAAATGAATTTCGCCATCACTCGTGGTGCGAGTGTTTCCGGCGTTTTGGCTGCTGCCGTGCAGCCACAATCGGATCCACTTTGGCTTGGCCTTATGAGTACTTGTACCTTCCCGGCGATAATCCACTTGTTTCAGAAAAGAAGAAATCACCCACTTGTGGAAAACATTACAGACCGATCTCGCTGCAAGACGACACAGGCTCAATCGAATTTTGGAGCTCCAACGAATCCTACAGACGATCCTTCTCATTTCAGATGCAATTGGCGAGACAAAATCAATCCTCTCCGACCACGTGGATTCTGCTCTACTTGAAGGACCGCGGGGTTGAAATTATTGTTTTTCAAGTGCTCTTTCGCAGCTCTCGCCACTTGGCATAAACGATCACGTGAGAATACAGGGGCAAACAGTTTCTGTTTCTTTGTCGCAGATGCTTGTCAAGTTTAGTCGCTTGAATTTGTGGCTGTTTGCGTTTGTGTGTCAATGATTAGGGTACGCAGCTTCTTACACCGGAGAGGACTCCCCCGGCCACGTTCTCGGACGATTACAGAATAGAAATAATGCAAACTAGAAAAATTTAACATTCGCTTTTTATATTTTTTAAATGCTGGAATATGATTATAAATTTTGATCATTTTTTCAAATTGCATTTTTTCTTCGAGTCCCATTATGAAAATTGATTTTCTATGATCTCTTTTATATCAGTTTTTGTCTTTTATACAATCACTCAAAGAGCTCTCTCTGTCTGTAATAAGGGCATATGCCTTTATTTTGTCCAAAAAATCAATACCTCGAGATAAATAAGATACGTCTCAGTATTAAATGTTTGCTTGGTCATCATGATGTTCTCCAGTATCATCTCGTATAACTTTTGCACAAAGAGCTTCTGTCAACATTTCGGAAACGCGCTTCGGTCCGTTCACCACCTGGGGCTTTAGAACACTCCATTAACCTTTCCTTCCCTTCCGCGCGGCGATGGGTTAAGATCGGTGGGAGAAGGTTAATTTCATTATCATTAGTAGCCGTGGAGAGAAATTCTTCTACGAGACAACAATGATTTAACAGATCTTTTAACTAAGAGCACAAAAGAAACTTAAGAGACTGATAAGAATTATTATCAATCCTGGTGCCCAGAGGCTATTTCAAGGCACGCACTTCTTGAAAAGGACATTGAGATGTTGGGCTGTAGGAAAGAGAAATGCACGCTCGAAGCTGTCGGCTATCTCGAGGTAAATCATCATCCAATTTTTAAGAACTGACCCAAGTTGTGTGGATGTATCAAAATAGTAGTTAGTCAAGTTCAAGTTAATCCCTCTTTTCGCAGTGGCAATTTCTGGCCGATGTGCCCTAATCCAGATGTGTGCGATTTCGCCCGACATGTGTGAGAATTAGTGGTTGTTGAACACACACGGCGTAGTTAAAAAAATCTCTTCTAGTCAGTCAACTCGGAGTCTACTTCAGAAACGTGCATTCCGATAGGTTGCAATGTTTCTGACAGGAATATATTCACGAGGACAACGACTGCGCGCTAATTGCCTACAAAAAAACATACACACTTATTTTTGTTCTACCGTGTGTCAAGGGTTAAACTTTGCAAAAAGTTCACAAGAAATAAACCACTATTCTCTCATTAACGAAAACTTAGCGAGGCCTATCCATAATCTCATTTATCAAGGCCAGAACTTGGCCTGTACTTCTTTCTCAATCGGTAATCTTCACACGGGATTTTCCGCTGAAATGAATAACGCTCAAGTTCTGTGTCTAATTGATTTGTTCGCCTTTGAGCTTGCCCCTGACGTGACCCGCTTTTAGGAGGACGAGGAGAGCTACACCCCGAAAGAAGCCGCCGATCTTCGCCCTAAAGTCGAGCAACTCAAGGCCGAATACGATGAGCTCATCGAACTGGCGAGAGCAAAGAGCGAGACGCTCAAAGCTAAGCAAACGCTCCATGAACTCCAACAGGATCTCAGTGAAATGGACCAGTGGATTATTACTAAGCTCGAGCTTCTCAAAAGGTAAGAGAGCGACTTTAAAAAAGCCCTTTTCGTGGAGACATTGTCACGCGAAGTTTTTAGTTTCTCTCAATAAAAAAGTTCGATCGAAAGTAACTTCTTTCTTTTCGAAAAAAAATCATGGGGTGGCGCTTTCTTTGCAGCCAATCAAATTCAAAAAAAGCTAATTTTATAAAACTAGAATCATGGGCAGTCTTCGGGCCTGGTTAGCTCAGTCGGTAGAGCGTTGGACTCTTAATCCAACGGTCGCGGGTTCGAGCCCCGCATTAGGCTCATCTTTTATCATTTTCTCTACTTATCAGTCCTTTTAACACCCTCTTCAGGATCTGCGAAGATAAGCCCGAGGATCTTACTGAGGTTCAACGCGCGCTCGCGGCGCATCAACTTGAACAAGGCGAGGTTTCTGTGCGAAAGACGAAACTGGCTCTTTTGGCCGAGCGGGCCCGAAAAGCCGAGCAGCACACGGAGATCGAGCAGAAATGGAGCGAGCTGAGCGAAATGATGAGCGCTCGGGCGGAAGTTCTCGAAAAAGAGCGGGAGCGACTTCAGCATCAGCAGAAACATGCAGAGTTCGTTGCGCTTCTTGGCGAGATCAAGTCGCGAATCGAGCATTCTACCAAACCAACTGACGATGCAGAAGTTCAACGACAGATCAAGGCGATGAAAGCAATCAAGGATCAACTCGTTGACATTAAAAAGCCACTTGATGAGTTGCAAGCCGAAGCGGAGAACTTCGAAGAAGCTGATGTCAGTTCTAGCATCAATGAACATTCTGCACTTGTCGATACTGTTGATGAGAAGCTCGTGTATCTTGACAAGATTTCTGACGCGTATGATTTCTTGAACGAATGCGAAGAAGAGGTCCAGTGGTGCCACGAAAAAGCAACGCTTCTTGAGAACTTGAGTGTTCCAGATGATCTCGAGGAAATTTCCGTTATCAAAACGCGATTCGACGGTATCCGAGAAGACGTTGACAAGCGCGCGCAAGTCGTCGATCAACTCGCTTCCCGAGGAGATGAGCTCAATCAAGGAGGATCCGATGCTCCGCCAGAATTGCTCGACGGCGCTGTAGGTCGAGTCAAAGAGGCCTGGAAGGCGCTGCAGGACGCTCTGAAAGCGAAGGATGATGAATTTGTTCACGGTGAGACGCTTCAGAAGTTCTACCTGGATGTTGCGCAGACGGAAATGCGAATCGGGGAGAAAGCTCAAATCATCGAAAACACCAAGGAAGGTTTTGCAAAGCATTATACTTCCCCGGAAAAAAGAGCTAATCACAAAATCCGCGAAATGAAACGTCGCGACTAAGTTATCTCATCAGCAGTCCAGATAATCATTTTTGCGAAGCCTGGCACGTAATAAAATATGTCGATCATTTGACATCGGAGAATTTACACGGCCCCGGACTGGGTTCAATTTTGCATAAACTTGAGCCCGGCCTCAGCTTTAACCGTTATGAACATGTGTTTGATGGTGTCGTGTGGCCGAAAGCAAAGATGTAAATAAATATCTAACGTGATTTATTAGTGATTCAGTTGAGCTGAATCTATGCTGACCAAATACTATTTCATCTAACATGGAAAATTACCATTAATCTCAGATTGAACATGGTCAATTTCAAAACAACTTTCAAGTTGACAGCTTAGCAATAAATCAGAATTTCTTTCGTCGAAAGTAACCCAAACACAAGCGAGTTTCTAAACCGTAAAACTAAGCATCGCAAAACTGCTTGACAGGATACCGGAGACACCCTCGCTGGCGTACTTCAACTACAACGCAAACTGGCGACAATGGAGCGCGAAGTAGCCGCCGTCGGAACAACCATCGCTTATCTCAAAGCCCAGCAGCAAAACATCGCGGACAACTACCCCGAGGATGCTGAAGAAACAAGCGAACGGCTACAGCAGGTGAAGCAGAAATTTGACGAACTCAACGATGCTGTCAAACGAAGAGAGGAAAAACTTGGTCAAGCAGGACATGTTCAGACTTTTATGAGAGATGTCGCGGAGTTTCAGGTTAGAGCTACTTATTGACAAAAAGATAACTCAGACCCGAGGTCAAAAAATGTCTTTAGCGACTTTAGCGGGTTAATTTTCACTGTAAACTCTGTAAGCTAATCCTACTTAATCTCAAGTTTTAAAGATCAAAGTTCGAATGAGTCTTGTATTTTCCAAAATTTTCGCTTAAATTTGCGTGCGTCAATCAAAACAAGTTCGAAAAATGTGAAGCACGTTGAAAATGGAGGACCGTGCTTTGAGGACGGCAGTTAATTCCCGCAAGATTTTTTCGCTGGTTTTGTTAAGGCGGCCGCTTTCGCTATCATAGGCCTAAGCTAGCCAAAATGAAAATACAAACTGGCTGAGCTGACCTTACTGTTTCTCTCCGACTGCCGCGGGCTGTTAGAAGCGTGAAATTGCCAAGTACTACAAGTACTCTAATAAATCATGTCCTATCAATTCACGGTGCAGGAACGAACGTGTATCTAATGTCTTACGCCACTACATTAATCATAAATTAAAAAACACCCCAGCTGGGCTCGGGAAACTCGCAACACCTTACCTTCTACTTTTACAAGCGATTAAATTTATCAAGTTCTAGTTAACACAGGGATGGATTCATTTTCTAAACTCACAGTGAACAACCTCACCAGGGGGGTTGATGTCGGTTCTTTTTATCGACAACTCAGCTGTTTAATAAACTCACGTTTCGTTTCATACATTCATAGATACGCTCTTGAGTGGGAAAAAAGAGCAATAATTATGTTACATAGTCGGCTCCTTAGCAAATTACGCAGAAATTAGAAATTGCGTCACGTTTGATACTAACAGATACTCAACTTAACTTAAGGACGCACATGTTTCCCCTCTAAATTACCTACCTGATGATGAAATGAAATATGACATTTCTAAATTAAAAGAGTCTAAAGAAGAAAGTTTGAAACTAACTTAGTCAAAGGCGGAAGCGTCTCGTTCTGCCCCGTCCCTTTTTATTTCAGCAATTTTCTTCCGACAAGTGAACTTCACCACCAAAAAATCAAAGCTTACACGCATCGACAGATTCTGCTTGAATGAACAGAATAATTTTTGAGACTTTTTGACCTTGAGTTTTTCCATTCTAATTTCATTTATTGCAGAATTTTTGGGTTGGATCATGTGATTGAAAATATGGGCCCTATAATTTTATAAAAATCAGAGTTGAGTACAAGCCTGGTTAGCTCAGTCGGTAGAGCGTTGGACTCTTAATCCAACGGTCGCGGGTTCGAGCCCCGCATTAGGCTTACTTTTGGTACTTTTACTGTATCAATACTGTAAGAAAAGTACCAAAAGTAAGCCTAATGCGGGGCTCGAACCCGCGACCGTTGGATTAAGAGTCCAACGCTCTACCGACTGAGCTAACCAGGCTTGATGCTCACCCCTTTCCTACTCTTTTCAAAATTTTCTCTCAGGAAGAAGAAGAGCCGCTTGAAAGCCATACTCTTCCAGTAGCCATGGCGCTATTTAACGATGACCTCGTAAGAAACAGTTTTTGATTCTAGCTCTGCGAAATTCGCAAGGAAAGTTTTCACGCGCTTTTTTTATTTTGTCTGGGTCGGTGATGGACCTTTCTGATGCTCCAACCTCAAAACCATAAGATCGAGTGAAGATCGCGGTTCTGAAGGCCACACCGCTTATCGAGTTTGTCGCTTCGCTCTTCCATGATTTTCGCTTTTCACAATAAACATTGATTATATTTTCACTTTAGCAGTTTCAGATTATACTGTCTGCCAGACAATTATCAATCTTCTGAACCTTCATTCAATAACCAACTATTTTAGCAATGGCTTGAGAAAACGACATCCGCGATTGCTTCTGAAGGACATGCCAGGAACCGGTCGTTGATTCGAATTTATCAAAGCTCAAAATATATTTGTAAATTTGAACGTGTAGTATTCCAAAATTGCCTCGTGTTCAACCTTGGCATTAAATGGTAGCCGAATGAATTGGCGACCGCTGTGTAAGCTCGCTAGCGGACGCAGAACGACTACTTGCGCAGCATGAACTCTTGCAAGAGGAAATTGAGGCCGCCAAGCCACGCTACGAAAACCTCAAGGTAGAGATGCAGAACTGATAGAGCACGCGCTTTACCGGTATTTTAGTAGTATTGTGCCTTATCACTGATAAGTTATCAGCTTATTAAAGAGGGAATGACTGGGGCTTATCATAATTTCACGAACTAAAAAGTTACGTTCTTTTCTAGTCCGAGGGAGTCAAACAGCTTGAACAGGCAGAGTCCGTATTTCTGACCGAACAACTCGATCAAATGGACGATAGCTGGTCTAAGCTCCAAGCATTGTCACAGAGCCGCGAAGCAGCGTTGAAAGACGAGCTCCAAGAGCTCAAATTCAATTCTGACTGCGCCGTGGTCGAGCAGCTTCTGGCTAATCACGAAGTGCAGTTGCAGAGCGTCAATCTTCCGGAAGATCCCGTCGAGGCCGAAGAGGCTATCGCCAAACATCAAGAGAACCAGAAAGTCTTAGCTGGGACAAAAGAGCGTGTTGAAACGATCAAAAACGCGTCGGACGATTTCGCCGATAAAGAAGATGTCAAGAGGCGAGTCGAGAAGCTAGAAAGCCAATACGACAAGTTGGTCGAGCAAAGCGAAAAAGTCGAGGCCGAACTGCGAGAATGTCACGATGTGTCATCCTTCTTGCGCGACGCTACCGAGGCGTCTGACTGGATAAAGGAAAAGAAACTCGATTTGGATAGCACGGCATCACACCACGACGAGTGGCAAAAGGGATTGGTGCAACTTTCACATTTAGGGCAACGTTGTCAAAAATGAAGTGTCAGAAAATTTGAGCTGGTTATTGGATCAATCTGTCTGAACTTTTTTTTCTAGGTTGACCGAAAGGCCAAAGCATGAATTGATATTTGAAAGAAAAAAAAACAAAAAAAATTTATATCCGTTTAGTTTTTGTTAGAAACAATTTGAAAAATTACTCCAGGAAACTCATTTTTTCCATTCAATTGTAAATAGTAAGTGAGTACCAAAAACAGACGCGTGCTCTTTCCGCCGAGCTTGCGGCTAATCAAAATCGTTTGGATCAACTGCGTGTACGTGGCAAGTAAGTATCCAGAGCGCCCCCATCCGAGTTTTCATGAAAAGAGGGCCGTTTACGGATTTTGACGCCCTGAATATACATATTTATCTTTCCTCGTAAATAATCCCTTTTGAGGTTGCTTATGAAAGAAAAACTTAGTCGTCTCTTAATCTTTAATCAAAACATCACGCAAGAAAGCGTTTTTTATCCAAATTTTATGCTCGTAATTTTTAAAACAAAAAATACGAAAAACCCCATTTATAATATTTTCCTAGTGATTTGAAAGAGCAATACCCCTCCCGGCGCAAATCAATCGACGAAGTCCTCGACGCTCTGACGCTAGAATGGTCTCAAGTCGACGATCAATCCAACGAGAAAGAAAAAGAGCTCTTCGAAGAGCACAAGAACGAAATTTTAGAAAAGTCTGCTGCCGACCTTGAACGGTAAGAATCTTGATTTCTAACGAGAAGCACCTGCCCTTATGCGTAAATATTGCCGTAATTTGAAAGGATCCTCCGCGCTACGAACTGGTTGATGATTCTTCTCGTTCTAAAGTAACTTCAAATTAGGCCAGTTGATGTTCCATCCAGATAATAGAGAAGAAAACTTGTCGTATAGTACATACAAGTACGAGTACCATTAGTAGTCCTTTCAGTGTGGTAAACAAGACGTAGATTAGATACTATTAGCTACCGACCACAACTTGCCGTCTAAATTTAATCAGGTTCACTCAAGATTTTCGTAAACTCGTCTGCCTATTTTCCATCAAGAGAAAATCTCAAATTGCTTGAGTTGCTCGTCTGGCATCGACAAATCTGCGGTGTTGCCATGCATAAGCTCGTGGAACATGGTAAACAGCGCAGATTAAGATTGAACAGTGGATATTTCCCAAATTGACTATCTACCGCACCTCGCGGTCGGATTTCCGTTCACCTAGACCAAGCAACAAAATGGGCTCCCATGAACTGAGCCAAAACAAGTCACTTTCGAACTTTTAACACCCCATTTCGCCATTTCAAATGGCCCATTTGATAAAGCCCTTGAGTTACCACTGAAAAATAAAATTCGTCTTAGGGGTAAAATAACCTGTATTAAAACTTCAAATATGTTTCGATTATGAGTATCGATTTCAAACTTTGTACAGTCGGAAAAAGAAGAAGGAAGTCAAAAACGATCAAAAAGTAATTTTTGTCTTAGGTTCGTGAATGAAGTCGAGTCGAAATTGGAGAAGTCGGTGGAAATGGAAGACCCCAAAGATCTCGCTTCCTGTAACAGATTACTCCTGGACCAGCAACGCCTAGAGGATCAACTCGACAACAGGAGGCAGGAGCTCAATGACATCAAGGTGAGAAACTTTCAGAAAACAACAATTTCGAAAGATTATGGCTTGTTCAAGTGCTGCTTTAGCAACTTGATTTATGAACTTCTGCGAACATTGTCATAAATGTTTGGATTTCAAATAGATAATACTTGTAAAACAAAGACAATTAGTAGTTGACGGGTAGGACATTGAACGAGCTAATCGTTCAAGAAAAAAAAACTGTGTACATAGTGTATATAGACAAACTCCTCCTTGTATACTGATATGCATAGCATACAATTTAACTATTTTTAACAAGAATTCGGCACGTTATTCTCTTTTCATGGTATCGTTCTAGGCTGATGCTGGCTCTGGAATGCAAGAAAAGATCGACCAGATCTCCGAGCGCATCAATCTCCTCGCCGAGCCACTTGCTGACAGACGAGAGCGAATCCAAACAGCAAAGACCTTCCATCAGCTCAGAAGAAATCTGCAAGACGAAATCATCTGGTGCGACGAAAGAACTCAGGAAAGAATAAAAAGAGGCGCGCTAGAAGTTAGAACGAAACGTGTAAGCTACTCAGCGGTTTCCCCTATCGCGACCACAATGGTTGACCCGACCGACATACAACTATAACAGTCAGATATTTCAGAAAATACCGCTAACCCAATTGTTATCTGTAATTTTTTGAAAGGCCTCTTCTTATATAATTACAACATCTGTACGTTGGGTAGTTTTCTTTTAGGAAGAAAAAAAATGAATATTAGACAGGCGCCCTACCCTTAAAAGAAAGCGCTGTCAGAGTTCAAAGTGACTTACGCTCTGCATGTGGATAAATGTCTTTTTTGTCGACTTGCCGCATTGGGCGTTTTCCATTTTGATTTTCCCTGACAGTCCCAGTTTCCCTCAAGCAAAAAATTCATACCGAAAAATTTCGATTAAATCTACCCCTAATTTCGCTCTTTTCCCATGCTCAGGGTCATCTTGGCTTTTTCGCGTGATTTTGCTATCATTTGGAAATTTACTCTTGTTATTCTTTAATCAGGTTGCGCAAAGTGCCGAGTTCGGCGAGAGCCTCCACCAGGTCCAGAAAATCGTGAAACGCAATCAGGTACATTCCTCATTTTGAAATCGTTCAATTTTTAAATTAATGATTTAAGAATCTGCTGCTAGAAATTGATTCTCACGATGGACGGGTAAAATCGCTTTTGGATGAAGCTTCCAAATTGTCTGAAAAGGCAGAAACAACTGCTGAGCAAAAGGAAATCGGGTTAAATTCAAGTATAATGAAATTCCTAGTTTCCTTTGAATTAGGCAATTTCCAATCAAAAATTTCGAAATCTCAAATTTGAGAAAAAGTCGTTTAGAAAAATTTCACGTCAATTAAGGGGACACAAGATAATTATGATTTTCGCGAATCTCTACGCTCCAAAATTAGCCAAGAGTCAAATTCAAAACCGGAAAATCCTAATTTACGGGAAAAGAATCGCGCGCCAAAATCACGATCGACATAATATCAGAAATTGCGCATAAGATGCTCTCTAACCCTTGGAAGGATATTCTCTCTGACTTGTCTAAGGAGCTTGAAGAAAAGTGGAACGCGTTGAGGGCAGCTACGGATGAACGGTCGAAAAAGCTCGATGCCAATATGGCCCTGCAACGGTAGATATAATCATATTATATGATCACATAATAAATCATATTAAGCCTCCTTTTCGACATCGAAAACGCAGAGCAGTGGCTTACTGAGCGCGAATTGATCGTTGAGCAGCCCCTCAAGGTACTATTTAGCAAAAGAGAAAAGTTTCAACTAGTTCAACTCTTATGTTTATTTTTAAAGCTCAAAAAGTCTAAAGAGGTTAAGTCCTATGAACTCTATAAATAATCAAGTTCCAAGCATGTCTAAAGCAAAATTTGAAAAGAACAAGTAACAAAGTGTCTAGTCTCTATGGAAACTTCAAGAGTCGGGCATAACATGTTTTTGCGTCAACAGAAGTGCCAGTACTTACACTAATCCGCCAGTACCTAACCAAAAAGATCCGGTCTTCTAAAAAATCTTTCTGCATTGGAAAGCTCGTTTTTTATTGATCTCATTTGTTGAACGAGACTTTATTAAGGAGGACTCGGATCCAGAAGCTCTCATGCGTCGTCACATTGGACTCGCTCAAACTGTCAACGATTTTGAATCGACGATCGTTGAGCTCGTCAAGCGTGGGAAGGAACTTGAAGAGGCGCAGGCGACCGAACAGCTTTCGGCGCTGGAAAAGCAATTTGCCAAGTTGAAGGCACTTGTTGGCGACAGAAACCATAAGATCGACGAGCTCGTCAAACTCACGAAGCTGAGGAGGCATTTGGACACGGTCGAGAGGTGGATCAAGGAGAAGGAGATCATCGCAAGGTGAGACTTTTTGAAGTGATACCCTTAAGTTTATCGAGCTTGGAATAAGTTTAACAATGTTTCTAATGAGAAATCATAGGATTTTACGCTTATTTTGATCGTTTTTGAAAATAGTGGAGGGGAGACCCTTAAGGAGGTAGATATCAAGAATCGGGGTTTTCTGGCAGACTTTTCTCCCAATCCTAACATAGTGACCTATGATTTTTTTTGTTTTAATAAAAAGTTTAGGCCCTTATCTCGTGCCTATGGAAGGCCGATTTCTAAATTTCCAGAAAAAAAATCGGTAAAAATGGCGTTGAAAACTCAGAAATCGCTAAAAATGACTATTTTCTTGGCAGACTTTCCTCGAAACCCTTATATACGGCGGAATTTATTTTCTTCTGAGAAGTTAGATAAGACCCTTGTCTAGATCCTATGAGGGCCAGATTTTAAAATTTCAAAATTTTTTTTAAGAAAAGAATCGATTTTCTGTTTTTCACGACTTTCAACGAAAATATAAAATTTTGAATTTTTATTCGGGCGAATTAAAATCATTCTATAAATGTTCCCAGGGGTTTTGTTAATGTTTTTGGATGAAAGCTAAGTAATTACTTATTTTATTACTAAAAATTTGTCGATCTATTATAAAACGGGCAAATTTTCGAGATTTTAGAGGCGATTTTATGAAAAACCACGTGGTCCAATCAAAAAATTTTTGCTTACAAGTTTTCTCCTCAACCTCGAAACTATACGTTGAAAAAGTTTGAGGCGGAAAAATAGAAATTTTTTTCTTGATATCTACCTCCTTAATACTAAAAGCCCATTTTGTATAAGCACTAAGGAGCAGATAGGTCATCGGTCTTGTGGCGCAATGGATAACGCGTCTGCCTACGGAGCAGAAGATTCCAGGTTCGAGTCCTGGCAAGATCGTATCTTTTGTCCTCCATGATTTCCTCAAACCGTGAACAACCGGTGATTTACCTCTCATTTTTCAGCAACGAAGATACGGGCGATAAGCTAGAAAGTACGTTGATCCTTATCGAGCGCTGGGAGAGCTTTACGTCGGAAACAAAACGAGTTGGCGGCGATAAAATGCGAGAAGTTCAAGCTGAAGTGGATACCCTTATTGAAGGAACGGGGGAAAGAGCTATATTTAAATCAGAGAGCATTTCGTAAATTATATCAATGCACAAATTGGGAATGCAATTATTTACTGCCGCTTGTAGTTTTGTTCTGGCGACGTGGGCCATTTTGGTGCAACAAATTTCAAATTGCGTAAAACCCTCTTTGAAGCTGCCCATTCAGACGCCTTCAAGATTGAGAGCTGGAGGAAAAATGTGAACAACATGTGGGACGATCTCGTAGAACTCATGGAGACAAGACGACAATTGCTCGAGACGACCTTGAGGAGGCATCGATACTTTGCTGATGCTGATGAACTCGGAAGTAGATTTGCGGAGAAGAGAGAAGCAGCCGAAAATGCAAAGGATATTGGTGGAATTGTCAATGAGATTCAATCGCTAGAACCTAAGGTACGTCAATTCTTTATCAGAAAAATTTTCATGAAATTTTATAATAAATAAGACGGTCACTATATATGAGCTTTCGAATGAAGTAATTGTTGAATGCGATTATTCAAATGATGACTTAGCTACTTCAAGTAAAAATGACAATACGATTTGTTCTCCTTAGGTGATAAGTGGTATCGAAGGATGTCATTCGAATTAAGCGGGTAACGCCGCCCGACTGCTTCTGATTAAAATTTTCCGTTCAATTCTTGGGCCTCTAAATACCCAAAAATGCAAATGCCGGATAAAAATTGACCCAATGACGCCTAATAAGAGTCTCGTTGAGCTAGCTAGGTGTCAGGGCAAATTAGAAGAGTTGAGATAATTGGACGAAAGGATTTCAATTAAGGATATACCCTCCGAATAGGATTTGAAATAATAAATCCGCGAAGTTCGAGAATCGGCAACGTTTATAATCGCAGTTTAGAAAACGCGCGCCATTACGAAATCCTAAATCCGCTGCGCATTGCTTATCTCAATCAACAGCTAAAATTGAGTTGTAAATTTCCGAAAACCCTTGCCTGATTCCTATCCGCCCTGCCTGCGTTGCATACATGCCCAAATTTCCGATGCCAGCCCTTTTCGGCTTTAGCCACGTTGCCTCTCATTTGTTGGCAAACCTGATGTGTGTATAAGGCCAATTTTCGCGCAACTTCCCCAGGTGGGTTAAATATAGAATCTTTTCATAATATATCGAAAAGAATGATCCACCCTAAACTAATTCTAAACTGAATACAGGAAGCTGGGCTCTGCAACCTGTGTAGAAAACCTGAGTCAGGGTATGAGAGGCCTTTAATGAAAAGCCGCGAAGCGGCTTTGTGAAAAATGAAGCCGCGGAGCGGCTCCGCTTGAGTAAATAAATAGATTGAAGAATTTATTTTGTGAAGCCGCTTTTTTAAACCCTGACTCATGAGTCACTGAAAATGTGGCTTCCAGGGATCCACACGTAACGGCGGTCGAAAAAAACTCAACACCCACAAAAAACCAACATTGTTATCAAGCCCCAAGAACCAACCGCGCACCTTTTTTCAGTCATTTTCTCTTCTCATCAACTCCAAAAAAAGAACCATGTCATGCAACCTTTCTTTTAGTGCCGCCCATTATTATCGAGAATAGACAGATAATGCTGGGCTCTAAAATACTTTTAAAATTGCGAGAAGAGGAAACGTGCTTCTTCTTTTTTGCATATTGGGCAGAAATGAGTGGGGGAAGATAGGAACGAATTCAGCAGGGGAAATGGACACTTGGCTGGGCACTTTTAAACTAGGTGTTCTCTTTCATAATTATTAAAAAAAGAGACTTTCGAAACCATAAAATACCTTTTTGGCCCTAAAGCGTTAATCCTGAAACGATGTTGTAACGGCCTAATCAGCTTAAAAATATCATAATAAATTCGTACTCGGTGTCTTTGTTTGAAAGATGTACAAGGGAGAAATTTCAAAATTTCGAAACGGAAGGAAGAACGTGTTTGTACGTTATCAGGCTCGAACAAAAACGTGCGGGAGATGATCCTCTCGAGGTTCATTCGAAATTACTTGTGATTCTTTGACCATTCGAAATTCCAGATTTTATATTTCGAGTCGTCCAAAATTTCAAAATTTCAAATTTTCGTTTCCTTTTTTTATTCTAATATATAATACAATAATTAAAGGGTGTTAAAGGTTGCAGTTTAACTTCAAAAAGAATCTTTTAATGTCAAAAAAGATGAGTTACTTGTTGCAAATTAAAATAAACAGCGTTCTAATCGAGGCGACGGGGCTGACCTCCGTATAATTGTGATTATCTTCTCATCGAAAGCCTATGTTTTGCTGTTTGCCCCACCTTTTAAATCCTTTCATTGAGCCTCTTCAAACAGTTTAATTTTAGATCAACAAGCTGGAAGAAGAATGCCAGTCGCTGGAGCCGATCTACGCTGGCGCCCAGCGAGAAGCCTTGACGAAAAAACTCTCCGATGTAAAATCCGACTACGACGAAACTGTAAAAGCAGCGAAAACGAAACAAGCGGAGAAGGAGACGAATGAGAACAAGGAAAAATTCGACGCCTTGGTCGGTGAACTTTCCGCAATGCTGCGCGAAATAGCGAAGAGCCTGACCGAAGCTGATATCCCAAGGTAGAAATTCCTGAGTTGAAGGAAGTCAACGGGATTGTTTGCTAATAATCTCGGGGCGGAAATTCCGCGCAATCGGAAAGACATGAATATTTTGGCTTTGTTTGAGGCTTTGACAGGTTGCAACGGAGCCTTATCAGCAGGTTCAAGGGTCAAAAATGATAATACTTTTATTCTATTAATTAAAACTATGCATTTTTGGAAAGACAAAAAAACACAAAAGTTTCAGTTTGAAAGGGTACTACTGCAGCACGTGGTTTATTTACAATCGTGACAGGGGTACAAAAATCTTCTGCAACTACCCGCCCTGGGACGGGTAGAAATCATGTTTTGTTGATGAATCACTGTGTACAAAATATTTACAGGCCACCTTGATAAGTTGTTCGTTTTTCTTTTGAGAAGTGATGGTTCTGGACAATTTTTCATTGGAGTCTTCTGGTAGTACATACGTTCTGATAGTACTTCAGCAAACCATGTTGATTGAAATGAGCCTACTGCCAGAGCAGCACTTCATGAGCTCAGTATTGTAAGTTCTACTGCCACAGCAACTTCGGTTTCCAGAATCGCTGAAGTAAGGGAATCTGAAAGTTTAGGGTCAAAATCGGAACGTTTTCCAGTCTTGGAAAAAAAGCAAAAGAGGATGTATTTACAGTTGTCCTTCCACTCCACAACACGCGTCGGGCGTGGCCCCAGTTCCTTGAGCTCTATCGCTCGAGCGGCCAAAATCCACCGAGTTGAAAGGTGAGTTGTAGCCTTGCTTCGACGATTTTATTCTGAAAGTTCGTTTGCATGCATTCGAGATTGTAGGTTGTACCTGCAAATGTTTTCTCGCTGGAAGTGTCCCCATTTTGCGTGTAGACTCTCCTCCCATTCGTATTGCAGCTCGGCCAAATTAGTGGCGAGATTTCGGTCACATTCGCAAAGGGATTTCGCGCAACTTTCCTCTGGATCCACTTCAAATTTCAGCATTATTAGTCGGTAAAAAAAGTATTCTCAAAAAAATAATTTTAGCGAAAAGAAAGATAAATTCGGCGAAAAATGAAACTTACAGCATTCGATCGTCTTTTTTCCTGTTGTACTGTCGTAGATTCCGGTGAACTCGTAGTGCGTATTTGATGGGCATTTATCCTTTCCATACTTCATCGACGCGCATTTATAGCACTGGCTCAATCTCTTGCAGGTCTTATCAATATCATCGACTGGCTCGCCATACCCATTCAATGGCTCGTCAGGACCTTCAGGAAAACACCAGCAGCCATAATAAGCGTGCTTGCCAAACTGAGGCGTTTCCTGGAGGTACATGACCATCTGATTAACGGTCAAAAACTTCCTGGTATTGGTGATTCGGTCACCAGAGCTTGGATTGCTTTTGACCGACGAGTTTGAGCCACTTTTTAGCCGAATAGGCGGAACGATCAGCCGGGCAAAGTCCTGAAACTCTTGATCCTCCAGAAGATGGGTGAAGTTAAAGCCGGGAAATCGTTGTTGGAAGGAAATGGGCCCAGAATCGAGGCAACCAGGGGTTCAGAAAAGTGCTAGAATTTTGTGAAAATCTATTGACGATGGATGAATGACTCGAAAATCTACAGAAAAGACACATTATAGGACTGTATGTATGAAAAAATTGCTAAATTTTATATAATTGCTTTTCTTGCATATGATCTTATAATGGGCGTCATCTGTAGTGTCATCAATCCCCGGTGGAAACACTTGGACATGTGGATACGATATTTTACCTGATTTGGGATATAATGAAAATTTCAACAATAGACTATTTTGCTGAAAAATGTCACTTTAGAAAAAAGGTGTGATAGACAAAAATTAGATTTTATATCCTTGTCTGGAAAGGGTGTATACCAGAATTAATGAATTTGATAATCCGCCGGTTTGTCCCGAAAAAGGCATCTAACTTCTAACCCTCCCCCCGCTTAGGTGGCAAATCGGTCATGGCCAGGGTACCATAATGACCGGACAAAATCTGGTAATTCGGAATAATCACCGTATCGAAAGCAAACCGAAAAAGCCTGAACATGTTATACACCCTCCTTTGATTCTTATAAACTAGATTTTGAAAACAGTCGATTAGCTAAAAATGTACTCCCTAGCTTAACAATGTTTTACATCAGATTAAAAACATGATTAATAAAATTAAGTATACACTACAATCAAACAAGCGTACTGTCGCAACTACTGAGTTAATATTTTTTACAGTTTTTATTCAAAATTTTCTTTTATCTTAAATATTCAGTTCGAGTTTTTTAGTCTTTTTGATAAGCAAATCAAGTCGAAAAGGGATGCTTTTTAGTATATCACTTGCAGAGATAAAAAAATGGCAGCAGTAATCAATTTCTAGTCACAAACTACTCAAAGCAAAAATTGTGAGCCCTTTTCTGTTCAAATTCAAATCATGAGAAACTAGAGAGGAGACCATAGGACTAAGTCCTAGCGTTCCAAACCAACGCATCTTGAGTTTCTAGCGCGTTTTTTCGCTGATCTACGGTTTTCGTTGTCTCTAAATTCGCTCTTCGCAAAATTCGCTGGTCTGAATCTCTCTATGAATGGGGCTGGAAAAATACAAAAACAATATCGCTTCAAAATTATTGTCAGGTCATCATTTATTCGATAAAAAATTGTTAAAGATTCAAAAATTCGATTTCATGTTGGTTTCAGCGTTTCGGGAGGGAAAAAGCAGCGCGGCCCTCTGACGCCATCATCGCGATTCGGGCGATGCGCGCGGGCGCCACATGAGCGCGCGAGAAAAAAAGGACGAGCAAAAAACGGAGCAGCTAGCGGGTGAATACGCCCGCGAGGGACGCAGCCTTGAACCCCGCAAAACCGATTTCGTAACAGCCACCATTCTCGGTCAAATGTTAGGCTAGTTGGGTGATAAGCGAGCATTTGCCATCAGGAGCAGTGAAAGGGTATTTACAGAGTGCTACAAGGCAAATAGTGGAACATTAGTAGAAGATTTATCACTTCCAATTATCAAGAAAAATACAAAATTTTTCCTGAAAATCTACTCTTCTGGTGTTTCTATAGGCATATTTAATCGAGAAAGCATTTTCCTACAATAAACTTAGCAAATATGTGCCATATCAATGATATCATAATCAATAAATCAGTCTGAACAAGCTAATTCTTCTTTGCCATAAAACGACCAGAGAGTCACCGACTGTACGGCATCTATGAGACTATTTTGCATCAAACAAAGCCACGGCTCCATCAACTAAATTAGCCCTTATTACAAATATTGTTTAGGGACACTGCTGCGGCTGAAAAGGCACTTGGTAAAGCCGAAAACTGCAGAAATCAACTGAATGCGAGGTAAGCAAAGTTACGTCAGGGGTGAGATTGTGAAATAAGGCCGAAGAGAACGCTTTCTACTTTATCAAGGCGCTAATTAAAATTTATCAGAAAAGCGTTTTTAGAGTGAACTTTTTTGTCAAGACAAAATCCTACAGCTAAGCTACCGTTTAGGCGTTTATCGCGCGCTAGTAATAGGCCATTGTTGTATCCTCAACAGAAGCTCGTTTTATATAAATATTGGGTTCGAATCCAAACGGTACGTTTTTGCAAATCCTCCTCAGCTGGAAGCGTGGCTGCAAATTTGGGGAGTCAGGTTTAGCAAACGAACTTGAACAGATACAGATTTTCTGCGATTTGCGTAGAAGAATGTGGTTGCAATGAAAGTTTTGCGCCAAAATTTATTATTAATATTTTTTCTTACTTTCTTTCGTAGATCGAAAGATTTCGACGATGTAAAACGGCTTGCCTCAACTCTTGATGACGATGAGTCGAAAGAAGCTCTGGCGAAACTTCTACGCGATAAAGATGGACTTGAAGCATTTTTAGACGACCAAGAGACGCGACTCAATATTGGTAATTATCGTGTTTTACTTGCTTTGGCACTCAGTAAATAATGACAGGCTTTTAACTGATCAGACAGGCAGTAATAGCTGTAAACAACGTGTAAGATGTAATCGCAAAGGGGAGGCTATCTATGATGTCTCCAAGATGTTTTCGATGAAGTTTTTATGTAAAATAACACTTAATGATTTGAGGTCAACGAAATTCGAAAAACGGAGAGAAATTTCAAAATCGACACTTGCAGCCTCCCCATTTCTGTCGTGTTTTTCGAATTCTTACACGTAAATAATTATTAAAGGTGCTCCAGTCAGCGTCATAATTCCCGCAAAAATCGTTTTTTCCGCTTGCATCTTCGATTTTTAACACGTCTATTTTTTAGCTTGCGATATGCTCGGATTCTTGCGCGATGCAGACACGCTGGAGAGCTGGTTGAAGAGTCAAAAAGTAGCGGAATCGTCGCCAGATGTCTCAATTGAAATTTGTCAAAAGTAAGGCTAGAATTCTAGCACCTGGGTGGAGAATAGATTTATTGAATTTGCGGCCCTTTATTTGGAATATTGAATAAAGGGTTGACGTCAGCAAGGTTTGGGCCGCCCTCCACCTCATAATCTCGTTGACCAAAAAGGTCAATTTTGGTGAGCGCGAAGAAATTCATGTGATGAGGAGTAACACGATTTGATAAGCCAATTTCTTGAGCGGTAGCCATCGACCCTATCATTTTCTCATTCCACTTGGTATTTTCATTTCCCCACTTCCTTGCGCCAAAGTTGCGAAATCAAAATAAATCTCAATAAATCAGAATCTCACGAAATCTTTGTTTAGGCTTTTGGAAGAGACCGACCGAAAAGTGGGCCAGGCGAAGACTTGGGAGTCAAAGATCGACCTGTTGAAAAAGCCGACCATGTTCGAGGAGGGAAACGCTGATGCCGTTCGAAAAGCAGAGGAAGAGGCGCTGCGTAAGAAGGAACGAGAAGAGGCCGAAAAACTCGCGGAGAAAGCTAAGCAGGAAGAGCAAGCCGCACAAGAGCAGCAATCAAGGCAGGAAGAAGTTGAGCACGAGCGTGAAATTGTTCCGAGCCAATCTGTTCCGTCTGAAGTTTCGAACGTTCAAAACGGACACGATCTACCTGACAGCGTAAAAACGGTAAATTGATGATTTTTCCGTTCTTCTGCTTGAGCAGTTTTTTTCAGAATGGAATGAGCCAAAACTCCGAAGAACTAAACCAGTCGATTTCCTCGAAGCACGAGTCCTCGATATCTGAATCAACAAAAGAACCTCAATCAGCGACTCTCTCTACTCCAACAAAACTGAAGACAGGCGCTCTTTCGAGAAAATTCGTTGTCATCAATGGCAAATCCGCCAAAGACAGGTAACCGTAACCGTAAAGCTCCATCAATCGCAAAGACAGCGAAAATCTGTCTGTTCGACAGGCGGTAGAGATTAAAGTTATAAAACATCTTTTTAGAACGTGGAAGGACACCTGGATTTCGATACACGATGACAAAGTGGCCTTCTACAAAGATAAAAAATCGGCGGACTCGAATAAAAACCCTGATCCTGCGTTCCCGAAAGGTAATTATTCACGCTTGTTTTATAATTTACTAATAAGCAAACAATTGATTAACAAAATTTCGTAGCTCAAGTGAAAGTGATGCGGGAGCAGCACCACAAGCGCGAGTTTGTCCTCAAGGTCACCTGCAAGAACACAGAATTGCTGTTGGACACTGGCGACAAGGCTAAAATGGAGCAGTGGTTCGTCTCGTTAGGTAAGAGATTGAAATGGAAACAACGTGGACGCTTCGTATTGGGGAATGACGACTAGGTTCGTGATGACTAGGTTTGTGTTGGGTTCTGCCAGAGTATTGAAATCGGGCTATATTTTAGGGCAGTAAGGGAAATGGGTTGATGACTTGGTTCGTGTGACTAGGTTCGTGACTTTTAAAATGGTAAAGATATTTGTCATTAAAGGAAATGGGTTGATGACTAGGCTCGTGGGACTAGGTTCGTGAGTTTTTAAATGGTAAATATTTAACAAGGAAAGGGTTTGTGGGACTAGGTTCGTCGGTTTTTGAACAAGCAAAATGTAGGATTTTATATTCCAAATGAGTCCCAAACTCACGAACCTAGTCCCACGAACCTAGTCATCAACCCATTTCCTTTAATAACCGAAAATGATGAAGATATAAAAATACATTTAAAAATCCAAATTCCACGAACCTAGTCACACGAAACAAGTTTTCCAACATGGCACCCACGAACCTGGTCATCGGTCTCTCGTATTGTCAGTAAACTGATCGTTATTCAAATGAGATCACGTTGGAAGCGACAACCTTTGTACTTGAAATCAATGATAACTACTAGGTGTCATAAGAGCAATGTGTTTTTGCATAAGATAAGATCTGCACCTCGCCCCAGAATAGAATGTTCTAACACATGTCTCCTTCAAATGACACAATGTGTACCTGGGTCGTTTAAGGTCTTCTGGGGTCACGGATGATTCTCATTCTTAAAATGAATCTTTAGGCGGAGATCCCGAGAACTCATCCCTCTGGAGCGCAATAACCGACAACGCTGCAGCATCACCATCCCCGTCCCGCTCAAGCAAGAGTAAAAAACGCAGCCTTTTCGGCCGGAAAAAGTAACAGTAGCTCTCATCCCTCATCAACTCAAAAACGAGCTCCAAATCCGCTTCGAGTCGCTTCGGGTGTTCGCTCCACCAATTCACGCTTCATTCGATTCCGCTGGATTCCTATCATCAGCTGATTGAGCACCGCGCGGACAAAAAAGCTACAAAAAAAATAATTTATTTCCATCTTACTCAAAAATGCGCACCTCAAAACTCGCAAAAACTCACTTCTGCTCAATTTCCTGCCCAATCTTTAGCCAAAGTATAATTAATCTCCTATCAACTTAAAAACTTTATATCACCAACTTATCCTTTCCGAGCAAAACCCATTTTATACAGTGCCACAAATTAAACTATTGAAGTAAAACCTAACCCAACAACAAAAGAAAGCATGTTCCAAAGTACAAAAACTAAGAATCTAATCCCATTTCAGACGGCTCTAGAATCACTTCTACCTCTCCCCAAATTCTACAATCTGATTGGCTCAGAGCACAACCATAACCGCTCGATGGCGCTTCTCTATATTTCCAGGGCGCTCATTGGCTAAAATTTGCACAAAACTAAAATTTCCATCAACCACTTCTTGATTTGGAGTCATTTGATTTCCCAGTCCATATATTCTGATTTACACGAACAACAATTTACAAAGCATAATTTGATCACAACTCTCTACAAGCATGTTACGTTCCATTTTTAGCTCCTCCGCCGTCCCCAGCACTTGATGAATAACACACTTTTCTTCAGCATATTTTCACTTATTTCTTTCTTTTGTATATTTTGAATAAATCTAAACACTTTCAATATGTTTATTTATTATCAAAATCTATATGAACGCTGAATGGTGATTAACCCTGATAGCAATATCTGAATTTAAGTCCCAAAACGAACCATAGTTTACGGTATTATCGGCCATATCATTTAAAATTCAAAACGAAAATTGCATAAACTGCAAGATCAAAACAAACTCAAGTGAGTCTATTTCCTCTAAAATCATTGCCGGCTAGTTAAAAAGAAATAAATTCGATTTCTAGCTCAAGTTTATCTCTTGAAACCAGCTCTGGCTGGTGTTTTTAATCGCAATTTACGCTCATTTACTTCTGACGCAATATTATTTAAACTCAACTGACCGATGATGTCTTTTTGATGTTAACAAGCTACTGTCGGACATTATCAACAGGGTCATTGGCGCGAGAATCGAGCAACTTAGCAGGCCATGCACCATGGTTAATTAGTGCTTGTTCGATTAAGCTTCTTTGATTTTCTCTAATGATTCTTGACGCGGTTTAACGCTGCTGAGTTCGATTAAGCTTGACACTGTCAGAATTTCGAGATAGTCAAGTGTCAAAATATGAAATTCGCGGTTGACGATTTGAATTGATCTTTTTGCGGAAATCAGTTGACGGTAGGGTGATGTTCAACAACGCGTGTACTTGAAAGTTTTCTAACGCTACGTAGTGGTATTTGCTTGGAGTAGATAATTATTAATGTACAACGCATACTGGTATCTCGATGGATAAGATGCTGATGAAACAGATTCGCCCGATAGCATAGAACGTCGATGATGAAATATGGTAAATTAGTGAGCTGTTAGGAGGAAGGCATTGGCCGCAAATGAGTGAGGTACTGTGGGATTGGCAACATGTGATCTAATTTTCCCATAAAAATGGGAACAGAAACTGTCACAGTTGAAAAATGCTGATTCATCAGGTCCAACAAATATTTTATGTTTATGAAAATTGATCAGAGCGTGCTTTATACTTCCGATTCCTACCCTAAAACTTTAGAGTTAATGGCCAGCGACTGATCAATAAAACAAATGAAGTTTTGACGTTTGCTATTTCGCTGACTTTTCTTTTTTTTTTACTCTTGAGCATTTATTTAAAAAAACGAATTAGGAATTTTATAACCGTCAAAACCGTTCTTTTACTTGAGCTTTAAGGGGGTGGTGGTCGAGAAAATTTTTTTCGACTTTTTAAAATTTTGATCCTATTTTTAGATTCCTTGATAAAAAAGGAGCATTTTTGGTCCCTAGCTTTTTTTGATTGGACCAACTTTATTGAAGAAAATTTTCGATTTTATGCTATGAATTCGCCATTTTCGGGAATTTTGAAACGCTTCATTCGTACTAAAACAAATTTTAACTTGATTTTTTATTGCGAAGTTATGTTTCTCGATAAAATTTTAATTATAAAAGGTGAAAAAATTACGATTATTATGATGTTTTCGAAAATTTCATTGAATAATGAGTGAAAATGACGATTTTTCAGAAAACAACATGTTTTCATTCAATTACTATTTTATTTTCTAGCAAGGTGGACTTTCTGAAACTTAGCCGCCCACACGCTAAAGGGTTTAAACTTTCCTCTCGGTAAGTTTTATTTTGAAAAAAATAATAAGGGGATAGAGTTTTTTAGGTCAAGAGATGGGTCGACTTTGAAGAAACTTTTAACCATTTTTCCGAAGAAATATTTTTTTCAAACATAGCCGCCCACATAAATTGGACCCTTTTAAACTTATTTTCAATTAGAGAAAAAAAAATTTTTTTGAAAAAAATTGAGTTTTTTAGGTTGAAAAAAGTCTTAGTCTCGACCACCACCCCCTAAAAATGTAAGCCGGAGACATTAAGGTGTGATGTTGTATTTTGGCAAAGACTGTGAGAAAGAAGATATAGCTTCCTGGAGACTGCGGCAAAGCGCATCCTTATTATATATTTGTTTATGTTTGAGAACTTTTCAATGTCCGCCATTAACTTTGAAGTGGCCGTAAAATTGATTCGGTACCCACAGATCAGCTTAGCTATTAACGAATTGTTGCCACTCACGATTCTCAACATATTTTCAAAGAGATATTGTCTGACAACTCTTTAGAGAAGAAATCAGGACTGGGGTTTTAATGGGGTAGTATGATACGGAATTTTGAGTGCTTTTGGAGGTCAAAGAACAAGTTGGAGTATTGTTTGCGATTAAATACAAGCTTTTTCGACGCCAAAACCCGAATAAGACGATGAAGATTTTACCGTCTACCCTGGCGAGCCTTAGCCTTGCCGCTGCTCCTGGATGGTTAGCCGCTTCCCGGGGAGGATATTCTTCCGCTAGCTGTAAATGCGAAATAAAATGTACTCCTGATATTCAGAGGTATTCAAAAATCTTTATTTCAAGCTTCATTTTTGCTGAAGAAGTATTTTTATGCTTCTGAGAATTGATTTCTTATGCAGTGTTGGGAAACTCGCAAAGTTCAATATGAGAATCGGCGGGTTAGGGTCAATACGGGCCTGATAAGTTCGCGTATTTCCACTCGCATCACGTGCCTGAAAGATGTTTTGGAGCTTCTGCAGTTTGGGCTAGGTCCTGCTCTTGTCCAGCCGCTAGGATGAATAATTCAAGATCACCTAGGGTTAGGGTTACCTTTGCTTTTTGGTCATTGATTGATATGCAATAGTTAGCTCAAAGTTTCGGCAATCACCGGGTAATCGAACCGAGTGGTTTCCTTTCCCTTGAAATTCCATATTCACACACGCGCCAATTACGAAAGAGCAACGAGTTTTTTCATTCATGAAAACCGTCCACATATAATTCCGGTTATCCACGAAACGTAGCTTCAGTGGAAAATCCTTTTCTTGAGCGTCGATTTCAAGCTGATGTTCTCGATGCGCATATCTTGAAATATAGTTATTAATTTGTTTGAATATTAAATTGTCCAATTTCTTAATATCGGTTCACGCATACTTATGATCAGAAAAATGTTCTGGTAAAATTGGCAGATCATCAAATGCAATTTCCTTTGCCTCACCGTTTCGCCCTTTGAAAACCTAAATTTCAAGTACATAATTGCGGTCCGAAATTGAAAAACCTTGAAAAAAGGAGGCTCTCTTAGGTCAGCTGCAGTTATGTCTTGTATCCGTTTCCCGTCCATCTTTTTTTTCTGAACAAGATGCAATTTTTCGATTGAGACTTCAATTATCGATGCTGTAAACTTTGAAAGCCAAATATCTCTATCTACCGGTGAAAGCAGACTCAAATCCGGGGTTACGCTGCCACTAAGGCCCTCCAAGCTTGTGATTGGTCAATGGAAAAAAGATGTCTACAGGGGGTGGAGACATGTTTGAAATCCCGGGTAAAGGCTTGCTTTCACCGGTATTCTTCCGCCAAAAAGCAAAGGCTAGATAGTCAGTACCTTACCGACTTATTTTCTTATACACTGTATAATATACAGTATGTATTTCAGCCATGTCTGTAATAACGAAACTTTGAAGCAGTGCAGGGAACATCCTCAAATAATTTTCTTTTAGGGAAACGTGCGCCGCCGACATTGTTGCCGCTATCGATATGCAGTATTTCACAGAGCAAAAGGTAAAGGCGAATTCCAGAATTCTATCTTCCATGGAAGATCTGTCAAAGATACAAGACCACGTTAGAAGTACTCAGTTGAAAGGGGGAGCGAAAAACGTGACGCAACGCGATGTTTTTGAGAAAAAAAAACCGCCAGCTAGGGTGCAAAATCGATGTTTACTTGTCGAACATCCTGTATACACCGCTTAAAAGTTCGGTTTTTCGGATTCAAACGAACGTGACTCAAGACTCAGACTTTTGGATTTTCGCTTTGTTAATTTTTTATTACGATAAAAGAAAAATCATCATTTTCTGAAAAAAATATTCAGGAAAAAAGCGCTGCGGAATTCCTGTCTCGTCTGGAGAATGAAATTTCAACGACCTTAGGCTATGGCAGTAATCGACAGGAAATTGCTCGAAATATAAATTTAAAGCTTTGAAAAGTTATTACGAAGCCGTATTTGACCTTTGATAAATGTCTTTAGTTTCACACTACAAACCAAAAGTGTCTCAGGAATGTTTTCAGAGTCGGGGGCCTCTTTGTGACCTTTCCGCTGAGGATTATTGGATCCTGAACGGACTCATAAATCGTTCATCCATAAATGTTCAAATTCACGAGCAAAAATGAAAGGCGGCCAGGTTTGCTGTGTTTGGATTTTCTAGTGAAAACGATGAAATTCAAACTGGCCTGAGCTTTTTGGACTCTGTTGATGAACTCAAAGCAAGTGACATTCCAGATAAAATTGAGAATATTTTCAAGGAAAGGAGATTTTATCTTAACTTTATTCTTCAAAATTTTGGTTTTTTTAGCAGAATGATACCCGTATTTTGATGTGTTCTCAGGACGCATCTTTTGGAAATTGTGAGACGCGCAACTCCGGCCTCCGGTGACATGGGTTTTGAGTGTTTTGTTACAAGTCCAGAATTTTGGAGATTTCGACGAATTAATGAAATCTCATCCGAGTCGGGTACCATCAACAAGTGGGCCTTTGAGAATGATGATGAACAGGATCTTGGCGTGGGAATTGAACGAGCACTGGACTTTTTCAAGGAGCCGCACTTGCCAGCAGTTGAAGAAGAAAGAGATGATCTTGGGTTTGAACCGACCAGGAAGGGTTCAATTTTGAAGTTTTTGGAAATGATTTTCTCGCACGTTTTCCTTTCCGAGTTATCGGGAAAAATATTTTGAATCCTCACTTGAAGACTGCTGCTCGTGCTTTCCGATGGTGCTAAGAAGAAGAAATCCAGCTCGCTTCTAAAAGCAATCGAAGCCGCTCATGAAAATAATATTAAGGTACCAATAATTCTCTAATCGCATCATTACCATAAACAGGACCATTAAAATAATTCATGGTTTTTTTTTAATTACCTTCATCAAAGATAAAATGACCTTTCATGGGCGATATGATTTACAAGACAAAAATGAACTTTGGTTTCCTATAGGCTAAAGGCTATAGAATAGGGCTCGCCAAGAAAACTTAAAAGTGTCGGCAGATATGTTTTATAGTATAGAATCGTGTTAGATGTGCCCGTTGCCCATATAACTTACTGATTGGTCCCTTATTCCTGATTTCAGATCGGCGCTGTTACGCTGACTCAAATGGACTCTCCCGCTTGTCGCCGAGGATACGTCATGTGTCCGGATGTAGAGCACTTAACTTCACTATCTGACTTTGTCGTTGATGGATCCAGAGCCGGCTCAGCTGCTCGTGACGTTTTTGACTTTGTCGGACAGAAAGAGTGCTACCACAATGGCGGCTGCAAGCCGTGTAATTGTGAATGTGACCTTCCACGAGGACCAGCTGGTGAGGAAGGTGCTCTTGGTTGTGATGGAGCTCAAGGTCCTTGTGGTGATTCTGGCAACCCGGGAAAAGATGGTGTTGATGGCCCTGCTGGTCCTCCTGGCCCGAGAGGCACACCAGGTCCTTGTGGTCCTTGTGGTCGTCCCGGTCTACCTGGTACTGGTGGTGAAATAGGTCCCGATGGCGGCGATGGTATGGATGGAAACCCTGGTGTTGTCGGCCTACAAGGTCCAACTGGTCCTCCAGGAGAACAAGGCGATGCTGGTATCCGAGGATACAGCGGTGTTCACGGCAATCAAGGACGAAATGGGCCGGATGGCAAACAAGGCGAGAAGGGCGAAAAAGGCCAGCCAGGTCTACCCGGCGATGTCTTACTGAACGTGGCTAACACTCGGTTGCGACGTGAAGCAAATGGCATGGGAATGGAAAAATTGCAAGAAATGCATCGTCTTCGACGAGAATCAGTGGCCGAGGCGATTAGCGCAGCGAACGACCAGATAAGGAACCTTGGATCAACGGCGGACAGGGATGCGCAATCTTCCGATTTCTTTTGGACCAGTTCCTGGAAGAACACGGCTTCCAGACCGAACAGTGGAAGGCTTACCTCACCTCATACTATAGGTGACTTCGGATCGAAGAATTGATGATGTAAAGGAGATATTTTTAGTGATGAGGTTGTGTCGACATTGAGCACGAGCATTCGAGAAATTGTTGTTGAATGGATGAATGAGAACATGGACGTTATCAACTGCATGCTGAATTGTGGATCAGCTGATTGCGGAGGTGGAAGCGGCAATTCTGCTGGAAAGGGTGGTGGAATCACTGTCAAGGTTTGGATATTTTAAAGACGCACGTTTCAGACTTTTAGCCACTCGAATGTGAAGAACCTGTCGATGTGGTGTTTATGGTTGATGGAAGCGATTCTGTATCATCTCGTGACTGGCCTAAAGTTCTCACCTGGGTTACTAACCTTGTTGATCAGGTAATAGAATCCTCGCCAGAGAAATGCAAAAGAGCTGAGAAAATTATAAATTTCTGCTGAAAAGCTGATTTTATTCAATTTAGATCTCCCCAGCTGACCGAGAAAAGTCATCAACAATCGTGTTCCAAGATTTCTCGATGAACCCTGCTACTGGCGCAATTCCACAGGAGATTATGGGGCGATTCGATCCGGGCGATCAGGGCTCCGTTGACGATTTCAAGGCCGCCGTTCTCGCCGCAAAACAATCTGGTACGACACCTAATGACTTTCTTCCCTAATTTATTTGACCACTGGGGGGTTCATCACATGACCGCGCGTGCCACCCGTCCAGAATTATTCACCAACAGGGAATTACATGGTGATTACCTGACCAGGCCACTCCTAAAATTTCAGACCTAAAAGATGAAGAATTTCTATCCACAATTGAGCTTTTTAAAATTCAGTTTCAATTTTATCGAAAATAAGTGAAAAACTGCAGGAATTTGCTTGGAATTATGCTTGATGAACCTAAGCCTTTAGCGTAAACACTAATAGTCATGTTAGACAACATTTTTATAGGCGACTGCGGTTTCCGCTAGGAAACGAACTTTTTGCCGCGCACGCATTTTAAAGTACTTTTGTTTTGTGTTGTCAGCAAAAGTCTCCATTACCATTTCAACCCATTTAACCCATTTTTAGCTCAAGGAACCAATACCTATCAAACTCTTTCGATGCTTCTTAAAGACGACGGAATTTTCGACAAACTCCCGACAGTTCAAAACAAGGAATGCTTTCATTTGGGACTTTTACGAAATGATTATTAAACATTTATAAAGCTCTTTCAACAGGAAGGCGCCACTGTTTTCGTCATTCTGTCCGACGGTGAATCACGTGATCGGTCGAAATATTACGACAAGAAAACATTCGACTATTTCCGCGAAATAACGAGAATGCGAATCGCCGTTGGAGTCGCTGATGCCGATAAATCTGAGCTGGTAAAGGACATTAACGTTTTCAACGTATTACTATAAACATTTTCGTTTAACGAGGTCATGATGTTTTTCTCATGCGAGAAGCAAATAACTCTCTTTCCGATGGATTTATAGATAAAATTGCTCTCAAAACAGAATCGTTAAACTCTTCTTTAGATGGACTTTGCTCAAGATGCCGAGCATCTTCTTCATTATGACGACTTCGGACAGCTGATGGAAGCCGGTCAAGAGATCGTTGACCTCATTCAAGCGGGATGCAAAGCTGACACGAGCACAAGATCGCAAGCGCTATCTTCTAGCCGCCAACTAGAAGATTTTGAATCCGTTAGTTTTTCCTTTGTTCTAAGCTTTGAAACTGATTCAATTTTAAGGACCCCTTCGTTGACCCCTTCGTAAGCTCCGACCCCTTTGAAATGAACCTGGACTTCGACCCATTTGGTCCTGACAACTTTTTGGACTGGGAGTACTACTCAAAATTCCAAGACAACCGGCATCGTGCATAATTCTCTCACAGCACGTTGTAAAACGCTCTTCCTGAACATCTCTTCCTTGCCTGAACCTGAATTTCAAACACTTGACAAACTTGAAAATAATTGCTTTATTCGGGAATGGGCATTTTGTTTTGGTGCTCGCGCAGGAGTTCGGCGGCTTTTTGCTCTTGGAGAAAAGCGTTTGCTTCTTTCAGCGTCGTGTTGAGAAGGTCTTTGTCTTTGATTCTTTTTGCGTGTTCGATTCGTTTGCTCAGAGTTGCGATTCTGAAGTTGAATTTGAAAGAAGATCCCCGATTTTGGGACAGAAAAATTTACAATAAAATAGTAGTATTGGCTACGCAATATCAGAATAAACAAAAAAAAAACTTCCATTCAACTAAATTTGAACGAAAAACCTCATTCAAGGAGAAAAAATAAGAATTATGGTTCTTGCTAATTTTCATGAAAACTTACTCTTTTCTCATCTTGTCGACTTCCTTAACATCGAGTTTTCGCTTTTCTTTTATCTGCTCGTTCCCGCGATTTTTCTGTATTTTCACATGCTCAACGACTTGGTCGGCTAAGTTGAGTTTGCTCTCGAAGCCGCGAATGTCGGGGATGATCCCCAGCTCAATTCGTTTCGCCTTCCTCTGGAATGTCCGACGCGTCTCCACAAGGTAACGATACAAAGGTGAGTGAGTCCCTTATTCGATCATTTTCGAATAGCAAAGGAAAGAAGGACTTACCGATATCGAAGTTTTTCGTTACAAAATTCATCATTTTCGGCGGCGCTTCGCTTCTCAAATCGACACTTTCAGTCGCCACAGTACTTTCGTCTCCAAGAGACAGCAGACTCTCACTGGAAGGCTTAGCAGTATTTTCGAGGATTCTTTCTGCTTTAGTTTTTGGCTTTTCTATGATTTCATCCTCGTCGAGATTGGTTGACTTGGGTTTAAATTTGCGAAGGTTGTGTTGGATGATTTGAGGGGAGGTAGCAAGCAATGTTTGGATTTCCACGGGGATAGGTTCTTCTTCGTTTTCTTTTCTAGCGCTTTATTATTTGTTCTAGAGCTAACAATCTCAAATCTGCAAAATTAATAGCCCTTTCCAATTTGAGGGGCAGTTCTTTATCTTCAAAATAGAGCGCCATAATATGAATTTATTGATATTATATTTATTCTTTTACTAAACCAGTGTTTCTATCAAATGATTTTGTTTCATGCCATTATGCCAACATTATCCAATAACTAACACACAAAAATATCTTTTGTTATTATTTGCTCACCTCAAAAAGAGGTTATAACTTTGAAAACACTGAAAAGCGCGTTCCTATAAGCTCAATAAAAGGCCAGTGTCTCCAACAAGCGATTTCCGGTGGTGTGCCCGAGATTTGCATAAAACAATCGTGCACCAAAGCCGATAAGAATACGGGCCGAGCCAGTGTTGCCCAGTCGTCGGTAAACTCAGCTAGGGTTACAGGCCTCTCCGGAAAAAGGTTAATCCTTTCCTGCTGGGTATCTTACTCTGCTGAGGTAAAAAACAACATGATACTTCAGTGATGAGACTCGAAATAAAAAGACCCCTTTTTAGGGGCAACAAATAAAAATATCAGCGGTTTAAGTTCCTGAGGACTCTTAAGACGCTCACCTTTTTTCCTTGACAGCCATAGCTGAAGAGATGAACGGGTTGATTCCTCAGATAAAAGAATAGTGGATAACGTTGTTCACTGTATTCATTCAATCTGTAAAGATATTATATTATGACTTTTCTGACAAAAATCTGGAGATTTCCGGAGACACATGTAGCCCGATTTCCTGATGCCAGAGCGCGAGCCAAACAATTTGGGCGACGATGGTCGGCAGGTGGTCTAGAATGTCGTCGCGGGCGTTCCCTGCTTGAATGTTTAGCAGCGAAACAAACGAGTACGCCATTTTTCTATAGATTTCGTTCAGTAACTCTCGCCGACACTGGCCGAATTCTCGCTCGTAGATCCACCAGAGAAACGCGTTCGATAGATTTTGAAGTTCTTTTGAGTTCATGATGTTTTGCGGCGCTTTTCGAAGGCGATGGAGGGTCGTTTTTGTATTTAGAACGCGGTTGATGATGCTTTGGATTTTAATGTTTGGTGGAAACTCGAGGTCTTCGAGGTACTTTTCGTAATCGTAGTTGTGTATGTCGTTGTCTTTTGCTAGAATGTATACATTTGCTGGTCAAGGGTTGAAAAGCTTTTTAGCGTAAATAATCCCCTTGGGGATGTCAAAAATATAAGATATTGAGAAATGTGTTTTTAAAAAATATAATAACGAAGACAATTTATGAGATTAATTTTCAGTAAAAATATTTATAGATGGACGAATTTCGATTTTTATGGTTTTTTTCATTCATTTTCATTTCAACCCTTTCCCTGAAGCCGCTGCATTTTCTATGGCTCTCTCTTGAATCTCCAGTCTTTTCTTTCTCATTTCAACCGAGTTGATTAAAAACGGCAGCATAGGCGTTTGCGTCCTGATTGTTTTGTCCTCTTGCATTACTCGGAAGATGAAATCGTCGACAAGACTCTTACAGGTGGCGACGCTGTCTCGAATGTCTTGGACGTACTCGTGCTTTTCGGGCGGCGGGATCTCGCGCATCAACTCTTCCTTGATTTCTTCTGCGCTTTGGGGAATTCCCGCCTGGATCAGCATTTTCTTGTCATTTCGCACTTCTCGTATTATATCCTTTATAAAATATAAGGTGTTTTATAATGTTTATTTAATACGGAACCATAGGATAAAAATAAATGACAAATATTTATTTATATAAAATAAATAATATTTTTTTTTGAAAAGAGAGCCCCGTGCGACTTATTTGGGGCAGTAAAAATACGGTAAAAAACAACTGAAGCAATGTTACGATGCTCCAGTGAGATCACTTATGAGTGAGAAATTTCTATCGAGAAAAATACTCAATGCGTGCCAGTTTGATTATCTTATGGTTTCCATTCACAGCGCTTTTCGTACTTACTTTTTCTGCGAATAAGTTCTTGACATCAAACTGTCTCTGATAATCATCTGCGTCCTGCACGAGGCCGACCGGCTCAGGGCAGGGAAAATCCGCCGGACCGAGCCGTGGCATAAAAATCTGCAAGAATGAGATTTACTTCCCAACGATCTTCAAATAACAGAAACACTCTAGAAAGATTTCTGAATACACACAACTGGACCAAAGGCGCTTTTGTCGCCTTTGTGCCCAAAGTTGCCTATCGACGGGGTTATCTATTGAAAGTGTTTGCACTAAACAGAGTCATAATTGAAGATGCTAAAATCCTAACAAAAACAATCTTTGACTACAAAACTTATTAGTTCCAATTGAACCCAATAATCAGCATGTGATCTCTCCTAAGATAAATGAGGAGAATCTGTATTCAACGTCAGTGAGCCAAGTTTCTAAAAAAGCCAAGTGTGTCTGGCAAGAAATCAGTATCAATATACAGCGCCCTATCAATCATCAACATAAAAAACCCCTTCCAGAATCATTTTTTTTTCGTAAGGTTAAAGGTCAATGAATTTGAAATAATGGTAAGTATCTTCTATCGGTCCCATAATGCAAGGTTTCTTTGATTTTCAAGCTCGGAAGCCAGACATGTTTAATTACTCGGTTGTCTTTGCTTTCTTTTTACCGTATTTGGCCAGTTTTGGCTGCATTTTGTTTGTGATAAATATGCTTAGAGCAGATCAAACCGGCTCCAAAGTTGCGTACTAACTCTTCAATAAGACGGGTCCAAATAAATAACATCTCCGACGCACAAAAATAAACAAGGACCAGATAAAAACCACACGCCAGGGGCCAGAACTCATCAAAGTTCTTGACCCACAGACAGAAATGAAGCTTTTCTCCGCAGGAATCATTGGTAAGAATAAGAGAATGTATGAAAAATTTAATGTTTTAAATCTCAGCCGCCGCTTCGGCTCAAATGGGCGACATGGATATGGGCGGTATGATGGCCCAATTCATGCCAATGGTCGAAGCTAAGTACAACTCCCTCGACCACGAGCAGGTAAAAGACGAGTTCTTGAGCTTCTTTTTGAATACAGTTACTAGATGCACCGAGACTTCATGGAAGACAACACCGGACTCTTCGAACGATATTTTGAGTTCTGCGACATCGGAGGCGATGGCGTCCTCACCCCAGAGGATGATCTCGCTTGCCGAGAGAAGGCCATTAATCTCATTCAATCGTAAGTACTCATTTAACGAACTAACGAAATTGATTGCGTAAAATAAGCATCAAAAAGTTCAAGTCAATATTTGTTTTTGTAAGCTTTTTGTTGACAAGTTCTTTAGTCGAATTCCCTTCCCCTTGGACGACATTGGAGCCATGGGTCTTCCAATTGACCAAGCCAGTGCTGTCACCGAAATGATCTTCGAAAAGTTCATTGATCTCAATCACGACGGTTCCACCACCCTCGAAGAGCTTCAAATGGGCGCTTACTGCCTCTTGCGAACTGCTGCGCAGCTTGGTCTTCAATTTATGGGCGATCAAAATGCTGAACTCCCACGATCCATGTTCCCCGACTTCGACGAAATGTCCGAGGTATAAGAAATATTAAATCTTCTATTTCTACAGAAAATTCTAGCAAGCTCTTGAAGCCATCAACTCTGAAGAGGCTCAGGTCTACTTCCGAGGTCACCAAGGTCTTTACCAAAAACTCCAACGAACTCTTTCCACCCGAAAGGTAAGCCACCATTCTACCGCGTTTTATTTATTTTTTCAACTCATTTCAGATCCGAAAAGTGTTTAAATCCGCTGATATCGATGGAAACAACGCCTACAACGACCGAGAACTCGTCAAGCTTCTCTTCCTTGTTGGCGAAAAAGCCGTTGAGCTCGTTGAGATGTACCTTGGGAACTAGACTGTCATATTGAAAATAAAATACATGTAAACGGAATCATACTGATTTCAGCCGCTTGGTTGTATGTGCTTTATTCAAATGTACACATTCATAATAATTAGATTCGTAAAAAAGAAAGACGTCATGTGAACTGCATATGAGATGTGAGTTGTTTTGTCTCCAAAGGAAATTTTTCAGTCTTTAGTAAGGTTGCGCTGTTTTGTGAAGTATTTGAGCTTGATGGAGGTTTTTTTACATAATTTATCTATTAAGACTGATATTTTAATTGAGGTGGAGCCAGAACATCGTCAGGAGAGGTAGTAGGGACAGAGCAGTAGTGGTTGAACTGCTGTCTTTGGGATTATCGAATTCCCCGGCTGAAATTTTGAGTGAGAATTTGAAATTAAAATGCTTAAATAATTAATTATTGAATAATACTTACAAATATAACACAAGAATTGCATCGGTCTCAGGGCTATGCAGGTGTTACAGTCTCCATTAGCGTCAGCCGACCAAGGATACATGCATTCACATACTTTCTCGTCTTCTTCTGAGTAATTCTCTCGGTCAGTACAACATTCTCGGTCATCAACGAAAACTGTGCCTTCTGGCGCATTTGCGAGGCAATCTTCATTTGGAACGACTTTTTCTTGGTTGTTGTTAATGATGCAATCGCGAGTCCTCTCAGATCTGGACGCTGGGCAGCCGCTGTTGTCCCAGGCCTTCCACTCACCGACAACGGCTTTGTCCTCTTTCGTTACCCGTGTTTCTATTGAATTGATAATGAACGATAAATGTTTACGTCGACTTACTTCCAAAAGCCTGGAAATTCAAGTTATTCGAGTTTTGTGGCTTGCCATCGTCTTGGACTTGTTCCTCCAGTTGTTCATTGATTTTTTCACCCATTTCGTCTGCGGAGACGACCTGTGCGCCGGAATTTTTGAGAATCGGAGAGAGCTGACGAAGGACAGCTTGGCTGACTTCAGTGTAGCTAAAGCTCGTCACGACTTTGTGGCGCGTTCGCAAGTGGAAGATGATCAAGTCAGAGTCTGCGCATTCGATACGGCTTCGTTTGACGGCTTCATCGATGTCACGTCGCCGTCGACCACTAATAATAATAATAGAACAAGTAAAGTTCTTTTTACTTACTCAGATCCGATCTCATCAATGTATGGATTATTCAAAATAACATCAGCATCAGTGACAATCAACTCTTCATCAAGCGCTGCTTGATCAGAAATCGATGGTACACCGGTCGTATCGCACTCAAGAGGAACATCCGATTTTTTCATGTTGACAGGATCAAGAGAAACAAATTTGAAAGCACCAGCAAAGTCAAACCACTCTCTCATGACTCCAGTGTATTTGGCAGCCTTGACGTTAAATGCAGTGGAATTAGGGTTGGCGTAATCATCATTCCATTTTTCAGAGATAGCGATCTAAACGATTTTGGAGAACGAATAGACTTAAAAATATCACCTTGAAATCAACGAATATGTTAATGATACCAAGTCCATTTTCTTTAAGCGCGTCAAGATCATCAACATTTAAGTCGGCTTTAACCTCTTCGGCTGTTGGACATTCCGTTTCTTCTTTGTGGGTCTCGTTGAAGCATCGTTGCGTTTCGTAACAAGTTTCAAACTCAGCGTTCTCGAAGCACTTGAATCTTACTTGACGAACATTTTCGAATTCATCTTCAGTAGACCAGCACTCATGAGAGCACGGCTCCCATGGAGACCAATCTTCTTTGCAGAGCTCGTTGCATTCAGGCTGCACAAATTCTGTTGTCGTGGAAGTTGACGTTGTTGTAGAAGTTGAAGTAGTTGTTTCTAAAAAGATATTAAATTAAAAAGAGAACAATAAGAGTCGAGATGTTGTCTCGGAGACTCAATAAAAGGGATGCATGATCTTATTGAATCAAACATTGCTTCCAGTGTTAAACCTTATGCACACTCGGATCCCCAAAAAACCAGTCGTTAGTAACGACGGAAAAATGTCTTGCGAATCGCAAAATGGTAAAAATAATGAAGAAAAAGAGAGGAATGCTCTGGAATCCAGAGTCTGGATAAAAGTAAAAAGTAGCATCTTTTGGCTACTCTGTTGTAGAATGTCGTTTCGACTTTCTCATTACTTAGCTAAATTACAAGCGAAATGCTTTGCATTCGTTGGTACCTTCTGTCGTTTCACTTATAGTCTCAGTAGAAGTAACTACAGAAGAGGACTCTGTAGAGCTCTCCGTTGGTCCAGGAGTGTTCTTGTCCGTAACATTCTCTATAGATTTTTGTAAGCCGAAATAAAAATTATATGAGTCGAGATATTATCTCAGAAACCCGATATTATATCGGCGATATATCTATAACGGATGCATCATGCATGAGTATAAGTTATACTGTATAACTAAAAATAAAAGATATCGTCGGTTGCACGTTTAACTCGAATTTCGATAAATGAATCCCCGAAAAATGAGTCCGCTTGTGACAACCAGCCGGAAATTCATGCACATTTTTTCTTTTTTCTCGGTTTTCCAAGAATGTTACGAGTCGTAACTCACGACTCTTTAATAGGGCTATAACAACTAAAATTGCCTCGCGAATCGCAGAACAGCTTATGTCAGGTTTACCTTCCGTCTCAACGACAACCTCAGTCGTCGACACAAATGTGCTTGTGCCTAACTCCTGAGTTGAAGTTGAGTCTCTCGACGTAGTTTCTATAGGTGTACTTGTTCCACTAGCTGCCGTGGAAAGTTCTATAGAGAAAAACAAGACCCGTATTTTTGAAAGAAAAAAATTTGATTTTTTACAATCAATTTGAGTGTTTTCTCGAAAACGACTTTTTACCTGTTGTTGAAGTGGTTGTAGTTGTTGTAGTTGTAGTTGTAGTTGTTGTTGTAGTTGTTGTTGTAGTTGTTGTGGTAGTTGTTGTTGTAGTTGTTGTCGTAGTTGTTGTCGTAGTTGTTGTCGTAGTTGTTGTCGTAGTTGTTGTTGTTGATGCTAAGTAACAAATTTGATAGATGTAAAAGTTTTATTTTGTCACATAACTTATGTGATTTTGTGATAAGTGCTCGACAACTTGATAATAAGCTCAAATTTTTATTTTTCCAAATATTCAATCTCTGAAAGTGAGAACTGACGCTGATTTTCCCTATGATTTTGCGAATTTTCGGGGTCGTGTTCGTGATTATAATTATAAACATTTGATCGAAGTTTTTATGAATCATCTAAGTGATCGATTCAAATCCAATACTGTTCTGTGATGATAGGTTGGCCGATATTCCAAGTGAAAAATTTACCTTCAGTGCCGGGTGTATTCTGATCTAAGACTGTGCTCTCAATATCTAACTGAATAGTGCTCGTAGAAACAGAAGTTGATTCGATAGTTGTGTCTTGTGCGCTTGGTGTGAATTGGTCGTTGACAGTGGTCGGACTTTCTAATTTTATAGTGCTTGTGCTCATAACTGATGATGTGCTCAGTGTTTTAGTACTTGTACTGGTGGTGCTTGTTGTCGTGGATGTTGTGGAAGTGGTCGTTGTTGTCGTGGTTGATGTCGTGGTGCTTGTTGTTGAGGTTGTCGTAGTACCTGTTGTAGTTGAAGAATCTGGCTCGAATTTGTCAACCAACGTCGCAACTGATCCAACCAATGCTGTTCCATCAGCAATATCACTGTCAGCAATAGCGTCGTTGATAGCATCTCCGGCAGCTTCTGCCCCGGCATCAACTTCCTCAGCGGCGTCACAGCCAACAACTTCTTCGATGGAGTCATCATTAAGATCAATCTCCACAGGGTCTTCACAAGTAGCAGTTGGGTCCTCAGGGTATTCTTTAGTTTGTTCATACTCAGCAGCCACAGTTGCGGAGACTTCATAATCCTCTTCTTCTTCATCTTCGAGGATAATATCAGACTCGACTTCCGTCACATCTTGGGCAAGAATGTCAACATCACCAGCAGTCAAAGACTCTAGGACAGCTTCTTCAAGCCCAGTAACAGTTTCTTCAAAGGTAGCGTCATCCTCCTTGGCAGCTTCAGCTTCGCTTTCTTTTACTTGGGTTGTAGCTGTAAAGTAAATATCTACTGAAGCTTCGACATCGCCAGTTTCTCGGCGTTTTCGGCGAGCATCACTTGTGACTTGCGTGAATCCTGTTACATCAACACTTGTGAATTCTGAGTCACCAATGTCAAACGTAACGGCTTCGACAGCTGCCTTCACTTCTGCGACCAAATCAGTGTAGTCAACTTCGACAGAGCTTGCCAAGGTACTTGTCCAAGTTTTGTCGAGAACCATTGTTGCAGTAACGATCGCGGTGCAAGAAACATCGGTCGTTGCTTCTTCAGTGGTACTAGCAGTTGTTGTTGTTGTTTCTTCAGATGTTGTGCTGGTACTGGTTGAGGTTGTGGTTGTTGTTGTACTGGTTGTGCTACTTGATGCTGTTGTTTCTACTGTGGAGGTTGATGAGTTTGTGGTAGAGGTAGTTGTGCTAGTTGTTGTTGTTGACGTTGATGTTGATGTCGAAGATGTTGATGTCGACGATGTTGTTGATGTCGACGATGTTGTCGTTGTTGATGTCGACGATGTTGTTGATGTCGACGATGTTGTCGTTGTTGATGTCGACGATGTTGTTGATGTCGAAGATGTTGTTGATGTCGATGTTGTTGATGTCGATGATGTTGTTGATGTCGATGATGTTGATGTCGACGTTGTTATCGTTGTTGATGTCGACGATGTTGTTGATGTAGATGTTGTTGTGGAAGTAATTGTTGTAGAAGTAGTTGTTGTACTCGTGGATGTACTTGTAGTCGTGGAAGTGGTTGTACTAGTTGTTGTCGTAGCAGCAGCGGTTGTAGTTGTTGAATTATCAGCTTGCCGACGGAATCTTTCTCCTTCCAGAAGAGGAACCGAACGTCTTCGCCTGCGACCAGTTGATCGGGCAGCAGAGAAACCAGAAATAGAAAGACCAACGAAGACCTTCGTATTACCATCTGTGTCATCAGTCATCGAGGCAGAAATAGTTTGTCCAAATGAAGAATCTGCATCACCAAAGCTTTGGAAAACGAGCAACATACCGTAGTTACTTGCATCATAGTCAATAGTCATGCTTGATGCGAACATGTCGTTAGAAATAAGACCGGTTGTCAAGGTAAATTTCATATTGATAATGATTGAAAGCTTGATGGTCAAGATTTCTGCGTTAAAGTCAGTTTCACACGAGGAGACGTGACAACGATTTTCTTTTTGCAGATCTCCAATGCATCCAAAAGTATACTCTGGATGGGAATCGATTCGGCAAGCTCTATTTTTGTATTGGTAGACATCCGTTCCGCAAGTAGCAGAGCATGCAGACCAATCAACAGGGTAACCGGAGAAAATGATCGTATCAAAGAGCGTGGAGAAATCGTAACTGTACCAGGCTGAATCGATCCATGCAAAATTAACAGAGTATCCAGCAATAGAAGTAGTCGTCTCAAGATCGGCTGCGAAATTAGTGAAAGTAGAGTTGTCTTGGATTTCGTAGTAGTATCCCCATTCGTATCCCATGAAGAGACGTTCAAATTGCATCAAGTATTTAGCGAGAGTATCAGCTTCGTAGTCCGCGTAGAGAACCCTGGAAATTTCGAAGAAATTCAACATTCCCTGGAATTGATAGGTAAGCAAGTAGTCAACTTTGTAGGAAGAGAATCCGGCATCAGCAATAATCTTGTATGCAGAAACAAGAGCAGGTTGCGACGGGGTTGATGAGAGGTCCCATTCGCTCTCCCCGAGAGCAGTCCAAGAAGATTCGACGCTTAGGAGACTGTTGATCGTTTCATGTGATTCTCCGATTGTCCAAATTCCGTAAGAATACAAATGAGATTGGATGATATGGCTGTACATTTGAGTTTGGATAGTTGCGGTCCAGTCGTACGCGAACTCGGAGTTAACGCTGACAAATGCGGCGTTGAAATCGGTGGAAATTTCCATAGAAGAAATCCAGTAGATTCCATCATAGGCGATATAATAAGAGTTCATAAGATCGAACAAGTCAATATTCAAAGAGCTTAGATCAAAGCTGTTGCTGTACATGTACATCATTGCATCGGAATAGGCAAAGAAAACTCTTGCACCGTGGAACTTCCAGATTTCAGAAATCTTCGATATGATCATCGCAGAATCGTGTTCCTTGATAGTTGCATCCAAATCCAGATAGAAAGTATTGTAATATTCCGCAAGGTAAGCTTGATAAGAAGTGTAAGAGTCTGAAGCTTCGAAGATCCATTGAGAACCACCGATGAAATACATGAGGAGACCGAAATCATATCGTCCCTCGATAGTAAAATCGGCATAAGCAGACATTGAAGGCAATTGATAAGTCTGGTGGGCCCAACTAAAGACATATTGGGCAAGAGATGTTTGCGAGATATCAAAAGTGTAGGTATTGTGAAGAACACTTGTGGAAATACTGAAGTCCTGAGACGCAATGAAAGCATCAATGGTATTGAGATTAAAGGAGGTGAAATCGACGGCGTAGTCCGATGAAGAAAGTAAGCCAATAAAGTAGCTCTGCATTGAAGTGAAGTAGCTAACATAGAATTCGCTAATGGAATAACCACCAAGATGGTAAGATGTTGCAGTGTCAGCGATTATAAGTTTGAGCAGGGCACTCATCTGGCAAATAAAACCATTTGCGAAGGAGCCATAAGCGGCGATGTAAGTCTCAGAAGTCACTGAAGAGAACGTAAGAGTTCGCACTTGCTCCTTGACATAATCGATAAGATAGTTGTTTCCGACTGTAAGTCCGGTAATATCATGCATCCAGGAGAACGCAGCGCCTTCAAAGATAACGAAGAAATTGTGTTGCCATTCGATAAGTTGAACAGAAATTGCGCTGTAGATCACATAGAAGTCAGCTTCGACAAAGAAGAGATTGACATCAAAGCCAACAAGAATGGCCTCGATCCATCCAAAATGCACATCATAAGTGATTTCTGATCGAATGAAGCTCAAGTCAATAACGCTCAAATCCAAAGCGCTGAATTCAGCCCAGCCAAAGTTGGCGACAGATCCGCTAACAAATTTGGCTTCAATGTGAGCAAGTACTTCAAGCTGATAGAAGAAGACAGCGAATTCTGGACTGTAGATTATTGTCTGGAATTTCGCGAACTCAGCTTCAAATCCAGCGTAACCATCGATCGACGTGATGAAACTAAATATGTTTTATTGTTTTCTCGTAATAAAATGACGAGGTAGTAAAAAGTTACCCTCAGAAAGGATGTCATTAAAATGGACATTGCTACATTTAAGTTCGCAATGAGTTCAAAACTTGATAACTTACTTGAACCCGAAATCACCGAAGAAGAACGCTTGGATTTCTCCAACACGGAATCCCTTGAATGAGAAGGTCCAAACTCGTAGGAGGCTGATGAAATCAGCGGAGAATCCGAATGATGTAAAGAAGTCGCTTTCGAAGAAGCGCATGATAAAAGTTTGCTGGATGGAAAGCGGAGCGAGCTCGATTTCTACGCCTTCAATGCCGAAGTCGAAATTAATCAAGTCAAATCCAAAACCGAAATTTGACCATGCGATAAACCAGCCTTCAAGAAGATCGGAGCCAGCGTAGAAATTGAAACAGTACATTCTTTGTGCGAGCGCTCCAAATACAGGGGAGTAGAAGTATCCAACATACTGGTTGATGTTAATATCAAATCCGTACACATTGATCAGATTCATAACGCACACGTTTGCCCACCAGTCTTGGAGGAAGGTAACATACGCTTCGAATCCGCTTCCAGTGAACCAGGTCATCTGTCCAGTTTCGAGTGCCACAGAAAGATCGTATTTGATGTAGTAAAGCATCTAATTAGAATTTAATAAAAATATGCATAAAAAGTAAAACCTTGAAGTCAAGATCCAGATATTCGAAGAAAAGGAAAAGCTGTTTGAACTCGAAGTTGAAATCGTAATCGACCTCCCAGAAAGATACAAAATAATCGGCCTGGCAACTGAAATCATTATTTTCCCATCCTATTTCAGCCAGAAGATCGCTGAATGTCGCGCAATCGAATATAAGTGCCGTCATGTCATAGAAGAAGGTCCAGTCAACCAAGTCAACAGAGAAGTACCCAGATTGGATGAAGATGAGAATATTCATCCAGTAAGTAACTAAACCATCAGCAGAAAGTGAAAGCTCCCAGCCAGTAAATTCGTAGCTAGAAATTTATGCTTATTTTGAAATAAAAGCAAACCTACCCAAAGCTGACGAAATAGTTCACATAGAATTCAAAATATGCATAGAAGAAAACGTTTATGTCGTAGAGCGAGTAAGTCGCAGCGTTAAAGTGTTCCATGGTGTATGCACAAATAGCAAGCTTCGTAATAATTGCAAGGTCACTTTCATTTTCCATTTCGATTCCAAATGCCTTGAGGGTTTCATTGGCAAATTGATTGGTTGCAAAGCAGGTTTCAAGATGAATTGCCTGTGAATGAATTTCCCAAACGACTGTTTCGACAGTCAATTGATACTCTGCGATCAGCGTTATAGTGTCAATATGGAAGTTTTGTGAGAAAGCAGCGCAAATCGTGTCGTCTTGAGATATGTTGAGTTCTTCAATGATGCTTATTCTCTGAAGAGCGTGGTAGTAGAAGTTGGAATATCGGAGTGCGTAGAATCCAGCAGCATTGCTCGAGAGAAGACTGGCAAAAGACAGGGAGAACCAGTCATCACTTTCCCTAAATTGATTATGGTGATAAATTTTAACATTCGGAGATCTTACATCGCCTCCACAGTCAAAACGGCTCCAAGGGAACTGAAATTTGCGACGAACGCGTCTTGAATGCTACCTTTGCAGGAATCAATAACAACACTAAAAGAATATGTTAAGAAATTTTCGACAATAGTTTGTGTTATATAGGCAAAGCATGTTACTTCTTTTGGTGTCCAAAAGTCTTTTGGCGCTCTTGATTGACCGTTTGATTTCAAACGAAGTGGGTATACGATGTTGATCATGCGCTTTTGTTTTAAATTACGTCGTGGTGCTTTGGCTACTGGTGGAGCTAGTGGTGGAACTAGAAGTGGTTTCTTGAGAGGTGGTGGTTGTGACAATGGTGGATGGGGTCGAACGAATGGTCGATGTCGTTGCTTGTAATGTTGTTGATGTTGTGGTTGTAGATGTTGTTGTGGATGTTGTTGAGGTAGTAAATGAGGTAGTTGTAATAAATTCTGTGGTTTGTGTAGTGGATGAGAATGTTGTATCGACCCCTGAGTTGTCCGTGACAGTTGAGAAGGTTCCTATTTCAACTTCAGTGGATGTGGTAAATATTGTCGATGTCGAAGAGGGCTCAACTGTCTGATTGTCTGTCACAGTTGACATTGTTCCTACTTCGCTAGTCGTCGACTCCGTAGAAGTATTAATCGTTGTGGGTTCGATTGTGTTACTGTCTGTGACGGTTGAAAGAGTGAATTCAATAGTGGAAGTTTCTGTCGAAGACATTGTCGTAGGTTCAATTGTTTGCTCGTCTGTTACAGTGGAAACAGTGCCAACATTGTTCTCTGTAGATGTTGAGAATATCGAAGTCGATGTTTCAGTTGTTGGCTCCAATGTTTGCTGGTCCGTTACAGTCGAAAAAGTGCCTACACCAATAGTAGAAGTACTTGTCATCGTTGGTTCAATGGTTTGCTCATCCGTTACAGTCGAAATAGTGCCAACATTGCTCTCTGTAGATGTTGAGAATATCGTCGTCGACATCGTAGTTGTTGGCTCTAATGTTTGTTGGTCCGTTACAGTCGAAAAAGTTCCCACATCAATAGTAGAAGTGCTTGTCATCGTTGGCTCAACAGTTTGCTTGTCTGTTACGGTGGAAACGGTGCCGAATTCGAATTCCGTTGATGTAGAAACTGTCGTGGATAACGTTGTAGAAGACGAGATGATGGTTGACGGCCCTGGTGTTTCCTTGTCGGTTGAGACAATTGTTGAGAAAGTTCCTGTATGAAAAGTAGAAGTGTCTGTACTAGTTAAGAAAGTAGAACTTTCTGTCGAAATTGTCGAAGTTGTCGAAGTTGTCGAAGTTGTTGTGATTATAGTTGTGGTAAAAATTGGATCTTCTGTAAATTCTGCTTCGGTAGTAAGGAATTGACTTTCAGTTCCCGTAGAAAGATCAATTTCAGAGGTCGTGCTATCTGGATCCAGGCATATAAATTTCGTTCGAAAACCCAAAGCGAACGCGAAGCGAAAGCGAAAATTTTTCCAGCCAAAAAGCGAAGCGAAAGCGAAGCGAACGCCTATCTTGCACAGCGAAGCGAAAGCGAATTCGCCAAGCGAAAAATTCGCCAAAAGCGAAAAATTCGCCAAAAGGGAAAATTCGCCAAGAGTGAAAATTCGCCAAAAGCGAAAATTCGCCAAAAGCAAAGAATCGCCGAAAGCGAAAATTCGCCAAAAGCGAAAATTCGCCGAAAGCGAAATTTCGCCGGAATTGAAAGATAAATTTGTATAAAAGGCGATCTAATAAGATGAAAATTCGGCCCATTTTTCTAAGTTAATAATATGACACAGTTATGGAAGATGAAGCTGAGCTTTCATTTGAGTCGTTTCCCGGTACTCAAATTCGATTGAAGATATCTAGTTCGGATTTCGGAAATTCCGGTCCCATGAATTGCCTTGACCCCTTGATATGGTGCCCAAATGAAAGCTCAGCTTCTGGGCTTTCTAAAACCGAGAATTTTCGAAGCCCTAGCTAAGACTTTTAGACTCTAAAATTTAGAGGCTACCATTGATGATTGAAGCCCAGGCTCTTGCAGTCATTTTGAGCTCTAGAAAAGAATGGCGGGCGTAGGGTATCTGGGGAGCTAGGGACTCTTAAGGAGGGGGTCGACGAGAATCGGGATTTCCGTGACCAAAAATGCGGGAAAACCTGATCAGATAGGCAAAATCTGAATTTACTGGCAAACAGAAAAGGGTTGAAAAAATTAACCGGCGTTAAGTAGAAAAATTTTTGCTAGAAAAATCGGTCAAAAATGCCGTCAAAGTAGGGCCATTTTCGCGAAAATGCACCAAAAATAGTCATTTCTTTTACATTTATCTTAATTTCACCCCTAAATCTTATTTTTATCGAATGATTTTAGGCTCAACAGATTCGTGAGGATCTGTAGATTCCAAAATATAAGATTCATGCACAGACCATGCGTATACGCGAAATCACGATCACCCCTGAAAAATTCTCGTCGACCCCCTCCTTAAGGGTACGGGGGTCGATGTTATATGTGGTCTTAACTTGAAAGTATGACAATATCCATGATGCCCAGTGAATTCACCGCAAAAAATAAAGTAGACTTACAGTTGAAAGTGAGCTGTTATCATTTGTAGTTTCCGAGAAACGAGCTCTAGAACTTTGACCGGAAAAAATTTTTTGGCTTGGATTTTCATTATTTAGGGCTCTTTTGAAAGCGCAGAGCCCGAGAAATATGATGGTAGTCTTGGTTTTTTCTGTAACCAGATATTTTGGATTTTACAGCAGAAATCGTTTATTGTTATTTCAAAAAATAAAAAAAAGGTTTGAAATTTCATTAAAAATATACCGAGCGGAGGTTTATAGGTTCAATTCTTCAGAATTGAAGCCAATTTTACCCTAATATAGGTCGAGATGCCAACTTTGAAGCGGTTTTTTGGCAAGAAAATGTCTATAAACTTAAGATTTTTTTCTATAGAAGTCAAGATCTAGGTTCAAATTAACTATAAATGAAAGATCCAAGCCTCGAACTCTTTAGAGTTTCCCGGAATAAGGCCATGGTTAGAGCCTCGTCGACCCCCGTAGCCTTAAAGTTAGGGAACTCGACCAAAATTGAGTACTTTTTAAAGTCTTTTAATCGACGTTTATTCATTCAACAGTGTTTAAGATGACGTTTGGTGTCAACTGAGGTCACTCTAGGTCAGGAATAATTGAAAATTCAGAAAACTCTAATAAGTGACCCGACCTGACCTCAGATGACCCCAAATGACAATTTCAACAATTTTAAATGAATAAACATCGAAAAGACTTTTGGAAAAAGTACTCGATTTCTGCCGAGCTCTCCGACTTCAAGAGCCCCTAGCTCCCCAGATACCCTACCCCCTCCCGACTTTTCTAAAGCTCAAAATGACAGCCAGAGCCTGGGCTACAATCGAGTATAGGTGGCACCCTAACCCACCTATCAGTAGCCAAATGGTCCCCAGCTTCTAGGGGTTCTAAAACTGTATTTAACTCCCACCCTACTAAGCTTGAAAAAAGGCTCAATTATAACTAAATTTATAATTTATAAATGATCTCCCCTATAAATACCGCTTTGAAAGACAAAAACATAAGATTCGGCCAATTATTGGCGAAAGCGAACTCTTGGCGAAACGAGAACTTGGCGAAATTTTGGCGAAAACAAACTCTTCGCGAAAGCGAGGCCTTGGCGAAAGCGAAATTCTGGCGAAGATTTGCCAGAAGCGAAAATTTGGCGAAAGCGAGGCCTCGGCGAAAGCGAATTTTTGGCGAAAATCGGGGACAAAAAGCGAAAGCGAAGCGAACATCAGGGGTGTCATTTTCGGGGGGCGAAAGCGAAATTTTCGATTCGCCTTCGCTTCGCTTTCGCTTTTGGCGAAAATCGCCAAGCGAATTTATATGCCTGTCTGGATCCATAGTCTCGTTAATAGTTTCAGTGGCTTCTGCATAGCCGACCGTTTTTGACTCCGTGAATGGTTCTTCAGTGGGGATCGTGTTACTTTCTGTCATTCCGTCGAATGTAAAACTTTCTGTGATGACGTTCGTGAAAACATCTTCCGTTTCTGTAGTAGGATCGATTGTGATTGAGTCAGTGTAAGACAAGTCTGTTTGAATCGTGAAGCTTTCTGTCATTTCCGCCGTGAAGGCAGAGTCTGTTGCTTCAGTGAAACCAAAGGTGATTGAGTCGGTGTGAGTGGCATCTGTGGGTATCGTGTTGCTTACTGTCATTTCTTCAGTGAAATACGACGCTGTTGCTTCAGTTGGATCAAAGGTAAATGATTCCGTAAAAGCTGCGTCCGTAGGCATCGTATAACTTGTTGTCATGCCTTCCGTAAAGAAAGATTCCGTTGCCAAAGTAAAGCTTTCCGTTGCACCAGTTACAACAGAAAAATCTGTTTGTTCCGTGAAGCTAGACTCTGTCGAGACCATTTCTTGAGTGTAATCCTCAGTAAATAGGGATTCAGTCGGATTTCCAAGTGTGAAAGTTTCTTCTGTAGTAAAGTCTGGGCTTTGAGTAGCAAAGTCGAAGATTGTGGCAGTGTTTTGTGTGACTTGGCTATCAGTGACTGTATCTGATGTGAATGAAATGTATCCTTCTGTGGTCATGAAATCTGTCGAGTCTGTAGGAGACTCTGTTTGGAAACTATGTGTGAATGGTTGTTTAGTGAATGAAGAATGTGTGAATGCATCTTCTGTGGAACTATCTACATACCCAGTGGTCGTGTCAGGTAATTCGGTAACACTAAGTTAAGAAATGTTGGTGAATTGAAATTTAATGAGAGCGTGTAATTAGCGTTTTGCCGAACGAAACAAAAGTGTTTTGTTGGTATGATGATACTGATAGGCGTCTTAAGATGTATCCGTACCTAGGGGCTGTTGTTTGGATGTCTGAATCGGTGACATCTTCGGTAACGTCTGTTACTTCTGTGAATCCTTGAGTAGCTCCTTCAGTAAAGCCTTCAGTAAAACCAGGCTCAGTGAATGGTTGTTCGGTGAAACTATCAGTAGTAAACTCTTCTGCGACAGTAACGGGTTCAGTAACGCCAGGTACTGTAACATCCGTGAAGGTCTCTTCTGTTGGGGATTCGGTGAAACCATCAGTGAATGTTTCAGTTGCTGATTCGGTAAACCCATCAGTGAATGTTTCAGTTGCTGTTTCGGTAAACCCATCAGTGAATGCTTCAGTTGCTGATTCTGTAAAACCATCGGTGAATGCTTCAGTTGGAGATTCGGTGAAACTATCGGTGAATACTTCGGTTGCAGATTCGGTGAAGACGTCGGTAAATGATTCAGTTGCAGACTCGGTAAATCCATCAGTGAAAGACTCCGTGAAAGGATCTAACGTAATAAGTGCAGAATCTGTAAAGATACCGGTAGTGACATCGGTAAGTTCTGTAACAACATCTTCTGTGGGTCCAAAAGTGTAGCCTTCTGTGTTCTCTACTACAGTGTATCCTTCCGTGGCAATGATATCTGTGACAACACTATCCGTTGTGCCGATAAAGGGAACATCTGTGGTCGCATTGAAAACCGGCGCCGCGGTTGATATCTCTATCATAGTCGTTGTAGTTTCGACAAGATCGCAATGCTCAGATAAAATACACGCGCCCTCTAGGTCGCGCACAAAGCCAGGCAGACAAACGCACGCTCCCGTAATAAAGCAACTTTGTGACGTCGCATCCTCTGTTGAGTTTCCGGTCATATTAGCTGGCATGTTGTCGCAGGAGTAGAAGTCGGTACAAGTGTTCGCGCAGCCATTGTACTCCTCGTTCACGCCACACGGAAGATCGCATTCGCTACCAGATCGCCAGTTGCATAATTCTGCTGGCACATCGTCATGAGTACTTTTTACGAGTTACGCTATTTCCTGGGCGAGGTCTTAAATTTGAGACCGAATTGTCACATAATAATCCTAGAACGGCCTAGAAATTGTGATTGATTAGCGATGATTAGGTAACGATAAATTAATAGGATTTTAAAATATATTAGTGTACGGCTGGCACTGCATGATTACTTGTTCATATTACCTTTTTATATGCAAAATCTATCATAAACTATGCAACAAAGGGAGTTAAAAATCCAGCTGATTTTTGAAAGCAATCAAATCTGATCACTTATTTTTACGACTGAGGAGCTATTCTTCGCTCTGTTAGCGAATAAAAGAGCAAATGATTGATAAAAATCGCGGGATTATGTTGGGCAGCTTTGGCTAGATTACTGAATGATCGATTAAAAAATATTCATAACTTTTCCTGTTGGCTTGGCTAAGGATTGAGTCGATGCATTGGTTGACATACGATTGATGAATCTCGCATTTGATAGAAGGTTGCCTGCAAGCGTCGTATTTACATTCATCAACAATAATATCTGGGTTGACCAGGGCATGACATTGTCCAAAGACTGTGCTGTTATCTCCTATCTGCTCGCAGAAGCTGGTAATGTTCGCGTCTGGGGCACAAACACTAGGTTCAGCGGCCAAGCAGCCTCCAGTTTCTGTGAAATTATGGGTCAAGTGAGAATTGCCAAAGTCAGTTGCAGTTCCGGTCGCGTTGCTTCCAAATAAAGTATATTCGTCAGCGCATTCTCCATTGAAGTTACCACAGAGACCAAACGTCTCGTGTGAAAGGCACTGAGGCACCTTGACTTCAACGTACCATACGGCAGTATTGTAAAGGAGCTCAACTCCGAACCAAGTTGTAATCTTCGCAAATCCTCCGTAGTTCTCAAAAGATACGCCACCTTGTTCAAAAGCGCTGAATCCTGAGATCTCCGTGACATTGCCTGTCAAATGATCTTCCCACTCAGTGATGACGTATGAAGGCAGGCCCGAGCCTTGTGGTGGATCGCCGACGCGGATATATAGGCTTTGGGTGAAGGTGGTGTTTTCATTAACTTCATCGTCTTCGAGGTAAAGCTCGAACCAGACATGTTCTGTCATTGTAGCAGTTCGGTCATCCCAAGCTCGGCGCATAGCGACATCGATTTGGAATGGAACTTTTTTCGATTGATAATTATTGTTAAATAATAACAATACTCTTTCGTATATGAACTTGGTACTATGCTTCAATTCAAATCAATAACCGTGGTAGAGTGAAGATGAGAATGAAAACAAGAAAGCAAATTGCTTTTATTATGTAAAATTATTTCCATTCATAAAAAGACCGCCATGTCGTTAACCTCGGTTAACGCTAGTAAATAGAATACATTTAAATATCTTATTTTTCATCCATGTATGATGAGTATTACCTCTATTTTTACCAATCGACCTTTGTAGAAGTATGGATCATACGATGTAGATTCCACCAGTCGGTAGCGGCATTGTCCCATAAAGTCGTAGTTGCAGTGATCAAATGTGTGGTAATGAGGATCTCCAGATCCGTAACACATTTGTTTCGGCTCATCGAAGCAATGGTCCACGCATCCTTCTTCCACTAGGTCTTGAGGAGTGTAATCTGTGCATATGAGGCCTGTTCCACGGGGTTGTAATTTAAAGAAATTAAAAGCGATGATCAAAGTGTTTAATTGAACTTGTTTCAAAAGCCAAATTAGCGTGTCAAAATGAGTTCATTTTGAATTCTGATTTTATTCTGATTAGTATATAAACAAACTGATTTATTTTACAACCTGCCTTCTGTTGTACATTCACAGTACCTTTCCTCGACGCAATTTTGACCATTTTCGGTATTATCCCAATCAATAAGGACATAGTCACCGTTATCAGTAAAGCATCCACATTCATTTTCAGGGACACAGTCGCCTTCTACGCCGTCGACAACCTGTCTGTAATATCCTGGAGCGCAGATACACTTTTGCAATTCTTCTCCTGCCACGGGACATTCGTCTCCGGCCAGAGCTCGGAATTCGGGACAAGTGTAGAAGTCAGAACAGCTATCAGCGCAGCCGGCCCAGATTTCGTTTGTTCCACAAGTAACAGCGCAACTAGTGATCTCGTCTCTCCAGTCACAGAGAGCATCCGTAGAAACATTTGCAGCGCGCATGGCATAAGTACATTGGTTGATAAAAGCCTGGTAGATGTCACATCCGATTGAGCTATCCAAGCAGTAATCGTATTTGCACTCATCAACGATCTGTTCAAAGTTAACATAGTCGTGGCAGAGGCCGAAGATCGAGGAACTATCGGCAAGCACATCGCAGAACGGAGCAACGTGAGCGTTATTACTGTCATCTAGGTCACATAGAGCAACTTCGATTGTCGGTCCACAAGAACCATCAACGCTATAGTTCTGTGTCAAATGAGAGTTACCCCAAATATCGACATCGGAGTTATCGGTAATATTTGTTCCGTATACGTAGCTGTACTCGTCCGCGCAATCTCCGTTGAAGTTTCCACAAAGACCATAAGTCTTTTCTCGAAGACAATTTGGTACATTTACTTCAACATACCAAACTTGGGTGTTGTAGATGAGTTCAACGCCGAACCAGGTCTTAACCTTAGCGAAGGATCCAAAATTAGAGAATTCAACTCCTCCATGATTCCAAGTATCCAATTCTTCGAGTATGGTAACATTTCCATTTGCATCAGTAATCTGGCAGCTTACTTGAGACGGCAGACCAGATCCTTGAGGTCTATCAACAACGTGAATTTCCAAAGAATGAGTCGGACTTGTGGTGTTGTCGATTACATCGGACTCAAGATAGAAATCAAACCAAACATCTTCCGTCATTGTTGCTGGTCGGTCATTCCAGGCTCTGCGCATAGCAACATCGATCTGGAAGGGGATTCTTGTGAAGTTTCGATCCATATCCTCAAAGTCAACAGCAACGAGTCTGTATCGACATTGACCCATGAAATCGAAATTACAATGATCGAAAGTGTGGTAGTGAGGATCGCCGGAAGCATAGCATTTTTGTGTTGATTCTTCAAGTCTGCAGTCATCAATGCATTCTTTTTCAATCAGCTCGTATTCAGTCCAATCTCGGCAAACATAGTTGTTGTTGCCCAAACATTCGCATCGCTGATCACATTCGTCATAAAGATAGCCCTTCAGGACGTATTCGTCGTTGTTCTCACCAATAAAGCAGCCGCAATCAGCCTCGGGGACACATTCACCGTTCTCTCGGTAATATCCGTCATTGCAGATGCATCCTGAGACTCGCGATTGAACTGGGCAGTGTTCGTCATCAGGAACAGCTCGATTCTCGCAAGTTCTGAAATCGTCACAAGAATCTGCGCATGCTGTCCAATAAGCGTTATCACCACAATCAACAGAACAAGAGTAGCTCATTTGGGAGAGGCCTTGTTCTCTCCATTCACAGATCTCAGTTGAGACATTTTGAGCAAGAGATAAGTACTGATTGAAGTAAGACTCGTATATCATACAACCAATAGATTGGTCAAGACACATATCGAATTTGCACTCACTGACAATAATGTCAGGATTGACAAGCTCGTGACACTGTCCAAAGATAGTATCAGCATCAGCCATTTGCTCACAATGCGGAATTATATTAATATCCTCATCATCAGGATTGCAGGTTTCAAGTGGAAGTGGCGCGCCACAAATACTTGCATCGTCTTCAAGAGTAAAGTTCATTGTCTGATGAGAATTGCCCCAATCGATGATTGCTGTGTTGTCTGTTATATTTGTTCCGTAGATTGTTGAATATTCATCGGAGCATTCACCGTTAAAATTTCCGCAAAGACCGAAGGTTCTTTCTTGGAGGCAATTGGGAACCATAACCTCGACATACCAAACAGCAGTGTTGTAGACAAGGTCGACGCCGAACCAGGTTGTAATCTTAGCATGTGAAGCGAAATTTTGGAAAGTAACTCCGCCGTGTGACCAGACTTCGTAATCGCCCAAAACGATCGTGTTGTTGACCACCTTTGTGTTATCAGTGATCTCTGTAACAACTTGTCTTGGCAGTCCACTTCCCTGTGGTGGATCACCAACGTAGATATGCAGAGTATGAGTTGCGGTCGTATTTTCGTTGATAACATCATCTTCGAGATATAAGTTAAACCAAACAGCTTCTGTCATAGTAGCTGGTCTATCATTCCATGCTCGTCGCATAGCAACTTCCACTTGGAATGGAATTCTGGTGAAATTTCGATCAAGATCATCATAAGCCACTTCCACAAGTCGATATCTACACTGTCCCATGAAATCAAAATTGCAATGATCGAAAGTATGGTAGTGAGGATCGCCGGAGCCATAGCACTTTTGCTTCTCCTCAAGTCGACAATCAGTAATGCATCCGCTGTCGATTAGCTCTTGCTCGGTCCAATCTCGACAAACGTAGTTTCCGTTTCCAAGACATTCACATCGTTGATCGCACTCGTCGTAGATATATCCCTTCTCAACATATTCATCGTTGTTCTCACCAATGAAACATCCACAATCTGCTTCTGGGACGCAAGCGCCATTCTCTCTGTAAAAACCGTCGCCACAAATGCATCCAGAGACACGTGATCGAACTGGGCAGTGCTCTTCATCTGGAACTAATCGGTTTTCGCATGTTCTGAAATCATCGCACGAGTCTGCACATGCCGTCCAGAAGGCATTGTCACCACAGTCTACAGAACAATCGTAGTCCATTTCTGAGAGTCCTTGGTTTCTCCATTCACAAATCTCAGTAGAAACGTTGACAGCGAGCGAAAGGTACTGATTAAAATAAGACTCGTAGATCATGCAACCGATGGACTGGTCAAGACACATGTCAAATTTGCACTCACTGACGATGATATCAGGAGTAACAAGCTCATGACATTGACCGAAAAGTGAAGTTGCATCTGCCATCTTCTCACAATGAGGGACGATGTTGACGTCTTGAGCATCAGGATCACATGGCTCGACTGGAATTGGTGGTCCACAGATGCTTGCGTCATCTTCTAGAGTGAAATTTGCAGTTTGGTGAGAGTCGCCCCAAGTGTCAACATCGGTGTTATCGGTGATATTTGTTCCATGAATGATCGAGTATTCATCGGAACACTGACCATTGAAATTACCACAAAGACCATACGTTTTTTCTTTCAGGCAGTTGGGAACCAAAACTTCAACGTACCAGACAGCCGTATTGTAGACGACCTCAACACCAAACCAAGTAGTAATCTTAGCGTGCGAAGCAAAATTCTGGAAAGTAACTCCTCCATGCGACCAGACTTCGTAGTCGCCCAAAATAATCGTGTTGTTGACGGTTTTGGTATTATCAGTGATTTCTGTGACAACTTGTCTTGGAAGACCACTTCCCTGAGGTGGATCGCCAACGTATATATGCAGTGTATGAGTTGCGGTCGTATTTTCGTTGATAACATCATCTTCGAGGTATAAGTTGAACCACACAGCTTCGGTCATCGTAGCTGGTCTATCGTTCCATGCTCTTCGCATAGCAACCTCGACTTGGAATGGAATGCGGGTGAAATTGGTGTCGAAATGCTCATAATCCACTTCCACTAGTCGGTATCGGCACTGTCCCATGAAATCAAAGTTACAATGATCGAAAGTATGGTAGTGAGGATCTCCAGAGCCATAGCACTTTTGTTTTTCCTCAAGACGGCAATCAGTTATGCATCCGTTGTCAATGAGCTCTTGTTCAGTCCAATCTCGACAGACGTAGTTTCCGTTTCCAAGACATTCGCATCGCTGATCGCACTCGTCGTAGACATATCCCTTTTGAACGTACTCGTCGTTGTTGTCACCAATAAAACATCCACAGTCAGCTTCAGGGATACAATCGCCGTCTTCTCGGAAGAAGCCGTCGTTACAAATGCATCCGGAGACAGTGGATCTAACGGGACAGTGTTCATCATCGGGTACAAATCTGTTTTCACATGTTCTAAAATTGTCGCAAGAGTCTGCGCAAGCGGTCCAAGCGGCGTTATCGCCACAATTAATTGAACAGTCGTAGTCCATCTTCGAAAGACCTTGGTTTCTCCATTCGCAAATTTCGTCAGAGACATTCTGCGCAACCGATAGATACTGGTTAAAGTACGATTCGTAGATCATGCAACCGATTGATTGGTCGAGACACATATCAAATTTACATTCATCAACAATCACATCAGGAGTGACGAGAGAGTGGCACTCTCCGAAAAGGCTGGAAGCATCGGCTATCTGTTCACAGTGAGGGACAATATTGACATCTTCGTCATCTGGGTTGCAAGGTTCAACTGGGATTGGTGGTCCACAGATGCTTGCATCATCTTCTAGAGTGAAATTCGCAGTTTGGTGTGCGTCGCCCCAAGTGTCAACATCGGTGTTATCGGTGATATTGGTTCCATGAATGATCGAGTATTCATCGGAACACTGACCATTGAAATTACCACAAAGACCATAAGTTCTTTCCTTGAGGCAGTTGGGAACTAAAACTTCGACGTACCACACAGCCGTATTGTAGACGACTTCGACACCGAACCAAGTGGTGATTTTAGCATGAGAGGCAAAATTTTGGAAGGTAACTCCTCCATGCGACCAGACTTCGTAGTCGCCCAAAACGATTGTATTGTTGACCATCTTTGTGTTATCAGTGATCTCTGTAACAACTTGTCTTGGCAGACCACTTCCCTGTGGTGGATCACCCACGTAGATATGGAGAGTATGAGTTGCGGTCGTATTTTCGTTGATAACATCATCTTCCAGATACAAGTTAAACCAAACAGCTTCTGTCATCGTAGCTGGTCGATCGTTCCATGCTCTTCGCATAGCAACCTCCACTTGGAATGGAATACGAGTGAAGTTGGTATCAAAATGCTCATAATCCACTTCAACAAGTCGGTATCGACATTGCCCCATAAAGTCGAAACTGCAATGATCGAACGTGTGATAATGAGGATCGCCGGAGCCATAGCACTTCTGTTTTTCCTCGAGGCGGCAGTCAGTTATGCATCCCTTGTCAATAAGTTCTTGTTCAGTCCAGTCTCGGCAAAAATAGTTGCCATTTCCAAGACATTCGCATCGTTGATCGCACTCATCATAAAGATATCCCTTTTGAACGTACTCATCGTTGTTTTCGCCGATGAAACATCCACAATCTGCCTCAGGAATACAAGCGCCATTTTCTCTGTAAAAACCGTCGCCACAAATGCATCCAGAGACACGTGATCGAACTGGGCAGTGCTCTTCATCTGGAACTAATCGGTTTTCGCATGTTCTGAAATCGTCGCACGAGTCTGCACATGCCGTCCAGAAGGCATTGTCACCACAGTCTACAGAACAATCGTAGTCCATTTCTGAGAGTCCTTGGCTTCTCCATTCACAAATCTCAGTAGAAACATTGGCAGCGAGCGAAAGATACTGGTTGAAATAAGACTCGTAGATCATGCAACCGATCGATTGGTCAAGACACATGTCAAATTTGCATTCACTGACGATGATATCAGGAGTAACAAGCTCATGACATTGACCGAATAGTGAAGTTGCATCTGCCATCTTCTCACAATGAGGGACGATGTTGATGTCTTGAGCATCAGGATCACACGGTTCGACTGGAATTGGTGGGCCGCAGATGCTTGCATCGTCTTCAAGAGTAAAATTTGCTGTTTGGTGAGAGTCGCCCCATCTGTCAATATCCGTGTTATCGGTGATATTGGTTCCATAAATGATCGAATATTCATCGGAACACTGACCATTGAAGTTACCACAAAGACCATAAGTTCTTTCTTGGAGACAATCTGGGACTAAAACTTCAACGTACCAGACAGCCGTATTGTAGACGACCTCGACACCGAACCAAGTTGTAATCTTAGCGTGCGAAGCAAAATTCTGGAAAGTAACTCCTCCATGCGACCAGACTTCGTAGTCGCCCAAAACGATTGTATTGTTGACCATCTTTGTGTTATCAGTGATCTCTGTAACAACTTGTCTTGGAAGACCACTTCCCTGTGGTGGATCACCAACGTAGATATGCAGAGTATGAGTTGCGGTCGTATTTTCGTTGATAACATCATCTTCGAGGTATAAGTTGAACCAAACAGCTTCAGTCATCGTAGCTGGTCTGTCATTCCATGCTCTTCGCATAGCAACTTCAACTTGGAATGGAACTCTCTTGAAGAAGGTATCATAGTGCTCATAGTCAACTTCTACGAGTCTGTATCGGCATTGTCCCATGAAGTCGAAGTTGCAATGATCGAATGTATGGTAGTGAGGATCACCTGAGCCATAACATTTTTGTTTTGGTTCGTCAAAGCAAAATGAAATGCACCCATCTTCGACTTGCTCTTGCTCAGTTAGTGGAGTACAAATATATCCATCGGGAGTACAGACGCAGTTCTCTTTGCAGTCACGGTAGACAAATTCCTGGGCAACATAGCCACCAGTTGGTGTTCTGCAACCACACTCTGTTTCTGGAATACACTGCCCATCAGAAAGAACAAAGCCTTCCTTACAAACGCACATGCTAGCAGTTTCAGTTTTCCCAGCGCATCGTTCAACGTGATCTTCGTCCTTATTCAAGCAAGTGATGACATCAGAGCAAGTGTTCGCACATCCTTTGAACTCTTGATTAGCTCCGCAAGTAGGAGTGCAGTTCACTTTTTCATGCCAATCGCAAAGCTCTTGTCGTTCCCAAGATGGAATGGCATCTAAACATGCCTCGGCATATCCACTGATCATTTCACAACGGAGAGAACTATCAAGACAGAGGTCAAACACGCAATCGTGGTGGTGAAACTCTGGGTCAACGTAATCGTGACAACTGCTGTTTGCGAAAATTCCAGTTTCGCTAATAATTGGTTCACAATGATCTTCTGCAACAATTTTATCTGCTTCGACTGGGCATTTGGTGACGATCTCACCAGCAGAGCAGTTGAAGCTGGTCAAAGCCCAGGAATGGCCCCAGTCAAAAGCATCTTCAGGCGTAGAAACAGGTTCATCGTTCTCCCGATTGAAATCACCACAGAGACCCTTTGGAAGGTTCTCGTAGCAAGATGGGAGTTCAACGGTGGCCTGCCACCTTTCAGCAGAGTACTTCACTTTTAGACCGAACCATGTCTCAAGGACACATTGATTTCCGTAATTAATCACGCTAAAGTCGTTGTTGACCATTTCATTTGTTTCCAAGAGTACGTCATTTAATCGATCGTAAACAAAGAGTTGTGTGAAGGATGGTCTTCCGCTGCCTTGTCCTTGCGGTCTATTTTCTTCAGGGATAGTCATGTAGATTTCCCATCGTCGCTCAGTGACATTATCTTGATCGCGGAAGTTTTGCTGGTGAATGTCGATCCAAACATGTTCAGTCATAGCGACAGTAAGTGGATACCATGCTTGTCGATGTTTGACAGAGACTGCAAACCCAGGAAGGCCTTCTCGATCAGGGTTTTCGTTATCGTCATCAACTCCTGTCAAGAGGTACTTGCAAGTGCCCATGAAATCGAATCGGCCTCCATCATAAGTTTTGTAATGAGGATCACCAGTTGCTGTGCAAACTCCGTCCGGCCGATCTTCACAGGTTTCTTCGCAAATATCTTCAGGCTGACAGATTCCCTCGTGTCGCACATATCCATCTTTGCAAACACAGTCAGAAACAGCGCTACCACCACTTGGGCAGAAATCGTCAAGGTCTGTGTTGTAATTGGCACAAGTTCGGTAATCATCGCAAGTGTTAGCGCATCCTTTGAAAACTTCATTTTCATCATGACAAGTAGGTGCGCACTGAAGGTCCGTTGCCCAGTCACAAATGCTTGCTGGAATTTCACCTCCTTGTTTTCTTATGGCGGCAATACATTGACCAATGTAGCTCTCATAGATACCACATTTGATACTGTTATCCAAGCACATATCAAATTTGCACTCACTGACGATTATGTCAGGATCCACATACTGATGACACAGGCCAAAAACAGAGGCACCATTTCCGATGAGTTCGCATTCCTCTTCAGTCGTCGCTGTCGGCTCGCATTCTTCTGGAGGCGGCGTTGTTACGTTACATTGACTTCCTTCCCAATCGCCGACTCTGTGAGAATCACCAAAGACATTGGCTTCGACGGTTTCCGTTGTGTTGACTTTGTATGGGATGAATTCGTTTGACTTTTGCCCATCAAAATCACCGCAAAGGCCAAGAGTCTTCGTCTGGTAGCATTGCGGCACGTTTACCTCAACATACCACACCGCCGTTTTATAAATGACCTCTACGCCGAACCAGGTCGTAATGCGCGCCCAAGAGTTGAAATTTTCGAATTTAATACCGTCGTGCTCCCAAGTTGTATGAGCGTCCAGCACGATCGAGTTATTGTTGACCAAGTCGTAGATGTACGCGTTGATAAGTGTTGGGTACCGTTTAGCCTCGGTTGGCACTGGCGGATCTGCAACGTTGATATAAAGCTCATATGGATAAGTAGTATTCTCGTTGATTGCTGATTTCATGCTCTCAGTGTAAAGCTGGAACCAAACATGTTCCGTCATTGTAGCAGTTCGATCTCCCCATGCTCTTCGCATAGCAACATCGACTTGGAATGGAACCACATTATCAAAAAGTGAGAGAGATTCAAGTTCAGTCTCAACCAATCTATATCGACATTGTCCCATGAAATCGTAATTCAAGCCATCAAATGTATGGTAGTGGGGATCACCAGATCCGTAGCACTTCTGGAGGGGAAGAGTTTGACAGCTGACCTCACAACCTCTGGCGACTTTTTCCTCGGTTGTCAAATCTCGGCAGGTGTATCCGTAAGAGAAGCATTCGCAAGTCTGCTCGCAGTCTGTTTCTGTATGGCCGATGGGTACTGAAGCTCCGTTGGATAAAATACAACCGCACTCGCTTTCTGGGACGCAAACGCCTCCTTCAAGCACATATCCACTGTTACAAATGCATGCACCAGTGTAGCTAGGGGTGTCCAGACAACGTTCGTCGACGTTTTCATCTTTGTTACCACAGGTTTTGACATCTCGACAAATGTCAGCACAACCCGACCATGCCGAGTTAGCTGGGCACTCTGGGGCACAGTCCAAAGCGTTCGCCCAATTACAAAGACCGTATGAAAGCTGGAAAGATGGAATTACGGCAAGACAAGTGTCGACGAATTGTCCAATCATGTCACATCGCAATTCACGGTCGATGCACACATCAAACACGCAATCATCGTAAAAATGATTGGTAAGTGATTCGGTAACGTAGACGCGGCAATCAGAAAATCGGTTGCCCTCGATGATCGGCGAGCACTTATCTTTGACGTCTTCAGCATCACACTTTTCAAGGGGGTCGCCAGCACTGCAACCGTCTTCTTCAACGGTCGCCCAGGTCTGAGCCCAATCGACTTGCTCTTGAACAGTGGTAAAAGGCATAACAGCAGAAGTATCAGTATAGTCCACAAGGTGCATATTCTCCCCAGATATCCAATCGTTAGAATGTTCTCCGTCAAAATTACCACAAAGACCATACATACGCTGTCCATAGCAGGAAGGAATTTCTACTTCTACTTTCCATTGATCGGCAGTGTAAGTGACCTCGAGGCCGAACCATGCTTTCAAGTAAATTTTATTACCAACGTTGAGAATCTCAAAGTCGGAATTCTTCATCTCTCCGACATGGAAAGTCTCATTGGTATTCAGATTCATAATCGTCATGTCAACTTGTGATGGTCTTCCAGAACCTTGTGGAGGATCTGCAATGAACAAGTAGATCTCCCAATCGGCTTCCCAGTCAGTGTCGGTCATTGTTCCATTATTTGCATAAATATCAGAGACGACTGTTGGGAAATTTGCGCCTGGGAAGGTGATCCAAACATGTTCAGTCATAGCAACAGTGACTCGTGGAGCCCAAGCTTGTCGATGTTTAGTTTCAACCTTGAAGGGAGGAAGGTTTGCATAATCGGTGTCCAGTTTTGCCGCAGTAAGCAGGTATCGACAGGTGCCCATAAAATCGTATCGAGCGCCGTCGTACGTGTGGTAATGCGGATCTCCTAAAGTACCGCGTTAGTTAACGACCCTTTTGAATCATTAATTTGTAATCAATTTATAGATGAAAGATAAAAAGAAAATACGATTTCGACGTACCCTGTGCACGACAGTATCCTTTTTCGGTTGGCAGTTTGGTGGGAGAAAGAAGGTAGGAGGCAAATCAGTACAGATAGTGAGTCTGTAATCGTAATCGTAGTAATTTTCAAAGTCATTGTAACATCGATGATCGTACAGTCCCCAGGCACACTCTGCTTCAGTGGTGTTGTATTCTGGCATGTAATGGTACGCAACACATTTTGAGTCTTCCCCAAATGGCTGGTCCGTATGATCGATTCCGACAGTGTCGTTACATTTTGACCAGCTCATCGCATCTTGTTCGACGGCGAATTCATTGAAATAGCTAAACATCCATTTTTCAGTAGCTTTGTTTTGATAAGGGAGCCACATGGCCATATCACAGCCTCTATTACATCCTGGAAGGTCCTTGTCGAGCGCGTTTCCGATCATGTTCAAGTACCCGGCGGAGAGAGGGTTCGACAGATCGAATGGAATCAGATACTTGTTCTTACAGAGGCAGAAATCCAAAGCATCGTTGAGTGTATGTTTGAGATTGTAAATCTGGAATTCATAATCATCAGATTTAGACGTAGACGTTTGAATGTTCAGGGTGATATTTCGGAAAGAATCAGCAAACTCGCAGTGCATAAGTCGGTTTTCATCGTATTGCACTCTATCTTGAGCAAAGGGCATACAAACAGTAAGAGGCTTCTTGAAGGTGGATGAGACGCAAGGGCTAAATAATGATTAACATGTGTAATTACTTTACTCGTGAGTTCAATTAAATTTACATGTCTGTTTAACGAATTTGTACCCAATGAACTTGATGCTATGTTCATGATAATGAAAACAAATTGATAGATCCGGCAAAAAATGTGTCTATCTTTGACAAAACGGCCGGTCTGGTCCATAAATATTTATTAGCCGCTGCATTTTTACGAACCTATCAAAGACGCCCCACGAGCACTCGGCTTGATTGCCCTCGTACTCTTCGTTCCATCCGAATGTCAGGCAATGTCCGTTTTCTTCGCCGTCAGGTTGGTTTTGATGAAAATCCATGGGCGGGTCACATGTCGCCCAGTTGATTTGTTCCTCTGTCAGGGAAATGGTTGAGATATTATTGTACACATATCCCCACTCGTCGGCGTTTTCGCCTTCGAGGTCTGAGCTGAGGTTGATAACTTAAATCTTCCAAAAACAAAAGTATTTGCAGAACAAGTCATCAAGAAAAAATATCTCCAAAAGACAAAAAAATTGTCGCACATTTGCTTTTTTTTCCGAAAGTTTTAAATTATCGTCATGAAAATGACAAAAAGTTATTTCATTGCTGTCCAAGTTAAAGCAGGCTGCATTTCAAATTAAAGTTAGCTCCAAAGTGGGCAATAAAACTTATAGTCGTGAAATTATAGCATGCCAAGTTTAAAAGGCGCTAAAGTTATCGACCTCTTCTAGTTTGTAGGGCAGCCCAGTGTTTGAAAACCCGCAACATTTTCCGCGGGCGCGGGCGGGCGCGGGGGCCGATTTCAAAATTTTCCGCGGATGCGGGCGGGCGCGGGGGCCAACTCGAAAATTTCCCACGGGTGCGGGCGGGCGCGGGGGCCAACTCGAAAATTTCATGCGGGTGCGGGAGGGCGCGGGCGGGGGCCCCGCAAATTATCGGACCCGCGGGCGCCCAGGGGGCCAGGGGCGCCCGTACCCCTCGCGCCCGCAGAACCCGGGAATTTAACGAAAAATATTTAAGCAAATTAAATAAAAAAATATTCTCAAAATTTAAAATCAAAACCATTATTAATCTAAAAACTAAGATAATAAGAATTTTTCAAAAGATGGGTGAGGGTGGGGTTGGGGACAAAACTGAGATTGATCAACTCAGAGTTCCCAGCCATTGTCAAGCCCCTTAAATTCAAAAATCATGGAACAGGGCCGAGACGGCCCGAAGGGCCGTCAAGCCCCTTAAATTCAAAAATCATGGAACAGGGCTGAGACGGCCCGAAGGGCCGTCAAGCCCCTTAAATTCAAAAATCATGGAACAGGGCTGAGACGGCCCGAAGGGCCGTCAAGCCCCTTCAATTAAAAAATCATGGAACAGGGCTGAGACGGCCCGAAGGGCCGTCAAGCCCCTTAAATTAAAAAATCATGGAACAGGGCTGAGACGGCCCGAAGGGCCGTCAAGCCCCTTAAATTCAAAAATCATGGAACAGGGCTGAGGATGAATTACCATAAGAATTTTTCGGGCAAAAAAATTTTTTTTGAGATATTGGTATATTCTGAAAGCCCGATAAAAGTTATACAGAATCACCAAATTCTAGGGTCAGATGACGTCATTATGACGTCATCGGGCTGAATTGAAAATTTTGTCTTTGGAACGCTTTTTCGAGCCGAAAACGTTATTTAATTTTATTTTTCTCGACGGATTTGGATTTTCCATGAAAAACTACGTAGGGACCCGTGATCAAACCATTGAATATCAACCATTACCGACCGGTTCAATTTTTGAAACCGGTCGGTTCGAAAAATAAAACTCGGGTCCCTACGTAGTTTTTGATAGCGAACAACATGTCATCAATAGAAAAATCTATTTCCAGCAAAAACCGCCTCAAAAAGCGTTCCAAATTTTCATGAATTTGGAGCCTTTTCGGACATTTATTCATCATAAATGACGTCATAATGTCGTCATTGAGCCCTAGAAATTTGGGAATCGACTAATTTTGACTTGGGCTTTCAGAATATAATCTTATCTCAAAAAAATTTTTTTCGGCCAAAAAATTCTTATGGTAATTCATCTGAGACACGTTGTTTCCAAGTCTTATGGCCCAAAGTCTACCAGCGCAACCCGATTCATGTTTCCTACTTTATGTCCTTTCTTTATTGGAAAACCCAACATTCAGAACTATCTTCATTCAAATTATAGGGAGCCCCGGGCGCCCGCGGGCGCGAAAAAATTTTTCACGGGCGCGGGAGGGCGCGGGGGCCAGATCTTAAATTTCCAACGGGCGCGGGCGGGCGCGGGGGCCAAATCCGAGATTTCTTGCGGGTACGGGGGGCGCGGGCGCCCGTGGCCCCCGCCCGCGGCCCCCGCGGGATTCGCGGGCGGGTTTTTTCAAACACTGGGGCAGCCAAACATCTATATCGTCGTAGTCACGATTTGTCAATTCCCAGATTCGTTCTCCGATTTTGACAATGTGGAGACGAGAGCCGACCTTATCCTTCAAATCAAGTGGAAGGACCCGGCCGTCATTGTCTTCACATTTTTGCTTGGCTTCTTCAAAATTGGTTGGATCCTCGTAAACCTTATAATTTCGTCCGTCGACGACGAATTCAACCGGGAATTCGTAAGTATTTGATTCTGTATTTGTGTCAAGAAAAAAGGACATATCGATCTACCATTAAGTAAGGTGATCCATCAATTAATATTCCGGGATATTTTCGGATTTTATGATCACCTAAAGCTCTTTCTTCATTACTTTTAAATGAAATCAACCGCTTTTAAATGAAATCAACCGCTTTTAAATGAAATCAACCGCTTTTAAATGAAATCAAACGCTAATATTTCTTTGAATCTAAAACTAAAATAGTTTAATTATTAAAAATAAATTAGAGAATAGGAGAAAATTATTTTTCTGGTACACATTCCTGCAGCTCCGAAGAGCTTCAGAAATAGCAATAATCCTAATCGTCGCTTCATGCTGATCGCATTCTTCTTGGATCTCTATTCTCGATACAGAGCTCTGGTGTTCTCTCGTCGATCTTAGGGATCTTTGTAAGCCAGTTAGCAGGACCGAAAGGCTCTGGCTAAATGACGGAAGCGCTGCGACAATGAGCCCGTAAAGTTTGAGATGGTAGTAAAACAAGCCTAGTAAACTCGACCCAAATGGCACATGCCGCATTTAATTTTTGAAGCACTAAGCGTTTTGAGCCTATTACGCTTTCCCCAGAAACTTCGGAGAATTTAATCGTATTTGACCTCGTTCATGTTTCCTGAAAAGCCTTTTGACAAGTTTATTAATTCAAATAACTTGAACTCGAATTTGATGGAGGAGTACAATAAAACTGTTTCTTTAAAAATGAATAAAACGATAAATCAGTTTTCTCCTTCAGATCAATTCTTTTAGAATTCTTACAGATTATTATAAAAAAGGGTTTATGAGGATCAAATTCAAAAGCTCAACTCCTGAGACCTGCACGATCATTTTAACGAGAAGGGCTGGCTAATCCTTTTTACCCTTTTATGGTGATCCCTGCGGCTGAGAACGTAAAAAGGACAACATTAATCATGCCGGTCGGATTACTGTCTGAAACCTAAGTCAACTCCGTAAATAATAGCCGTAAAGACAGAATAGACAGTTTCGTGTTCGCCTGAACAAGAATTTTGCCCTGCAAATCTTGCTACCCAACGAGTCAGATCATATTCTAACAATGAGAAGAGATTTTGTGAGCTGAAAATCTGTGGTGACGATTGTTTGTGGTTGTGTGCGTCGGTGATTTCTTTCAAAAAATAATGAACGAAAATTATATTTAATCCGAGCTGATTCTTTGTTTCGCCAACATCAAATTCAATGAAGAAGCTCATCTGACCACAGTTGGTCGATTTTAATGCTATCTGAGCAATATTTGCTACAGTAATCTAAATTTAAATTGAAGAAATGATTTCTCAAGACAAAAATGATCAATATTACCCGTCATGTCAATTTTGACTGATTCTAATCATCTTCAGCTCTATTTGAATAAGCATAATCCATTAGCACCAATACACTGATATAAAAATCATAGATCATGCACTTATTCAACAGGGTGAAAAAAATGATTAAATATTAAGAAATTGATGATCTTACAAACATTATAAAAGCCCCTGATCATCATACTAATACTTCATACTAAAATTGTAGAAAACGATGAACATTTTCGATGTTCTTTTTGCGATTTGCGCTGCATCGCCAGTCTTTGCTAGCCCCGCAATGTAAGTGTTATAGGCGAGAAAATTAGACAAGATGATCATAAATTTTCACTGAGAAGCTGACTTTTATGAAATATGCTTTTTTATTGCTATTCTCACGATGATTGCAAATTTAGACTCTAAACTTTAGAGTTAACGATAATAGTAAATGTAAAATGAGTTCAAAATCTTCAGAAACCACAACCAACGGGATCGAGAATTGATGAGTTTCCTGGGCTACCCGGAACCCATCAATTTATCAAGACATCTTGAAGGGAAAGAGTTGCAAGTCTTGAGGACCTGGCATAGTTTTAGTACCCTCAATTAAGCCTTGTTTTTACTACTCTCTCGACTATTATTCATCTCATTATGAAATCATAAAGCCTGCTAACTCTTGAAAACAAGTACGATCGCCAACAACCGAAGAACCTCACGCAAACGGTCGCGACTGGACTGATATTTTGAGCACTTTTTTCTAAGCGCGCAAAATAAATAATCTCTTTACACTTTATAATGTCTTATTTATTTATTGTTATACTGTAGCAACATCAGCAAATGGAAATTTTGAACTTTCAAGTTCTATGAATCATCATTTTACTTTTTGAAAGAAAGAATTTTTTTGAATGAAGGTAACATGTTTCTGTTGTTGAGCGGCCGTGAACGTTTCAGTAGAAGCATCGCAACTGTGTGAGAAGGGTTCGAAATAAATTATTTGTCGGCAAAGACTGCGGCAACATCTAGCATGGCTTTTTCTATGTTAGCACCGAAACGAGCACTGTTGGTATGGGCACAAGAGTGCTTAGAAGAAATCTAAAAGAAAATTATTAAAATGACTGCTTTTAATTCAATTTCAAATGGCTTACATGGAACATAATAAGATCCTCGTCACAAATAATGTAGGAAACACCGTAGCCATCATCAGAAACTGGACCAAATCCGCCACCAGTTGAGAGCATATCCGGGTGCTTCTTGAAGTCAATCAGATTAGCCTGGGAGTGAGGCGTCTGTGACGTAGAGAGTCGCCATTTCTGGGTAAGCGCGGTGTCCAAAAACTTCGACTCCAGGCCGAGATACCGAGATACCACGTAGAGCGTGAATAAGTGTCGGTCGACTCCCTTACCCGTCATCGCGGCCTAATAATTTTTTATATTCCTGCTCCGGAAATCGTCACAAGTTTTATTTTGCCTTTTAGGTGTTTGCCTTGAATCGTTAATTGATTATGAATATACGGGATTATTTTAGTTACACAATAATCAATACGACTTCTCACCTGGTAGAGGCTGACGTGGTACTTAGCGGCGGCTCGGGCAAGTCCTCTGAGAGTTTCCTTGTCAGCTCCTTCTTCCATGGCCTTTACAAAAGCAGACGTCTCGTTGGTGCAACTTCTGACGGTTTCAGTTCGTCCTTCGCGGTAAAGTCGAGTCATTGAAGCTTCATAAGTAAGAGAGAATTTTCCTTGATCACGGTAATTAGCCAGTTGGAGGGCAAGTTGAACAAACGCGTCTAAGAGTAACATTTCAGTGGCTAAACTTTGAAAGGGTAAGTAACCTGGAGAAACGCCACAGGATTTGATCAGGCGCTTGCCAAAGGTTCCAGGTGCGCCGTGGTATTTTCCGAATGGATGAATGTGCATGTCAACGTCATCAGCAATTCCTTGAGCTTGGATCTTTTGTTTCTGAATGATTTCGTAGCAATCTTCGTCGATTTCCCAGGTGAGTTTTTCGGGCTTGAATGGGAGATGAGCGCGATCGGCGTCGCAAGTACCGTCTTCTTTGTATCGTCTAGAAATATCTTTGGAAGCGATTCAAGACGAAATTCTACTGACCGTCGAGCGAACTCATGATAAAACATTTCCTCGCACAGATGTCCGAAGATCGGCGCATCAGCCCACGAGTGCTCAACATTGGCACCGTAGATACCGTTCTTGAAAACGACAAGTGTAAAGGTCTTATCGAACCATCGATCGTTAGTTTTTCCATGAAGAAGATCCTTCGCATAGCTTGAAAGAGCGGCTTTATCTTGAAGCTAGAAATAATAGCTAAAACGCGACTTGATAAAGGGAGAGCTTACATCAATTTTAGGAGTGCCTTCATCCAGACAAACACAGAATGCGGATGATTCAATTGCTTTGAGACTCTTGGCGTTGACACCATACTACGAAGAAAGGTCAAGAGAATTATGACGTCGCGCCTAAATTACCGAAAAATGTGTTTGTCGTGCTTGAGCCCAGGGAACCCGTTTTCCAGCGGTAAGACATGCCAAATCTTCCTCTCCTCTAAATTATTATGAGCGATAGTGTTTGAAAAAAGTCTCTTACCGAGCAGGAGGAGTGTCATCCTTCAAAATCAAATCAAGCTGATGTTCTATTTCAGAAGTAGTCAAAAGTCGTCCTGCGTAGTAGCAATAGACCTTAAACCATCGACCTTTGTGGTAAACAGCTACGTGTCGAGAGTCCTCGAGCTTCACAATTTTATCCTTGTCGATACCGGGAATTCGGGTGGTGTTGAATGTTCGCTCGTACTGGTAAGAACAAAGTGGAACCATGTTTCCGGCCATCAGAGGCTTGACTCGTTCTTTATCCAGTTGTGAGCGCCATCGGAAACAAGCTAAAATAATAAGTGAATGAACACATCGATTTGTTACCTTGGATGAGTGTAGCAGCTCGTGCGGTTTGCCTGTCCGTTGGTCTGCAGAGAGCCAAATCCATGGCGTAGAAATTAGAATTGACCATGATAGCATCTCGCGAATGCAGGTAAACGAATTCTTCCCACCAATCAGAGACATAATTCGAGGCCCACCAGGACTTGGCGACAAGGTATCGCTGAAGACGGTTGGCGATTCCATTTGGAACTCTTCAGCAAGCAAGGCCATGTCTTCGTATTCTTCATCGGTCAAAAGTGGCCGAACAGATCGAAGGTATCGGTTGAGCGTGTCCTTGATTGCTGGAACAGGGAGTTTTGGAAGAGACCCTTGGTAAGAATAAAGAAGGGGATTACGGCCCTTGAAGATCGTGACCAAGATGCCCCAGATTCTTGTTGTAATTGATTTCTTTCCGCGCCCTTCGAACATCCAACCGTGGTATGAAAAACAACCTTTGAGGATGTACCTGAATGATTGCTTGGATAAAATTCATGAATCATAGATCCTACCTGACAACATAGATGAGAATCGTAAAAACTCCACCAGCAAAAACACACGAAGCTGTGAAGTACTTTCCACCGATATTAAAAACAGAAGGCAGGACACTCTCAATCGCCTTGATTGCTCCCCGATCGAGGTCAAGATCCGTAGTCTTGTCGACGATGATAAACGCCACTACTGCGCCGGCAATGGTTTCCAACCGCGCAGGGTAGACGCCAGAACCGAATCGGTTGACAAATCGAACCAGACGTTTGCGCCAGGAACGGCCACCGGACTGGACAACGGCCTTGAAGGCGTTGCGATTGAAGTCGACGTCGATTCCATCCGGAGTGACGGTAAATTGGAATCCAACGGCAGAGTGAGCCTCCGCCATCTTTTAAACAGCAAAACGATAACTGAACGAAACCACGCCCAAGATTTTTCGCCCGATCTGAAAAATTGAAAGATACTAATTGTTTCTTGACCACTAGATTTAGTCAAAACACACAGAAAGTAGACAGGTCCTAAAACAGGCAAAGAAAGTGCGAATAATAAAACTTAAATTCCGAGCTGATCCCAGAGATTTGTTTGTTCCTCTTCTTTGCGCTGCCGCCACTTGTCCAACAAGTGATTTTGTTTCTGAATTAGGGAGTAGAATTGAATCTTGTACCCTTCACTCATTACCTTCGAGTCCGAAGGCTTCGATTTTACGGTCTTTTCTTTCTTTCTACGTTTCTTGCGTTTTTCCTGCGGTTGAACCTCTTCTTCGTCGCTGATCAACATTGCATCATCGGAGCAGTTTCCTTTATCTTCTTTTTCATCCCCAGCTACCTTGGATAACTTTTCTGAAACAACCTTTTTATTCTCTCTTGTCTTTTCATTAAATTTCGGCGTGAAAATAACATCTTCGGACTTCTTTTCTGGTGACGCGTCGATTTTGATGCCAAGTCTCGCGAGGCGTCTGTCGTTCATTTCATTTTGTTTTGGCCTTGTGCTTTTAACCTCCTCGTCTGCCCGAAGACGCTGAGCTTTCTCCGCGTAAACCTGGTCTTTCAAGATGTCTGTCTGGCTTTTCTGATAAGCCTCGAGGGGGGTTCGCTTCTTTCCACCACCAAGGACTCCGCTAACGGACCCATCTTCGCCATATTTCCAAGGGGTGCTGTCAGATTTGGAGCTTTTCGACGACTTGTAAACGCGCGTGGGTGTTCCAGACGTTTTTTCAGACGGTTTTAAAGACGGGTAGGAAAATGTCACCTCCCCAGAAAAATTGTTAACGTAGCCATAAGTTTGGTCAGTCGTATCCCAGAGAAGAGAGTGACCACTTGGCGCGGCGGTCTCTTCGAAACGGGAAATTGCATTCTCATGCTCTAAAGAGGTGATTACAAATCTGAACTAAGGATAGGAAGAAGCAACCTTTGACTTTCTTTTGAAAATAAAAAGCATCTAGTTTTCCAGCCTCAAAATCCTCTAGTCGAGCTTGAAGCTGGATAAAAGCAAGTTGAAGTGAGTGAAGGTTCTTTTGGTTGTCAAACTTGAAATATTTGAGCTTGTCGATTGCGATTTTCGTTCGTGCCTCCAAATCCTAAAAACCCTACTCAAGATCTTTCAAGTGACTTATTTTTCTTTGTGGTTGTATATAGAATTTTTAAATTGATGGTTGTTTTGTAGGTTTACCTCCTTCAGCGAAGAATTTTCGTGGATTCTGAAATTTTCGTTAGGTAGGGTTCTCTTAATGGTTTCAAGAATAATTTATGTTTACTGAAAAGCGCAGAATTATTACGAATTTCGCGATCTAGAGATACAGTCTGTAGCTGGATAAATTGAACTTCGATTTTTCGAATATCTCGGTCCAAAGGTCGCTGATCCGAAGCTACAAAATTCCTATTGACAGAGTCTTACGTCATGTCACGTAAAATAACCTCTAAAACTACAAGTTCATCAGCTCAACTTACCATTTTTAGCCGTGATCTGGAGCAGAGTGAGACTGATCTTCAGTACTGAATGGTTAAGGGTCCACAAGCCCATGTATTTGAATTATAATCCAAGTCACGTGATCAGCAGATGATCGAGCATCATCAAGATTCTCACCTTTTCAAGTTTGCGGAGTTTTGATGGGCTCGGGCTTCTTTTTTTCGCGCGTTTCCTGAAAATTAAAAAATTGCAAACATTTTCTACATCAACTGACCTTTCTTGAGAAGGTGACTTTGATCGAGATCGAGTTCGGCGAGCTGGTGATCTGGTTCTTGAGTGAGAACGCGATCGTGACCGGGAACGGCTTTTTGACGTTCTCGCTAAAAATTTTTAGATTCTTTATTATGAAATAATTAGATAGATGAAATGAATCTTTAAAAACTTACATTCTTCCCTCTTATTCTCTTCTTTTTCAATCTTTTTCTGATTTTCCTTTTCGATCTTCTTCAATTTTTCTTCCTTTTCTCTTATATAAATCTCTTTCGTTTCCTGTGAGAGCTCCCATACAGTTTCTTTAGTTTTCTCGTTGTAAAAATACGGATGCTGGGTACTCTCGTCAAAGAATTCAATCCACGGCCCCCATCGATCTAAAGTTGAATAAAATTCGGAATTCTCCATTGTTAAATTGATTTACGCTCGTAAAATGATAAACTTATTTCTTACTCGGTTCAATTTTCGCCTTTTCTCGTTCTTCTTTTCTTCGGGCCTTTTCCTCCTCGCGTTTATCTTTCTCTTCCTCGGCTTTTTGAAGCTCTTTCATGAAATTGAGCATTTTTGATTGCATCCCACTGTCTTTGATTTCCTGATCGGAGTCTTCATCTTCTGAGGAAGACGATTTTGTTTCCAGAAGACCGAGGCGGTTGTCCTGAAGTTACGCTTATTTACCGATTAAAATCTTTCTTGTACTTTTTTTCTCTTTTGAACAATTTGCACTTCTGGGTTCAAATGACCCCACTGATTGCCACTGTTGATATTCCCGTTACTCATGTTGCTCTTTTATCACAGAAGCAGGAGATGTTTTCAAGAATCAAAACTCTTGAGAGAGGCTCCCAGGGCTTTCCAGTTGAGAGGGCCAATGAACACGCGTGGCAGATTCGATTTTATTTCTAATTTGAGAGAACTTTCCCTCCAGGACGACCCCGAGGGTTGAAAATAACGACACCCAAATTCTGAAAAAAAGTTTGACTCAGCTGAATGACCATGTCGCTAAATCAACAATCATTTAGAAAACCAAACGATAAAAATGCTCTATGAAAATCCTGACGAGTTAATTCTTCAATCATTCTCGATTCCGGTCTCTAATCGTCAGAAAAATGTAACAGGAATGAGATCTATCATAAATTTTAGTAAATCGATGCGTATGCAAATATTATTGATCATTAAAGATTTAATAAATGCGATTAAAAATGCAGCTGATGCCAATCTGCAGAAGATGGGATTTCAACTTCTCATTTCCTGGGTAGACAACGACAATATCTCTTTAGAAGAGGAAGCCCTATCCTTATCCACGTTAGAAATGAATGAAAACAATAAAGATCTTCTTTGGTGGTGGCTTCAAGTCGTTCATAGAACCATGCCCTGTCAAAATCTCAGCAGAGACAACAAGCCTTGCTCAGAGTTGAATGTTCTTGCGCAAAAAGTCTTCACGCAGAGCGAAATAATTATCAGATTCATAAAAACAGAGATCGAAGACAATTGGAAAGAAAACGAAATCTCATCAGAATTGAGCTCTTTCGACGAATTTCGCATTTCTGGCGCACTTTTAGGGAAGTATGAAAATACGGCTAATTGTTAATCCGTAAATGCCAGCTGCTGATCGACCAAATTTACGGGCTGATAACAAGTTCAAGCCTTGAAGTTTTACACGCCTATTTTCATCCACAAAAAGCTTTTATCAGATGTTACCAGTATCAAAAAGACCCTTGCGTACCAAAGCTCATGGACTGGTTAATACAAAACAACGACTTCAAATTCTCCAAAATACTCACGTCTGACGACAATTTTCTGCTTGAATTCTTGCTGTCCTGCGATGAAACTTATCGACTGCCGAGCTTTGCGATTGTCTTGGATTATTTGAACTTCGACGATGAGATTTTCTTTAACATGCTCGTTGAAGAAGAGAGTTTCAAAGCCCTCTCGCTTTTGCTCAAGCTTTTCAAGACCGCTGATCTGCTGAGAAAGATAAGTGCAAACATAGAAGAGGATGATTTCATCGCATGGGCGGAAAATTTATACTCCAAGGTCGAAAAGCTAGCCGATTGCCTGCCATTCAAACCTGCCGCATTTCTGAGAGCGATCAAAAATGCCTTGCCTGTAAATCAATAAAATAACACTATAATCTGAATATTCAAATGTATTTTGTTATAAAAAGAAATTTTACTAAGAAAATAGAATCAATAGAAAAGATAGAATCACGAAAAGAAATAGGCCACTTTGGTGTATGTTTTTACAGTAGGAATGATTGAATAAAACACGCATGAATTCTGAAGAGACAGGTCTAGTTCAAGGCGAACTTCCACTCTTTCGTCTCCAAGTTCGAGATGGAAAATTGCGAGAATTCGGATCGTTGGCTCATTGCGGGAGATGCATCTGAGATCGAGTTTTAAAATTATAAGGAAAAAAGCATTCTTACATTTCTGTTGAGTCGATAAAAAGTTCTCTAAGTCGATGTCAGACTGAGTTTTCGAATGCCGAGCTGATGGAGCTCTCACTGGAGGATAGTTCTGCGTCGGGTTTGGCTTGTTCATCCCAGCGTGACGCTTAAGCTCGGTTTCGGTCACTTTGACGCCTTCCATTTGAAGATCGTAGGGATTTTCCGCGATGGCGACCTCGTTCGGCGTCGGCACTTCATGGGCTTGATTGATTGTTACTTGCTTCGTGACTTTGTTCAGAGGGTTTGCAGCAACCGTAGTTGTTGGTTTTCCGGTGGGAGCATTTTTCTTGGAGCGACTACTTTCTACCTGCGCTTTGACATCAACTTTTGGCTTTGGCGCGCTTGGCTGAGCAATTCTAATGTCGAGTTTGATTTCTTCCGACTCCTCCCGCACTTGGCGTTTACCCTGCGTGATGATCTTCTTTGATGCAGTTTGAGAGATTTTCTTGACTTCCGTATCAATCTTCGCGGTATCTGCGGATTTCATAGCGTTTTGGAAGGTCGCCTTACGAGATTGGATCCCCAAATCGAGGTTATTGTCCGGTCGACCGACTTGGGTGGGTTTTCGATCGAAAGTCATGCTTTGTGACATCCAGGGACGGTCGTAGTTGCGAGGGCGGCTGCCTAAAAATTGGATGGAAACTCAATACAATAATAAGTTCATACCTGAACTAGTTGAAGGCCTCTCAGTCTGAACCAAACTGCTTGGAGGTCTCTCCCCTGCGATCATCTTCGCTCTCCTCTTTAGCAAATTGATCACATATTGCTCCGGGTTCTGGGGCTTTTTCTTCATTACAGCCGACTTCAAGAAGTCAAAAAGATCATTGATGTTATGCTTTTGCTCATACTGCTCGTCAGTCAAACTCGGCATCACTCTTGAATCATTTATTTACAGGATCGTTTCAGTTTTTATGAAGATCGTATTTTTTTGGAATTTTTGGAATGGCAACATTGAAAGAAGAAATTAATCAGCGGACAGATAAAAGTACAATTTCGCATTCAGTGGGGGAGTGTAGCAAAGATGAAAGCTCAGTAATTAAAGTTAAATTAAATTGTAGGTAAGATACAGTGAGGTTAAAACGGTTTGACGTCCATCAACTTTGCCGAGTTGCCGACTTCGCGCAATTTATTTCGTTCGAGCGCCTGAAGGGGTTAATTTAAATTGGCCAATTTTAGAAATGCCAACCTGAAATAGATCCTCGCATTGGGATCGTAAAAGCTGCTCTCTTTTCAGCGATTTTTGAAGCTCTTCTTGAAGACTTTTAGACTTGAGTTGTTCTGCTTGCAATTCTTGCCTTGGTTTCATTTTATGATCGTCTCTTGAATGAACTTGGTTCACCTGAGAATCAATAAATCTTCAGAATCTGACGAGTCTCGCAACTTTTTCAGCCGCTTTGTCTGGGCAACTTTGACAGGGGAAACTGGCGAAGTGTAATTTATCAAAGAGTTGGATGTAAATTCCGTCATCATCAGACAATCTTCATGCTTGGGAAAATATTTTAATGGCGATTGAGATGGATCTTTTACCTCAACAGAATTCAATTTCTTTATGTTCTCTTGCGAAGCTTTTTCCATTGAAGAAAGAATATCGGCTTTAACTCGTTTTTAATTTGAAGAAAGTTAAATTTTCTGACCTAGTTTTTCAGCAACTGGGTCAACGGGCGGGGGCGACATCAAAAACTTTTTGCTATCGCCCATAATCCGATCAAGCAAGTCCAAATTATCGCTCATGTTTTTATATTTTCATGTCATTATTTTCTCTGAATTGAAATCATGGAAGAGAGCAGTTGGTTTTTGTTCTTAGAAGTACAGATTTTCTTGTTGAAGATATTAAGCTTTAATTAGTTCTTTCGGTGGCCAGCTCTCATTATTAAAAATTTCCTTCTCAACGATCATGAATCTCTTGTGCTTGTGGCGTTCTTTCTGGAGCGTTGCAAGTGACTTCCAAATTCGTCGATTTTGCACGACGTAGTCCTCGAGCGCCCACGAGACGAGCCAATTGACAATTGCCAGGCAGAGAATCCTTGACAGAGATGTTAATTATAAATAATCAATACAGTCACTCTCGACCCAGAAGGAGAACTCTCTTTCACACTTGTCAAAAGATTGTCACACATTTTTCAAAACTTACCAAATTCTTATTGGATCCTGATCCCATCCTTCTTCAATTTTCCACGGATACGGTAAAGGTTGAAGGGGTGGGTCTTCTTTCTTCAGTTCAAATAGGTCGGTCACAAACGGTAAATCAGTAAAGACGATAAAAATCGAGGTCAAGGTCAGAGTGAGAAGAGCGCAAATGAATACAATGTTCCTCCAAATTGGCTAAATAAAAATAAAATTTCAATAGGGAATCGAATAAATCACCTGGCGATAAGGCTTTCCTACAGAAAATACAAAGGCCATATGAACGTACTGGAATTGGCTGAAAAGAAAAAGGGATACAGTGGCGTAATGTTCAGGGTAGTACTCGTCATCTTGCTCTTCTTGCGAGCAGGTTCCAATAATCGGATGAACTTAAATATTCGTAGAGTGCGAGTTTTGCTATATTTTCAAGTACTTGAGATAGTTCCATTATTTGGAAGTGGAATAGTAGCGTTATTTCCACTAAAGCAAGGTGGGAAATTGTCCGAAATTGAGCAAAACCAAGGCTTATTGATCGTATACAGATAAACGATGACTTGGAAAAGCACGCATGTAAAGACGTGGACAAAAAGACTGAAGATTGTCGGTGCTAAAAATATCGATTAAAATCTAGGGAGTGCTCTCAAATTACCGGTAACGAGAGCTCTTGGCGGTGGGGTTTCGGCGATACGTTTATAGGCTGGACTGAGGGACATTGTCAGCGCGACAATGTCGATAATTATAAGGTCAATGTAAAGATATTGCCAGTCGCTCAGATTCGTCTTCCGCCAGTAGAGGATTAAAATTGAGCAAAATTGGATCATCGAGTACAGTGCCATGTATTTGAACATTCCGAATGATGTCATTAGCGCAGCCCGACCTTCTCTGATGAGATTGGACACACAACTACAGTAGTAGAGTTAAAATATTATCATTAATTAAATTTATTACCTGACATCGCCACATTTTGCAGTAAAAGGCGCCGCGACAGATGCCTCTAACTCAGAGAGTGATATTCCCACACTTGCTCTCTTCAAAGCGCCACAATCATTCGCCCCATCACCACAGAAACAAGCTATGTATTCCATTTGTTCAAAATAATCAACCAGCAAGGCCTTATTCTCTGGACTCATCCGGGCGAAAACTCTTCCCTTTACCAGTATCGAGTCTAGCAACGTCGGTTGATTGAGAACAAGCCAGTCGAAAACATCACCAGTCATCGCGACTTGAAATGAATCCTTGTCGTTTTCGACTAGTTTCGAGATAGGGAAGCTCTCATAGCTCGTTGAATTGTTGACTTCACGCCACATGACGTTTTCCTTTGACAGTTCACCGATAATGACCTTCTCTGATTTATTCAGAATTCCACACTCAAAGCTCACAGCGATAGACGTCAGAATATTGTCTCCTGTGACCATGACGCTCTTGATCTTTGCCTCTTCCAACTCTTCAATAATATCCGCAGAAACGGACTTCACCTTGTTTTGAAAAACAATAAGCCCGATAAACTTGGCATCTTGCTCGAGGTCGTCTCTCTTTGCTCGCTGGACCTTGAATTTTTTCATCGTTAAATCCTTCGCCGCCAGAGCAATCACGCGAAATCCCTTTTGACTGTATCTATCCAGAGCGGTCTTGAACGATTGAGGAACTGAATCGGACAGACATAATTTTTCGATTCTCTCTGGAGCGCCTTTTATGAAAGTTTTCAGGGATTTTTGTCCATTTTGGCAAACGCACTCGACAACCACCGACTGTCGGCTATCTTCTGATGTGAAGGGAAATTGTCTATAAACAGTTCTTATAGTGAAAAATATAACAAACTAACCGGAGTTGTAGAATTCTGTGATTGCCGTCGGGCGATTGAACATAACTCGCTTCTAGGTTGTCGAAATTCTCGGTCTCGCCGCACTCTGGTTCATGGAGCTCCCATTTCGTGTGGCCAAACATCTCCAACTCAAGTGGATCACCTGCGATCTCGTTATTTATCCGCGTTAGTGAGTGGCACACGGCAAGACACTGTGTTAAAATATCCGAGTCTTCTTTTCTCTCGTTCGAAATTCCTGTCGCTTCATCAGTAAGCTGATCGTAGCCCTTGAAAGTCAATCCATCTTCTGTCAACGTGCCGGTTTTGTCAAAGAGACAAATGTTAATTTGACCGGCTAAATTTATTCTTGCCGGAGAGATCGTGAAGATGTTGATTTTCTTGATTCTTCGAACAGCCCAGACCAAACCAACACTCAACGCGGCGGGTAACGCTGGAGGAACGACGATGGTGATGATATCAAGCGATTTGGTAATAATGAGCCTCGTGTGGACACAATTATAATATTGAAGGACAACTGCATAAATAAATCCAATAGAAGCTGTCCCAGCAAGAATCATCAAAAATTGCGCAGCGTCGGATGTCAACTTATGATTCACATCTTTCGGGAATAAAATTGACTGGACGAGCTGACCCTTTGCTGTCTCGTAGCCAGTACGAGCGACCAGCGCCGTACACTCGCCATTTTGCGATCGAGTCTGGAGAACTTCGGTTCCAGCAAAGAGAGTAGACATTTTGAAGCTTTCTGGGCGATAGAGCGCATCAGATGTTTTGATAGGACTTTTTTGGACTGGGATACTCTCGCCCGTTAGCATGCCTTCATTGACAATTGCGCTTCCGGTAAGAATAACACAATCAGCTGGGATAAACGTCCCTCCTGGAGGAACTAGAATAACATCTCCAGGAACTATGTTCTGACTCTCAAGCTTCGTCCAAATTCCATCGCGCTTACATTCAACAATACAATGGTTATTACGATCAACCATTTTCCGCAAGTTTTCCCTTTCCTTGCGAATAGTCAACATGGTCGAGCAAGCCGAAACAATGGTGATGATGATAATCGAAATCGCGTAGTAGTAGTATTCATCGGCCATCCACAAGATGACGGAGCAGATTTGAAACACATAGAAAGGCGAAATAATTTCATCGAGGAAGATCTTTGGGTAGCTTGGCACTTCTACGTCGATTATGTTTTTGCCGAAAACATCCTGGCGGTCTTTTAGCGTTTCAAAATCCTGTGAGCAGGTTAAAAATAAGACATGGTTAGAAAATTACCTTGATGGTGAAATTAGTCAAACTTTTAGACTCGACACCAGATAGCCCACTAATAGCATAAATCTTCTCTTCCATGATTGCAAAACGCTGTTTCTTATGAACAAACGTACAGATGAAGTCCTGGTTGTGCTTGATCTCCTGGCAGCTTGGGGACGAGAAGCGAGAGCCAAAAATGATATGAGAAATGTGAGATTTAACAATGTCCCACTGCCAGATTTCCATTTTCTCGATCCATGTTTTGCCCGTTGTGGATTCTTTGACCAGCACAATGTCTGCGTTTTGAAATGGGACCAGCTCCGCCGTGAGAATGATCCACCAGTCCGAATTCCAGTGAAAAAAGAACCATGCCAAGCCACCTGTTATGAATATAAGAAAGTAGCATAAGTATGTGCGTAGCGCATGCTTCCGATAAGAGTAAATTCCGAATTCGTCATCGCTGCCCTCCCCAAATTTGAGCACTTTCTTCTTGAAGCAATCCGAATTTGGGAGAGGGTTAAATACGAGATTTTCATTCTCTGTCATCGAAGTTGGCGCGCGATTGCGATTGCCAGCTTCAGCCAAAGTTCGTTTGCTGAAAAATACAGTTAACTGTAAACTCCCGAAGACATTTCTTAGAAACTGGAAACATATTCTTGCCTGATTAGCCCCTTCGCAAATAGAAGCGCGTTCTAGAGCAAATCACCAGGAAGATACTCTATTTATTTACCTTTTCTAAGTTTTGCTCCTAGAAGCATATGACCGAAGTACCTCCAGAGAAAAATCCCCTGAGGTTTTTTCGTCTGTCTGAAGATAATAATTTTTAATAAAGATTTATCAAAATAAAAAAAGTAAATAGAAAAGAAAAATATAAACAGAAAAGTAGTAGGTCAGTAGAATAATTGAACAAGAAAGGTCAGTCGCTTTGAAGAAAAATCTGATATTTAACAGTTTGGGAAGTGTTCACAGTTAGCTGAATAGGAAGAGCACTTGGCTTTGACTTCAAAAGAATTTCGAACTTCGTCGCGTCGACTTCTAGAGCGCCTGCTAATCCTGGGAATACCTGCGCTTCAAAATCGTCGGGAAGAATGATTTCGAACGAACTAGGGCCACTTTTTGAAGGCTTCTCCTTTTTCTTCTCTTTTGAAGCTTTGCTGGATGACCTGCTGGGAGATGGTGTCAGAATTTTTATGAGGAATGAAGTTCTGTATTCAGGTCTTTGGATCCTTGAGAGGTCATTTAATCGTGTTTGAATCATAATTGGTCCATGGTCGATCACTTCTCTGTATTTATCAGGGCTAATTACAGAATAAAGAGCTACTTAAAAGCTTAATCTTACTTCGTAAATCCAGAGCCAGCTTGTTTCTGTTCTCTGTCCGAGAATACAATGTCAAAGTCGTCAACTTGTTGAATCATAACATCATTAGGCGAGCAATAGCCATGAACCCGATAAACCCGCGTCGATTCTTCAGTCTCGCAAAATTGCAGAGTAAACACTTCCGTAAAATGCCCAGCGTGGTCAGGGCGAAAGCTTATTTTGAGATCAAGGTTTTCCTGCGTAGAAAGGATTCCAGAAGCTGGGGTAATATCAAATACGGCTTTCCCGTTGCGATTTCGATTATGATCGATTGAGTTGTCATTTGAGGGTGTTATCCTGAGAAAGACGATGAAACTTGCCATTTGAAATTGAAAGCTCACCTGAATGAAACGGGGAAACCGCTCGGATTTTTTATCTCCGTCTCCAAAAAGCTCTCTCCTCCGAGCAAAACAACCGGCATCTCATTTTGTGGCTGCAATTGTTCAACATAGGCGTCGATTTTCTGCCCTCTGCCGAGCAGCTCGATGCGTTGAGGGCAATTGATTCCATCAAGCTTTGAGTAATTCAGGTAGAGGTAGTCGTGATAAATTTGAGCATTTGCTGGGTTGAATTTAATAAGAATTCGGGCGCGATCGCCTGGGCCGAGCTTATTTGGGACTGGATTCGCGAGGATAAATGGACCAGAAGGGTTGAGAGGAGTAGTCGTTATTTCAAGATAGGAGTTTGACCTTGAATAACATTGGTAAAATAACTGATATCTCTTACTCTAGACTGACCTGTTTCTCAAATAAAAATACTGTTTCTCTGTCGTTCCAACTGGTCTGGCGCCCATGTTAATCACATCCATGCCGTTCTCTAGCACTAGCGCTGGGCGCGTAATTTCCAGCTCCGCATCAATAAACAGACAATAGCCCGAATCAAAGGACGGATTCTTCCAGCTGCGTCCTTTCGATACATCCTCCGCCGAAATAAAGCAGGCAATCGAGAATCTATCTCGCCTTTCACCGAAATTCTCCGACAAAATACTTTTAGCTTGACAGTATCGGGTGTCGTTCTTCTCTACGGGAGGCGGTGGAAGGGTGGAAGCGCTAGAAACACGAGATCCAGAGTTGCTATGAGAGCTTTGCCGAGATTCACGACGCGATGAAATTCTCGAAGGCGTTTTTGAAGGGACTCTTGAACCTTTTACGGATTTCTTCGCCGTCTGTGGGGGCTCTGGAGATGCTTGAACTTCCGGTGGAGGAAACGTTCTTGCTTTTTCGTAAATAATTTCTTCGGGTATGAAAGGTTCATGAGTAACAGTCACAAGCACAGATTCACCGGGTTTCAAAACCCCTACAGATGGAGAAAAGTGAAGGTTAGAGTCTTCAGGAGGCATGAAGCTAAAAGACGTGCTGGTCACAGGAAAGATCTTCCCATTTCCGATGCGAGCAACAGGACGAGAGTATTCATCTCTGCTTGTATGCGTGTTAGTCAGTGTGAAGGTAGCTCTGTTGACGCTGAAGAGAGGCGTGGAGAGTTTTAAGTGCTGATTTGAGATTTCAAGAGGCGGTTTGACCCCGACACCCTTGCATTTGAAACGGTGCTTGAATCCTTTAAGCGTTTCGAGCATGATTGTGAACTCATACTTGCTAGCTTGCATTGGAGAGAACAAAATCTCAATTTCCATCGATTTTCCAGGAGCAAGCGAGGCAAATCCATGACCGGGCCGGACAGAAACAAAATTCGGCAGCTCAGAGAAGCCAAACTCCTCGACAAGAAGCGACCGACTCGTGATTTTCACGCGGTGGACAGTTGATTCAAATATCGTTGTATTACCAAAGTCAAGGGACTCTTCAATAATTTCAAGAGATGGATCGTTGATGATTGCATAAAGAGTGGTCGTGAGAGGTTTTTGAAAATTTTGGAAGGAAACTTCAACGGGGAATTCGAAAACATTGGTATCTTCGTCTAAGAAGTGATCGAAGTTGCAATCAGCTGATGGAGTGAATTTTAAATGGATCTTGGAAGAAGAGTACGCTTGCACAGAACCTGTTTGTGGTGAAATCGTTATTCCCGATTGGAGATTTTGAGGGATGTTTAAAGAGAAGGGCTGAGAGACATTGGAGGAATTGAGAATACTGAATTGATTTTGATAAAGAAATCCATGAGAGCAGACTTTGAAATCAAGCGAGTCGTCTGAAAGACTGACGGGGAGGAGAGAAGCATAACCGGAGACGTCGACCTTTTTTTGTTCGTTTTCATCCGTGCTGATAAAAAGAGGGAAATTAAAATGACCAACAGTTTGCGGATTCCACTTCAGTTTCAATTTGATGATTTCCTTCGGTCCAACTTTCATATTTTCGCTTTTAGGACTGATTTCGAACTCATTCGGTAGATTGCTCGAGTCAACATAAATCGAGCCATCTTTAGCGCCCAGATTCTCAATTTCTATTTCAGTCTGCATGGATTCCCCGATGATAACGTTCCCAAAGTTAACTGATTTGAGGGAGATTTTTGGATCATACTTTGGTGGCCGCATTCTTATTGGCAACTTGAAAATGCCAAATAAGGTCTTAAACTCGGCGTAACCATCGATAGACTCAAGCATTTGTGGGTAGAAGGAGATCTGGAAAGGGATCGAGATTCCAGGGGAAATTGAAGGCAACACTTTGAAATCCCAGGAGCACAAGTCCATCACATTGTCGCTCAATCTGACAAGACGAATCGGCGTTTTTTCATTTGCCGCGTTCGTAAGAGTCACACTGATGGTGTACTCTTTTTGGAGATCAAAATCAAGGAATTCAATGGCAGGCGGATCGGCAACGATTTTGGTTGTCAAGTTGACTTCCTGTTTAGCCGAGGTTGGCTTGTAGTTAAGATTTTCTTCATCGTGAGGGGCAACGCCATCCCAGAGAGGAGCAAAATCTTCAGAAAGATGAATTTCTTCATCAACGAAGCTCTTAGAGTGTTGATCAATTGAGAAGTCACGTGAAGTTCCGAGACCTTCCATAACAGATCCAGAGAAGCTATCTGCAGAAAATGGACGTCTGTAATTTTCCAATTGTCGGACCCTTCTCACTTGTTGCGAAAGATTCTTCTTTTTGAGCAAGTTCGGATCTTCTCTGCTTCTTTTTAAAAGCCTTTCTGTTCGCTGTACTTTTTCAGTTCGCTTGACGAAGGCATCTTCCTGTCTCAATTTCATAATAATATCTTCTTCTTTCAGCTGCCGCTCTCTTTTCTGCTTTTCCAATTTTCTTTCCCATTCGAGGTCTCGTTTTTCGCTTTCAAGAATGAACCTCGCTTTCACTTCGCTGATATCATTCGTTTCCATCAGATCCTGGACAATTTCTTCGTCCCTTTTCAACTCTCGTTTATCCCTGACAGCTTTCTTGCGCATAATAACATGATAATTGTCAGTGTTTCTCTTTACCGCATCTTTCAGCTCATTCACGCTCGCTCTCATTTTGTTCTCTCGATCTTTCTTCGCATTAGCTTCGTCTTTTTGCGCTTTTCTCTGCTTCTGAATCGACTCGTGCATGATAGGCTTCAAATTATTGAATGCCACAGATGCTCGATTGTTCATTTCAGTTTGATAGCGCTCCTTCTCAGCCTTATCAGCGGCTTCTTCTTCGAATCTGCGTCGCAATTGACGTAATGCATTTTCTGCAATTTGCGTTTCTTGTGCGAGTCTAAAAAAGTCAATTTGACTGGAGGATTCGTATGGCTACCTGTAGTTGGCAAGGTCTTTTTCATAAATTTCAACCTCTTTTTCAAACGCCAAAACTTCATCCTCCCTCCCTTCAAAAACATGTCCATTGACTTTCGCTACTTCAAGTTCGTACTCGACATTTTCAATTTCCTCCTTTAGTTTCTTCGAGAGCAATTCCGCGCTCTCCATCTCAACAACAACCTTTTCTAGCTCTCCTTGATGCCGGAAGAATGCTGCCTTATTAGAGTTCTCCGCTGCAGCGAGTTTTTGAACAATTTCATCGCGGAGACAAGCGAGTTCGTATTGACGATCTTTGGATGCATTGAATTTTTCGATCTTTTCTTCGCGCTTTTTCTCGAGCTCCGAAAGATTGTCTTGAAAGTTTTGAATTTCCTTCCGCGCTCGGCGGATTTTCACTGTTGGCACTTCTTCGATTGTCATTTTCTAAAAGTATACATTTTATGCAAAAACTATCACATGTAAAACTCCAGTTGTGGCAGTTTGAAAGAAAAGTAAAGACTAATAGTTGGAATCAAGCTTTTTGCCGAGATCGGTTTTCAGTATTCCATTGATTTTCAGATCTACAGCAAACAACAGGTCAGCCATTGCTTGCTCAATTTGCGAGGAAAAGCCGCGTTTTTCAATCGGTTCCGCGGCTTTCTCTTTTTCAGTCGCTTCGGGTCGGTGTTTCCACGGAGTTCCGCCGAAATTTACAGTCACCTTCGAAATGCTTGAATCATTTGCTTATAGGTTTAAATTACCTTAGCATCTTTGTACAACGAAATTGCCGGAAAATACTCCCCGTCGTAGATATTCTTGAAAGCCGTTCCTAGTGATTTTCCGTTTCTATAGAAGGTAACACTCGAATTTTCAACTTCCTTGAGATTCTCTTTGGCATTCTTCATTTGATCGCGTGACTCAAAGTAGTAAAAGTTCTTGAACTTGATAAGGGTAGCTTCTTTGAGAGTATCAGGAAGTTTATAAGCAGAAGGAGCATTTGGAGAGAGCGAGATTTCGCAGCCGATCACGTCACCTTCTTCAAATCCGACCTGAATGTGTTAACAAAACTCCTGAAGAAACTGTCTTACCTTGTTGGTATACGATTTTCCTCGAGCTTGATGAAAGACTGTCCCTTTCTTGGATCTTATCGAGTATCCAAAAACATCACAACCGACTGGGTTTTGAATTGACGCATATTTCTGCGACCAGCCAACTCGCACTGCTGAGTCATCTGGCAGCTCTTTAATTAACACCTCAAAGTACCACTTTCCTTTACGGACGCTGTGCGTGCCCCGTACGGTACTGTAACCTCGCTCGCCAGTTACTGTCAATCGATCATCATCTAAAAAAAGTATTCAATGAAGATTAAAATGTTGATCGTACCTATATTGAGCTGTTGGGCTCGATCGTGAGAGCTGAGAAGAGGAATCGGGTGCTCAAGTTTTCGATAAACTTTTGGCGGAATAGCAACGGGTCGAGCATGTTCTTCATCAGGATCATTATCTGGAATATGAGGATCGGGTTCAGCCAGACAATATCGATATCTAAAACGCTTTCATTTAATCTTCAAGAGACTGGAAAGAGACTTACCCGTCTTTATTATACGGATGATCGCTTGGAAATCCATGCTTTGGGAGCCGATCTACAGTGTCAAAGTCAGTCAAAGAATCTTTGTTTGTCTGTACCTGATGGAGGGAGATCAGAATTCTTTGATCGCTTCGTTCTTTGATCATCTTTTCCGTCTTTGTTCTTTCTTTTTCGATTGGTACCTTTTTTCAGATTCCCGTTTCCGGACATATTCTTGAAGAAGAATGAAAGAAGGATTTCTATGCGCTAGCTTTTGTATTATCAGTTGATTGTTTTGAAGCATGATTGGTGAACTACAGAAAATAAGAATAAAGTAAATGGATGGACTTGGAATTGTGTAAATATGGAAGAGAAGGAAGAAAAATGATTAGAGGACAGTAATTTTGCCCTTTTGACTTCGATTGCTGAAGTTGTTGTTTCTAGGACAAAAACGTTATTGTTGAAAAACTGAATGAGATACCTTGAGCTCATATAATGGTAATTATTAGCCTCTTTCATTCGAATGATATGTCCAGATATCGAAGCGGGAGAATTGTTCATCTGGGGGTCAAAATCATCATTTGTCTTTGGAGACTTTTTGCAGTTTTCTCGGCAATCGTAATAGCCAGAAGTCGCGAAGTAGATCGCCAAGTCCTCTATAGAAAAATTAAGATCTGTCGAGGCGGATTTGCTTACCGATTGTTCCCTGGTCAGGTTTATGCTCAGTCGAGCTCCAGATCCAATCAACGTCCTTCCAAAATGTGGAGTTTTCGAATGGAATCGGAAAGTTGTGACTTTCGCTCAAAATTGGCGTGAAGGTACTTCTGTCCGTTCCACTTTTACCCTGGCCATCGTCGCCTGTTTGCCCATTTGCCCCCGGTGGCTTGTTGTTGTGAGAGTTGGAGCCCCACCACTGAATGTGGATCAAGTCGTCTTTCATCACTTTCAAGTCGTTTGGCGTGAAATCGTATTCCACCGCGGGATAAACTTGTACGATGTTTCCTCGTTTGCCTCTGACGTTTAGATTGTAAACCCTTTCTGAAGGGAGGATTTCCGAAGGACGGGGGATAATTTGGAAGACGTGAGAACGATCTTGGAAGATTTCTTCGCGGGAAGAGTCTGGGCCAAAGTCTTCAAAGATGTGAATTTTGTACCTAAAGCCGTTCATTGATAAATGACTTCTAAAAACCTACAACCTGAGACGAACAACACAAGAAACAGTTTTTTTCTGTACACTTGGCAATTGCCAGGTAACACTTGGCAACTGCCCGGAAAGTGAGTTCCCCAAGATTCCAGGAGTAGTTTTAAAATTCCTTGAACATCGCTTTGGAGGATGAAGTTGCAGACACTTCTTCTGAGGTTTTTCTTGCGAGGCAATCAGTTCACTCGTCAGGTAGTAGCCGTGGACTTGATGAGGTCCCTCGCAATCATTAGAATCGGGTAGAACTTCGACAGGGGAGTAAAAGTCGTAGATTTCGCCATCGCAAGACTCATTTTTCATTCGATAGAAGAATTTTCCGTCATGATTTTCAACGCAAAGAGGCTTTGTTTGGGGACTTTCTTCGCACTTGCCGGAGTTTGTCAAATGAAAAATGTCGAACCAGCCGGAGTAAAAACCGAATTGAAACTCTTTTCGCTCACCTTCGCACTCAAAGCCGTATTGGCTTCCTGATGTTTTTTCAGCCATGGAGCAGCGAAGAAAATGACTGATATCTTCATGTTGGCCGTAGCGATCATTTTGAAGCTGTTCTTTTAGCAGGTTTGATTCTTCAGCGCGATTTGCAGGCGCTTTGAAAAGAAAGTTTTCAGTCGTTTCGCCATTTTTCAAATGATCGCCGCACATGCCTTGAATTATGACCTCGCAATCTTTGCATCCGTTTACTTGACCCCATTCAATGGGCAAATACGAGCCAGACAGGAATTGAGGAATGTATTCTTTCTCGTTCGCGTTTTTTGTCGCGTCTGGCTTGTTATAGCCACCGCGGCGGTGATTGTTCGATTTGAAGAGTCTTTCCGGATTCTAAAGGAATCAATTTAGTACAATCAGTATAACACGACACAATAACTTTCACCCAGGATTTCGATGCTTCCAAAATTGAAAAAGTGGAAGTTCCAATGAGATAAACTCAATTTGAAATTAATTCTACCTTATTTTCCGCGGTACTTTCGTTGAGTCTATTATTTGATCCAGGAGGCATGGTCAAGTAGACCCAGGCATCGACCGATTTCGCCGCCAACATCAATATCTGCCATGCTTTTATCCAGAACAGATATCTTTTCATGGTCTAAATTAACAAATGAATTCTCCTTCATTTTTTCATAAATCGAGCAAAAGGGAAAATATTTGATTTCGATTTGGAATCTGAGTAAATATGTAGAATGCGCAAATATCCGTAGCTCGTGACGGGCTCAATTGTCGTTGAATTAAAAATAGTAATCTGCAAAGAGAGAGACAAGAAAATGTCGAATCTGCTGACGGATGATGAAGATCTGCACATACACATTCACGGCGAGAAAAGCGTTAGGATAGAGTTCTTGGAAGAAGGGGATTTTGAGGGTTCCGGAGATATCGAAGAGGATGAAAGACGAATCAAGGCGTCTACTGCATGGCTCGTTATCGGTAAGAAATGACAAAAGAGCTTTGCTTACTTGGTAACTTTCTCTTTATTTTGACAGCAAAAGTAGAAGCAGGTAAGTGATCACTACATTTTCGAATAACTGAAATACGAGGGTTCAGACTCATTTATGACAGGAATTTTTGCTCTTATAATCGCTAGTCTTGTATACGGGAAAGTTTTCCAAAAATATATTATGATTACGGCTATCATTTTATATTTGACAGGAGTCACATGCCAATGACAGCGTTTTTTTTAAATGGGAACACCGATTTTTGAACCCCTCTAGAAAAAGTTTGAGTGAGTCACCTGGCTCTTTAAACCTTACTAATGCACAGAGTAGACCTAGAGCTTTATTTCTATAGCTTTGGAGATCCTGTATGATGACTGTACTCGGAGCTGTTTGACTCCCCAAAATAGGTAAAAATGAGCGAAATCGGAGAATTTGGAATTGATGACGTAATATCTTCTAGATCACGTGTTATATACATTTTATAAACCCTACCAGTGCACAGAGTAGACCCTCAGCTACATTTCTAGCCATTATCGGACTCTCTCCTATGACTGTACTCTGAGAAATTTCACTCCCCAGGTTGTTCCCATTTAAAAAAAACGCTGTCAATGGTTAAAAATTCTACCATTTTATGCCAGTTTAGCCAAAAAGAAGGCGATAGAGGCCACCCATCACGGCGAGATTCCGTGAAATATCTGATTATCGGTGGAAAAAATCTTCACTAAAAATTCAGGCGCAGCTGCACTTCTGTTACTGGGAATCATCGCAATAATCGCCCTTCGAACTCGATCTCAGCACAACAAGAATAAACGCGAACGGGAAGAAATTCAGTACTCGAAAGGAGCAACTTACATCGATCCAAATATTTAGTTCCTCCAACAAAAATAAACAACAAAAGTTCAATATCATTTCTTCTCCTCTATAATAGTTAGAATTTATTTCTTTTCGCAAGAGTTTCTATGTCGATAATATTTGAAAACAGAAGAAAACTCTTCGTTGCAAATTTCACATTTGAAGCATTTGATGTGGCTCACTTTCTCATGCTTGTTCTTGTGACTGACAGAAACGAACTTTTGATCGCAGTAAAAACATTTCAAGTTGCGCAGGTCAAAGTGCAGGGCCATGTGTTCTTTGAAACTAAGAGAGATGGCGCGGTAGCCGCAGAGGTAGCATTTTTGGAGGTCGTTTTCGTGCACTTTGTAGTGAAAGCGGAGAGCAACGCTATCAGCGAGAGTGGTACCGCAATTGGGATAACGACAGGACTTTTGAGTTGATCTTTCTTCAAAAGGGATAATTTCTTTCGAATATTAATTCATCGAAATTTGAAGCTGATCCCATTCCTGAAGATTTTCTCGTTCTAAAATTGTGAAATCTGCTCATATGAAATGCCAAAGTTTTCTTTGAATAAGCAATAAATTTGCAGTTACTTTTCTGGCACGGTACGTCTTCAAATCCATGTTCTTCGATCATATGACTCACTAGACATCCTGCGGCATATTCCGTCTTGAAATTGCAGTTTTTCTCCGTGCAATGAACCATTGGCTTGAACAAAGACCAGGTGAAGTAGTTTCGTCTTTTGTAGAAGAACTCGTAGAGGTCTGGATCTATCCCAGCTCTTTTTGCGAGTTTTTTGAATTCTTCTGGTACTTTTTCTTTTTTCGACCTTTTGACTTTGCCATTAACAGGGGTTTCAACGACCTGTTTCTTCGGCGGTTTGACAATTTCGAAGCTTAATATTGGTTTCTTGAAAATAGCAAGAGTTTCCCGATAATTGTGCTTTTCTAAGTATGCGGCGACGAATTCGTATTTTTTTCTTTCTGCAACCATTCTGAATTTATTTTTAACTACGCTACTTACTTTAAAATGAAAAGCGATTCTTTCGAAAACAGTCAAAGAATTCTGGAATACTTAAGGCGTTTTTCACATGTTTTTCTATGCGTCTGCAACACCCTAAGTTTGGGCGCTTGAAATCCGCAATCCTCGCATTCAAAATCATCAGTAGTATGAACAGTAAGAATGTGCGTTCTCAAGATATTTTTTGTGTAGAATGTTGCAGAGCAAGAATCGCAGACAAAATTTTTAATATTGAAATGCATTGCCAAATGTGTATGCAAATTTTCGATGCTAGAAACTTTATATGGGCAATAATTACAGGATAGGAGGATATTTTTATGAACATTGACATGTCTATTCAATTGAAAGGGAAAGCGAAAGGCATTCCTACATGAGGGATATGGACATGAATGAATTCCATATGCAGTTGGCTTTTTCCCATGACCATGAAACTTTGCCTTGTGATGATTAAGATTCTTTCGGGAATATGCGATATATGAACAGTCAACGTGGCCACATGGAATTTCAGTGTAGTCGTGAACAGATATCATATGCTCATAAAGACATTTATCGGCTATTTTAGTAGTAAATTGACAGTTTTGTTCGATGCAATTTATGTTGGTTTTATCTTTAAATTCCCAGTTGAACGATGCTCTGTGCTCGTAGAAAAAGTCAAGATGCTCTTCAGGCAATCCGAATCGTTTGGAAATCTTCTTGAAGTCTTCGGGAATGTTGACAGTTTTAGGTTCGTAGTCCGTTTCTTTAATTTCTCGGAAATTTTTATTTTCTTTCACTGGCTCGATGTCAATCTTCTTTCTTTCGGGAGCCTTCAATATTGCAAAGCTGAGCTTGACAGGTTTTCTCTCGTCTTAAAAATTGTAACGCACTTTTATAATTTTCATGATATTTTCAAACTTGTAGTATTTGAAGTGTGTGCTTCTTTCTTCGCTTGCTCATCCTGAGCTTTCTTTCTCTTCTCGCCATTGGATCTCTTTCTAGCTGGAGCTTTTTGAATTTCGAAGCTTCGCTTCGAGGATTCACGGTGATCTAAATCTGGTTTATGGAAAAAAATGACCTGAAGTACCTTTTTCGTACTTTTCTTTTAACTCTTTCTTAAAAATTTTCAGCACTTTTTGTTTTCCATGCTTTTTTAGATACTTCTGAACAAAGCGTTCTTCCCTGCTCAACTTGACGCGTCCCATTTCTGCAAAAGATATGGTATTAAGAGACAATAAGCACAAGAAGTAATTATTTTTTTTAATTGGATGGAATAAATCGACATGTGTTTTTTGACAGTTTTCGGAATGGCGCGTTAAAATCTCTATTTTTGTAAAACTTTTCGTAACTGCTTGCTAGTGTCTCGGCTTCTTTCTTTCGCTCTTTTTCCAGGACGAGTTCGTCGAGTGTTTCAAGGTTGTTGTGCTTTTTCAAATATTTGCAAACGAAGTCGTACTTTTCCTCCTCTGTCGGCATTCTTAAATGACGAGAATTTCATTGTCAAAAAGTACGAAGTAAATAAATGTGAAAAATATACAGAAAGAAAAAAGAGGTAGAATGAGTCTACTAGAATCGATCAAAACAGTTTTGAAAAATGGGTTATTCGAAACCAACCCAATGTCCGATTTCAAAGGAATCAATCGGTTTGCTGCGACGCCTTCTATTATTGTGTTTTTTACTGCTTCCACTATTGGAGGAATGCTCGTTGTTATTTTCATCGTGGAAAGATATATTGTTCAATTCTTTTCTCAATTCGAAGAGGTCGAGTGGCTCCCCTTCCCACTTTTGCGTATCTCTCTCGGAGGCCACAACTTCGGTCCATTCTCCATGAACAAAATCGCTCCCGGAAACTTTTCTTGGCAGAAAATAAGGATTGCGCTTTTCTGGCAAACAATCTTCACTCGGAACTTCTTCTGTTTCTATCAAAAGATAAGTTTTTTCAAGTCAAGAAGGCATACCAATCGCATATTGTGTATTTTCTGCGCTTGAGATTGCGAGACTAAACATGCGCGACAACAGTCCGTCATTCCATCCATCTGGTGCATCATCCAAATTCTCGTAATCACGATTTTCAAGTGAAGCCTCCGGAGCTTTGCGATAGATCATTTTTTTCTCGCTCTTCCCTCTTTTCTTGAAGTACTCATACAGTGATTCGTCGTCCGATTCAAATTTTTCTTTTTGAGGCTCTTTCATTTTACTCTTCAAAAAAATTTTTTAAGAAAACTGCCTTTGACTATGAATATTTGATTAAATAAATTTGCCTAGTAATATTGCACAGATATGCAGTAGTAATTGGACAGTGTATTAACAGGTTTTTTTTAAGTGTGCCCAAAAATGGTGGAGCGTTTTTGAAGGTGTTAGAGTCGAGATATTTCAATTCTCTCTTTTGCACCTTGTTGGGGAAGGTCTGTAGTGTGTTAAATAAGCTTTTGGTGATATTTGCACCAGTGGAGGTGGAGTTATGACGTCACAAAGTTGAAGGCCCACTTTTATAATGCATTTTTATGACGTCATAACTCCACCACCAGAATAGATATTGACACCAACTCTATCTCAAATGAATAAACTAATACCCGGCTACATTCTGCAAGTTACAGATTGTAAATATATTAACCCAATCAATAGATACGAAAATTCTTGGGCACACTTAAAAAAAACCTGTTATTGTAATTCCGGACTAAGAGATGTTTTTGAAGCGAGCTTGCTGTCCTCTGTGATGCTGTTTGTAATTATAACTGCACTAGAAGAAAGAGAGACAAGAGAAGTATTTCTTTGAATTCATTTATCTATATATTTATCCTATGTTTGTGCTTAGCTCGTATTGCGAGCTATGCAGATTGCACAGAGGAGGTTTTGTATATTGAACTGGCAGAGAGTCTTCCTCCAATCCCGTCGCATGTTTGAACTCTAACGAGGAAGAGTCTTTCCTCTCCGATCGGAATGCGTATTGGAGTGCTTTACAGTAGTAGTCGCATTGTTGAAGTCTTGATGGGCCCGATGGAAGGGGAACTATTGGAAAAAAGTGATCGAGACTGGATCGAGACTGAAGACCAGGCTAGTGCAGCAGTTTTGAGGCGAGCACACACAGTTACATCCTGCTCCCACGGTGAGCAAAACAATTAATTAAAATAAAGTTAAGTTGCTTTACAAATAACAGAAATATTCGATGGTATGTAAATGGAGAAATGTTGACTCGGGCTGTTTACAACTCGTCGTGGTCTTCATCAGAACCACCCTGGTCAGCGTAAAGGGCGTCGATGATTGGCTTGACGATACCTTCGAGCTTCTCCTTCATTTCTTTAATGTCTTCGGCTTCAGCAGTCTAAACAGAACGTAAGCAACTGAAGACGCGGTCTTAAAAGATCTTACCTCGCCGTTTTCGTCGAGCCATTCGATGGTGTTTTCGACGGCGGTGTTAATCTCTTCCTTGTCTTCATCGGAGAGCTTGGATCCAAGGCCCTTCTCGGGGTCGTCGTTTCCGACCTGGTTCTTGAGTCCGTAAGCGTACTGTTCGAGCTCGTTCTAGATTGAATTTAGGGAAGAGTTACGTGGATATGATTTTACCTTGGCGGTGGCTCGGGCAGCGACCTTGGCGTCTTCCTCAGCGAACATTTCGGCGTCCTTGATCATTCGCTCGACATCTTCGGGGGAGAGTCGGTTGGAGTCGTTCTTGATCTCGATCTTTTCTTTGGTACCAGTGCCCTAAATTAATCCAATAAAGCTCTCGAATCATTTGAGTACTGTGTTACCTTATCTTCAGCAGAGACTCGGAGGATACCGTTGACATCGATTTCGAAGGTGACCTCGATCTGGGGAACACCTCGGGCAGCTGGGGGAATGCCGTTGAGATCGAACTTGCCGAGGATGTGGTTGTCCTTGGTCATTGGTCGTTCACCTTCGAAGACCTTGAAGATATTTTAGTAAAATTGTTGTTGATTGGAAAGGATTACCTGGATGGTGACGGTCTGTTGGTTATCGGCGGCGGTGGAAAAGATCTGTTGTTTCTTGGTTGGGACGACGGAGTTTCTGGGAATGATCTTGGTCATGACACCACCGACAGTTTCGATACCGAGGGTCAATGGGCAGACATCGAGAAGGACGACATCGACGTTGTCTTCACCGGAGAGAACACCAGCCTGAATGATCAAATAAATGTCTGCGTCGAATAAAGAAATCTTACCTGGACAGCGGCACCATAAGCGACGGCCTCATCGGGGTTGATACCTTTGGATGGTTCCTTGCCGTTGAAGAATTCCTTGACGAGCTGCTGGACCTTGGGGATTCGAGTGGAGCCACCGACAAGGACGATTTCATCGATTTCGTTCTTCTTCATTTCACCGTCTTCCAAGACCTTCTGGACTGGCTTGAGGGTTCCTCGGAAAAGATCGTTGTTGAGTTCCTCGAACTTGGCTCGGGTGAGAGTCTCGGAGAAGTCCTCGCCATCAAAGAAAGATTCGATTTCAATTCGAGCGGAGTGAGTGGAAGAAAGAGCTCGCTTGGCCTTCTCGACTTCTCGTCGGAGTTTCTGGACGGCTCGGTTGTCTTTTCGGATATCTTTGCCTGTCTTCTTCTTGTAGAGCTTCATGAAGTGGTCCATGACTCGCTGATCGAAATCTTCACCTCCAAGATGAGTATCACCGTTAGTAGCGACGACCTCGAAGACACCAGAGTCGATAGTGAGGAGAGAGACATCGAAGGTACCTCCACCAAGATCGAATACAAGGATGTTCTTCTCGCCTTCCTTGTCCTTGTCCAAACCGTAGGCAATAGCGGCAGCAGTAGGTTCGTTGATGATTCGCATGATTGTCATACCGGAGATAACGCCAGCATCCTTGGTAGCCTGTCGCTGGGCATCAGAGAAATAGGCGGGGACAGTGACAACGGCGTGGGTAACAGTGGTTCCGAGGTAATCTTCAGCAATTCGCTTCATCTTTCCGAGGACCATAGCGGAGATTTCTTCTGGGGTGAAAGTCTTGTCGCCAGAGCCAGTGTTGACCTTGATGGCGGGCTTGGATTTATCTTCAACAACGGCGAATGGGAAGAACTTCTTGTCGGACTGGACGGCGGGGTCGGACCAGGTTCGGCCGATGAGTCGCTTGGCATCGAAAACAGTGTTTTGTGGGTTGGTAGTAAGCTGGTTCTTGGCGGCATCACCGATGAGTCGCTCACCCTCGGAGGTGAAGGCAACGTAGGATGGGGTGATTCGGTTACCTAGAATTAGTGGTCAATTTATTTGATTGCGTAGTAAAATTCCTATGAGCAAAAACAGACAGCAAACTTGCCCGAGGGAATTCACGCCGGTGAATCGAACTTGCCAAGGCTACGTGGCCTTTTCGCCACAAAAAAGGCAAACATTGTGATAATGGAAGTGATTATATGGAAATAAAGGCCGTAAAAATGCTATAATAATTCGCTTCTAACGATAATCTTTCAATTGGGAAGCACCTTACCGCTTTTCTAAAAAATTGTGTTTACTGGATATTTTCAAAACTCAATCACTAATAGTGATTTAATATCGACGAATATTTCGATAAGGATAATTTTAAAGTGACTTTCGGAAATGTTGATGAGAAGGAAAGGCCCGTTACTTTATAAAAAATTTTCTCTTTTATGAAAAGTAGTCGACTTACCCTGATCGTTGGCAATGATTTCAACTCTGCCTCCCTTGAAGACACCGACGCAGGAATAAGTGGTTCCCAAATCGATACCGATAACGGTTCCGACGTCGTCCTTCTTGTCGTCAGCGCGGACGGACGAGGCCAAAAGGCCCAAAAAGAAATTTAACAGCTTCATTCTTGACGATTAACTTTCCCACTAGAATTGGGGATTTCTCTACTAACGTTAAAATATGAGACACAGGTCTAAAGGCCTTCCTTTTTCGTCGGCTCAAAGTCGCTCGAATAGCTGACGTGGAATGGATGGCGCGCTCTGATTGGGCAGCTATTTGCAGAACTAGAGTAGCTGATTCACGGCGCCAGTCATGACGTGGCGCAAAGAAGCGCGACTCAGCGAAGTCGAAAGAGTCGCCGCGAATTTGCTCGGCGGGACGCCATCATGCGGGACGGAATGAATAAGTCATAATCGCACTGATGAAAAATCACGCGAAAAATCTTGGACACGTAGGGTTAGGGGCCTTAAAAGTCGACGTTGGGGATGCAAAATATCATAACCACAAACATCAACTCAAAAATTTACTTTTTGAAATCAACGAAGAATACCCAAATTCACGAAAAGAGTTAACAGCGACTTTGAAATGGACAACAAAGCAGTAGCTGCAGCGGTATGTTTGGCCGTTATGGCTGTAGCGGGAGTAGGAGCAACGATAGCAGCATCAGATGGTCCCGGATGGGAACCAGTAATTGGCATCGACTTGGGCACGACTTATTCTGTAGCTGCTGTTTGCGACAAGGGTCAAATTCTAATCATTCCCAACGACCAAGGTAACCGGATTACTCCATCATTCGTCGCTTTCAACAACGGTGAGCGGCTTGTCGGTGATGCGGCCAAGAACCAGATGTCTTCAAATCCCCAGAATACCATTTTCTCTGCCAAGCGCTTCCTCGGCCGAAGATATGATGATCCAACAATTGCAGAAACTCAAGGACTCTTTCCCTTCAAAATCTTCAACAAAAACAACAAGCCGACTATCCAGGTCTCAGTAAATGAATCTGAACCTCTTGCTGAATTCGCTCCAGAACAAATCTCCGCGATGGTCCTCCAAAAAATGAAGCAAATAGCTGAAGATTACCTCGGCCAGCCTGTAAAGAAAGCAGTCGTTACTGTCCCCGCGTATTTCAACGATGAGCAACGACAAGCGACGAAAGACGCTGGCACTATCGCTGGAATCGAAGTCATTCGCATCATTAACGAGCCAACTGCTGCTGCTCTTGCCTATGGGTTGGATAAATCTGGGGTAGAGAAGAACGTCCTTGTTTTCGACCTTGGCGGCGGTACTTTCGACGTTTCACTCCTCACCATTGATCAGGGAGTTTTTGAAGTTCTTGCGACAAATGGAGACACTCATCTTGGCGGTGAAGATTTCGACGAGCGAATAATGCAGCACTTCGTCAAGGTTTTCAAAACCAAGACAGGACTTGACATGTCTGCTGATCCGACTGCTCTTGCGAAGCTACGAAGAGAATCAGAAAAGGCTAAGCGGGCTCTGTCTCTTGAGCATTCAGCGAAGATCCACATCGAAAACCTCTTCGGCGGACTGGACTTTGAAGAGACCCTCACTCGAGCAAAGTTTGAACAGCTCAATATGGATTTGTTTCAAAAGACTCTCGATCCTGTCAGAAAAGTTCTCGCTGATGCTGCTTTGACAAAAGCGGAAATTGACGAAGTTGTTCTCGTCGGTGGCTCAACTCGAATTCCAAAGGTGCGACAGCTGATCAAAGAATTCACGGGAAAAGAACCAGTCCTCGGCGTCAATCCTGATGAATCCGTCGCATACGGAGCAGCCCTTCAAGCTGCTGTTCTTGGAGGAGGATGTTTGGAGCAAACACCCGTCGTCATCGACACTGTTCCTCTTTCAATGGGAATCGAAACCGTCGGTGGAGTGATGACTAACATCATTGAGCGCAACTCAGCTATTCCTACAAGAAAGAGTCAAATTTTCTCCACCGCCGCGGATAATCAACCAACAGTCACGATCAGTGTCTTCGAAGGAGAACGCTCTCTTGTTAAAGACAATAACCTCCTCGGACGATTTGATCTCTCTGGAATCGACCCAGCTCCTCGAGGCCAGCCGCAGTTGGAAGTAACTTTTGAAATCGACGTCAATGGAATCCTACAAGTCAGAGCAGAAGACAAAGCGAATGGAAACAAGAAAGAAATCAAAATCTCCGCCGGCTCGCAGCGACTAACCCCAGAAGAGATCCAAGCTATGATTGATGAAGCGGACAGAATGGCAACGCAAGATGCAGAAGTACGAGACCGAATCAACGCCAAGAACCGATTAGAAGCGAATGTTTACAGCGAAAAGAACAAGATGACCACCTCACCGCCAGCTCATCTCGCGCCTGAGCAAATTGAAAGCATAAACAATTATTTGGAGGAAACGATAAACTGGCTCGACTTGAACGCTGACTCAGCTACGAAGCTTGAAATTGATGAAAAGTCAGATGCGCTGATGCAATTCCTGTCGAGCTTTGCACAAGCGGAACAAGAACCTGCGCGGGATTATAGCACCGAACTGTAACTCATTCCTGCTTTTATCTGCCAAATGATTATCATGTACGCCCACTTATTGAAACAATAAAATCGCAAAACTCTATTTATATCAAATACTTTATTTGAAGCAATTTTTCACAGGAAAGCAGGGTTTGAAAGCAGCAAAAATCGTCAATCCTGAAAATAAAGATTATATTGATTGAAATTTTGTCACATAAAGTTTCCTCTAAATAATGAGGATGTCTGCCGCGGATACTTCTAACATATCGTTGAGTTTCTCGATAATCAGACCTGGATGCGGCGTCTCTAGTTGGCTGTAGAAATCGAACTCTAAGATGAAATTAAAAAACTTCACTTGAGGCAAATTTTCATAAAATTTTTTTTCGTGCTCAGAAGAAAGACCAGAAAATTCTGAGTCGAATGGGCTAGATTTGACCCGAAAATTTTGACTTTATGACGTCAAAAATTGCGTAACAAAGTCCAGATTAGGGCATTTTTGGTAAACTTTTGGGGAACTTTTAAGGAGGTTTCCGTTGGACTTATTCGACGTTCTATAGCTCAAAAGAATCGCCGTCGAAAATTGAGGGGGGGTTTTAAATGGTTTTGAAAAAACCCAAGAAAAAAATTTTGACCATTTTTCGACCGGTCGGTTTGAAGGTGTTTCTCTTGGAATTTTTCAAAATTCAGGAAAACCCCCCCTCAATTTTCGACGGCGATTCTTTTGAGCCCAAGAACGCCGAAAAATTCCATCGGAAACCCCTTCAAAAGCTCCCCAAACGATTTTTAGGGAAAATGAGTCATAATGACGTCATTTGATGGAATTATAGAGCCGGAAGTAGACCATTCGACTCAGAATTTCATCTTCTTTCAGATAAGCCAATAAAATATTTTTCAAAAAATTTTGCCTCAAGTCGACTTTTTTAATTTCATCTAATGAGTAAGATTCTAGAGCTTTTCTTTTGCTTGATTTTATACGCTCTCATTCTTTATTTTTCGAAGAAAAACACCGGGATCAAGCGGAAAGGTTTATTTCAAAGATGCATTTTAAACGTACCTGAATTCTAGCTGTACTCGGACTCGTCAAGATACTCTTTGTTGTAGTACAGGTCTAATGCAGTTTCATAATCGATCTTAATATACGGCTTTCCCCAGCGCATGCTTTCCAAATCCGATTCTACAACTTCAAGGCGTTCTTCATCGAAATCAGAAAAGTTTTCGTTGCCATAATTTTTCAACTCGCGATAAAGGTCATTTTCGGTGCTTTTATCTTAGTAAAATTTTAAGGACGATGTATTTTTATTGATTCTTACCGAACTCTTCTTCATGAACCTCCCAAACGGGTTGAGCGGCGCCTCTTGAATTGACCAGTGATTCGATGCCCCAAGAAGCTCTCACTTGTCCTTGATGTTTTATTCGACTAGAAGTTAAAATATGATCAATTACTATGCATATTTCCTTACTTTATCGTTTCCCTATTGATAACAAACGGAACCTTCATTCCAAGCAACGTATGAACCGTATTTTCCGCAAGACCATCAAGACTTTCGAGCTCAGCGTGCCATGATTTTATCCATATTTCAAAATCTCTCGCGCTCGCTTCGGCAAACTCTAAGAACTCTTCGTGAGATGATGCAAAGATCCTGGCAATTGCTGATCTTTTCTTTTCATCGTGAATTTCCTGGTAGACTTTTCCTTTATGCTTCTTCATTTCAAGCCGTCTTTCCTTCTTGCTTGGCCTAGAAATGACGCCACGACGGTAGCAAAATTCGTATTTTGCGGAGATCTCCTCTATTGGCAGGCCGAGAAGGCCAAGCTCCACCATTGTGTCACGGGGACAGTTGCATCGCATGGCCAAATACTGAATCTTCGCCTCCATTTTGTCATAGTCTGATTCCAAGAACGCTTCAGGACAAAACCTAATGATGTCTCCAAGAACATGTCCGTCGAAGTCCCAGCCAATGAAGGACTCCCTTCTATCTCTGATGACTTTAGGGCTGAGAGTGATATATTCCGGACAATTCATCAGTACATTTCCGAGATCAGAACCAAAAGTGATTCCAGTTTCGTTTCGCAGTGCATCAAGAGTTACTGACATCATTTCTGGAGTGATGACTTTGAGTAGATCGTGGAGCTCCCAGTTTTTCAAAAAGAGCGAATTAACATCGATGTGATTCAAATGCGACCGGTCAAGGATCAAGTTTTGCAGCGCAACGACTTCTGTTAGTGGGCGATTGATGACTTTTGATAAGTTTTCTTGAAGGGAAGAAATATCCGATTTGTACTCTGGGTCAGCGAAACGTTCAAAAACTTCGGAGCGGGTTAAAAATGGGGCGTCTTTGATGAAGTTCTCTTCAAGGTTCTTTTTCAGGAGCTTGTATTTCTGTTCTAGAGAAGTAAAAATGACTGAGTGTTCAAGTTCTGTCGCTTTAAGTTCACTGGAATCATTAGAAGAAGGAGTCAATAAATGAAGATTTTCAAATCCAACGAGTCTGAACAACCCTTGTTCAACCAAAGATTCGGCTTTCGCTTTATCGTAATTAAAGTAGCCACTCGGAAGGGGTTTCATCGCAGGACTCTTCAGTTGTAGCCACTGTCGTCGAACTCCTGGAATCTTTCCATAAGTCGCCGCTCCTACAGCCCGAGTTTTCTGGCTCTTTGCCGTTTCCTCCGAAAAATGAGCAGCGAAATCTTTGAATTCGAGTTCAATTCGTTCTGCGACAAGTTTCGCGCGGTGCTTCTCATAAACAGAGAGCTTTCTTTCCGGCCCAGTCTCTGGCCTTCGATACATTTCCCAAGTAGACTCTGGCAGTGGCTCATAAGGAAATGTTGGAGTAGCAACAGACCAGCGAGAGTTGATATCGTCAACAATTTCTTGTGGAAGAAGAGGTTTTAGCTCGCCATTTGAGCCGTAATCTTCATCAGAGAGGCCAGTGTCGACAGAATAGATAGGCTCTAGTTTTGGGATGTTCTTGTAGGCGGCTAGCGGCAAATCTCGCTTTTCATCCAGATTCTTGAGATTTTCAGTCAGCGGAGACAAATTTGAGGTGCATCTTTTGATTATTTTTCGACATGGACAACGCCACCTGATCATATTTCTGAAGCAGGAATTCAAAGCTAGAAAAGTTAAGAATGGTCAGTACAGTAAACAGTTGAATGAAAGTCAGGCCAGTTTTCAAGTGGTATTCACACTGCACCGTCTTTGTATTCGCAACATAAGTAGCATGTTCCGTAGCTGATTTCTCCGAGTTTGCCTCGTCCATATCCACAATTCGGACATCTGAGCAAGCATTTAAACCCGTAAAGGACCTTCGTTTCTTACCTAGAGGCTTTTGTGTTGATTTCCAGACCAGCTTTGGAGCCATCTTCAACTTTTCCTGATTTTTTGTACTTTTCATATTTCTTCTCCGGTTCGTAGCTCTCCCAAACATTCGCGGGGTAAACATGTTTGTTGTTTTCATACCAGTTTCTGGTGCAGACCTTGACAGTGGCTTTCGCCATGACGGCAGTGTTCTCGACTTTGATGTTGTCTTGGTCTTTTTGAAAATCTAAAAGGGTAGTAGAAAAAATTTCAGAAAAGAAGCCAACCAAAGAGAGTTCCGGATTTTCCTTCCGCTTTCGTAACAATCAAATCATAGAAGGTGTATTGATGGGGAATGATTGTATCCGCCTTTATAAACATCATCTAAAAATAGGCTATAGGCTATAGCAAAGGCCTTTCGTCGAAGGGACTTTTTTCTGATTATAACCTGATCGACAGCTTGAGTTTTCATTTCAATAAAGTCGATTCGAAGTTGTTGGCGGCATCGCTGAAGAAATGTCTCGATGGTGTCCCCTTTTTTGACAACCAAATCTCGTGGATGAGGAGAGCCATCCCAGTAGACATACTCGAATTCCATGATTTGATTTTTGAGCCTACAACAATTTCACTAAATCAAATTGAATTCTAACACTGACCTGGCTTGCTGCTCTATCCAAATCTTTCGAATCTCCTCTCTCTCAGCCTGTTCCCTTTCATTCTTACCATCAGAGGGCTAAAATTAACCGTTAATTAGACTTTCGTAAGAAATTAGATGTATACATAATAATGAGCAGAATCTTCGTTGAAAAGATTCAACTTACGTGAAGCTGCAATTTACCAAAAACGATGTATCAACTGTTAGGTCTTTCCCGATCCTCTTCTTCTTTATCTCAACTTCTTGATTTTCCTCCTCTTCGTCATCTCCAAAGCTTATTTTGTTCTTATCAGCTAATTTTCTATTTCGTTTTTTCTCCTTCGCTCGTCGTTTCTTTTCCTTTTCCGTCTTTTTCTATAAATCAAGCGCTAGAATCACCGAAACATTTTAGAACCCATCTTACCTTGTCTTCAGCTAATCTCAGCGCAATTTGGCGCTCTCTTTCTTCAACTGCCAACCTCTGTTTCTCCTTCATCTCGGAAAGAGTCACCAAACCGACTGTATTCGACCGCAGATCTTCCTCAACGTTATCGACATTCTTCGAGAAGCTCTCATACTCCGGAACATGGGCAGTGGGCATTTCTTCCATCACCGCCTTTTTCTTTTGCTCGAGTTCTGATTTGATCTTTTCAATTTCTTTTTCCGACTGGCGAATTTTAACGCTACACATTCCTCCGCCAGTATACGATGCCATGATTTAATACCCTGAATAATGAGGAACTGAATGAATGACTCCGATATGAACTTGTTGGATGCAAAAAACACAGCTTCTTACGTTATAGGCAAAAGTTGGTAAATAAGGGATTACTTGAGTAACTGTACTGTGGGTGAAGAATATGTACTGTACTACACGTGAATACTGTGGCAACTTAAATTACAGTGAAAGTCCCAAGAAAAAGTAATGCGGTGATCGAATTTAGTTTTGTCTGAGCTTCGTGTTTTGGTCGATAGGAAATCGTAACGAGACGGAACTCTCAAATGACCGAAAAGATCAAATTTTTAATTTTTTTATGAATTAACTCTGGATAATTGCTGTCGTTCGGGAGCACAAGGATAGATGAAGACGAACAAATTGCACAACTGGAAATTATTTTTATATAAGAAGAATGAATAGAAATAGGAAAAAAAGGTTGGAAAGATCGGCAAAGACGCTATCGCTGAAGAGGTGTTTTTTTCCTGGTGAATTTCATGTAGCTTGCTCGAGAAAGCTTTTTTGATGGCCATTTGAGCGCTGAAATATTGGATTATTGAAAGGTAAAGAGCAAAAAGGTTCTAGTTATTATCCCAGCTCAATTTGAAATAACCTGTTATTGCCTGAAAATACTCTAAACGTAATTGAAACTTAAAAGTGAATACAACTCAAGGAAGGTACCTGAAGATGAGCAGAGAATTCTTGAACAGCCCCGGCTAGGGCTTGTTGGTTACCAGCAAAGTATGCAGAGACTCCATTATGAAGCAAAAGTAATTGTTTCGACATAACCTTAACAGATGCTGAATCACTTCCATGTTTTCGAAAAAGTAACCTTGTGTCGATTTTCATCGAGTAATTTGAGCTTGATAATGAGAGCTTCTTTGAACTTATCGAGCGTTTCTTTTCGTTGAACAAATGAGGCTGTTGAAGTTTCGAGCTTTTGGTCTAGGTCTTTCGGAGCACCTGGCGTGCCTTGAAGTGCTTGTAGCTTTTCAAGATCGGTTCTGTACGCGTCGAACTCGACCCTTGACTTTTGGTATTCTCTAAGTGTCTGAAAATTGGGCTCAAACAACTGTAAATGCAAGAATCTTTTCAGGTAATAGACAAACTTTTGCATATTTGAGCCCAAATCATTAGGGTGTCTTCCATCGTTTTGAAAATGAGCGTATGAAGAGAGCTATTAAAAGATGCCAGACAAAAACTGAGAGTTTCTCCATTTTTACTCAGAGCTTTCTGAAAACGAACGGTTGAAAAATGACTGAAAAATGAGGGGCAAAACCTGTGTGTCCGCATTGTAACTGAATTCATCCTGTAAATCTGTCGATTTCAGGCTCATTTCCGAGAAGAAATCGCCGAGTTTCTTTTGAGTAGCTGTCAGAGCTTTGAATCTCGTCGCCAGTTCCTCTCCCATCTGAAAAGAATGTCGATGGTGTGCACCTTTTTGGTGCTCTAACCTGATGTAATTCTTTGTATCTGGTTAAATGGTCGTGTAGTTTTTCAACTCTGGGATCTAAGTCTGGCTCTGCTGTGATCGTTGCTGTTCCCATGAGTTCTTGAATCCTCTGTCGATTTACCCTGTAGTGTTTTAGGCCCCATCTTTTGAGCTTGTCGAGATTTTCTGGATTCGGGATTAACTCTTTTGGAAGCTGGACGTTTTTCAAAACATCTGGCTTTGGAATTGTGGATCTTTGAGGACTCTCGCCTAAATATTTAATCCGTTACGAGAGAATTTGCTTTAAAGTCTTTCATTTTAATAAACTAATGTTTTATGAGCAACCTTCGTGTTTATGATCAATTTATCTAGAAAAGCCTTCGGTTTACCTTGCGAATTTTTAATCGGGATTGTTCGGTCTGGAAGGTCTTCTGCTTCCGGACTTTCTAGGGGCGTTTGATCTGGCGATACGTCCATTTTGGGGAGAACTGGGGTCGGAGCCGCTGGGCTTTCAACTGGTGCGGGAACTGAGGCTGGAGTTGACTCGGTTTTCGGCTGCTCTTCTTCCGACATTCTTTGAAAAGGAGGAAAAATATATAATTGGTTTATCGAAAAAGGCGGAAGAATATTTTGATGGAACGAAGGGAAAGAAATTGTCAGCTTTTTGGAGAATAAGGTAAAGAAAATTTGTAAGAAGAGTTCATGGCGTATTTGGAGGTCCAATCTCTGGCAGTATCGTCGTGTAGTTCTCTGTTTTCAATAAAGATTTGTCCAATTGTTCCCACAAGCGGATGGTAAGGATTCGGGTCAGACATCAGCGTGCGCATTGAGAGAAGAATCGAGGAAATGGTGAACGAGGGGATCCAGGAATCCTAGGAGAAGCAATAAAGAGGAATTATGAGTAAGTATGATTTACCTTCAAAATATCAACGCAAACAAGGCCGAGAGAATTGACATTGCAGTGATAGATCTTCGTAATGAACTTGCATTCAGGGGGAGAGAATGGGTAATTTTGTGGAAACTTCATATTGAACTTGAAAATTCCGTTTTCATACGGAGAATTCGCAGGGCCATGGATATAAGCGTTCCATTCGAAGAAATCTTCCTTTGATTTCGATTTGAGTTAATTTTGAGAGGAGCAGATTTACCTCAGAAACAGGACTGGCTTCAAACTCCGGCATGGGCGCGTAGCTCAACTCTGCGAGCTCGATTTTCAACCTTTTCAGCGCATTTGATCTCGTCTTTTTCGAATAACTATCGAGCGATTTCCGAGACATTCTTATACGGGATTTTATGAAATTGATATTTGAAAGTCGGGTGAGAAATTAATTTAAGCACCGTCTACAGAAATTGAGAAGAAATTAAATTTGAAGAAACATCAAGTGGTTAGTTGGCTCCACGCTCGTGATGCCTGAAAGATCGTGCCAGACGTTGACAGAAGAAGGGCCGACCTCTGAAAATTGGTTTGGAAAAAATGTTCAAACTATATCTGATCCTACGAGCACCGCCAAAGACGAGGAATCCAGAATTGAGAAGATGAAGAGAAGAACCAAGGATACATGGGAGGGGAGAGGTGTTCAGTCGGAGATTCTCACCGCGCGGCAAGTTTTCAAAAGAAAGGTCGCTTTCGTTAAATATCAATCGATGAATTGCAAGAGCGGATTGTTGAGGTTCTTCTTCAGACATTTGCACTGAGAACAGTTTATTTTTTTCTCAAAGAAAGTGATTTACCAGGTGAAAGCCAAAGAAGAATACTCTTGCTCATCGAATAAATGTAACTTGTTCCACGGAGATAGGCGGGCATGTTAGATGAATGGTCAGTTCGGATGTTCGTAAATGTAAATTTGAAACTTCTTCTGCCGGATTCATTGTCGACGATGGGAGTAACTTTGCAATGTTTGAAATCGCGGACGACATTGCTCGTGAAAATGAGGGAGTCATCACTGACCGGAACTACAGCATGAATCGATCGCTTAAATTTGTTTGGAGTTGAAGAATTATTTTTGCTGGAGCTTACGGGAAAGGGAGGAATATCGCCTTCGAGAAAGACTTTCGCCCATCTCCAACTAGTCGGCGAAGCGTTTCGAATGTCGAGGACGAGGGTTTGATCAGGATCAATGGGGTTTCTCTCGTCGAAGGAGCCCCCATCAATAACGAAAATGTCGAGCTTCGGAAGAATGCAGCCAGCAGCTTGAGTTCTCCCTTCTGAAGTATTCGGCAGGCGAATATTGAGCCAGTCTTTTTTCTTCTCGCGAACATTCAGGACGCTCAGCTCGTTTGGATAAAGACCCACATCTTTTGTCAAATGAGCAATTTGGGATTTTGAATATTCTACCTGTTCGAAAAGCAGCAAGCGCACTCTGCGGGCCCTGGCTTAGCTTTCCGCCAAACAAAATCAACCTGTCTCGTTTTTCGTCGGCGACCATCACCGCTCCGCCTTTCGCCTGCGGAGTTTTGGAACAGACGACGCGATCCCATGTCTCTTTCTTTGACGAAAAATACCAGGAATCGTTCAGAGCCGTTTGCAAGTCAACATAGCCGCCGAAAACGTACAAAACTCCGTTGAGCAGAGCGACAGAGGACTGATAACGGGGTTGAGGGCAGTTTCGTGATAACAGTTTCCCGCCTAAATAGTTGACGCGCGTGTTTTTGAATGGCTCAGGGCTTCGATTAGGCTTTAATTTTGACTTTTGGAAAGCAAGGAAGACAATATCTTTTGAGAAGTCTTTGGAAAGCCTCCCTAGCAATTTTTTTCTCAAATCTTCTGTTCTTTCTTTTCACAAATGTACGCGCAATCTGCTCGAATCTGTAGTTGACCTGGCTAAAATGGGAGATGGAGGGCCCAGTAGAAGGGAGGAAAGAAATGACTTGCTCCCATATCTCGTCCGGAAGATCAGACATCTAAACTCTTGGAAAAGATGAGTTTTGGATTTATTTTTTCTCGGAGAATTTCGAAGAATGGCTTCGAAGGCAATATGCTTGGCGAGTAAGGATCGATTTATCGGAAATAAAGCATTTCGCGCACTTTTTTATTACTGTACAATTCATGCATGACAAATGAAATCGCGAGTCGGGGTAAGTTTTTTTAGAGTCATCTGATGGAGTTTATTTTGCAAGAAACAGCGGCATCAGGGTATTTTTTTGTGGTGCGACTGAAATTAGTCGAGCTTCTGGAAGCCAACCATGGGAGCGATTTCTCGGAATGCTCGTCGAGAGACGTTGAGGCCGTACTTTCGGATGAGACCAGATCGGCAGCCAGTGATTCGGCCAGAGTTCGAAATTTTTGCGGCTCCCGGGCAAGGGGGCGGCGGGCGGGCGGGCACGGGCAGAATATTTAAGATTCCCGGGGGCAAAAACGGTCACGGGCACAAAAACGAATTTTCCCGCGAGCCAAGCGGGCACGGGCACTATAACAAATTTTCCCGCGGGCAGATACGGGCACGGGCATGAATGAGAAGATTCCCGCGGGCATAAACGGGCACGGGCGGTTTGCCCGCGTTCCCGCACGAAATATTCCCGAGGGCAGCCCGGGGAACATTTTTTCTACTGCTAAATCTCAAGCCTATTTTTCAAAATAAGAAAATAAAATAAAAACGACCCTGAATCAATTCGGATTTTTAAATCGCAAGTTTTAGGAGCTAGTTAGAAACTACGACCGAATGGTCTCCGTTTCCCCAACTTGGGGAACTTGGGGAAACGGCGACTTGGGCAAACGGCGATGTGAATTAGTTTAAATTGATTGATCATATAACTTTTATTGTCTTCTTCACAGTCAATCCCAGCTTCACTTATTTCAATCCCGGCTTCAAAAACTTCGATCCTAGCTTTTCAGACGTCAATCTTGGTGGCTCAAACTTGAATCCTGGCATCTCCAGCGTCAATCCCGGCTTCTTCAATGCTGATCCGGGCGTCACTTACTTCAATCCAAGCTTCTCAAACGTCACTCCCGGCTTCTCAGTTGTCAATCATCGCTTCTCGAATGTCGATCATGGCTTCTTCAAGATAAAATTGGCGTTGAAAAAGCCCAGATGGAGATGGATGAAGCCGGGATCGACGTTGGAGAAGTCGGGATCGACGATGGAGAAATCGGGATTGACGTCGAAGAACCCGGGATGGACATTGGAGAAGCCATATTTGAAGCGAGAATTGGCGATGGAGAAGCCATAATTGATATAGTGTCGATGATATTGGAGAAAACATGATTGATGTTGGTGAAGCCAGGATTGGCGTTGAAGAAGCCAGGATTGATATTAAAAAAGCCAAATAATGTCTAATGATCAATTAATATAAACTTTTTTCAGATCGCCGTTTGCCCAAGATCTCCGCTTCTCCAAGTTGGGCAAACGGCGATTTTCTATAATTCACCATAACTAGGCCTCGGACGTAAAAAAGACGATTTTCACCATCCGGTCATCGTACGGGAACATGAGAGGGCTCATTCGAAAGGTCTTGATAAGGGCTTTCTATTTGACCGATAAAAAAACTGGGCCCTCCCTTTCTGTTACGAGTTATTTTAAAAAATATTTTTCAAAGCTTACCTTCAAAATCAAATATCTCGAAAAAGGAGGACAGGGCCCAGTTTTTTGATAAGCCCAACAGAAAGCCCTGTTCAAGAGCTTTCGAATGAGCCTACTCTTGTAACCGTACGACGACCGGCTGGTGGTGATGATTTTTTACGTCCGAGGCCAAACCATAACACCTAAATTACGTCAATTTCCGGCTCTAGAACCGACCGGAAGTGGAGTTTTCTAGAATTTTGAACCGTTAAAGTTCTTAAAATTTCTGTTGATTTGTAAAGGTATAATGTTCGGGGGTCTATAAGGCGGAAATGGGCTGGAAAACTTCATTAACCTTAAAAAAAAGCACGTCATAACAGTTCTGTATGCAGATTAGTTTTCAATATACTCCCTCAAGTATTTGGTGTCTATTTCCACGCTATTTAAATAGTTTAAACACTTTTTCATAAGGTGCATTGAATCTGCCCGTGCCCGTTTAAGCTCGCGGGAATCTTGCCCGTGCCCGAATTTGCCCGCGGGAATATTTTTTATTGTGCCCGTGCCCGCCTGGCCCGCGGGAAAATTCGTTTTTTTGCCCGTGACCGCTTTTGCCCTCGGGAATCTTCACTTTCTTGCCCGTGCCCGTATCTTCCCCCGGGCAAACGCGGGATTTCGAACTCTGGATTCGGCACTGTCGGAAACCTAGAAATTTATGTGTTAGACAATTGTTATTTTATTTAGTAACTAAAAAATTCTATAAGTGGAATGTTCGCAACTCGGTTGGAAAGTACAAAACGAACATTAGGAAAGAGGTTCAAGGCGGTATTCTCGTCCCCTCTTCAACTTAAAATTCCAGAGAATCAGAAGCGAAAAGAGGTTCAGTGAAAAAGTGCCAAGTACGATTTCCTTGCGAGTCGAGCGTGAATTTCATGTTCGCCAGCGTTATCTAACCACTTCATAATTCATCATTTTCTCAGTTCCAGGAAAATCTCGAAAGTCGATCGAGGGAAGTTTGAGGAAAAGATGTAGAAGCCGTCGCTTTTAGCTGGCGGAAAAGGGATGAAGGAGGGTTCTTGATAGAAATATTTGAAACTTTCTTCATCAAATTTTACTGAAAATCAGTTTCATCGAATTTCAATTGAAATTCGAGTTTTTCAAAAGATGACGCATTCTCGTGAACGATCTTCAACTGAAATCAGAAGAGAGTGACTTTTGAATGAACAAAGTTCCAAATATTTTGACTCGTTGAAACAACAAGTTCCAAGAGCAGTTCCCAGAAGAGCTCAAAGACAATTTACAAGCGGATTCAAGGAGCTCATCGCCGCGAGAACTGTTCTAAAAAGCGCGCTGGGCCAGAAAGAACTTCGCCGCGCTTGAAACTTGGACTGCTTCAATGAGCTTTGACTTTGGCCAGGAATTTCACCCGCGGCTGCTCAAGCAGAGGCAATCGGGGATGAAGAGCCCGACAGGATGGTGATTGATAAGAGGATTTATAGATTCAGAGGGAAATGAAGGGATTTGAGCATGATGAGCCTCGCTAATCAAAATTTCCTATCTAAAAATCCTCAAATCGCCCCCAAAAGGTTACTTTTCTCGAAGAAAAACCCTCGTAACGAGTCTAAGTCTGTTTAAAAACGAATAGGAGCCCTAGAAACGTACCTCGGCCTTTGGTGTTTTTGCCTTTGTGCGCGAACCAGATGTTTTCGTGTCCCATGTCGAAAAAAGTCTGAAAAAATCACTCGTTACAAACCACAAAATTGATTAATAAAGTTTCATCATCAAATTCAGCCAGGAAGATAGCGTAATTCTTCGTAAAAATCTCTCAGAAATCCTCTCACGCACGTGAACGCTTGGAAAGACGTCCGCGCTTGACCAATCAGAGAGCCACATTCTTTCGAGAGGACAAGCGCGTAAAGCGCGCAAGCCAATTTTTCGCTGGAAGAACGCCGCGTCTGAGGAGTTGAGTGGAAGCAATTTTGAGGACTGGGTGGAAATACTGTACTTTTAACCACTAATGTCCACGTGAAAACAGACGATGAAAGGGTTATCGAAGAATCTCGGTGTAACTGAGAGTTATGTTGCTTGTTTTGGATCAATTGGGAAATGTTCTTCTTGCGAACTGTAAGTGAAAGTATATAAATTTAGTCTTCCGAAGCTACAAATTGTATCTTTAACGAACTTTTAGTGTTACAAAATCAACAGCAAACATAAAGGGTAACAGATACTGTGTCTGTTGCGCATCGAAAAAGTTTCCCGAGGAGTCCAAAAAAGCCAAGTTTGAAAAGACAGATGCAAAATTCAAATGTTACGCTGGTCGTTCAAAAGGTTGTGGCGCAGACCAACTCAATTACAGAGAGTTCTACGTTGGTACATGCTGTGAAAATGCTGCTCTTCGCGCAGATGACTGTACGTATCGGAAAAACTTCAAGTGATAAGTGATTATATTGATTAAATATTTACTTTAGACAGATACGAAACCCTTAAAATCGTCAACGAAATTTTTGAAGAGACAAGAGATGAAGAAGGTATCGTAGAAAAGAGAGTTGAAGACGCCGAGAAACAAGTGGAATCATCTCGAAAAGTAATGGAAGTTGATCAAAAATTGGTAGAAGAAGTTCTGAAAAAGGCTCAAGAGTCCAGTCAAGCCTTTGAGGAAGCAAAAGTAGATGCAGAGAAATGCAAGGAAGAGCTAGCGAAGATTAGAAAGTGGCGGAAAAAAGTTCAAAAGCGATCGTTGGTTCTCAGCAAAGCAGCAATGAAGGAAGATAACAGCGACGCTGGTACAGTAGCTCTTTACAGACTAGAAAAGCATCATTTTTAGAATCGTCAGGGGAATCAGACGAACCTGAGACGAAGAAGTCAAAAGGAGGAGAAGAAAATAATGAGGATGACAACTGCAAGATCTGTTGTGAAGTTTTTAGTGAAGCTCATCCTCTAGCTGCTCTCACTGCATGCGGCCACATAGCCTGCTTCAACTGCCTTTCTAATTTACCTCAGAAGACATGTCCTACCTGCCGTAAAAAGTTCACCAAGCGAAACATTCTCAAGCTTTTCAAGTAATTTTCTGCCACATCGTTTTCACTAAGCAGACAAATAAAAAATGCACTCAACAAGTAACTTATCAGTGGTTTTATTGGCTGAGGAAGAACTTTTCAGAAATGTATCAACGTAAAAATGTACAAATAAATATTTTTTGGCAGTGAAGTTACAATCTGGTTTCAGCACCATCCACAATTGAGTAGTTCCTCCATTGTAATTCTGCTCATCGGGTCTGGGCAGAAGATTCGGTCGAGAAGGGCGACAGTGTATTTGTTAAGAGTCCGCTCAGCGAGGAAGTTTCGTCGCATAAGCCCGGTCTGGTCTGTTTCCCAGTTTCCAGTGAGAAGGATGTAAATGACTGCTCCAATGCTCCAGACAGTGAGTGGCCCGGCGCTGAGAAGTCGGTTCTGGAAGTATTCGATCGGCCAGTAAGAGGGGGTTCCGCGGGCGGTGGTGTAGCAGTTGTCTTCTCGGCTGGCGCATCCGAAGTCGATGAGGCGGATTTCGAGAGTCTCTGGGTGGATGAGGATGTTCTCGTCTTTGATGTCGCGGTGGCAGATGCCGGCACGGGAGAGCTCCATGCAACAGGTGATCAATTGGCCGGCGATGATTCGGACTGCTTCTTCGTTGATAGCACCGTGTTTCTTAGAGAATTCGAAGAGGTCGATGAAGCCGTCGAGTCTCTCCATAACAAGGACGAAGGAAGATCGTCGCTCGTACCAGTCAAAAGGCTGTACGACAAACTCGGATGCTTGAGCCGCTTTGAAATGGTAGTAGATTTCGCTGGGGACAGCTCGTTCTTGAACTTGCTTGAACTGGGAGATCTTTCCTCGAGGAATCTGCTTGATGACGACTGGAGTTTCAGAAGAGATGTGCTTGCCAGTGTAAAGGATTCCGTTAGCAGAGCGCATCATTTCTTCCTCGACATCGTAAGTCTTCGAGAATCGTCGCTGATCTTTGGCGATTTGCTCTTGGGGAGAGATGACGTTTTCGTCTGAAGAGTAGCCGGATTCGCTGTTTCGAGACATTTTCGAGTTTTTCTTTTGAATCTCTTTATTAAATTTTGCTCTTGGGTTTTTTCTTCCTTTGGAAGGTGTGTTTATAAAATGGTTGATTTGATTCTGATTTGATGGTTTCAGAAGGGAGCTGATCCGATTTTATAGTCGGCGAGAAGAGCGCCGCGGAGGTCGCCAGCCGTTCCACTCCTACTCAGCTCAGCGTGACATTTTTTCTGAGAAGATAAAGATCAACGTAGATTCTACGTACACCCGCGCAGATGCATATACTCGATAAGGATACATACAATGGATAAGGTGTTCCTATGCAAATTTACACAGTAAAAGGTAGCTAAGAATTGGGTCAGATTGGCGAATAGATCCAGATGGGCTGAAGCTCGGGAGAAGTTATTGGAGGAAATTTGTCGAATATTGCCTTGATTTTTGAATCCGAAGGGAACATCAATATTTTGAAGAAGAAAATATATTTCAGAACAATGTAAAACTGCTGAAACACATCAAATTTTAATATCATTTTCTGTCTGCAATCTTCTATCCCAGATTCCTCAGATTCAACTATCGATTCTGATAGTCATTTTCTTGAATAGAACAGTTCTGAAAATGAATATCACCATTTGAAAATCGCACTTGTCGATGAATATCGCATTCGAAAATTTCCGATTTCCATTTCCTCCAGCAGAGAATAAACGAGATGAGCTGACTCTGCCTTCCTCGCAAAAGCAGAGTTTCTTTCCGAGAAATTCTAGCTTTCTCTTGTGCATTTTTCCGTTGCAGCTGGCGGTAGCTTGGTTTCAAAGCAGCGCGGCGAGTTCAAGCGCCCATCCGATAAATTAGAAAAAATCCCGGAAAGATTTGAATTTTAGCCGATACAAATGATTTTATGGTACCGAAGGAGATTCGATTTGAGATTTGCTCAGAGAGACAAATTTATTGTATGCTAACCGACTTTCGGCTTGTTTGAGGAGAAATTTCTTGGCCTCATAGTTTGAAAATCAGACTGTACTGGAGAAAAGGCTTCAACTTAAAATTTCATGTTCGCAAGAGCAAATTTCTGGATGAAAATCAATAGACAGAGGTGAACTTGATCCACGCTGAGTTTTATCGATAAGAAAAATGGATGAAAAGCGACCCAGGAAGTGCATCAAAAAAGCTTCCTTGATCACCCACCTTGACTCACTTTCTCAACCTCACCTCAACATATGAAAGTACGAAAAACCGAAGATAGTAGCAAAGATGCTAAACTCATCCAGGAGTTCTCGACCAGGACCCTGGGTAGTATCGAAAATCCGCCAAAAAACCGTTGCGACTTTTTATGCATGAGAATTGTTTGTTTGCGATCCACTGAGAAAGAATGCTGAGCCTTTTCGGATTTGGCGGTATTCGCACCTCAATAAGCGTGCCTCAAGGATCACGGAATTTTTTAGCAAGCCGCAAGGATTTTCACAAATCAAAGCGAAACTTATTGGCAAAATACAGGCTTCCAAGAAAAAAAAATGAATGAGAGTAGCTTAAAATTTTTGATTTCAGTTTTCCATCAATCAAAAATTTCGACTTTTCATCCCGCTTTGGCCTAGATTTCCAGGAAAAAGCTGAGCATGTGACCCCACTCCGTGCAATATAAACTTTAATCCGGCCTTGCCCTGCTTTTCCGAGAAAATCCAATTTTACTTTTTTTCGCAATTTTACGGGATCGGATCCCTTGCCCGAATTCTTGCGGAAATTTTCACTTTTTTAGAATGTTGACCTTGAATTTCCAGTTGATGGCGTTCGCACGTGATCTTGGCACGAGAGTTTTTATAAACAGTAAAATAGAAAGAATGATCTGATCAGGAGAAAATGTGGGTTTATAGATTTCTGGACACTTGATTACTGTTATTTGATTTTGACACCCCAGTAGCCCATTCTCGGTCGCGATTTCTTGATTGCTTGAATGGTGTTTTACCAAGAATGTCTCCCCTGTTTTTAGGCCCTGTCACCACATGCGATATCCCAGGGGTATTACTGCTCTCCTGGGGAGTTTTGTTGCCCTAGAAATTTTACGATGGGATTTACGATTCGAGAGTTCTTGGAAGGTCTCCCGGGGGGCCGGCTCCGAGAAATTTAGAGATCCCCTCGTGATGATAAGTTTGTAAACATATTTCCGGGAAATATGGGGCACATAAGGCCTTTCCGAGAATTCAAGCGCCCCATATTTCCTTTTCCCCTTATCTCGATTAAACTTTGTCGAATTGAAAAAAAGGCTGAACCTTTGAAATATCGATTGAATTGACCACTACCTGCAAGGACTCAATGACCCTTTTTCTAATTTCCAAGGTACAATTCTTTCTTTGATCACTGCTAGCTCTGAATCGATACCTTTTCATCCCCCGAAAAAAATGTCTGATGCCTTTCTTTTCAAATTAGGCTAATGTCCTGCAACCTGCTGAGTACCCTTAGATGCACAAAAATGCACAAAAAGAGTGAGGCTCAAATCAACTAAAACGAAAAATCTCCGTTGTCAGATTGTTCATCTCGACAATCAAATAATTGCAATTTTCGCGCAGGTACTCAACCGCGAAATATTTCAAATTGAGAGTCGCAATAATTGACTTCCTGTTTTGGCAAACATTCGTCGGACAAAGTTTCTCTCTAAATAAAATCAGAACATTCTCATTCTAAAAGTGTGGCTTAGCTTTGTTTTGCAAACCGATTGTTTTCAGACTTTCTAATTTTCAAAATTCAACGGTCTTTTCAGTCGATTTTCTCAATTTTTAAGTTAGAAATCTCGCTATATGAAACTTGAGAATTACTTTTCTCCGAAACCATTGGCTCATTAATGACCGAGACCAATGTCCGATTATCAGCCTGTCGTAAAATCCGCTTTGCTAGCACCGGCGCTAATTTTTATGAAGCTCAAGCTCGCTAACGCGAATTGACCCGCGGCAGGATCATCCACCAAAAAAACTCCAAAACGACAAAAAATCGCCAACACAATATTATTGCCACAAAAATACTACTTGACAATAGTAGATTCATTCATTTAGTAGCTTATGGTAAGAGATCATTGAGAAGATGGCGGGATTTGTGAGAAGAATGGCGCATGGAAATGTGAAGTGGTTTAGGAACATTTTAACGCTATTGGAACGGATCACAAAAGAATTTCACAATAAGAGAAAATTTTTCAGAAAGCTTACTTTGAATTTTTAGATTTAAAATTGACATTTTTGTTGATCCAAGTTAAAGGTTTTTTGTTTATTATTATACATTTATAATGATGAAGAGTGCTTCGGGGATGAATGTGATGAGAGTTCTCTGAGCTCTGATGACAAATCTGCCAAGTCTGCTCCCACAAAGCAAGAAACTATGCATCTAATGACTGTCTCTTGTGGAAGGCCAAACTATCAAGGAATCAGAGACGTAAAGAAACCACTTGATCAAAGGTAAGCAGTAATTGTTATTCAAACTCATTATTTTCAGTTTAACGATGATCAAATCCGCTGCTCTCTTTGCCCATCAACGTCTGCATATCCACGTGTTTACCGAGGAAGATATGGCTCCTCTATTTGAGGGCGAGTTGGAATCGTGGCCGGACTCGATCAAAGAACGAACGGAATATTCAATCAACAAAATCGACTACTCCCAGCTCCCGCAAGACCTCATCGCCGAGTGGAAATCGTGGTACAAGCCATGTGGCAGTTTTCGTCTTCTGACACCGATGCTGCTTGGAGAGACGGGGGTCACCGATGCTGCGATTTACGCCGACTCAGATGTGGTCTTTACGAAGCCAATTGATCAGCTTTGGGCGAAGGAACGGGTCATTTCATTTTCGCAGCGCTATAATCATACGTCAGGGCGTATTAATTTACTTTATGAGAGAAGAAAGCTATTGATCTTTGCAAAAGCTGAAAACATTTTCGCCTACGGAAGTTATGGCGATCGCCCCTACCGCTGGTCATGCTCTTGGAGGATCGAGATACAATGAGAATTTCATTCTTCATGATACCGGGCTATTCCAGATCAATTCCGGAGTCATGGTGATGAACTTTACGAGAATTCTCAACGGCAAGGAATGGATTTGATAAAATTTAAATTTACTCCTTGAATTATTTAAAATTGAATATTTTGTCAAATGCCTTGAAAAGTGGAAACTGTCTTACGACGAACAAGGCCGTGAAAAACCCGGCCCTGCTCTTGGCTACGGATCAGAACTGCTTCTGAAGTATTACAGAAAATATAAAGATCGGGCGGAGCACGATCAAAAGCTTTTGAATATCATGTTTCATTTCAACCCTGACATGCTGCATCAACTCGAGTGTTCCTGGAATTTCAAGAATAATTTCTGTATCGACGACGGAAACGTCTGTAAGGAAAGGAGTTTACTATTGAGGAAGGACATTAGGTATCTTTCGTAAGAGCTTTTAAAAACTTCTCAAAAAGGACGCTGAAGAGAACGGGGCAGGAGCTGTGCATGGAATTACCTCTGCTTTCTTCGGCGATGTGAACCCGACCTTCCGTGGTCTTTACGAAGCGTTCTTGATGTACAACTGGGACGAAGACTTGCACGAAAATCTGATGGACCCATTCAGAAACGCAGTTCAACGGCGCGGGAGTGGAACATACTGTGCAACGAAATACAAGCTACTAGCAGATCCACTAGAAGAGTCAATCAAATCTGCCAATTTGTAAATTTATATTTGAAGCACCTTGCCAATCATCACAAATAATATATGTGTTAATTAGTTTTTATTTTAATAATATTATTATTCTGTTCCGTCAATCATGTTCCGCAAAACCACCTTTTCTATTCTGTTATGCAAAACAACGAAAAAAAGAAAGAAATATGCCAACAAGGCAAAACACTGAAACCCTGAATAAACTCGCAATACTGCTCATGAATACTGTATTCTAATCTGAGTGATAACATCCAGTTTTGAAGAAAAATGAACTTTCAGGGGTCAAAAAGAACTTCTTCTATTTGCAATTGCAAACATAAAAGAGCAGAATCTAACCTCTCCAGGTGTGTATCAAAATTTACGACCTCCAGAATCCTGTCTGTACAAATTTTTAGGCAAGAATTTGTCAGGAAAGAAATTTCAAAACTGAAAATGCAATTTGACAAGATTGTTTTTGCATGTCTTAATTTGACAGTTTGAGTACTGAATGTTTATCAGACGATAAGGGGGACGTTTTATTGACGCACTTAGCATAATTATTAGGAAATTCTGGGGGCTCGGAAATTTATTTGACGCAAAAGTTCGAGACGTTTGATTGACACAAACTACGATAGTAAAAATTAGGAAGTGATCTTATGTCACGATAACGATCGCTGTTTGAAAAGGAAAGTCGAGAATGACTGTAAATTTTGAAAAAATTTCAAAATGTTTTCAAGCCATTCAAGCGCTTTTTAGATTTTAATACAGGAGAATTTCACGTGAAACAACTTTACACTGTTTTCGAACTCTCGTCTGAAAGTGCCCACAAACTTCATTCTCACTGCTAATCTCCACACAAAAGCTAGTGATTACAAGATCGGTTATCCATCATGCTCAGTAAAGAGTCACCGGATTTTTAATGTACACAAGCGCTCGCGCTTACTAGTTCTGGATAAATTCTCATGTCGCTGGCGCACTCTGTGGCGCTAGAAAGATACTTGTAGTTCTTGAGCTTATAAGCATCTGATTTGAAAAATTTCCCAGAAAAAAAAGCGAAAGATAATGACGAAAAAGAGCATTTTAATCCGAAACTTTGGGAGCCCTACTACAGGAAGAACAACCATCGCCCCAGGCAGCCCTGTTTTCAGGCGATTGAGGGATGAAATGATGGCAGAAGACGACGAAACTTTCAAGAAGAAAAAGTATGTCGTCTTCGCCCCTGGCACAAAGCTCGAAGACGCGTAACCAACCATAAATGACATTCTACAGTCGTAGAAACAATACTGTACAAATTTGCTTATTGGACAAAGGCTTAATAAAACGCTCGATACAATATAAAATATATTTATTTATCAAAAAAATTGGTTTGTAACAAAAAAAACTAAATGGCAGAAAATAGTTCCTCCACTGTGACTTCTTCTTTTGAAGCTTTTTTCTTTGGAGACTCACTGAATTTTTCGTAGTTGAAAGTGGCTATTCCATTGCTGCCCAAACTCATGTTTGAAAGATGTTGCGTTCGCCACTGGATTGAAATGTCCTCGACGAGGATGAGAAATGCGACGAGGGAGAGGATCGATTGAAAAAGCAAAATCTAAAGAAAACGTTATAACTCGTTCGTGATTTGTAAACATACCCAGAGGTTTCCGAGTAGATTAGCTAGCGCTAAAAAATTGCCGACAGCACAGGTTATCGAAAGTAAAGGCCCGATGAAAACGCTGAACAGAAGGTTGATAAAGATCGCGGTTGACCTAGCTCCTCCTTCAAGTTGATTGATGGTTTGGAAAAATGTACCAGAGAGTACGAGGCATGCAGCGAGCTTTTGCGCGGTTTTTAAATGAATTTTTATTTTATTCTCTTCGTTGATTTCAAACCCTTCCCAAAAATGTCAAATTTGTGATCACAAAGTTTGATTTTGAATCATCTTCCGCATCGTCAAGCTGTACCCGAACGTAAGCAAGAATCAAAATCAGAAGTGCGACAATAATCAGCTTGATTCCAATAAACTTGTTGCTAAAATTCGATTTGAAGAAATCTTTGTTGAAAGTTCGTCTTGCACCTGAATCTATTTCGCTCGACAAAATTTCTTAGTGAACCTCTCATAACAACGATAATAAAGTCCTTTACGAGTGGGCAAAACACTTGAGAATTGGAAGGGGAATCTAGAATTCACATGTTAGTAACATGTTACTCAGCTCCTCAGTAATTGAACGTTCTCTTATTCCAATATCTTGGAGCAGTTACCAGAGGGCCCCCCTTTAATTGTGGATAAAAACAAAAATATCTCAAAAAGGGTCTACTTCAATCTATTGTGAAATCTTCTTTATAAAGACAGAATAAAGATTTAATATTTGTTGTATTTATTTTCTATTATCAGTAATTCGGAATTGAAATGAATGTTTAAAATAGTGAATTGTAACTGGTGATATGGGTCTGACGCGAATTTCTATGCTTCAGAGTTATCTTCGACAACTTTTTCGACAATGAAGACGTCATCACTTTCTGCAGAAGTGTTCGGGCTCTCTTCCTTGTTTTCACCTTGGAATACGTCGTTGTTTTGGGTTAAGGATTCTTAAATTTTCGGGTAGATCAAGAAAAACTCGTAAGTGTACCTTTTTCTTGCAAGTTTGTTTCATCTACCGTTGAAATTTTGAACCTCGAGGAAAGTCCAACTGGCGGACTACTAATTTGTGCTTGCAGCGGTTTCTTTTGAACAGTGTTCGGCTGTACACTTATCGAGCGCTCAATGGTTTTCTTCTGTACAACCGAAGATGTTCTCTTGGGACCTTCGTCTGTGATATCGTACGGTTCGTAGGAGGGAAGTCCATTTGATGAGCTTAAATTTGATCTCATCGTTATTTTTTGAAGCTATTCATTACCTTGTATCGGGCGAAGATTCCGTCGTTTCTGGGCTTTGCTCTTGAATCGCCATCGTTGTTGTTTCGGGAGAGATCTCAGTCGTTACCTCGAATCGGCCTCTCTTCGTTGATGCCTTTGTGAAATCAGTAACGACACTGTATCTTGATCCACCCGGCTCTCCGACACCGCCTGTTGAAGAGTTCTTGCGATTTCGAACGTACTGCTCAATCTCATGAGCACGGGTGAAGTTTTCTTCCGGAAATCGCTGCTTCCATTTCATCAATTTATCGACCGTATTTTTGCCATCCAAAGTGAGCTGGTTGTAATCATCTGTGAGCTCATAATACGACGTGACTGTTTGTAGTTTTTCAAAATCAAGGCTTGTTGGCTCAAATGTATCTTCTTCAATTGTCGTCCCAAGGCGGTTTCTTCTTCGGAATGAAGCAGGCAATCTCTGCAACGTATCGATGATTCCTTTCATGTTTATATACATTTCTGGCTCTTTCTCGACCTAAAACAACTTTAGCAAAACATTGGAGAAGATTTTGACAAACCTGTTGACTCCAAAGATGCTGATGGATATCGACAATTCTTGGCCCAGGACTAACTTCCTTGAATAAAAATTTCTCGACGAGATAAAAGATTCCGGAAATAATGAATGCATAGAAGAGCTCCATAAATCCATACAAGGGGCTGTAAGGGTGCATTTTCTCAATCAAATAATCATCAAGGGCGTACGCACCAAACACGGTAGACATTCCAAGTTGAGTGTTTTGAAGTCCACAGGCGAGGCCTATTGTTCGGCACTCGTGAGTTGTGAAGTTGTTCAGTGCAGCTTTTGCATACGAACTTCCTCGTTTATGAGCAAAGTAGTTGAGCGACCAGTAAAAAGCATTTGATATGCCGTAGCCAAGAATATATCCACATAGATAGGGTCCACGCTCAAAAAATAAAACTTTTTAAATATAAGATATATACATTTTATGTAAATATAAAACTTTTAGCTATTGAAATAACAATTATTTTTAAGCAAAAAAATTTTTCAAAACTTCAAGGGATGAGGAGAAAATTCGATAAAACATTCGAAAAACTATGAAGAACGACTGATTTTAAAATTTTTTTTTTATGAATAGGTTTAAAAAAGCCCATAATTTAATATTTTTTTTCTTAATTTTTGGAGGATGCCTTCTTAATCGAGAAATCTTGCAAAAAGGGTGAATTTTGACGACAAAAAAGAGCGGCGTGAGTCGCGTTGCGCGGAATGCCCCCAGGCCGAGAAAGGGTGTCCACACTGAAGCATGAATAGAATTTCATTTTTCAAGAATTTTATTTTCTTGACATTAAAAAAGACTTCAATAAATAAAAAACCAATTAATTTTTCATAATTTTTATTAAAATTCATATAATTTTTTCAAATCGAAAAAAATCTAAAAGCAGAAAAATTAACAGTCGAATTATTCGTCTTTAAGAAGCTCCTAGACTTTTTAGGTTTAAAAAAATCTTTTAGAAATAAATTCGACGAAAATTGTATGGGATTTTTGGGATCAACAATTTTTTGAAAAATCAGCTCAGCTCAATGATTATTTGGGTTATTATTTGGACTTTTTCTGGTCGCGAAGAGGTTTTCGGAAAAGATTGAAGCGTGCGTAGGGGTGAATGAAGAGTTCCAGGAAAAGGGAAAGTAGCCACGGAGAAAGGTGTGAGCGACATAGACAAACATCGATCTTCTTCCGAGAGGGACGATAAATGGAAAAAGAGGAAAAGTCGAGGAGAAAAAGGAGCGCTAGGGAATTGAAGCCGACGGTGAAGAAAACGAAGCTGTCGGACCAAAGGTTTTTGTTGAAGGGAACAGTTGATGCGCGATAGAGCCCGATGAGGATTAAAATTGAGCCGATTCCCAAAGAAGGATTCTTCTGTGAAAACTCTTCTTTTTTCGAAGAATCTTTGCAGCTGAAGAAAACGATCAAAATCGACGAAAAAGTGCCAGTAATTCCTTCTGGATCAAAAACAACCGGCTTATTTTTAAAGTGCTCTTCTGAGTAAAACATTTCTTTCGCAGTTGACCATTGATACAGGTGGGAATTTCCAAGGAAAAAGCGACAATGGAAGAACTGCGAATTCCTGGAAGCGAATGGAAATTACTGAAAGGGAATTCGCTAAGCGAATCCAGACCCCTGGTATAAAAATTTGTTCAACTGAGCTGAGCTTGCCTTTTCTTGATATCAGTGAGCTAAGCTGAGCAGACCCTTTTTGAGCTACCATTTTCCAAGCTGACCTGAGCTGCCATTAATAAGAAAATAATTGGTCTGAGCTGAGTTCTCTCAAAAATGATTGACCTGGATGAATGAGCGGGCTAGCCCGAGTGCTGATTGAAAAATTGAATTGTATCAAACTTGGAGCCTCTCCTGAAAATGATGACATCCATGATCGGTAACCGTCAGAGTGGGATACGATTTGGAAGTCGTCGAAGTTTTCTTGTTCCAACTAAAATCAATTTATCTTTCACAAATTTAAAAAGAATTTTTTCCGGAATATTTTTTTATTTCTCAGGACCGATGACCAGGTTTGTGAGGACTAGGTTCGTGTGACTAGGTTCGTGGGTGCCATGTCGGAAAAAATGGTTCGAGTGACTAGGTTCGTGAAATTTTGATTTTTATATGTATTTTTTTGTATCTTCACCATTTTGGGGCAGTAAGGGAAATGGGTTGATGACTAGGTTCGTGTGACTAGGTTCGTAAAAGTTTTAATAGAAAAAATTTTGGGGCAGTAAGGGAAATGGGTTGATGACGAGGTTCGTGTGACTAGGTTCGTGAAAGTTTAAATAGAAAAAATTTTGGGGCAGTAAGGGAAATGGGTTGATGACTAGGTTCGTGTGACTAGGTTCGTGAATTTTTAAATAGAAAAAAATTTTGGGGCAGTAAAGGAAACGGCTTGATGACTAGGTTCGTGTGACTAGGTTCGTGAAATTTTAAATAGAAATAAATTTTGGGGCAGTAAAGGAAACGGCTTGATGACTAGGTTCGTGTGACTAGGTTCGTAAAGACTAGGTTCGTGAAGAATAGGTTCGTGTGACTTGGTTCGTGTAACTTAAGGGTATCCTTGAGAAAATCATTTTTGTGAGTTGAAAATCAAATGTCGCCTAGACAACGCTTCAAGTAAGTCTACCAGAATGATCAACATAGAGGATTATATAATGTACCGTAACCACGCGATTAAAAGAAAAAAGAAAGCGGAAAATCCACTTTCACAGAGAAAATGAAATTTGATCTTCTTTTTCTTTTTTCAAGTATATCAGCATATTTACATAAAAACAATTGTCCTCTTTCTTATAATGATGTGAAAACTTATTTGACTCAAAATGGATATTATACGATTGAACATTGGGAAGAACTTGAGAGATCAAGGGTCAGAAATTCAAAGGATTGGACGAATTTCATTCGTAAAGGACGTCAAGCAAACCTTGCAATCATGAATATTTTGAAGAACAAAAATTTGAGAATTCAATTATGGCCTGATCAAGATCTTGATGATGCTTTATGGGAAACAAATCAACGGAACCAAAATATGATTGATAAATTATTGGATGGTATGGGCGATTTTGAATATTATTTTTGCAAAACGCCCATTGTCCGATCATCGAAGAGGCAACGTCAACAAAGTCAAGTTCCAGTTCCTGACCTTGAAATTCCGAAATGCAGCGCTCCGTTAACGACGCTTCAGAGCTTTTTTAAGAAAAAACCGCCTGGAAGAGAAACATTTAGCCCGGCATTCTCCGCAAGAGGTCAAAATACGGTAGTTAACGCTTTAAATATAGAAAATATTGAAAAAAAATAATTCAAGCCGACGTATCAATTTGAAACAATACGATTTATTCTTTTGCTGAAAATGCGAGCGATTCCTTCAACAACTATTCGGGCGATGCTTTCTGAATTGGAAGATTTTGTTCCCGAACTGAAAAGCCCAGAGGTCGAAATACCAAGTGAGACGTTTATAAATAGTCTGTCCGGAGTAATGATAGAACCGATGCGTCACCAAATCGAAAAATTCGTGAGATCTTCTGTCGCATTGACGCTACATTTAGTGCAGGGATAAGAATAGATTTTTTCTGACTAAAATTCTCGAAATACCAAACCGTGTTTCCGATCCTTAAGAACAAATTTTCTTCATCCCTCTGATAGACGCGACGACATCACGACGAAATAGAGCTGTCAGCTCTATCGGTAAGAGAAATTTATGAAACTGATCATTCGAATATTTCGCAGGATTGACTGACGAAAATGGGAAGTTTTTGTTACTTAGCATTTATCATCAGCAACGTCATACAGCTGATCAATTGTCAAAATGTGCTGTTGATGAATTAAAAAAAATTCAATTTCTATCGACTTATTTTTCAAAGGCTCCGATATATAGTCAGCGATACAGGTGTCTCCCTTGTGTGATTATATTTTTGAAATTCTTAGCTGCCGCGCAAGTGAGTGCGAATCGAAAAATCATCCAGCTTCTCGAAGATGAAGGCTACAGGCAAAATATCTTTAGTTTACGATGTATGATGCTGAACGGATTTAAATAGTGCGAATATTTTAAAATGTGTGCTACAATTTCATCTTTCATAAATCCCGAAAAAGCATGTAGCCGCGAGCTTTGATCAACGCTCTTACGAGCATTTTGAACACGAGGATAAAAGCCGAGATGCTCTTAAGGGGGTACACGCCCATGAGCGCAAAAAATCATAAATGTTTGATTTTATCTCGGATCACATAAGAAAACATTCTTATTCCTTTTCAGTTGAAAAAGGCTAGTTTACCCCCTTAAGATAAACTCTAAGGGATTACCATCCGACGTCTGGAATCTTCTTGTCGCGCTCAAATTATCATTTGGAAGGTTGTTTTAATCTGTTATTTATATTCAAAATATTATAAGTCGTACAACAACGGCACATAGCCGAGCCGATATCCGCTTTGGACTCGAGGCGCTCTTTCTCGCTGCGAACAAGTCGCCAAATCGCCCATTTTCAACGGATCTTGGGAGCAGATATGCGATTCATGAATGGGTCATTTCAGATTTTAACAAAATTTTTTTTAATTACATGACCCTGGGATTATCAAAAAAATACTATTTCTTTTTTCAAATATGAACAACTCGTTATCAATACTTGCGAGATGTACAAAGAAAAGAAATATGCAGCAAAAATTTTAGAAATTTCTGAAAAACCTGATTTCTATTTGACAAGAGGTCGATAAATACAAATTAATAGAAAATTCTGTTTTAGAATTATCGACCTTCTTTTAAGACTAAATTGAAAATGGCCATAATTCCGATCGGGCTTCGGCGATCTGTGTAAAAACTTCAGTCGAGCTCTGATATGCTTTCTAAACAAGCCGCGTAGCGCCTTGAAAAAAGAAAGCCGAAGAGCGGCTCCATAACAAAAAAAATAATATTTTTCAAACAGTTGCAAATTTCAGATACTGGCTCAGGTTTTTCACACAGGTTTCTGAGCCACGATTCTGATGTTTTGGAATGTTATAATCGAGCCGTTTCTCGATCGAACAGGAGGAACGAAGAAATTTACCGAGATAAAGATTGCATTTCAGAACATGAAAAGAAGAATGGATTATGTCAAAGGCGACGATTATTCTGGGTCGTACAACCGACTTTTTGGAGGACTTACGGAGAAAGCAGATTATCTCCAAAGTGAGCAGAAGGAGCTCCTATTATCAGAAGATCTCCTTATGTTAAAAGAAAAAATTGAAGAACTTCTTCATCTTCACCGAAGAAAAACAACGTTGTCGAAAAAACTCGATCAAAATATCAAAATCGCGTCCGAACGTATTATGGGCATGGTCATTTTTAATTTCTATTCTTAGGGGGAACCCCATCGTTTTTTCTCAAGTAAGACTTCTTGATTTTAAAATGATCAATTTTAACGAAAAATACGAGAAAGAATATATCGAAATAAATAAGATTGAAGTTGAAGATGACGCGGTTTTAACTTTTGACAACAGAGCTGCAGGTTTATTCGAACCATTTTAAATTTTTACTTGAATTTTCAGAGCGTTCTTTCGGTCAATTAAAATCGCTCGAGTCTTCTGATTCAAGAACGACAGGCAGAGTTCCAAAAAACGTAAAATTCTCGCATGCTGAGAAATTTTGAATTTCGCGTGCGCGTACGCGTGCTAAAAAAAGGTATCCCCTCCTAAATGGAGCATTGATTCCAAAAGAGATTCAAAATTTGGACTGCGCACTACTCTCTGAAAATGGGCTTTTTTGGACAAGCCGCCCCGCGCACTACTCTCTGAGAATAAGCTTTTTGGCAGAAGCGTGCTTTTGAACTCTTAGGACAGACATTCGAGTATGGCGTCAAGTTGTTGTGCGTCAAAATCAGCTTTATGATCATTTCAAATTTTTGGACGAAACCATTCAAAAAGAGTTGGTCTGGAAGGTGGGAAAAATATTTTATAAAAAAAAAACTTTTTTAGGGAATGCGCAACCGTGAACAGCAGCTTGAGGATGATAAACTTGCCGAACAACAAAAAACATTGGAAATCATGAATGATTCTTAAATTTTTATTCATCACTTAAAATAAATGAAGCTAGATTTTTTGCTGCTTCGTTCCCATAGCGTCGTAGTACTTCAAGCTCTGCGATTTTTTGAGTACTTTCTTTTTTATGTTCATTATTTTCAAACAATATTATTTTGATTACTTTTTTGAACCTGTCCTAGATTCCACCCACTCGGATATTCATTTTTTGTAAGAGAATGCAAATAAGTCTCAAATTTGCTTTATCAAAAGAATTCCATTAATTGGAATTTTTTCTTCCTAAAAAAGCCTTTTTCCTTAATAACAGCTAGAAGCGTCTCAAGAAGCTCATCCATATTCTTAGTTCTCTCCGAAAGTGTTCCTTCATGTAAAACAAATCTGCTCTCAAATGATTCGCTCATAGTTCTGTTTTCCCAACTGAGTAAACCTAGAAAATCAATCTTAATTTTTTTTATGTTTGTTTTTCTACCTAAAAGTATTTTCCTTGCTTCATCAAAATAAGTCGAAAGCATCTCTTTTACACTGTCTTCTTTAAGGATTTTCATGAGCCACTTAACAAGTAAAAATATCATGAAAACCTATCGAAAAAGAATGGTTCTTCAATTTTCTGGCGTTCCAATTTGAAACTTAATGAATTTATAAATTTATCTTGAATTAACAATAGATAAAATCTTTTTATTGTTTAAAAAAAGGACTCACATAAAAGTACTAATGTCGTAGATTGAATCCGCATTTTCAAGGAGAAGCTGAGGAATGTAACTGGAAAGGTCCTCAAAAAATGCCGCAATCTCATGATCCCGTATTATCTTGAGTTTGATTTTCAATAGTTCGATAATTATTTTTATAAAATTATTCTTCTATCAAACCCAAAACCAGGCAATTCCCATGTAAGCATCTGCTTCAAGTATAAAATTGGTGACGTCTCTTTTATTTTTGTAGCATTGCGGGGTGTAAATTTCCAAATGAGCTCGTGAAACCACGTTTCTCCGGATTAAAAATGGATCGCTTTCAGATTATTTGAATAGACTTCCATTAAATAATAAAAATTATTCAAAACACGACTTTCCGAATATGGGGAGAAGGGAGCCTAATTGTTAAAGAAAGGGCTGAATGACAAATATTGTTCTCTTGTTCGTGTCTCGGAAGAAAATGACCAAGAAATCGCTGGCAACGTCGCATTCCGAGAATAAAAGTATCATTGTCGTATTGAGGAGTAATTTCTTCAATGTCTATCCGATATCTGGTAAAATCTGGTCTCTTGGATTGACCAACTGATATTAAAAACAGTAAAATATTCATATTTTGATTTGAAAAAAATCTTTCTATTCTCTTTTTATTATTTTTCTGACTTCAATATTATGTCATTTTTAATAACTCAAAATAAAAAGCTTGCAAATATTCTGCTAGGCTCAGCAAAACTCAACAAAAGAAATAAAAAAGAAAATGGCCCCCATGACGGAAAAACACGGCTATTCCCGATTTCTGGAGTGCCCTTAATTTGGAGTAGGATAATTATTTGGAGCTGTTTTTTAAACCGATTTTAAAGGGTGTTAAAGTCATAATTAAGGGTATCTGACTCGGTCAAAAGAAAGCCTGGACCCATATTTTGAAAAGTAAAGGTCTTAGAATTCAAAAATATTCCGGAAAATGCTGAAGAAACATTAACATTTATAATTGATTTCATAAAAAATACCATTTTTGAAAGAGCAGCTTTTTTCTCTGCTTCGAGATCATCAGTCGCTTTTTGTATTGCGCGGTCGATACCGACCTTCATTGACCATCCAACGGCAAGAAGAATGAGAGTGAAGAAAATTTTCTTCAAAATTTTTTTGCAGTCGAAGGTTTCGCAATACGGCGAGAGTTGCACAATTGGATCCGAATTTTTTTGTTACTTGACCAAAAAAGTTCTCTGTACAAGAGATTTTAGATTAGGCTCTATTCTTACTGAATCTTTTTTCAGATCAAGTCTATCTAAACCCTTATTGGCTGAATTTCGATTCAAAAATGGCCAAAAATTTTTAGATTTCTCGAACTTTGGCGCCTCTTTGCTGTAGGTTTGCCTTGAGCAAATGATTTCTCTGTACTAGAGAATAGCGGATAGCACACAAGCTTTCAGAAGAGCTATTGAACGTCTGGATTCATAAACCCTAATCGGCTGAATTTCAAGTCAAAGATGGCCAAAACGGGGGGGGGGATCCCTTAAAAATTCTTAAGCTTCACAATTGCGCAACCCTGCTTTGACGTTTTCGGTTTGAATCCCCGAAAGAATTTTTTCCCATCGGCTATCCAATCCAGTGTTTGAAAAAATGATGAGCGCTTATTCTTACCCACTCCCGTACACTTTCAAGGCCAATGCTCGCGCTCATTCACTTACTTGAAGAACTCGAAGATTGGTCTTTAAGGACCCCTCCGTCATCTCATAATCACTTTTTCAAACACGGTTATCGGGTTGATCCCCTTAAGATTTTTGAAAAATTTTTTAATTATTTTGTAGCCCGATAGTTGCTCTGGGGCACCAGAAGGAAAACAAGCTTAAAGGCCTCTTAAGGGTGTCGCACCAATAAGTTTAAATGAAAATATTTTTCAAACAGTGATATCATTGTGATCACCTTAACTGATCAAAATTTTTTCATGTTGAAAATTTAGCTGAGACTCTTGTCAAGGGCACCGCATCAAGTTTATGATGATATCTTAAGGGTTTCACTAAAAAAGGGTTTGAAGATTGGTGATCGGCCGAAAAATGGGCAAATTTAGCTAAAAAAGCCCGAAAATCATGATTTTCAAGGTCGATTTTGAGGGTCAAAAAGTCGAAATAAAATTTTATAATAGAGAAAAATGATCCTCAGAACTCAGAGAATCAATTTCCGAAAATCGTCAAACATGACGGGGGGGGTCCTTAAGCGTATTTACGGGCGTTCTTTGAAACGAAACATATTTACCGGGCAGTTACGTAAGTGGTAAAGTTCAGATTATTTAAGTTGTTTAAATACCTATTTAAGTATTCCTATAGCCGATCTCCGACCCCCCTTTAGCCGAAAATGCGTGATACAGTATCACTGATACTCCCCACAACAAGCTCACTCGCTTATCTTATTTTCGACCATTTTTTCAAACACTGATCCAACCATTGTTGCTTGGCTCAATTGCGGAAGAATGCAGTGAATTTGATGAACCTTCCATCTTCTTTGGAGTTTTTTAATGGCCAAAAATTTAATTTTTCTTTTTCTTTTTTAATATTATCGTCAAAACTCATCCTTTTTTTCTCGATTTTGTTATAAAAGAAGAAAATTTTGACAAAAAAATCGAGAGAAAAAGACTAGAAATTTAAATTTAGCCCAAGGTAATGAAAATTATTATGTCATTTTCAGTAATACTTTCATTTTTTTTCTTTTTAAAATATAAACGAGAATAAAATGTTCTTTATTAAAATCAGTTTAAAAGCGGATAATATTTTTAAAAATTGTCTTGGACACCCTAGGAGCGCCCGAGGCAATCGGCGCCGCGCTGCTTTGAAAAGGGGCAAAATCGACAAAAAATCGCTTATTTCTGTTAAATAAGGCCATCCTCCAAAAAATAGTTTTTAAATTTGAAATAAGCAATTAAATTAACATACATTTCTTTTTTTAAATTTTAAAAAATTGTCCATCTTGACCATTTTCAGATTTTTGCCAATTTTAGGGCCTTGTTATTTCTCAACCCTTTAATGTTTTTCTCGGATAAAGAGATATAATACCTAAACGATACATCTCTATAACATATATAATTTTGAAAATCATTGGACCATTATTTCGGGTACCTAATTTTTGAGCGTGGACCCTACACATAGAGGCATAGTTGCTGAGTTTTGCTTTAGCAACAGGATTGGAAAATTTCCTACCTGTAATAATCCAGACTTCTGTTCCAAAATCCCAAGTAAAATAAATTGCATATAAAATGATGAATGTCACTATGACGAGAAAGCCGAGAACCGTTCCAAACTAAACGGAAAATTTTGAAGAAAAGTATCCCGCTGCGACGATTACGTGAGCTTATCTTACCTTGACAAACATCTTGAGAATTCTAAGCTTCTTATTATACCGCATGATCAAATATCGTATTGTTATTCCAATTGACAAGCCAAGGAGTAGAATGGAAAGCGTCCGACAAATGGGCCCGTACGGAATTTCGGGACAAACGCCGTTTTCGCAAGCCGTCGGGTCCATCAGGTTACTGTGGTAGATCTTCAGGTACAGAGGCATCAGCCCGAGTGCCATAATAGTACCAACTGAAGTGAGAGTTTGTCTATAATAAAATATATAACAATCACACCAATTATTTGCTAGTAGCAAATTTAAATGAACTTACGCTAGTATCGCGTTGCCATCACAATAAGCGGAGAAAAGATTCAAAACAGCTGATCCAGGACAGCAACCCTAATTCTTACTTACTAATCAAGTCTGATGATTTAAGTTACCTGGATAATAATTGCTAGTGAAATAGCGTTGTCCAATTTGCCGATAGTGATTGCAAGAAAAGCTAAGCACGGCATCAGAATTAGTTGCCCCACTAACCCTAAAATAGAATTGTTATTTTAATAGTCAAATTAATAAAGGATTGATCAAAGATAGTTTTTAACGCCTGAGTGTTAAAATTAACAAAATAATACACCATCGTACAGATTACATGTACAGTAAGAAACCTGTAATTTCTGCAACTGCCGACTCGTTTTACTGTAAGATTGAAATTTCGAGAGATTAATGCTTTGCTTACCTATCAAAATACCAGATTTGAAGCCTTTTCTGTGATGAAGATTTTCCCAAACTTTTTGATGTCGATGACCAGTCCGGAAGTGAGCATAACAAAAGCGTTTGTACAGCAAATGGTCCAAGATATCGCATTCTTCTGTTCAGGACTGAGCTCTGGCATGGGAGTAGCCGCTAAATTTTCAATAAAAAGGATGAAAGGAAGTCTCGCGCTTTATAAAATCGAGGAGCAGCCTTTCTCGACAATCTCTTGTTAGCTCTCTATCGCCCGTAAGTGCTGCTCATTTGCGTCAGTGGTTGTCTGAGTGGTAGCATGAATAGGTACGTAATATGGACGTATTTCCTGCTGGAATTTGCAGTCTAATGTCAACATACGAAAAGTGAAAGCAAATATGAACTCTTTTCTTCCCCTCGATTTTATTTGCTGCTAGAATTTTCTCGTCGAATTTGATTGCCCAATTAAACCCTTTTCAAAAAATTATCGTGCGTGAAAACTCACACGCTCCGGCGCGCCACCTGAGGCGAAGATCGAGCGTTGCGTGATGAATGCTGATAACTTACCAGTAGATTGGTTGAACTCATTTATAAGTGTCGAGCTTTCCATTGTTCAGTCTTTTATCGTCGTTGTTATCTCTGTTGTTTATTTTCCCAATCGAAATGCATAATCTGCAGTCTTCGTTTGCGGCGCGGGGCCAAATCTTTGTCAGCTCGTCTACAAAAGTTCTCTTTTTTGTATATTTTATTGCGTATTCTGATGCTTGGAGCAAAAGGTCGATGGAGAATAATCATCCCGCCCACGTTGTTCGGATATTCTGAGCGCCACCAACCAATCATGCTCACGGAGGTTGGAGATCAGCACTTTTTGTCCGCCGAGTTGAGCACTCTTTCTAGCGCCAGAACAAAAGATCCACGTCACAATGTCAGATCAATCAAAGCTTTTTCAACTGTCAGTTGAATGCTCAGCGCTTTCCTCTAGAATTTTGATGGACAAGCCCTTGTGCATTGGAATCAATCAAATTTTAACAAAGTCTTCGAATTTGGTATTGTCAGAGTTTATTTTGTGTTTTATGAAAAGTATGCTGTTACATTAAATTGTGTCAGTTACAGGATAGCAATGATAGTATGCACTTTAGGTTGACTGAAAAACAGTTGAATATTTACGTTATCGCCAGTTTTGAGAGGTCGGAAATTGATAATTAAAAAACCTAAGTAGAAGTTTATATAGTTGAAGAAATTTCGGAAAATTGCTTGTAACAGTACACTTTTTTGTTTCTTTTGTACAGGATTGTTTTTAGACACTGAGGCGGAAAAGTGGTTGTATTTTCAAAACTTGGGCCATGACCAGGCACTGCGCCTCGAAATGGCCCAGATTTTCATCCTCAATTTTGGGTTTTTAAAAGAGGTCAGATCAGCGGGAAGATCCGTTTTTGAACTGGAAGGGAAGACAATTTACAGGTTGTTTTTGGTGTTTTCAGTTTTGCGTAGTATTGAAGTTTCTTCGTGGTCAAGATGGGCTTCGGTGTACGAAATATGTTGTTGTAGTTGTTGGTTCGGCAAGATAGAGTTTTTCAATTCTTGGAAGAGATTCTAGTGGCCAGAATCCGACGCGGCGTTTTCCACGCAGAGGATGACCTTGCGCTCGGAGCATTTTGAGACTTGCTGGTTCAGGAGACCATTTCTAAATAAAAATTTGAGCTCATGTTTCTTACAGCATAGTCTTGTCTGTTTCGAAATGCTACCTGAGGTTACTAGAAAGGCCAACGTTGTTAGAATTAGCCGATCGCCAGCCGTCACAGTACTTTGATGGGTTTCGTCGACCGTCAGGGGTCGAGCCGGTCCAGATAGACTTGTTGGGCCTGAAAAACTGGGTTGGATAAGAAAAGAACAGTTGGAATTACCATCGACGGTCAGTGAGAACGTCTCGTCCTGAGAATGAATAGATCGATTTGCCGTAAAGGGCTCCCATGTTGCTTTCTTCGGAGAAAAGTTCGCTCCAGGAGTTGAAGAGCAATTCATCCTTGAAGTATCGTTAGGAGTTGCTTTTGAAATGTCTTTGAGTTACCTTTGAGTTGCAAATTGGATAGTCATATCGTTCGCTTCGACGAACGATGGTGTTGATGTCTTGGACGACGGCGGAGACGAAGCCACGGAAGGTGCCTCGGAGGCGGCTGGATCGTGCGGCATTGTAACATCGATGGTCCAATCCTCGGACACCGTGAGTAAGGCCGGACATTGGCACATCAAGAGCGACAAGTCTGATTCTCTTTCCAGTACAGTCTCTTCGTGCGGCGATTGGCGCAAAGTCATTTCTTATTAATAATTATTAATTGATATAATTATATCATTGATAAAGATTTTGCTCTTTTTCTACAAAGAAAATATAATATATATCCATAAGCAGTTACCTTGAGGTAGATTTTTGTGTGGTGGATGTTGTAGTTGGAGCGGGAACTGGCTTGTATGTTGGCCTTTCTGTTCGTTTGATTTCAGCACGCTCAGTGGTGGTAGTTCGACGAGTAGTGGTTGCTCTAGTTGTAGTCGTAGTCGTTGTTTTTCGAGTTGTTGCTTCTCGAGTTGTTGAATGAGTAGTTGATGGAGTTGGTTTTTTGTAGCTATTCTGGCTCTAAAATTATTCGTGGAAAAATTGATAAGCTTATTGAAAGTTAGAATAAACCCATGAAATTAGTGTAAAAGTAAATATCAATTATGCATTGAAAACTTGTCAGATAAAATTAAAAGTTCAATCCAAACGATGAGCTTCAGTAAATTCATCAAAAAAAGTTTTACCTTCTTGTCGGTATCACACTGTTTTAAATTTTAAATTTATCGCTGCACTTATTGAAAATTTTAAATCATACCGGAAGTGGAATGGCTGGTCCCATAAGAATAGGTCGCCAGCCATTTGAGGTCTTGATGAAGGTTTCTTGTTCGCGATGAACAAAGGCCATGTCACCGTCTTCGTGGTCGAAGAATTTGTCATTCATTTCTGGTACGGTGTCGTATTTAGCCGCTAAATTTTATTTATGCTCTCATTATTATATATAAACATACAGCAAGAGCATTCAGTAGTTGTGCAAGTGCCCTCAGGTCCAGGAGGACCGTGCTGACCGGGAGGACCTTCGTAACCACGTGGACCACGTTCACCAGGAGGACCTTGCTGCCCGTCTTTGCCGTCCATTCCATGTCGTCCAGGAAGACCGTCCTTTCCGGGAGGCCCCTGAGGTCCAACAACTGGTTCACCAGCAACAACGGCAGCAGCGGGTCCAGGAGGTCCCATTGGTCCAGGAGCACCAGGTTGACCATCTTCGCCAGGTCGTCCTGGTCTGCCAGGCATACCCATTTGACCAGCAGGTCCTTGTTCTCCCTGTTCACCGTTTCGTCCAGGAGGACCAACGATTGATTCACCGGGCTCTCCAGCAGCACCCTTTTCTCCTTTTGGTCCAGGAACAGAAACAAGTTCGCCGACTTCAGCAGCAATACCAGGTGGACCGGGCTCACCACGTTCACCCTTAGCACCAGTGGCGCCCTTGACAGAGATACCATCGATACCAGGAATGCCAGGTAGACCGTCTTCGCCACGTAGTCCGTCAGCACCAGGTGGTCCTTGAAGGCCAGGAATGCCATTTTGTCCATCAAGTCCAGCTTCGCCCTTTTCACCCTTGAGTCCTTCTGGGCCAGTTTCTCCGCGTTGTCCGGCAGGTCCTTGTGGTCCTTGGGGTCCAGCAACGCCAGGTTCACCTTGAGCTCCTTGTGGACATTCTGGAACATCAGCAATATTCGATGGGCGCGTTCCTCGATAAGATGCGGCGATATCGACACCATTGGCATCAAGAGGAATCACAGTACAGAAACCGGGGGCACCAACTTCACCAGCAGGACCCATGGGGCCAACAGGACCTTCGTGTCCTAGTTTTTACGTTTTTTATCTGGGCCATCAAATAAATCTTTACCTCTTTCTCCCATATCTCCTTTATCGCCTTTGTTTCCTTTGGGTCCAGGAGGTCCAACTGGTCCCTAAAAATTGGTTAATCTCTGTGTTATTTTTCTTATCATTCAGAATCACACAAAAAAGATCGATTTTTTCGAAATAAAAAATCGCAAAAATATGAAACTCAATGTCAACAAAACCCTTACAGGCCATAGTTGTCCGTTTCCTAATACGATTCTTCGTTGATCTCCGTTGGGGCTTATTGGCTCACGAAGGCTCTGCCCAGGTCGGAAAATCTCTCCCATCTTAGACAATTATTTTGTCGTTTAGAGGAGTTTTTACTTACAAGCATTGGGGAGCCACTGTCTGTTCGAAACTCTGCGCTACCAGGTCCAGGTGGTCCAGGAGGTCCGGGAGGTCCAGGCGGGCCAGCGGGTCCTTGTGGTCCGACAGGTCCAGTTTGAGTAGCATCAAAGGGTCCCTATTGAGAGTGTTTCAAAGTGTAAGTGAATTAAATAGATTTTTAGTATTTGTAACAACATGTTAGCTTCTAAGTGATAACAAGCTTTCAAATGTGCAAAAAAGTGCCCGCAAAATCGTGACTTTCAAAAAAATGTGCTTTCCAGACAAAAAGTAACCTCCTCAGCTTTAGCTGACGAAAAACTATCAGCACTGCTGACATCGTCGTAGAAAGAAAAGTCAGACGAGCTCGAGGATGAGTCGAAAAACATATCGGGTATAAAGTCAACTCCAATACTTTCGAAGTTATCGGCTGATCCCTCGGTTTCGATTTCAGGACTTGCGACCAGCAAATTGTCTAAATTACGAAGCGCCCTGGCCTCGTGATGGAGACTTTCGAGCTCTCTTCGTTTTATCGAATGAGTTTCGAATTCTGTCTCATTATGAAGAATCTCTTTGTAATAAAGAGACAGGTAGTCCAAGATCAAAACGCTTCCACGGGCAGAAAACTCTTATTTGAAGGATTTAAAAAGTCAAAAAGATTCTTATTGATCTATTTCTCAAAATTTCCTTCAGGGACAAAGTACTTCGCGAATTTACTAGCTTCATTTTCTTCAAATTCATCAAACGAGTCATTTTCATCGTGAAAGCAATATCTGGCAGCAGAAATCCAAGCATTGGTGATTTCGAAAAACTGTTGCCTTATTTCTTTCACGATATGACCAAGAGTTTTGCAGTCCACGTTTGGCACAAAAAATAGTGTTGCATTAACACCATCCGGGCTTTCTTGGCCATGGCGGTCCCACCACATTTTTAGCTTGAAATCTATTTAGTTTTTAATGCATAATTTTTATCGGTTCACTACTAGCTGATAAAAGAGCGTATGCATTAAAAATATAAAATTATGTTAAAATATTTATAATTATAAATATTGTATATAAAGTTTTTTTGCTGGTAGCGGTTCTATGCGAACTTACCAGGCCACTTCCCTCTTCGAAGCGGTCCTTGAATGAGTCTGGGTAGTCGGGGAAATCGTCAGTCAAGTCTCTCCAAGAGTCCCAGAATTCGTTAGGGTGCATGCCATCTTTGCCAGGATCACCGCGGTCGCCCTTTTCACCTCTTTCTCCTTGAGGACCTAGAGAAAATATGAAACTATGAAAATCAAACTTGAGTGCATACCTTGAGGACCTTGAGATCCATCTTGTCCAGCTGGTCCGACTGGTCCAGCAGGCCCAGTAGGTCCTTCGGGTCCACGCTCACCAGCGGGCCCTCGTTGTCCTGGTTCTCCATTAGATCCATTGATGCCGTCCTTTCCATCAGCTCCGTCTTTGCCCGGGAGGCCATAGGCTCCAGCCGGTCCTCGTTCACCATCCTTTCCATCAGCTCCTCTTGGTCCTTCAGGCCCTCTTTCACCCTGTGGTCCAGCAGGTCCGGGCATACCGGGGGCTGAAAACATTACGTAAGTCGTGCATTTACGATATTGGAAATGCGCCTGCATGTGTGACATAATCCTGCAAAGCAATAATGCGATAATGAAAAAAGATGAAGTCATAAAGCAACAAAGTGGTCATTACGCGCGTGACCCTCGAAGCAACCTCGTTAATACTAGCGTTCATCTAAGCGGCATTCAAAGGTCACGAGGTCCGAATAGTCATAAAAATTCATCCGGGGAAAGAGGGATTACTAAAAAGGGGCTGAAGTCAAACAGTGCTAAATCCCTAAAAAGTGAAAGTCCCGAGTTACCAATATCGTTTTCCTGGTCTAAAAACTCAGGCACTGTCATTGGCGTTGGAGGGATAAGATCGCCGCTGTCATAGTCCTCGTAATAATCGTAGTTGTCTGTTTCGTTTGCATACAAGGACTCGTCGTAGTCCAATCCAGTGAATGCGGAAATTTCCGGAATCGTGAGAACTTCATAATCTCCAGTTTCATAGTCATCGAATCTGTAGGTATCGAAAAACTCCTTGTCAGACTTTTCAATTTCGATTTGAGCCTCGCTGATCATTCTCGTATCTAACGCTCGGTTTTCTTCTCCATCTACGTAGGCAACGGCGTTTGTGTCAGTCCTCGCAGGTCGTTTGGCAGCTGTAGAATGGTCGCGCGAGTAATTACTGCTAGAATCGAGCATCATCATCATTTCAAGCTGCGCTGCGTCGTCGGGATGGATGCATAAGCCGAAGAGGCACCGCTCACGTGGCCGACATTGCGAGCAACTTTCCCCTTGAAAGTATGGGCGGCCGATTTCGCCGCCAGTCGGCGCGTATTTGCATACGAGGATCTTGGAAAAGTGCCATTCGCCGTCATTTGTTTTTAATTTTTCGCATCCTTTATGATGGCTTTTTCGATCCCGCTGTGGTAATTACGAGCATCTTTACATAGCTGAGTTTATCTTTATAGAACAAAAATCGCTCTAGTGAGTTTTCAGTTCCTTGAACATCATTTTAGGCATTACATTTCTTGAAAGATGAGTTAATTTTTCTCACGCAACTTCTTTTAGATACGTGAATACCCCGTTAATCCAAGCAGAGCGAGGACCGCGAAAACATAAATTTTGGTGCAACCAGATCAAGGAGGTGGAGGCGGCACCGAACACGTGAGATTATCCGAACTCGGGGAAATTACTCTGTGAAACATTGCCAGCTGGGATATCGGATCCTGAGGCCGCCTTTGAGCTTGAGCCTAGCGTTGATCCCTTTTACCACTAGAAGAGTTAATATACGGTCGTCTAAATTTCCCATCAATAATTCATCAAATATTCACTTAAGAAAAAAACCATTCCTACAGCGGCACAGCCAACCCACCGCGCCTGGGCGGCAACCACTTGTTTAAAACGGTCACATTGCTGAATTAGGGGTCAAAGTCGCTAATAACTCGCGAAGGTGTTTACAAAACAAGAATTCATTATGAAATTTATCAACATAACTTATGTTACATAAGTCGAGCGAGCAATTCATAGTGACTTTGAAGCCCGTCCTTTCCCATCTTGCACATGTCGGTCTGTATATTATAAAATTTGCCTTTTGAAGCGTCAAAACAAAGAAATCAATTCCGCGTCGCGGGGGTGCTCGAAGGTTAAATGATCATTTTTCAGGAAATTATCAATTAGTCCTTCCAAAGCGCAAAAATCAATTTGTCATGAATTCGCCCTTCCCGTTTGAGCGAAAGAACCGTATAGACCATATGCTGATCTGGTTAACGAAAATTAAAGGTCATCTTTTCCCCGGCTCAATATTTATCATTGATAAATTATCAACAGTGTAAGCATCCTCCCTGTTGATAAAAATAGATGAACTTGACCGGGCCCTTTCGCATCGGGATTGTTTTGGGATCATTTTGTTTTCCTAACACATCCCTATGTTGATTAAGCCTACTCTTACGCAGGACCGTATTTTCCCGAAAACATGACTTTTGCTTCCCCTATTATTATTTTTCGTATACCCTGTTCTCTATTAGCAAAAATTATATAAGGGCTGTAAAAGAGTAAAACTACATGAAAAATTAATGACGCTTTCCTTCAGACCACCATAAATCTACAGCTCGGTCTGGTTCAAAAGACGAAGAAGTGGAGACGAAGCGGTTTTCTCCTAGAGCTCCCCAAAATGGATCGCGAAAGGGAGGAGATTGATTTTGGTCCTTGCAGTGGCGGGCCCATTCAAGAGCTCTGGTAAACTGATTCAGAAAAACAAGTTCAGGAGCCAAGCAAATGGGCGAAAAAGCCAAGGTCTAAATCAGTTCCTGAAGGACAACTGCTCTGACCACAAAAGAGCGTTCATATTCGCAGCTTTAGGGACCACAGCATTTCTGTAGATGTTGTGAGCTCTAACGATTCCGAGTTTCTGGGCTTCTGTCAAAGGGATGACCTCGGAATTTCTGGCAAATTGCAGATTTGTTGCTGCTTAGGTTTTATTGATGATTTTCTTTGGAAAATTCGTGGATGAATTTACCGAAATATATCAATTTAAACCTATTCCTTGAGCCCCTAGTAGTATCGCAAAAATCTCTCGCATCTTCAAAAATATTCTTCGTTGTTTTCAGATTCGAAGAAAATTCATCAATGTCTGTTCAAAAAATCAGTCCAAAAACTCTATCTTCAGAATACTCTTCTTTTGTTTTGGGCTTGAAAGTCTTGAGAGAGACGGTAAAAATTCGCAGCGCAAAAATTTTTTCAATGGTTCAGGGCGCCCCTACTCCCCATACGATGCGCGCGCTGCGGCGCCCTCTACTGAAAGTTTGAAAAAAAAATTATTGAATTTTAAAACTTTTGTGCTCTTCAAATTCGCGTTACTTAGAAAGTGAAATTTCACAAATATAAACTCCAAAGTGCCGATTCTTTCCGGTGAAAGCATCGGAGATGTCGGACAAGATGAAAACCCCGCGCCGTTATTTTCGAATTTGTTTTGTTTTTCTCCAAATAAAGGGTTACTTTCGACAAGGTCAACGGTTGTACCTGACCGAGCTTTATATCCTTATGACTTCCTGCTACAATGCCCTGCGTATTCATTTGAAAGCGCAGGAAGCGCGTGCCCGAATCCCCAAATGATGCATGCAGCCCTTTTGCTAAATGTCACGGGTCTTTTATCTCGGTTTTTGAATTTTATCCTTTTTGGCTTATCCTCGAAATTACTATAAAAGTAAATGGGTGACGATTTTGAAACATTTTGATCATGGTTTTGTTGTGGGTATTTTTACCATTTTCACTGTGCATGGCTTTTGGCTCTTGATGAGTGGTGGTTTCGGGAACAGGAGTGACCAGGTCTGGACTGATCAGGTTGTTCATCAGGGCAGCTAAAGTTTTTGGTAAATGTAGAAGGATAACTTATTTTCATTTTTTTTCGTCCATGAATACTAAAAGGGCGCGATAAACGTCAGATTAGAAAAAGCGAAGTAGTGATCGGTGACAGATCAATCGAGGCCACAGATTGAAAAGGTCAAATAGAGGAGGTGCTTAATGTATTTGTGCCTCTTTGAACTTCTCGAGGCCGCTTCAACAATCCACAGATGTTTTTCAATTTTCGCTCGGGAAGCGCAAAGAATCAATAAAGAACTCCCCCGGAAGTGTGTATGTCTCGCTATCTTTATGCTTAGAGAGGGTATGCTTGCGGTATATTTAAACACCACAAGTGAAATTTTTAACTTTGCTGATTTATATTATTTAATTGTGAAACGGTTGATACTCTTCTACTACGTTTCCTAATAATGGTCCCATTAAAACAGAAGATCTTTTAATAAATAAGCAAGTACTGTGTGAAATCTCCGGCTATTACAGGTAATTTGCGGAATGACTTGGGCTGGTGCCTGAAATCGCAATCGATAGAGCCGGAAACGAGATGACATATGGGAGTATGTTTTGTCGATATCGCTGCTAACAGTCCTCATTTTGCTCGCCATAACCGTGAAACCCAACGGATAACAGGTTATCGCAAAATACAGCTGCTCAAAGCCTTACTAACAGCGATAATAGGAACACGATATTATTGGCACTCAATCTTCATGAGAAAAAAGACACACTAGAAAGTTATATTTTCAATCTTGGCTCAATTTTTCAAGCAAACTTTATAATAAAGAATAGAAAACAGAATCCTTCTTAGAAATATGCCAGAATATCGAATGATAGAAGACAGTAATCCGAAGATTTGAATAAAATTTGAATAAAAAAAATCCCCAAAAAATCGAACTTTCCCCTGGTACCTGCATAAAATTCACCGAATAAAAGAAGTTGCTCCCTTTACTGTCAATTAATCTATTCAAGTGCTCTCCAACGAGGAAAATTGAGCCTCGGAGCGAAATTTATACTTGTTCAAATTTGCTCGAAATTCCGTGTGAAAATATGCATTCGCCCAAAATTATACATTTTGAGACATTCAATGTCATGTTGAATTTCAACAGTGGCGCAAGGTGCAAATATTGACGGTGGAACTCGTAACAAATGGCAGGAGAATCACGACTAATCCGCTGGGATGCTCCTTATTACAAAACAGGACATATTTTTTCTGTTGTAGATTATGCAATACCAGCTTTTAAGACAACTTTCAATCCTCTTCACCGCCTCACATAATCTTTCACTACTTCCGGGGCATTAAGAACTCCCTATTTTAAAACTTTTTAACCTTATTTCTTCGCTTCCAATAATCTGAGCCCGCAATTGTCCTTTTCTGATCAAAGGAGCCGGGCTGCACATTGCTCTTCTCAGCAGCAAGGAAGTTATTTGTGTACAGTAGCAATAATGAAAACTTTCCGAACTTTTGCCGCGTGTTTGGGCACACATGTTATAAACGCGCCCGGCGGCAATTTAAAAGTTGACAAAGCTATGGAGGGTTCCGGGGGACTTTTTACGCGCACTGCCAAAATTTGCACTCGCCTTAGGGGTTGAGCACTGCAAGCTCTGAAAATTAAGCAATTAAACTCAGCTGTGACTGGATCAAAAAAGGTCAGAAGCCAATTTTAAATTTGCGGATTGATGACTTTTGGGGACACAGCTTCCTTTGATCAGAAAAGCCTTGATTACATAATCGATAATTATTTTAAAAATTCTTTTGAAAGGAACATTCTTACAGAATATTTAAAAAGTAGACGTACCTTCGTCGACGAAAAGAGACTCAGAGTCCGGCGGGAGAAGCGAATTGTCTGTGAAGAAAGGATCAGCAAATGGATCTTCAATAAAATATTCCGTTGAAGCAGTTTCGTAGGTTGTTATGAACACCAAGTATATCCACAATCGATATACGAATTATAGAGAATCACCATGTTAAAACTTAGCGAGCGAAAGCTAAGCTAGGACGAGCCAAAAAGCCATGCAGCAAGTTTGATTCTTACTACAAAAGCCATAACACCATGCTTGATGCTGTCTAAGTCAAAGCTGTCAAGACAAATTCAAGAGGAGAATTTCCCATTTTGACAAGAACCTGATTATAAAAAGCCCTGCATTTGTTAAATATTCACTACTCGGAATAACCGAATGCTGAGTTCACCAGTAACGTTGGTACTTTACCTGATACAGAAGAGGAGGAATCAGTCGGCATTCCAATCGACTAAAAAGACAGTTTAAGAAAGCAACATTGGCTCATAGTTTGCACCGCACACCGGATTTGCTGATTTGAAACTTAATATTTCAAACCATGGTACTTGACGACACGATTCGAATGAAAAAATGAGTGTACCATATTTCTGCATATATGGTTCATATTTTCACTGAAGCAGGTTTTTCGGACCTATCGAGATCTACTAGAAGATATCTTGGGGTCAATTTGACTGAAAAAGTTGAGGCCGCAAGTTGAAGAAAATTAGCGTTTTAGTAAATAAATTGGCGAGCTATGTTAGTTTCTAGCACCTTTTTATAAGTAATCTTAATATTCGCGGTATGTAAGATCTCCCTAGGTTTCAATTGCCGTAAATATTGAAACCTCAGCCCCTACGTTTCTACACCTTCACCTCCTCCCAATACTGATCAATAACCGGAATGACAATGTTAGGGATCGATGTGTTCCTCATCGAGAAAAACAAGTCCTCATCGTCCCAATCGACAACTTGGCCGGGAGCGGCTCCATCCCCGGAACCGTCAACCTCGTCGTAGAAAATAAAGCGAGACGGGTCGTTCTAAGGAGACTCTTTTAATATCAATGTGTTTGATGCTTTTACAAATTTTATATTTTTAGGGACCTTATGCAGCATAAATTATGCGTTGAAAAATAGCAAAAATGCAAATTCTAGCGTAGACACTCTGACAGTCAACGATCATCGGTGCACGAATATATCGTTTGAACGACGTATAAACTTACAGGAACTCTCGGCGGTGAGCCGAAAACGAATGAATAACCCTTGGTATGTAATGTAAAATGAAGTCAAAGAAAAACTTGAAATCAAGGAAGAGAGCAAATATTCTCCCCTTGAGACAAGTTTATCGGAAATTTTTAATTATGAATAGAGAGATTTCTTACCCCGACTTCTTCATCATCAGAAATGAGATCAGAAAAGTCATCGCCAGACGCTTCGGGCTCGTCGGCAAGAGAGTTTGGAAGGTTGCTGCGAGTGCCGACTTCATCGCAAAAGTACTCGTCGGCAGCTTCGGTGCCTTCGACAATTCGGAGTTCCTAGGACTTGTTTCAGATTAATCAACAGGTCGATAAAAACCTGAATGTCACCAATGTAGTGGCGCATGTAATTGTCGCCCTTGGCAAGGTAGAAATTATAGTTGGCTTTGATGTTGAGCTTTGGCTCGCTTCGTTGGAGCGATTTCGTCATGCCCATGTTGCATCCAGTGTGAAGCATGGCAGTCTGACCACTAACAGTAATGGCGAATCTAAAAAAGAGAAGTGATGGTTCTCTTCTATGTTTCCATGGATTCTTACTTGAGCCATTTGCTCTGGCTTGACTTTTGATTGAAGTCCCAAACTTGTCCAAGTTGCGTTTGCTCTTGATCTTCATCGGTCCAGTAGACATTCACTTGAATCTGTCCATCTGCTTCGGCCCTAAGCTCGAGTCCAAAGAAAGTGATTCTTCTGTAAGCGTCTGTGATAGCAAAGAGAACTCCTCCATTGTAGTCGGGTCTAATGATTGTTTTTATAATTAGGTCAAAATTTTGATTGATAAGTTTTGCCGTGAATAATCAGTGAATAATCGTTCCTCAATTTGACAGAGTACCGGAGTGAATAATCAAGTGAATGGGGAAAAAAGAGTGCCGTGAAGACAAAAACCGACTAAAGTAAAATGCAACTCATACCGGATTATTGAATGCATCAGAGCAAATTCTGGCCTAATTTTGTTAATTCAAACATTGGCGAAATTTGATTCAAGGAAAAGATCGATTAATTTATGTTTTCGGGCACCTGATGTTTGCAAGAATGGTGAAATCCTCGTAGAGTTGTCGGGGAAATACTTGAATTGCAGGCAGAGCTTGATTATGACCAGGCTTGAATCGGAATGTAGGGAAGTCGTCATTACCGGCTTTTCACGCGTTACACACAATTTATTAAAAATAACGGGATTCTTTCTTCTATTTCAAAGTTAATTGCTTGATAACAAATAAGTCTGGCACTGAGGATGGCGATATGCCTAAAGATAGACAACTCTTCTCATTAGAATGAAGGTTAATATAAATATCTATTAGGACTATTTTTGCTGTCTTATGGTCCGTAGAAGAAGAGCTGCCAGAGAAAGACCATTTTTGATCAAACTAGTTTTTTAAACCTTGTGGCTTTCTAGGTGTTAAATTGGTGCTTAGTGTGGTAATCTGGAGTTTTATCGATAGTGGAGCACGCTTCCTATCATCTCGACAGCTTTAGAATGATCGAGTTGAACAACTGCCGTCAGGTCGATTTCCGTCTCGTCGCCATCTAAAACAATCTTAAGAGTCTATTTTCAAAATTAAAAAATTCTCAATACATTAACGCAAAAATAATCAACAATTGAAATCTCATCTCTCACCCAATGAAATCAACAACGATAATCACGAAAGCGCATGAATTTGATTTTTCATCGTCGAAAAATCAAGGAAGAGTATGAATAAAGTGAACAAATACATTACCCTCGCATTCGTCATGGACTTTTTTGATGAGCCTTAGACTGATGTCTGCGTATTTTTTGTCTTCGTTTAGGAATGGCTCCGCGCAGTTCCAGTACGACTCTAACTGCCCGCAGCGGAAAAACTATTCCCGAGTTGAAAAAGTGAAAATTTTTAGTGTTGTCGAATTTTATCTACAGATTACAGATTACGATAAATGGCTTCTTATGAATTTTAATGAGCAATAAAATAGTTTTACACGAATTTAATTAGAGTTTTCCGTCAACGAGTTTTCAGACATAATTATCATCATTGCCATTATGTTAGTAAAACTATGTTTATGTTATGTTACGGTTTGAAAAATCTCAATTTCAATTTTTCAAACTCTTAGCTTCTCCGACCACAGAGGTGATCTCCTCGCTTCCAAGTAAGGCCTCCAGCATACTTCCAGCTTGGGACATGCTACAAAATGAAAGGATAAGGTTAGATTGTGAATGAAAAAATTACTTTTTCTTTTGGCAAAGTAATTTTCTGCTGTTATTTTTGGCGAAAATTTCAAACTTCGAATTGAAATTTTCAAGGTGTGTATTTTCAGTTGAGATCGCGGAATTTAAAAGAAAATCACTTCGAGAAAAGTGTAAATTTCGAAGTTATAGAGGACAAGGGATAGCGTTGTTTTGGAAGTTCTATTTTAGCGTGAAACACCTGTTTGATGAGGTTTTTTGGTGGTGTTTTTACTCGCCACTGGTGGCCAGGTAATGGAATTAAAGAGCCCTAATATTTTTGGAAGTTGAGCTTGAAATCCAAAAGCAGCGAATTTCTCCGTTTTAATTTGCCCGAAAAAATAGCGTCAAAATTTGAGCCCCGTTCCCAAGAAATATCTCAAGGAAATTAAAATTAAGGTGTCAAAGGGAAAAGAGGGTTCCGACGGGGCCTCGCATCAATCTGTCAGGTGATCCATCTCCACGCTGCGCCAGTTTAGTGTCAAATTCATCAAGAAAAGTTCACCTCCAAACAGGAATTTCCAAGCTAAGCCTATTTCCTTCCATTTGGACCCGCGATTCCGAAAACGTAGGTAAAAAGGGTGCGTGCCCGTGCCTGGGATTACTTCTCGGATCAGGGCATAAAAAGACGTTTAATTTTTGATGCTTTTGCAAATATGACTTTGAGAATGGCAACAATGCTCGACCACCTGCTCCTTCGATATTCAATTCAATCTCATTCAACAAACAGCTCGGTGGACTTGTAAATGACTCTTTTCAGTAAACCCCGAGAGTTTTTTTTATAAATAAACTCGTGGGCATTTTTTTACATGAAAATCCTTTAATTCGTGTTGAAATCAATTAGCTGTGCAAAATTCAAGAGTGCCTCTTGAGCACCCCAAACTTGGAAAATGCCTCGAAAAATAAAGGTGTCCGTCTTTAGTGTAGATCCGGCTATTCGGATGATCCGCGATTTCGCCCTTTGCGCACACTTTTTTCCACATGATTAGGTTATAAATGCAAAACGGATGTTGGCCCCGATTCGCCCGTATCCGCTGCTCTAAAAATAAACTTGTCACACAAACAGCCTGATTTTTTGCCAACAAGTTTAGGAGCAATTTTCGCAAGTTTAGCGCTCTTAAAAATCATCTAATCAATCTTCTGCGTTGATGAGTTAAAATTAACTTTTCGTAATTGAAAATTTTGAAAATTTTCTGGTTTTAAATTTTAGGTACGTTGTCTCTAAATCTTATCAACTGCGAATTTGAGTAGTGGCACACTCTCAAGTCAAGGACTGATTGCGGGGCGGTTACCGAGTTTATCAATTTCCGTTTCTTTTCAAAGCTAAACCAGAGCCGCTGTATATCCAAACTACTAGGTATAGCATTATTTCCGGCTGATCCTTTTGACAAAAAGAAGAGTGTCAAGAGAAGTGCCCCGATTAGCATAAAACTACGTCATATTATCAATCTTTTCAGTCAAGCTAAACTCGCTCAACAAAAAATAACAGATCAAGGGCAAAGAAGCGCGAAATCTTTTCACGGTCATTATCCCTTGTAAAGCAGCCTCAATCGGAAGCACTCGTGCTCGAGCCGCCAGTTTGGGCACAATTACCGCAACTTTTGCATTTCTAAGAATTTCAAGTTGCCTGTCCCGCCTTTCTTTATAATAGTTCCTCAACTTGAAAAATGCTCAAAGGCCCCCCCCCCCGCAGCTGGAAAATGAAGCGGCCATTTAATCATGGTCCCTTCAGTAGGTAATAAATCGTTTCCAAAATTATGTGCCCGTCAAATGACTTTATATAAGAAGAGAGAATGGATCTCCTTATTTGCTTTTTAAGGAGCACCTGCCATTTACGTGTTATTTCGCGAACCATGAAGGCAAGCGTTAAATAAGCCCTTAGATGGGCAAATGCCATAAAAATCCATCATCCTTTCCCATATCATTCAATCAAGAAAAAAACAAATAATTATATAAAAAAGAGGAGAAAGATTAACTTGGAAAACTTCGCGCTCACTTGAGCAGCAAAATATTGAGCAGTTGTCGAGGAAGTCGCTTTATCTTGTTCGAAAATGGCGATAAAGGGCTCACGTGCTAAAGCATTACAGGAGATAAAGGCGGCCAAAAATTTTCCAAACGCAAATTTTTATCCAAACAGCGAAAGAAAAAAAATGCGCCCTCTGCGAGAAAAGTTGAATTCAATAAATTTTAATTGACGTAATAACAAACTGCTGGCTTTATCAAAACGAAATGATTTACTATTATTAGTTGCGCTGTGGCCTTACTCGTATCCAATATAATAGTTATAAACGCTAAGCCCACCCAGGTCTTGAACCTGGCTTCCTATTTGCAGCTTTACAAGTCATAATTATTTGTTGCTCAATTTCTACTTCTTTGGATTATAAGTACTCTTGTCTGTAGAATCTCCAGCTGATAGGTGACTCAACCCAAGAACATTGCACAACACAAGGATCCGTATCAGCTGAGCTTGACCCTGGCACAGCTGGGAAGAAAATTGGATGAGCGAAGCTAACCCGACCGCAGAAAATCTGGCGCGGTAGGGGTCGTCACGGGCATCTTATTTTTTTTTTTTTAAATCAAGGGCCCAATTTAGCCGGTTTGAATTTTTTATACATAAATATTCATTAGAGCGGGTGGATCTCTTTTATGATCGCTTTTCAACTTGAATTCCATTGAAATTTAGGACCATTGGAATTTTAAATTTAGGATGAAATGAAGTCAGATTGGTTTAACCTCGATGACCCGAGAACTAGAAAGAGTAACTCGCTTGACATTGTGAGATGAGCTTTGCAGCTTGTCACGTATCTTTTGAAGAAATTGTCTGAGCTTTTTTAGTCATTTTGTGCGCTTTAGCGCAAGGTTCAAAGCAATCGTAAAAACGAATTCGCGATCGTGAGAAGAATGGAACCTCGCTGGCCCCTATAAAACTCAACGTAACGCACCAAGGCAACTTTAACCGCATTTTCTGTCCGTATAAGCTATTTATATCCGGCATCAATCGACGCCATCGAGTAATTATGGAGCTATTATGGCTGTTTTTGTAAGTAGCAGGCCACTCGAAAAGGGTTGAAAAAAAAGAAGAGCTTATTCTCGCCAAAGGAAACAATGCGTTTTGTTTTTAGAACAGGGAATGAATCGATCTGAAGCATAGGACGACTATTTCCGACTTGAGAAAACTCAACAGCCCGTGCACGAAATTGATTTTCGAAATTTCAAATCATCGAACTAAAAAGAGGAGCAGATGAACTTGAGCACGGCTCAAAGCTCAAGCGCAAAGGGGAGCACTTGAGTTTGACTTTAATCTTTTATACTTGCCAAAAGCTTGATCTTCGAAAATTCTTCTTGCGAAATTTCTGTTTACTCGATTTAAAATATTTCCCTTTGAAAAGTCGAGATGAAGAACTAAACGATCTCGGATGGCAATTACTAGCTCGACAGACAAGGGGTCTTATTTGTGTTATTGTTTCCAATAGAAACATAAAGGAAGAAGAGCCTGGGTGGCCAGTGGGCGACGTTTTCCGAGGGAAATCATTCAAAGTCGGCGGCTAATTATTGTCTGAGACGAAGCGGAAGTATAAAATTTCATATTTCTTTGGCTCTGGCAAAATTATGTTATCCGGCGGCATTGTGTCCGTGCCCCATTTTAGCCTTTTAGGATTGCGATTAAGACCATCATTCACGTTTATGGCGACTTGATCGCGATATCTCTACTCCAAAAAGTCATAATACATGTTTGAGTTGGAAACCATCGACTTTTTGTAAAAAAAAAAACGGGAGAGTGCCGTCTTTTGGCAAAGAATTTTATGTACTTGCATGCGACGGTGATTTTCGAAGCGGAAATACGACAATTATGTTTGACAGAAAACGAGTGTGGATATTTCCCGTGGTCATGATTTGCAAAAGTCAGCCTGTCAGTTTTTCGTCGCTTTGTATTGACAGAGGAAACAAGTTAAGCGTGGGGTTAGTAATGATAATTTACGAAGGTGTTACGGGATTGCTCGGAAACAGTGATTTCAGGGTGGGCCACTTTAGGATTGCATTAAAGTTGGAAAGTTGGAGGGATGAGAGAGACGGCCGATCATAAAAGCCGCAAAAAGAGCAACGCTGGTTCCCAAGTTCAACAAGCCCCAGTCCCAATGTCCCGTTTTTGATCCTCTCCCGTATTTACCAAAAAGCGTCATTTCTTGTCGACCCAAATATACAAATTCCGCGATCTCTCCTGAGTCAACACTCCCCAAATACCCCTTTTTAGTCCATATTTACTACGGTTTCTTCCCAGCCTTTGTTCGATTTTAATTTAAAATGTCCCGAATCTTACCTTTGAAACTTTCGTGAAGTACATCTCCTCCTCGGTAGGCCGTGGCGAGCTGACTCAGAAGAGCCAGGCCCCAAATTTTCATCCCTTTTCTTCTTCGACCTCTTCTTCAGCAGCGAGTTAATCTCTATTTTTGAAGATCTCTCGTTTCTTCGTTGTCTTCACTTTCAGGTCTCTATATACTCATCAGGAGATAGCGGCTAAAAAGTGCTATGAAGGATGATCTTCTGGCTACAGTAAAATGGGGCAAGAAAGAGACCTCCCGCCGCTCATCGAAAAATAGAGATGCGCGGCAGCTAGAGATGGCGCCGCGACGCGCGATCGGGGGCGTAGTAGCGCTCCCTTACAACGCGCCTAATCTCACACCTAGGCTACTCGAAAAATGTCCGAGAGGATTTTTAACCCACATTCCTAAACATCCCCCGTAATTTGGGTCGACTATCTCGGTAGAAAAAGGCTTGTTTAACAAAATTGAAAAGTACTGCCTGTTGAATCGTCGTTTCATCATTTCTATAATTCAAAATTCATTTCCAAATGATTCTTGAGAAAAATCATCAAAGAAAAAATCATCAAACAGGGGTTAGAAACTGGCACTTTCACGAGAATTGATCATTTCATAATGTATGCTAATTGTCTAATTGTTTATTATCGGCTCTAATTCAAGGTATCAGAGCATTCTTACATTTCAACGCCTCTTTTAAATTATAAATCGGAAGTCATGTCCAAAAATTGACAAAGCAAATTAGCCCCGACGCCGGGGAATACGAAATTCAAGCTCGGACACGTGCCCTTCCCGGTCAATTTACAAAAAGAAGTGTTTTACACGGTCATGTTTTGAAAATAAGCAAATAAAGATTTTCAAGCGCGAGAAGTTCCCTTTGCCAATTTCGCTGTTTTTATATTATGTATCGTAGAGAGAAAAAGAGGGCTAATTTCAGAAGTTGGCACGCGCTTCCGAGCGAAAACAAGCATCATAATAAATCCCTAGATAATTTTAAAAGATGTTCTTTTTGACAAGAAAAGTCAGTGTTCTGTTAGCCGTGGTTGTTTTTATTGATCCGGTGCGAAATAAATCCGCCAAAAGCGCCTTCCGGAACTTGACGTTTCCCGCAGAGTTTCGAACATTACACCTTTCAACTGCTCAATTTGACACATTATATGATGATTAAAAAGAAGTGCCTCGCACTGGTGAACAAGCGAATACCACAACTTTAAGCACAAGTGCTTTACATAGAATTAAGCTCCGGATTCTTGAGTAGAACTCAATCGAAGGAAACGAAAAAACAAGACAAAGGAATTCCACTTATAATTTTTGCTTTCCCCTTTTCTGAGCAATTTTTAGAAACTCAAAGAAGTGATAAATGCTTTTTGTCGTGGAAAATCTGCGTCTCCAAGAAAAAGATTTTGAAAGAAAGCCACCCAGAGAGACTTTCAATCAAAAATCATAGTCGAATTTGACAGCAAACTGTCAGCGCGACGAGGGTTTGATCAAAGTATTTGCTGGTCATTTGATAAGCCCCCTTTTTTATTACCAGATATTCCAGCGGTCGAAAAAGCTCGCATACAGATGCTCAGACCGTAAAAATGGTGATGCGACTTCTCATGATTTAGCAATGAGCTTGAACTCGGCAAATGATAAAGAGCGTCTAATTGAAGATTTTGGCTCAAGTTCAGAAGCAGGCGCCCGCAATCGGCAATCACATGTGATACCAGCTTCGGAGTTTCTTTCCACTCTCCCTTGCTCGCTCGAATACTTGTTTTCACAAGATACCATTCGTGGTGATAAGGGAAACCCTTATTAAATGTTTCGGTTATTTTCAAAGCTCAGCAATTTTTTATTCGAGCAATATTTTTTTATTTGAGCTAGACTGTCTACCTTCTTATTAGAAAAAGTACTAAATTGATATCTTCCAGTAGACAATGAGCGAGTTTTTGGTCAAAATTAAGTTTAAAAATTATAATGGTGTTTTGGCAAAAACAAAGATTCAATGAAAAATTCTCATAAAACTACCCGAATTTCCCGGAAATTCCTTACTTTTCTTTTCCCATCATCCCATTTAAATATTTTTCTATTGCCACAATAGGAAAAAATAGCAAATTGTAAATTGCTTATCCAATTTCCAGGCATCTTCCGTGCAAACGGAAATTTAGCTCGTCCCGGATGCACGATAAAATTTGGAGCACGATGAGTTTCCCGGATAATCTGCGAAGAGCATTTTCGCGACCAAACAAATTTTTTAGGGATGGAGATTGATATCCCCGTGCCACGTTTTATTGCAGTGGTAAATAAACACTACACTCGCTGAAAATCTCTTGAGTTTGGTTTATTATCTGTTACTGTGTCTGTGACAGACAAATTTTCGCCAGCGCGGCTGACCTTCACTAAGGGCAAAATCTACTGAGACCTTGAAAACTTACTTTATTTTTCATTTACAATTTTTCGAAAAGAATCATTTTGAGAACAATTTTTCAAATGTCAATTTTATGAACAATTATCGAATTCAACCACCATCTTGTTTGTTTATTTTTTTCGGCCCGCGCGGTCTGTAAATTACGAGCTTACCGTCTGGTACTAGAATCGATTGCTTCCGGAAGTGGGTACTTGAAAGTTGGATCTCTGTTGATGACAATGGCCTTCAAAGCCTTCTTACCGGTTGGTTATTTCAGAAGGGAGGAATCAGCAATTGCTCAGAGGCAGTTCAAAAGGCAATCCACATTCCATCGAGCGATCGCGGTTGCGAGCATCACCTCAAAATTTAAACACATGTTTCTACCTAAAATCGCTTTACCAGTTTTGTCATGTTTTGCTCATAATCGCACTTTGTGCCTGTTTGACAGTTTTAACGCAAAGACAAAGAATCATAAATTCTGAATGATTTTTTGAAAGCTGCTCTATAAATTAAAAGAGATACGCTATCACCTTTTATCTTGTTATTCGTAAATCAAGGACTTATGATAATGACTGCTTATTATTTCCGCTATAATCTTGATACTAAATCATTTTTTACAAAAATCTTCTGTAGAATGTCTTGAAAATAACCCTGATTCGTTATGAGAATAAAGCCAGTCTACTGATCAAATTCTCCGTTAATCTGGGCCGCGTATTCATTGTTACTGGTTTCAACATTGCCAAGGTGCCAAAGTGGCGGGCTGTTTCAATAACTTTAGTGCTTGTAATATCCAGTAACCAAAGTTATCCAAAGCAGCCTCAGAACGACGAGCGAAAGAAAATGTCAAACAAGACCTTGACACTTGTTATTTTCGACGAGGTACTATTCAACATTTTATGACTTTAATTTTCACCGGCGAAAGATGTCACTTGGTTCTGAGTACCTGACGATTCGGGTCACCGTTTTTGGATCAGACCAGGCTTCCGAAAGAGGATGAGAATCGAGGGTAATGAATCGGTGCGATTTTTTCGTGACAAAGGGACTGACAGTGATAAATTTCACACTTTTTCTTTACAGTTCTTTTCGGGAAACATTTGGCTTTTCATTGTCGATTCAATTGAGGAAACCGAAAAAATGCTTGGACCTCTTCAGAATGATTATTCGAGTAGCGGCCAAGTTGGCGTTCGGCCATTTCTAGGGCGGCTAGTTCAGGTGTTTCTGCATCTTCTGGAATCAATCATTTCGGCCGCCAAGTGTGATGATTATCAAGAGCTAAAAAGGTCAACCATCATTCTTGTCAATTCGGCAAAAATGCCTTTTAAACATGCTAATTACGTGCTTTCACATTTACAAGTTTGTCTGACCAAGTTGTAAAAACATGTTGAAGGAGCCAGTTAAGTTCGCCATTAGCATTGAGTTGACGCACCTGTCACAAAAATAGAAAGGATGTAGAGCAGTACGCTCTTTCTACTTCTCACAATTTCAAAGGACTTTGCATTTAACAATCCTGTTTTTCTTTTTATCCTCCAAATATTATGATACTCAAAAATTTTTTCTAATATTTTTTCATTAAAAATAGCTTATCACTCACTCTGACATAAGAAGACACTCTCCAAACAATAAAACTCCTCATTCTAAAATATACCTTGTCTTCCCATGGCGCCGAAAATCAATACCAGAGTCTGAGCACAGAGGGATAGCTCATCAAAAATCAGTCCTCAGGAAGTGATCAATTATAGAAATTACCCTCGCCCGTCTCTTCACGATGACTTTTGATGAACCGTTTGTAAGTGCTCCCTTTTATCAATGTTTCGCCTATTTCGTCTTTCAGACAGATGATTTTGAATTCGTCTTTCAATGAAATCATAAACGACAAAATGTGATCAAGAGGTTGCCTTTTGAAAACATTTTGATTGTTTTTGGTAGAAAAATAAATAGTTTATTAAAGTTATAAAGAAATAAAGCACGTCAGGATTTATTTCTTGACGTGGAGCGGCTGAAGCGGCTTCTGCGAGTCGTCGAGGACGCGTCGGGCTACCTCTGCGGTGTATTTGTCGGGCACGCCAGCGCGGCGAAGGTCCTCAAGTTTCTTCACCTTGAGCTCGCGCAGCTTGTTGCGGTGCTCGATCTCGGCCGCCATTTTGCGGTTGGCCTCCTCAAAGTACTCCCGACGTTTCTGAAGTCGTTCCTGCTCCCGGTCGCGGATCTGCTTGCGGATATCCTCGGCGTGTTTCAGGTTGTTCTCATGTCGAGCCTAAACGTTCAATCAATCACCTTTCTCACTATTGTCAAATTTACCTGATCTTCCTCCTTCTCGGCTTTAGCCTTAAGAGTTTGATTGTGGAGAATTCGCTGGAATTCGTCGCGCTCACGCTGCGCCTGAACAGCTTGGTAGTGTTCACGAGTTTCAATCTGCTTCAGTCGAGCTTGCTTCAGCATATCTAAAGTCTCCTCGTTCTTCCTCTTCTTCTCGAGCTCCTTGGCTCGCCATTCTCGATCGGCGGCTTCTCGCTCGTGTTTGGCACGAATGGCGTCTTGCTCCGCCTTGTGGTCCTTAAAATTTGATAAAAAAGAAGATCGAGGCAACGAAAACTTACGTTCTGACTCTCCTGAAGTCGAAGGAGTCGCATCGCTTTCTCCTCCTTTAGTTTCCTTATGTACTCTTGCTCAGCCTTGAAAGCAGCCTCGCGCGCTTCACGGTGTTCAACGAACGCATTAATCTTCTTTTCGAGTTCTTTCTCCTCCTGGATCTTGCGTTCTTTGACAATTTGTGTCTGTTGATTGAGGACGTCGATATCCTTCTGAATACCAGCCTGGTACTCTCGCTTCTCGCGCAACTTGTCCAAGTCTTCTTGTTTCAACTTGGCGATATATCGGTTCAGAGCAGCTAAAATCAACCAATATAAAATGTATAAAAAGATTAAGAATTACCTTGTTCAGCGTTTTTGCGCTCCTCTTCCAAAATGCGAGCTTCCTCATTTCTCCTAATCTGGTCCATGATCTGCTGAGCGCCTTCTATTCTTTTCGCCGTCATAAGCGCTTTTTTCTGCTCCGCGTCCTGGATGCAGTTCAAGCTAAAAACTGTAAATCTCTAGAATAGAAAATGTTTACGAACCGGTGAACTTCAGAAATTCGATCACAACGAGCCTCATCTTCCATCTCCTCCTTTTGGATAAGGTCCCGTTCCAAGATTTGCGCATCGCGAATAGCGTGGCACTGAATTTCGTCATTGGAATCAACAAAGAGATTTGTTTTTTACCTTGGCATTGAGGATGAGCTCGTTGAGATGCTTGATTTCGTCCTCTTGCTCGAGTCGCTTAGCCTTAGCATTTTCAAGCAAATGCTCGTTGATTCGTTTGGCTTCAAGGTCGATCTCATTCAACGCCTTAAAATCCACATTAATATTTGGGCGAGTTAATCCTTTGTTACCTGGCTCATTTTACGATGAATGTCGATCTCCTTGAATCGTTCTTTTCTCTGGGCGGCAGCGGTTATCGCATCGTTCTTTTCTTTCCGCGCCAAGTCCATTTCGGCCCTGATCGTCTGAAAAAATCATAGAATTTGCTTGAAGCAGAAAGTATTACCTCCTTAGACTTCACAAAGGACTTTTCCTCGATATGCTGAGCCATTGACTTCTCCAGCAAAATGGATCGGTCGGACTTCGGCTGAGGCACAATCACATTGCGGATAAGATCTTTGGTGATCACCTTTGAAAGGTTATAAATTTAACGGGGACGCAATCAAAATTTAAAATCATCAACCCTTTCCTGGAGAACTTCGGGCTTCCTGTTAGCCGATCGTGGCTGTCGACCACCGTTGGGTCCGCCAAAGAGCAGCTCGTCAACCTTGTGAACCCAATTTTTGCCTGTAAATCATAACTAAAGCTTACCTCAGAGGTCTTGGAGCGCGTCCGATACTTGCCATTTGAGCGGCCCGAAGTTACCGAGCCTGACCGAGTCGACATCCCAGGAAAAAAACGAAGAGAAAGACTTGAGTAGTCAAAACTAAGTCTGACAACTTTTTGAAAAACAGCATGCCCTCAGTAGGAGTTCTAGAGATTCACTAGAATCGATTTCATAGTTTTTCACTTCAAAATCGTAAAACTCAAAACTTAAGCCTATTTTTCGTAAATATTGTATTCTAGAGCTAACGTAATCGCATTAATTATTTTTTTTCGATAATTTTATTTTTTGAAAAATATTTAAGAATAGTGATGGAGTAGAATGGTCGGGAAAATATAAGTTATTTGAAAGAAATGTCAAAAAAGAAAGAATGAAGCAGCGAGTTACAGTAACTCTGCATAAATTAAATTAACCGAAGTAAGCGTAGTTTCCAGCGGTTCGGTAGTTCGGCTGCTGGTAGATCACGACAGGCTGCTGAGGCTGGGCGACAGGTGCTGGCTGGACGATCTCCTGAGGAAGGGTGACGCTGGCCTTATTGCATCCTCCGTTGTTGCCCGCGCCAAACATCATCATGTAGAAGACAAGGTCTTCGTTGCTGCCGCTGTCGTCCATAAGCATCAAAGGAAGGAGCATGTTGCTGCCCATGCCAGTTCCGGGAGCGGCGCTCTGCATAGCCATCATCAAAACGAGCAGCGAGCCGTTGTCGTCAGAGCTAGTGTCGTTCATGAGAAGCAGGGGCAGAAGCAGGTTGAAGGAGTTGTCGAAGCCGCTCTGGGTGTTCATGCCGCCGGACATCGAGCTGAGAAGAACCATCATCAGGACATCGTCGAGGCCGTCGTCGCTCGATCGTCGCTTTCGGGAGGAGTCATCGGAAAACAAATCGAGCATGAGGAGAGTCTCGAAGCTGAATCCCTCGCCGCCGCTCATTGTGGAAAAGAGAAGCATCGTCATCAGCGAATCGGTGCCAGATCCGAGCGAGTTTCCGTCGTCGGCGAAAAGAAGAAGTGGAAGGAGGTTGCTCATTGCGTCGTTTGTATTGATGTTGCAGTCGCCTTGCATCGTCGAGAGAAGCATGAAAGTAGAGAGCATGTCAGTATCGCCAGAATCGTCACTGAGGAGCAAAAGTGGAAGAAGCTGATTCATGTCGTTGGTTCCTCCGGACATCATTGTGAGCATAAGTAGGTCAGTGCTGTCGCTGGTGCTGTTGTTGTCACTGAGAAGAAGCAACGGTAGTAGGGAGTTCATCTGGTCGGTCTGAGATTGAGAGCCAGAGTTGCCCAAGAGACTGAAGAGGAGGAAATCCTCGATGGCCAAGGAGAGAGTGAAGAAAAGATTGAATATCTTCATTGTCGAGGTTTTTGTATTTTTGTCTCTTTGCTAAGAAGTTGCTTGTTGTGCTGAATGAAGACGGAGAATGTGATTTGATGATGAGATTGAGTTCCGTTCAGCTCATATGAAGGCCAAAGCCACCCAGTGGAGGAAGTCACTGTAACCATCTATCATTCAATCGTAACCAGGCGCAGTCAGGTGCACCTAAATTTTACGCACTGATTCAGGTTCAAACCAACACTGTTCGACTTTATCTGCGTTCAATCTATCTCTTGTATTAGATTTTCATTTTTACCACAATTTTTCTTCAAAGTTACTTTTTATTAATGCTTTTGAACAAACATAGCACAAAAAATCGGAAAATTTGAATTTCGGCAAGGTACTGTAAAAGTGTATAAACTTATCACTACTTAGTATGTGAAACCACGCATTCTTATTTTCTTTGTAGCGGATAACCGGATGAGTATTTTTAATTCGTCGGATTTAGTTTGCACAGAAGGGTCGAATTTCTTGCATTAGTGATAAAAAAGGCAAAAATAATTAAGAAAGACTGTAAATTTTTACAGTGCAAAAATGAATAAAAACCGTCCGAATCGTTGTTCATGCCCTTAAGGACCCCCCCGTCAACAATTTTCCTCGAAAAATCAAAAATTTCAAAACAGCTATATTTTGGCTTCTTAGTCTGCCTGGAAGTTTAATACAACATTAAAACTTGTTCGGAGCCCTTTTTGACCAATAAAAATCGAAAATTTTAGCAAAATAAGGTCATTTTCGTCATTTTTCGGCGAAAAATCCGATTTTCAAACGCGATTTTGAGGGTGTTAGAGTGGAGATAGACCCCCAAAAAATGAAGCCTTAAAATCGTTTTTTGTTCCGTAGAATCCAATTCCGGGGTCAAAATTTTGAAATTCCGAAAATAGATTTTTCTAAAATTGTTGACGGGGGGGTCCTTAAAGCTCTGATATTTTCATGAAATCATTTTTTATTTAAAAATGAAAATCTAATACAAGAGATAGATTGAACGCAGATAAAGTCGAACAGTGTTGGTTTGAACCTGAATCAGTGCGTAAAATTTAGGTGCCTGACTGCGCCTGGTTACGATTGAATGATAGATGGTTACAGTGACTTCCTCCACTGGGTGGCTTTGGCCTTCATATGAGCTGAACAGAAATCAATCTCATCATCAAATCACATTCTCCTCCTTCAAACAGCACAACAAGCAACTTCTTAGCAAAGAGACAAAAATACAAAAACTTCGACAATGAAGATATTCAATCTTTTCTTCACTCTCTCCTTGGCCATCGAGGATTTCCTCCTCTTCAGTCTCTTGGGCAACTCTGGTTCTCAATCTCAGACCGACCAAATGAACTCCCTACTTCCTTTGCTTCTTCTCAGTGACAACAACAGCACCAGCGACAGCACTGACCTACTTATGCTTACGATGATGTCCGGAGGGACCAACGACATGAACCAGCTTCTTCCACTTTTGCTCCTCAGTGACGATTCTGGCGATACTGACATGCTCTCTACTTTCATGCTTCTCTCGACGATGCAAGGCGACTGCAACATCAATACAAACGACGCGATGAGCAACCTCCTTCCACTTCTTCTTTTCGCCGACGACGGAAGCTCGCTCGGATCTGGCACCGATTCGCTGATGACGATGCTTCTCTTTTCTACAATGAGCGGCGGCGAGGGATTCAGCTTCGAGACTCTTCTCATGCTCGATTTGTTTTCTGATGACTCCTCCCGAAAGCGACGATCGAGCGACGACGGCCTGGACGATGTCCTGATGATGGTTCTTCTCAGCTCAATGTCCGGCGGCATGAACACCCAGAGCGGCTTCGACAACTCTTTCAACCTGCTTTTGCCTCTACTTCTCATGAACGACACTAGTTCCGACGACAACGGCTCGCTCCTCGTTTTGATGATGGCTATGCAGAGCGCTGCACCTGGAACTGGCATGGGCAGCAACATGCTCCTTCCTTTGATGCTTATGGACGACAGCGGCAGCAACGAAGACCTTGTTTTCTACATGATGATGTTTGGCGCGGGCAACAACGGGGAATGCAACAAGGCCAGCGTAACTCTTCCTCAGCAGATCGTCCAGCCAGCACCTGTCGTTCAGCCTCAGCAGCCTGTCGTGATCTACCAGCAGCCGAACTACCGAACCGCTGGAAACTACGCTTATTTCGGATAATTTATTTATGCAGAGTAACTGTAACTCATACTTTTCCTTGTTCCGTTTATACTTCGCTTATTTCTACAAGATAAGTTATTGATAATTACTGTATCTGCATGATGCCTGTAATCTTTGAAAAAAATAAATTCACTAAATATTTACCCTCGAAAATTCTCAGAATTTCCAAAATAAACAGATTTATTCGTTTGCCAGAGAAAAAAAAGCTTGCGAAACTTTGAAATTTGGCATTTCCGCAACCGGGAAAATATTTTTTTCACCTGATTATTTCGCCGCTAACGATAAATCACTCGCCCGGGGCGCTAATTACACTCGGTTGTTGATGTTTGGGTCGCCATCGCACTTTCCTCTCTGTGTTTGTTTTAGGTGGCTGGAAGGTTTATAAGAAATCTCAGCTCGCTCCTCTCCTCGATTATACCAACGAAAAAGAGAGCTGTGAAAAGATACGGACTCGTCAAAGTGGGGTATTCTCGCGTTCAACCATTGTGGTACTTGATGCTTTTGATGATGACTTGCTGACATATAGCAGAAGTACACATATGGTTGTATCCGAGAATGATCATCATCGGCAATAAAGAAAACAAGAGAGAAAGATAGAAAGTTTTAACCTGCGTTCGTACCAATTTCAACCATCATGGCACTCATCATTCGCCCGCTTAGTGCCGGGTGGTTGGACCTCGGTTTGAAACTCATGCTCGACTTGCTTCTTTGAAAGAATGAGACAAATTGAAAATTCATCTTTTTTTATTTGAATAAATAATAATAAAATTATATTTAAATGCTTTAAATATGGCAGAAAATGCGCATACATCAACTGGTTTGACATTGGTGGGATAGGTGTATATAAAAATCAGTCTTCCAATACCGAGAAAGCATACAGTACATTAAAGGTTATGCTATTCGAATTCACCAAATTATTTGAATTTTACACTATTACGCAGTAGTAAAGCCGCACTCGCCCGAGGCGCCTTGCTCCAAGGGCGAACAGAGCGGTATCAGAAAAGCGCCGAAATCGTTTTTGTCCAAATTTGAATATTTTTTAAAGCGGCGATATATTTTTAAATTGTGGAATATTTGTAGCAGTTATTTTCCATTGTTTTGCATATGATAAGGTATTTCTGGTAGATTGATCACGCGTCAGAGATGAACGCGTACTGTGCGGCTGTGCACGGTGCTTTTAGTATTCTAGTTTAAATATCCGAGAGTTTTTAAAAAATATAAAATTGAAGAAAGCATTAATTTTCTATCTGGGCCGGATGTGGTGGAAAGGTGAGGACGCCGCAGGAAAGGTGGCCCGTGCCCCGCGGCGACGCAAAAAGTGCACAGCAAACAGCCGCACGCGCGTGCAACCCCTGCAAACCCGTCCACGCGATCAATTAAAATTGTGATGTAATGCTAGATAGACGGAAGACGATAACCTGAATAAATACAGTATACAGTGGTGATTTCAGTGGTCGTCGGTCAGTATTGCACAGATATGTTGTTTCTTCATTTTTTTCTTTTTTTTTTGTGGGTTTGCGTAAGTCGCAACAATTACGAGTTTTATACATTTTTGCCCTTTATCAACTTGAAGTTGAAGTCTCCTTCGGGGAACTGGAACACGAGCTCGGGATAGCCTGGTGCGCCTAAAAACAACACCAGTAAAGTGGCGGTGTTCGAAACTCTTTATTTACCGTTAGTGACGACTGTCAGGACAGAGTCGTGCTTGGTGTTTTTGCGGGCGAGACGATCCGTCAACACTGTTTGTGTCCAAGATGATAACGAGGCGCCGAGATAGAACGTCGATTCTAGAGAGGATGTTAGCGCACTACACCTGCGAATTATTAAGAGGATAGTCTGCTTATGCTTCACATGTTTATTTTTGAAGAAATGAGCTTGCCAAAATTAAACTAACCGATTGTTTGTGTTCTTGATAACACTTTGTTATTACAAATAAGAATTTGCGTAAATTGAATTTCTATTTCACTAATTTCGACTCATAACTTGACTACTTATATCTTTCTTTTTTTTAAGTCACCGGGAGAATGGACCGCCTTGCTGTCGGATAAACGACATAAGGTCATGTCTCGCGTGACGTGGCCTAGCTTATAAATTTTACTTACTGAATCCGATTTCTTGTTCAACAAAGGACGCTTTGTAGTTGTTGTCCAAAAAGCCGGGACCAAAGGTTCTGTGGGACGGGGTTTGGCCTCAGTTTTAAAATTGACACAATCCGCGCGAGATGGTATTTTCACCATTAAAAAAAAGCATAGCATGGAACTTGACTTCTGCTGATCTTTTCTATATAGAACTGATCATTCAGAAGCTTTCATGCTAACCTTGACGACATCATCAGGGTGTTATTACTGATAATACAGGGTTAATGATTTAAAAGCCGGTGTAAATGTATGAAAATTTAGTTTTATCGATTTTTGATTGTAGTAGAAACAGACTTTTTTCATTCATAATTACACCGAGTTTTAAATGATTGATTTTCTTTTCAATAAGCATTGTCAATTTTTAGCGGGCTAAGAGGCGCTAGACAAGTTTTTTTTTCGTGATTAGAATCTGATCGGTTTTAAGGCTTTACTAATAGATAGCAAGCGTAAAGATGGTAATTCATGCACAAAACATGGCCGCAATCCTCTTAGCTAGACTCTATCACAATATTTTTCTTCCCAAGCTGGCGAGTCCAGCTTATAGAGCGTATGATAAATAAAGAGAAGGAATAAATAATAGCACCCATCGCGATGTCATGTGTCTCTTTTGGTGGAAGATTTAGAGCCCAACCCCGGTACTATTCGAATAGCGTCCGACGTCATCCATGTAGAAGAAATTTCCGGGGAAGGAGGAGTTCAACAACCGGATCAAATCGATGTTCTAGATTAAATGTCAGCGTTCTATTGAGTAACTTTTATGCGGTCGAGCTTCTAGCAGGAGCCGTTTAAGGCTTCTGATTAATCTCATGTTTCGCAAATTTAAGCGGCTTATATACTTCGAAGCAGCTATTGTTGTGAGATCTAATATTGGTGCATTTAATATTAAATTAAGGAGCTATTTTGGAAAATAGTTAAAGCTTCTTTCATAGATTGCTAACACGACATGTTTACAAGAAATGTCAAGCCGGCAATAATAATTATGCTAACCGCGCACGTAACGTTATGATTACAAACTCACATTAGGTGGTGAAGCGAGGTAGACAACTTCTAAATTGTATTCGGCCATCTTCGCCTTGAGGTTGTTGACGAACATGCTTCGGGTACCCTCGTCGTAGGTGAGTCCCATAATCAGCTTACAGATTTCTTTGTTTCGCTCACGGGCGCCCTTTGGTCGAGATGGTTTGCACCTGAAAATGTGAAAAATAAGCATTTTTACGCGCGGTATTTCGCCGTGGAATTTTGCCAAGAAATTTGCTTGTCGCGGGTTGAGACAAAATTGACCGCAAAATAACGTTTTTTTGCTTAATTTCACCAGTAAGAAGACTTACATATCAAGCCAGTCAGATTCGTATCGCCAGTGGACAAAGAGATAAGGTCTGTTTCCGATGACTTTTTCTGTGAATTCTTGAGCGAATCTGCGGATAACTGTCGGTCTGAGGAAGTTTCTGGAGATTTCGGCAAATGATTGGAGCCATTTATCCTGGTCTGGCAAGCACTTTTGCCGTAAACGATGCCGACGCACTTCTTGTCGGCGATGTCCATCTTGGCGGGCTGGTTTGCATCGCACGCTTCGCCGCAGCACTTGGGATCGAGGTCGGCCATCGTGGGAATAGTAACTGTCTCGGCGACTTCCATATCAATGGCGCGCTGGAAATGATTGATTCCCTGGTAACGTTTGTCATCAATGTCACCGCACTTGATCAACAGATCGAGCTTCTTCTGGCATCCATTCATCATGTCCTTCATTGGCTGCACAGGCATAATCTAAAATACAATATCATCATTCTGTTTCTGAAATGACCAGCTTTGAAGAGCTAACACTTGCACTTTCAGGTCATTCCGTACGAGCATGTGAACAAAGTGTACGAATTATACGCGAGCGAGAAAGATATGCAAATGCTCATTTAAAATTCAGCTCGAAAAAGTCAACTTCAAGATCATCAGTGTCCATCTTGTCCATTAATGGCAAGATTGTCGGAAAAGGTCGATTTTTCCAGCTCCAAGTGGACAAATCCTCTAATACCCCGGTTACATTTTATTTGAACTACCGGCAGTTTGACCGGGCTCAAACTTTTTTCGTTAAGCTCACAACGCCGGTAGGATATACAAGAGTAAGGGATGAGCCTTTCAAGCGACTTTTAATCCCTGTCTAGCTTGAGTAGCTTGACTTTCTATAACAAGAATATACAGATGAAAGAGCATTACCTTTCTAAGCATGCCAACATCGATGGTTTCGTTGGCGGGCCAGACAAGATCGACGGTGTAGTTTTGATCGAAAATTGGAAGGACGAAGGGGTTCTTGGCAGTATCTCCCATTCGAGGATGCCTGAAAGAAATGATCATTACAAAACATGTTAGGAACAGTGTTAGGTGCGATGGCCATTTTCAAATTTCCGGTCGAAATTGACGAGAAATTTTGAAAGCGCCTCAATCAATTTACTCCGCGGTCAGGTCGTTTAGGGTTCACCGCGCAAAACCAATTAGGCCCGTTTGACATACCGTGAGGAGCCTTATGAATTTCACTGTGATATTTAGGGGCCGCGTTACTTATTCATAATAAGTTATTATTACTAATAACCGTACATTACAGTGAAAATGACGGATTACCTGTGGAAGACGGGGACGGTGAGACCTCGCCCCATGTTGTAGGCAGTAATAGCACCCTGTCGAAGGAGACGGAAGAGATTGTTGGGTCCCATGTCGAAATATAACATAGGCAGAATCCATCCGGGATCGCCAGATGTAGCAACCTTAGAAAATATTTAAACTTGGAGGAAGTCGGAACCGTAAATATTTAGCCTGTCTGATAACGTGGTGGTGTCTTAGTCAGAGTGCGTAAAATAAAGAGAGAAAGGAACAGCTTGACATTTTGTAAAAATGATGTCAAACCTGCGCGGGCATGTCTCGGTTCTCGTAGTAATCCTCATACCACGGAAAATCATGCTTATAGGGACGGCCATAGTCCGGGTCGGCCCAGCCACCAGCTACAGGGCCGTCGGGCCATTTTGCTCTCGAAATAGAAACGGGCTCGTCCAATTCGATCCCGAGGTCAATGTGTTTTATTAGATCTAGGTTAAGTGGCTCTGGTTCTGGAATGGGCGCGATGTCGATGGCGGTTTGTTCATGTGGGACTTGTACAAATTCATTCTGGGCTAATGGAGGCTGTTCCCGTTCGAAATTGGAATCGAGCGGGCTGTCGTATTTTGAAACTGACCAATTTCGAGGCTGGACATTGATGTGTGTAAACTTGAAGTAGCCAACGCTACAGAAAAGAAGAATAATCCCACCAAGGGGTAAAAATTTCCGCCTCTCAGGGATCAAGTAAAAACACGGTGAACTCTTTCGGTCGGGTTGGGAAGGATCTGGCTCGTCGTCGAGAAAGGGGTCGCCCGACCGTGCCTGATTCTGCCTCCGCTTTGAAGATTTCTTATTGCGATGAGCTCGTTTTGAACCCAGCTGAGTGTACTTTGCTGTACTTTTCTCATGATGAATACTCATATTTAGACCTGCTTTTTAGGGTTTTCTCTTGTTCATAAAACACAAATAATCCGCTTATGTAATTTAGAATAAATCCTCTTTAGTAGGTACGCTTCATTTTTATTGGCAATAAGAGAGCGTTTTTTAAGAGCTTTCGAACGAGTTTATCTTTGTCCCCTTTTTAGGACTGGTAGATGGTATGGCTTTTACGTCCAAAGTCGAGCAATAATATTATGACATTATTATGAAAATTTAAGAAAAAAAGGCAAGTTATCTAATACCTAATATTTACAGAAAGTTGAACTTTAGATACGTGTAAACTATAGTAAATAATATAAAACTAAGCTTAAAACTAACTTTATCTAAGTTTTAAATTCCTATTTGAATTTATCGTTGATTTTTATACAATTGGAGAACCCTTGACTACATCACGTGCCATCTGCTAGTGAGCATGTTCATCATTTTCTCTCTGTTTTCTTGACTAGTGGTGGTTGGCGGTCGCAAAAGATGCATTTGCCTTGAGGCGGACATGCTCAGAACTGTGGAAAACCATCTCCCTGCCCGTTGGGCACCACAGCGCCACCGCCCAACCGGGATTGGCTTATTGGCCGGCTCCGTCAACCTCGGAAAACATTTTCCCTCTCGATCTCTCCCTTTTGTTATTCCAGCCCCCCTCTCTCTCTGTTTCTACTTGCACTTGACCATTCAATCAGTTATCAGACCGTTACAGACATGCATAATTTCATAGAAATCATGGTACTTACATTCGGAATGGCAGGCAGTGAATCACCAGTGTTCTGAATGAGGGGCTCGTCGTTGACCATGGCCGCTGGTGCGGCGGGCACGGCGGGGGCAACGGGGGCAGCTGGGACGGCAGCGGCGACTGGGGCGGCAGGGACAGCGGGATTCACGGGCACGATGGGAGCAGCGGGTGCAGCTGGTGCCACGGGAACAATTGGCTTCGGTGGTTCCACGGGGGCCATTGGCGCGGCTGGAGGAGCTTGAGGAATTTCGGCGGCCATGGGGGCCATTGGAGGACCGCCCATATTTGGAGGAGGCATGTACATTGGCCCTTCGTTTCCATACTGCAAGTTCAATGTAAACAAACACGAGCTGGATTTATTTTAAGAAGGTTTGGACACTTACGAAAGCTGGTTCCGGCCTTCCTAGAGTATTGGCTTCCAGGATTTCCAGCATAAGATAAACGATCGCGACAGCCCCTAAAAATTTGATTACGCCCGGGAAAATCGCGCCGCCGTAGAAGGGTCGAAAGTTTTTTCCGACTGGAAAGGGCTTTCTGATAAGCGTACATACCGATAAGCTCAAGGGTGCGCTTGACATGTTTCTTGCGAAAGACCATTTTCCACATTTGGCTGCACGAACTTTTCACCAGTTTTGCAACAGAAGGCATTGATCGGGCTAGAATAAAGTGAACGCTTGAGACATCAGATATTCATTCCCCCGCTGCGTATTCTCTACTCGAAGACCATAAATATAAATTTTTGGTCGGAAGGATGCACGCGCTCGGCCGAAATTATTTCTAGTTTCAGCGGGTGGGGTTTCTTGTTCTGGTGGTGGCTGAGCGCTGATTGGAGGAGAATGCACCAGCCTCCACCGCCAAATCCCACCGCGGATTGAAATTTTGCATTTTTGTATAAGAGCGGAAATGTTCCCGAAAGCTAAGAAAGTCGCAAAAACGGATTAGAAACGGTGAGGATACCCTAAGGGTCGAATGTTTTTAGCGATGCTAACGGATATGGGAGCTGTCGAGAGTAAGTTATTCATTAATTCAGCAGCAGGTGCGCCGCCAAAAAACCGGGTTTATTCAGCTCAATGGTTTTTGCGTTTCTTCTCGCAGAGAGTATTATTTCGATAAAAAAGGAAAGTGATAACAACGAGGACTTACCGCGAAAGCGCCCGGACGTTTAGAACTGCATGTTTTTTTCTTCCTTCACGTTTCGAAGAAAATTTGAAGAGTTGAAGTAAAAAGGGATTGAAGAGGAGTTTTTCCGATTCGATACTAAGTCTGAGGGGTGCTCTCTGGGAGGAGGTCACTCAAGGCCACTGCGGTCACTCACGATCGCGACTTATTCTAAAAAAGCAAAAGTTTAGGGGAGAATGTCCATTGTTTAGCTCGCGGGATAATTGTAGATAATCCCGGATTAAACAGAGATAGACGCAAAATTAGCCGAGCGCTTATTTCTCTCTCATGTAGTCATCGCCGGGCAATTTGATGTACCCGCTGGCTACATGACAAGTGTAGCTTGAGTTCGACTTCATCAAAATAATTCTCTTTGTTGTTTTCATCTTCTTTGGGGAAATCTCTTTAGTTGTGGAAAAAGGGCGATCGCCGCCGCCGGGCTGCAAAAGTGTAAGATGATAATGGAGATGATATTTGGTGGGGTTGGTATCAAGCTCTTTTCATTTGGTGTTGTGCATTGGTGTGTTGCCGCCGAGGAGAAAGCCCAACCGTGGTACCGAACGCCCCGGGCAACGGCACCAGGACGCACCAGCACCACATACAAATAAAAATACCTCAATTAGTAGATATTCAATATACAAAGAGTTATGTAAACAATCAGATCTCGCTTTTTCCGCTAACGGTAGTCTAACAACCCCTAAGTAGCCAAAAAATATGATGTTTCCAATGATAAGGCATGGAAACGTGCCCTAGAAAACGATTGTCTCGCAGTCTACGTGAAACTAAGGCCGGAAAAGTATGAAAAAGAATCAAAAATATCCACGTGGCTAATGATAACAGCTTTTAGAAATGCTATTGTTGCAGTATTGGCTGTTGAGTTATGTTCCTATAAATAAATCATTGTTATAAGTGGTCGAAGACACAAGCTGTTGATAAATGTTTTTATTATCCGGTGATTTAACAACGCCCTCGATAAATATCAAGAAAATATTAAGGGTGTTGCTAGCTTGAATTTAAACAAGTAACCGACGATGGAGATTTTAGGTCGAAATTTCGGATGATTTAAATAGGTATTGGAGTCGTGTTTTAAATCAACCAATATTATTCGAAACTTTTCAATTCTTTGAAAAAAGAAGTATGTTTATAACTTATAGCCCGAACTTAAAGGGTTCAGAAAAGCAAGAGGTTTAAACTTTCGTCTGTTAAATTTTTTATTCTTCCTTCAGAAAACATCTCTCCTTTTGTTATCTTGTTTGCGCGTAGCTGTTTTGCTCAATAAAAATAGACATGAACTGATAAACTTAATATTTCGTGATTATGAGGGTCTAGATAGGGTCCAGCGGTAAAATTGGTAAAAGGGTTGTTCAGTCACGTGGCACGTGGTGGAAGATTTTGCGACTAGCGACACGGCCGATGGCACTTTCAGAAGCACGTCGCAACGCCGCTGCTGCTGGAATTTGGCAACCGACTCTGCGGTTTGTAATTTCACCAACTCCCTCTGCTCATTCTCCTTCTCTTTGCCTAGCTCTCTATGAATCGCCTTCCTCTCTGGCTCTATTCGTGACTTCCACCGCGTTCTCGCTACGCTTTAACCCATAGCGGGGGAAGCGCGTTTCCCCTCTCATCGGACAGATGGGGGAACAGTGCGGACGTACAAACGCTGTGGCGACGAGTCACCATCACCCAGAGGGAACCGGTCGCAATAGAGTTGTTGCCCCATGCAAATCATTCGCGCACACACAGCAGCAGACCAAGTACTAATAATTCGACACTTGATGAAAATCAACGCTCGAACTTGGCAAATTTTTAAGCTCTAGTTTTGTTGAAAACGCAAAAACGTTCAGGACTGAAAAAGGCTAATCACTAAGAAAAAGTATCCTCAAAGGCTCATAACTTTTATTGACTTCGGAAGCATTCAAGATGGATGAAAAGTCTGTTATCTGCGCAATTCTCCTCTATATTATATAGACTATATATCTCTAAAATTGAGATTTTAGCTGCAATATAAACCCCGTCTTTAGTTCTCTTCTCAAAAATCTCTTCTTTTGATACTTTCGAGTATCAATATTTCTCTCAAGCAAAAATACCTTTCATTTTCCTTTCTGGCTTAAAAACAATCCGGCCGTGTTTTGTGATTGGATTTAACGATCGGACATTTTACGATGTCCTGCATCGCAACCTGCAAAGTGTGATTTATTCATCTGCACTCACTCATGTTGTCTACAAGTCACTTGAACTTTTTTTGTCTAATGTCTGAGAAAGTTGTTTAAGGATTTAATTAACTACTGATGTCATAAGTTGAGACTTATAAAGCCAAAGAATTATCAATAATTTGTAGAAACGCGTGAACAAATTTTTCAACCAATTGTATTTCCAAGTTCTTGATCTACAGTAGGCGATGTCAGTTTGAAAGGAGGTACTTTGAGCATTTTATAAGACGGTCCGTCGTCTAAGGCAGTTTGATTGATTGTTTGAGTTAAAGGTCATAAAATGGCCAATTGTCATCATCAAACCGCTCCTTCGATTAGCTTACAATACGTGAAGAATCCGCTCATGAGTCCTTCAGGAGTTGCAAAACTTGTTCGAGAAGCGTACGTGTGCTTTTGCCAGGAGTGAGTACTGGGTGTTGGCCGATAACACCAGGGCCGTCAACCTCGTCTACGTTGCCAGCTAGATCGTCAATCTTCCAGTAACGGCGTTGGAGACGCATTGAACTCGACGGTGGCGCGTCCGATCGCATTGATTGACTAAAAGTTTTCGGTTGAATCGAAGTTTAAAAGCGACACAAACGTTATCTCATAAGCATGGTAAAACTGATCTGGGTTCGTTGATGACTCGTGGAAAATCATCGCAGTTCTTTTTCTCGGTTTTCGATTCTAGTTTATACGGAGATTTTTATTTTGACCGAAGCCTGACTGTTACATTAAAATCGTCTTGATCGAGCGAAATAGGATTCCTGTACCCTGACAGCTCACTAGAATAAAAGTAAGTATCGTAAACTATCAATAGTTTACTTACCTTAAAACTTCGTGTTGATCGATTCTTCCTGCTGTGTCTGTCACAACATCGGCCGCGTATTTGAGTAAATCTAACGGGTTCTGGGCAATGATGTAGCCGCCTGTATACTCGTCCGCGCGGACATTCCTTCTCGGCGTAAAAATCTTCTCCGAACTTGGATCAAAGTAGAATATCAACGCGCGGCCATTGTATTTGAGCGGGCTTGCAGCAATAGGAATGAAGCCTTGAGCAACAAGGTCTTCTTCTGATCGCCCGATTTGGCTTTCTATCCAGAGTAAGATAGCCTCTGAATTTTTCGGTGAGCCACAAAAGAGATATCGCAGGTAAATTACCTAAGCTGAACATAAATGGGAGAATCTGCGTCTCGTAAACATCGACCTCTCCAAATAGCGGAGTAGCGGCAATTCTTCCATCAACTGCCCATGATTGTCCGTTGAAAAGCCTTCCCAGTTTTTAAAATGTCAAATAATACTGGGAAAATACCTGTATAAAAGCCTAAAGGACGGCGGAAGACTGAACGTCGGTGTCGTCACGTATTCCTTGAGATTCGTCTCGAACTCATTGAGTTCCTCCTCAGTTGCTCCTTTATTTAGATTCAGCGCCGCTTTAGCGAGGGTTTTTATATGTTTCTTTGTATCGCGAACAAATATTTTTGGTCAAAACTCGGCCTTTGATTGATCTTGGATTGGGCCAATTTTCGCTGGTACTGAGTATTCTATCCCAAGCTGAATTAATTTAGTCAGTCTCTAGAATAGACGCTTTGCATCAAAACATCAAAAATAAGGCCTCACTAAGAGATCAATAAAATGGTAAATGGATGGGAGCACCATGTTGCTGGGCCTAAGTAGGTCTTCCTTGATTCTAAATAAAAGCAAAAGTGACTTTTAGGGGCTTCGTCGGAAGTGACGGAATCTGCCGTGGAGGCATTTTCGATGCTGCAACAGGCAAGCGATGGGCATCTGCTAATTTCAAAATTCCGGCAAGGTAATATCCTTTTCGAACTAGTTTTTTAAAACTTTCAAGTGAAATCACACCATTGAAAAAGATGCTTGGAGGAGGGAGCACCGCTGCTCAAATCAACGGCGAAAAGTTTCTTGCTATTCGAATGCTCCCAGACAAGAATCTAATGCACTTGCGAAGCCCAAGTAAGCTTTTTTGAATCCTGAAATGCGCAACAAATTTTTAGACAAAGAGCCCATGACTGTCATGTTTGTCAAAACTGCTGGAAAAGAGGCCTGTCTCGTTGGCGTCGGAGCTGCTGGCGCATCTGCTGGTGATATTGCTAAGGGAATGGGACGAGTTGCTGATAAGCTTGCTAAAGCCTAAGGGTGCTTTTCTTTGATATTTTTCAATAAACTTATTTATGCAATAAACATAATGTTACTTACAGTCGTAAATTCGGGAGATTTGCGTCGAGTAATCGATGATGATACTTTCGTATTTCTTGAAGCCACTCATTTTTGAAAAGCCAAAGCGGAGCATTTTCAATCTCGCGGCTTCGTCGGGAAGTTTCTTCGCCAGCTTCTTGGGGAATGTCGTCATGACTTCTTCACGCACATCTTCGAATTCAGTGTTGTTTACTGAGATAAGAAAATCGGATAGTTTGACCCAGTCTTCGCTATATTTTGGTTCATGAATTTTTCGAAGGGTTGAAAATTTATGAAGAGTTGAACCAGGGCCCATATTTTGAAAGTAATTCGCTCTCCCAGATATCGTCAACTTCCTCTAGGTCAAAATCCATTTTGTGGATTCGAAATTGAATGAATCTTGGCTGATCAAAAATACTCAGCAGGACAAGAGAGTAAATCAGCGCTCCGAGCTATCGATAAACGATCCTAGAATTTAACTGTACTCTGATAATCGATTCTGTACAAATGAGCGCTTTTTAATTTTTACCTTATTTGTATCGATGTTTGTTAAAATACCGATATAAATCATCGTTTTTTTCTCAGAATTGAATTACCAAAACAATAAAATAAATAACAGTAAACGGTATTTGACCTTTGCCCAACATATTTATTCGAATCTCCCGGCATGTTGAATAAAGAGCCATTTTAGAATAAAAATCTAATTTCGACAAAATAATGTCCAGGACGACGACGGGCACCTCGTCAAGCATCTTCAAATTCCTAGAGCGCGCAAATGATCAAAATTGAAAATGGACTTTCTCTGAAAATGCGCTGGTTAGAACACACCAATCATATGACCGTTTCTTCGTTCTGGCCAATTACACATCGACAGAAAGATCCAGGCGGAGATATAAAACTTCGAATCGTAAGAACGATGATGATTTTATTGTTGTTTGTGAACTTTTTGGAATACAGTAGCAGTCAGTAGGTAAAGCTTGTTTGGAAGGGTGGGGTTGGAGCTTGAACTTCAGATCGGCTTGTGCGGAATTGTGCGTCGTGAAAGATCCATTTGAAGGAAGCTTGAAAATGCTGATTCTGGCGGTTCTGCAGTTTCATACCTTTGTGTTGGTCTACTCCGGCTTGAATCTCCGGAACTCGGACGAGAGGAAATCGCTGATGGAGGTTGTAACTTCGGAAGCTTCGGTGCGGAGTTGACATTTTGGGAGGCTTCGAAATCCCTTTGACTTGAAAGAAGACAGCTGGATCCGGTGAGCTGGAAATCATCGAAACTGTCGACTTGAAATCCACGTGATCTATTGAAATCAATAATGGCATTCATTATTTTGATCTTACAGTTCGGTTAGACGACCTCGGAGAAGATGACCCGCTCTTGAATGAGTTGGGGCCTTGGATGATTCCGGCTGGTTTTTAAACTTTTCACCAGAAATGAACAACTAAAAACAGACCTCGAGGACGACAGAAAGGATCAGCTTACATTTAATAGATCGGGCTGGAACTTTCGAATCGTTCTAATTCGCAAATCCTTCGTGGCTTTGCGAATCTGGTAGCGAATCGCGTGGCGCAGTCGGTAAATCTCTTCCTAAATTCGCAAGGTCAGCGGAAAAGCGCAGAATTAAACTGTACCGTCATCGTGGTCCAAATTCTGTTTCGTCGAATTTCAAGTTTTTCCATTTTCGTCAGATTCGTGCGAATGTCATGCGCGTACTCAGAAGTTGAAATGGCACGTGACCATTCGTTGGCGAATTTTTGGATTTTAGAGTTCGTGTACTGTGCTGATCTGATGTGGTCTGTTTCGATCACTTCTGTTCGGACGGATGCTCTTGAATTTGGAGGGTCAGCGTGATTTGCTTCAAAAACGCTTTCGATCGGTTTTTTTCAATTCATCAAATGTGAGAAAACTCGAATTTCTCAGTAAACTAGAGCTTGTATCAAAACGCTCCTGTTGTCATCCTCATGGTCTTCTTCCCTTGTTTCTTTACTACCTTCAACTTTCTGCGGTTCAATAAATGGAATGGCTATTTGCGATATCTGCTTGTTGGCGATTACTCCATCCACCAAGTCGTCAGTGAAGCGTTCAAAGTCTTCAAGTAGCTCAGCTGGAGCTTGGACAGTATCTTCGATAGAGATAAGCGATTGAGTCATCGTATCAAATCGGTCGCTTCGTGGTTTCGTCACGATTCCAGAGCTCGAAGAAACGTATGAAACCCGAGGAGGAGCTTTTTGCGTTTTATCCTCGAGGTCAATTGAGATCTTCTTTCTTATTTTGGGGTTAGAAAAATTCTTAGAAACGACTGTTTTTATTTTGCATAAACTTGATTTGGTTACCCTTGACCTGTTTATCGAGGAAGCTGAATCAGAAAGAACTCCGCTTTCCTTGAGCGAATCCTTCCTCTGCCGGGCATCAAACGTCGCAAAGAACTTATTCAGACCGGCAGACGACTTTGATAGATTCTTGACATTAAGTACTCACTCAGTGTATTTTATGCAAAGCTTTTTCGGAATATCAAATGTTTGCGCACGTTTGAACATCTTCCGAGTGGCCTGAGAAATGGATACAGAGTCTCGGAAGTTTTTCTAAGAGCTATTAATCTTTAGCGGTGATCAAGAACCCGCCCTGAGATCGTTGTAGGACTGCATTTTGGAGCTGTACATGCGATTCGCTTTTTGTTTTTCGCAAAAGTTCCTAAACAAGATTTTTGTTATGAAAAATGAATATTGTCCGACTGACTTTTCTTTTGATTTTCTTCAGTTCTTCGAGAGACTGGCGATATTTGACCATCAAGTTATCGTACTTCTCCTCCAGATCTGTCATGGCTTCTGCTTCTGATATGCCAAACTGTTCATTTACAATACTGTGGGCTTTGATAGCAGCTGTCAAGTTTTCGACAATATCTTCGGTCCGAGCAAGGATTCGGTTAGCCTCGGCGACGCGCTCATTTTCCTTGAATTTGAAATGATGATTTTTATTATGTAAATTATTCAATAGCTACCTGAAGACTCTCGAAGTCATTTCTTTCTTGAATAATTTTCGCGGACTTCCGTATGCCCAGCACTTCCTCGATTTCCGCAGAGAACCAAAGAAGCTTGTTAAAACATCTTAACGAAAACTCTAGTTCGTTCAGGTTGTGTAAACTTACCTGATGAAAGCGCGGTCAGTTGTCTTTTGCGTGGCTGAGTAAAGGCGCCCCGCGGATTCGAGAACTTCCGCCTTTGGCGTAGCCTGGGTTTCTTTCTTTTCCTGACTATTCACCGACTGCTTTTGTTGTTCTAATTCTGTTGATTGTATGTTTGGTGATGACTTTGCTAAAGAAGCTTCTAAGATTTGGATGGTGATAAATATTTACCGAATGGTTTTGTCGTTTTCGAGCTCGACGCTACAGTTGGCTTAGCAGGTTTTGTTGAATTCTGCATTTTAACTGATTTTTTCGCAGTTTTTGAGGATTTCGGTTTCTCATCATCTTTTGTAGAAGACACAGAGCCTTTTGCTTTCTTCTGCTTTGGCTTTGGCGGATGAACGATGACGGACTCAACTGGATCTGGCATGATCATTTCGTCAGTTTGAATGCTTTGGGTAGCTGTTGTGGGGCGTGAGAGAGTCGTCGGTGTTGGTCCTAAATCGTCTTCTTTCAGAATCAACGACTTAGTGTGCTTCTCGTCTGCACTTAGCATTCTTCTTGGTTCGATGTACATTATTTCGAATGAACTTTTCTCCAACAACACGTTTGCGGACTGAACCCTGCTTGGAACTGCTTGAGGGACTTCCAAATTATCCCCATCGACCTCCACCGCTTCGCTGATCTGCACCGGATCAGTTGCGATCTCCTTATCGGCGCGCTCGCGCGAGCCCGGGATCTTTCTAAAGTTTGACAGAATCACTTCCTAAATGTCGCTTGTGCAAATTTACCTATTCAATTCCTTGATACGCTCCTCGTACATGAAGATCACATCCATTTTATCTGTTTTTGCCTGACGCATTTCGGCAGTTGCCTAGAGAATCGAATATTAATGCCCTCTTCGAATAATCATAAATTACTTCTTCAGCCTTTTCCAAAAGCTCATCTTTTTCCTTTTCCAATTTTTGAATATCTTGATCGCGCATTTTCACTTTTGCTAGAAACTGAAAGTTCTTCCCTTGCTCTGCCGCTATTTCTCCTTTCATGTCTTCTAGCTTCTTCTTTGAGTCGTTCAGCTCCGTCTTCAGAGCATTGACTTTTCGCTCTAGAACTCGGCGTTTCTTCGCCCCAGCACCAGTTCTATTTGCTTCGAGGATTTTGACGATGTCATCTGATAAATCGTCAAGCTTGTGAATGGCCTCCGAGACGCCTCCGATAGTCTCGTCAATCGTCAGGTCGATGTTGTCGAATTCGCCGAGCCCAGAGTCCGTCGACATCGACGGGTCATCGTCGTCAAGTGACGCCATGTGTAAATTCTCCACAACATCGTTGAGCATCTTCAAAGGGTGAAACTCTTGAAGTCTCGATAAATAATCATGAGTTTATCAAAAGACTCCCGTTTATTCAATGTCAAAGCATTTTAGAAATGCAAAATTTGCATGAAAAAAGCGTATCTGTAAGCAGAATAGTGATAGCCATCTGACTGTAACTACGAAGTATTGAAACGGCATCTTATGATAATTTACGTACTTGTTAAGTTTGACCTTCTTCTGTCCATCCTCGTTTGAAAGAATTTAATAGATTTTGAGTTCTTACGAAATACCAATTTCAAACTAAAGTTCACAAAATTGACCCGAAAAATCATGAGGAAATTAAAGTTGAGTCAATATAAGTTTGACATATTAATTCACAATTAAACAGAACATGACATGATCACCCCTTCCTGCAGCCGTTGTGTCGATTTATTTTGGTACCCGACGATAAAGACCTGCGTTCTAAATGAGTATGTAAAGATACAAGTAGGAATGCAGGACAGATGAAAGACCAGGTGATCATGATCCACGTCCGAAAACGTCGAGAAGGGAAAGGCTAATCCCCAGCTGCATTTGACGAGTGTGTGATCTGTCTCTGTATCCAGAGTTCTTATGTAACTCGTAAAACGACAGTAATCGAAAAAAAAACGACTTATCAGCAGCTGAAAATGACAGAAACTGACCAGTCGAGGAAATGATTTCCGCAGATAAAAACCGTATAATTGTGAAAAAATCAACGACACTCTATTACAAAAATCTTTACTTACTTTTGACTATGATCTGCTCTAGACGAGGCATCAGTAATGAGCTTAGAAAGCTCCTCTTAAAAGTCAGTTGAGTTCAGCGTGAATTTGAAGATGGTACCTAAGTTATCCGCGAATTTGATAGCTGAGCACTTTTTAATCAATTGTTTTTCAAGTAGTTCCGTGTCCACTTTGTACCCTTCTAGTGTCGCCTGAATTTCATGTCAGAATTTCCTCGAATTTTTACGTTTCTACCATTTTTTTCCGAATTTACTCTTTTGCTTTCTTACCTCAATTCTTCCTTGGATAATGTTAAATTTCTCTGTCCACTCATCTTCTTTCCGTTTCAATCTCTTTTGCTGCAATCCATGCACAATGCCCTCCAGTACTTCCATCTCTGAATTCGCCATGTTTTCATTAATCAAAAATCAATTATCGTGAAAGTGAAGCTTGTGATTTTATTATCCGAAAGCCGAGCTAGACGGATAAAGCTGAAATTTAAACAAACACTTGCGCCTTTATTCAGAGTGGTAGAATAATGGATCCAGAACTTCATTTGTTTTCGGCGAACACATAGCTCAGCACTGTAATGATCCGCTCTGATCCAAGTGAGAATAGAGCCGAATTAATACCGTCATTAGGAAAGCGCCTTGTTATGAAATAGAACGCGATTTACCTTATTGATTTCAATCGGAATCAACTCTTCCTCGAATAAATAGAATTTTCTGTTTGGCGGTTGTCTCTTTTGACGGACTCAAGTTTTCATTTCCAACTTCTTCTTCCGATTTTCAAAGCCCGTTTTACGAAAAGGGAAGTACTAATTTAATCTGTGCGCCAACAAGTTAACTCAGTAATCGCGACTACTTTCCAAATAATGCTCCCTGTTGGAAAATGATAAAACTGTTTGAATAGGAACTCGCGCCCAGAGGCAAGTTCCGACCTGCTTCGTAGCTAGGGAGTAAAGCAAGTCAGTGTTTCAGAAGCGCTTGTTTGCCCCCTGGCGGGTGCCAGATTCTACATCGTAAAATACTGTCTGAACTTTACGGACTTACCGAATCATCACCATAAAAAAAGAAAATGAATTAGATCAATTATTTTCGTGACATTTTGCCAGAAGAATATCACTACTGCTCCGTTCGGAAGTTTATTTTTCAATGAATTTTTCAAGAATAATTACGAGTGGATGAAATTCATCTTTTCTTTTTGCAAGACTTTTCAACATCTTTTTGAGAATATGGCTTTGCCTTGCATTTCATCGAAGTAGTAGTCTTGCCTTTCTTTGTCTTTGTCTTCTTGGTGCAGTCTACTTTAATTTTCTTGACCGGGGTTTCTCCATCAGCGCACAAAAGGTAAGCTGAACAAGCGTTTTATAAAGACTTCCTCCTGTGATACGGTACCTGTGGCCTTATTTTTTCTTTCGTCGAACTTTGTCGTGAATTCAGGCGTTCCGGGCCAATTCTTCTTCTTTGCTTCTTTCTCGAAAGTACCATCTCTCAGAAGCTCGACGTCAAGTGGTGCATTTGGTGTTGAATTTTCATTCGATGATCTGCAAGCAAAGCCATGCCCGGACTGCAATAATGGTTGAGTTCAATTTAACGTGATTAAACCTTACCCATCCAGCATCGTTCTTTCTGTCACACGAAGTGCTCTGTCCCATATTTTCACCGTTGCAAACGAGATCACACATTTTGATAGAGCCTGATCCGGAGCAGTTCCAAGTACCCCCGATCGGTGGACGAGGGCGATCGGCATCGTGACACTTGCGACAATCTCCGCCTCTCAGTGCGGACTTGTTACGTTTCAAAATATTATTAAAACTAATGACGCGGATGGAATGAAATTGTCGCAACAGTGACTCAAGGTAGCGAAAAAGCGATCTATAGAAGTGTTGACAGATCACGAGAGCTATTTTAAAACGCATTCCTTTGACGGCTTAGACCACTTGCCTTTGGAGCAGCTTGTGATAACGCCTGTTCTACCTGCATCGTTGCAGACCCACTCGCATGACATGTCATCCGAGCAGTCCCAGGATCCAAAACCTTTTACGCCTTCAAACATGATCTGACCGGGATCGCAGTTGTCTGTGCTATCTCCATTGACGAACTTGTCGTATTCCGATGCGATCCACTCGGCGTAGTTTGACACTTTCATGTAAACGCCTTTATAGAGATTTTAACCGCTTTTGACCAAAATAAAAATTCAAAAAATGGTTGATGAATCTCTCCTGGAAGACCGGGAAGGGCACACTGCATTCCCCAACTGACGACTCCGTGCAAAACTGGTCGGTTGTCTTCGATACAAACAAGGGGTCCACCTGAAAATCAGACTAGGAATTAAGTTGAGATTTAACCATAATAGTATTTTCAACATAATGTTTATAATTTTTTATTTATGATGTATAATTGGAAAGCCTTTAACATGTTTAAACTCATTTAAAGTTGGATCGCAATAAAACTTTTTAATCTTGATGATCTTTTAATTTCCAAAATTATTTTTTTCTCATACCGGAATCTCCTTGGCAAGAGTCAACACCACCAGCCCAATTTCCGGCGCACATCATCGAGTCATACCAACTGTCTGGAACAACAAAGTTCGTATGGCTGTTTATCGTTATATATACTTTCCAGTACTCATGAAAACAAGCGATGGACTGTAGTTTTAAATAACGTGCCTTGGGGAGACTTCGCGGAGTTTGTTCTGAATGTTGGTGAAGCAAGTCGCGGAGTCGAGAATCTCAACTTCTGCTTCGTTGAGAACGGAAGAAGCCGACGAGCCGTCAGTTGACTGTGCGCCCCAGCCAGCGATGAAGCACTTTTTGCCAAGCTCAGCGGTTTCTTCGGCGGTACAAGCGGGCGCAACACCGGGATTGAACTCGATTTCTTCCGTTGTGAAGATCAGACACATGTCATTTTCAAAAGTCCAAAAGTTCACTTCAGGATGTTGCACAACCTTTGCAGCTTGGTAGACTCGAGAATATGGGCCGACAGGAGCATCGGGTGCGCCTTCGTCTCGGTAATGTCGTCCAATGCCCATTTCGTACTTTTGGGGATATCGATTGAAGTCCCAAGTACAGCAATGTCCGGCCGTGACGACTGTTCGAGAGTTGAGAACCGTTCCACCGCAATTATTCTCGTGCAAGAATGCGATCCATCGCCATGTTAGCTTATCTGCTTCATTTCCACCGATAATACGAGCATCCTAAGTTCGGTTTAATTTCTAGTTCTTGAATAAACTTCGGAAAGAATTTAGAGTTCGATAAGTTTCTATCTGTCAATACAGACTGTAATCGGGTCAGTAGTAAATACATACAGGAGAAATCAAACTTGAAGTGCTTGCTCACTTCTTTCGAAAAGCCCTTACCTCGGCAATACAACTCAAGTCCCCGGAAATGAGTCCTTTTATCTCCTCAAAAAATCTCTGCTGTTGCATAAATCTGTTCTGCTCCTCGTCACTGATCTCTGCTCCAAAAGAGAACCGCTCCTCTTCATTTTGAGCTAGGCCGAGTCCTAAAATTGCAGCAAGAAGTTTCATCTCTCCCCTGCGCGGATTAAAAAGGGAATGATTTGCTCAGATGTTATGTTACGGTGAGTCGTAACGCGAGACAGGTAGAATAAACGAGGCTGGTGGCGCACACCACCACCACCATCACAGTACCCATTGGAAACAAAATATATACCACACCAAAGATGTATCCAGCAATACACTGACGCTTGAGCCTATCAGGCTTATCTTATCGAATAAATTGTCTATAAAATTTTAAGAAATAATACTAATTATTTGTTTTTAACTCCGATATGTTCGTATTTTCCAGTCAGAACTAGAATTTCGAAAAATAGCCTCTTTTTAATCTGAAGGCAATAAATAACAGTACTTTGACGTCACTTTCAACCCCTCACCAGGTCGATGATTTATGCGAATGGGCTCGCATATTTTCACAGTTTTAAATAAGCTTGTTTTCTACCGCAGGGTAAATACAAGGTGCAGCTACTGTACGCACAGGTACTCTTTCTACATCACAAGCTCAAGAAGATGAATTTGCAGTCTGAAATTTATGAGCTGCGGCAGTCAGGAGATGTGCTACACACAGGATGCAAATAAATTTTTATCGTTTTGTCAGAACCTATTCAGAGTGCCCTAGAATACTCGAGCCATTTCAAAAAGATCGATCATTTTGGAGAAAACAGATAAAATATCGAAAAATATGCCGATTAGCAGATCAAATACAAGGCGACAGTCAATGAGAAGAATGTCTTCGTTCTCACAATCATCAGGTACCATCTACTACTGACAGAAAATTCAGACTCAATAGTTCAAGGAAGATTTGCCAATTCTAGTCTGAAAAGACGACCTCTGAGGAAAGACCCGACATTTTTCGGATTCGTTGCAAAAGTAAGTATCTTTAGATTCTAAAGTTTAGAAGAACCCCTTCTTATTGCTTTCAGTGCTTTTGGATCATGATGTTTATTGGAGTCACCTTCATTTCATTTGACAAATTGTCGAAGCTCCTCATACAAATTTTCTAAATAAACCAGTGCCCGAAAAACTCGCTCATTATTTCGCAAATTTTGCCGAAAAAAATCCTTTATTTCTCTAACAACGAAGATCAAAGCAACACTGTAAGCTCGGGAGGCATGATTAGTGTTGAATAAAGCTTTGGAGATCAACCTTTCGCTCGAATTACCCAAAATATTATACACGCATGATTTTTATGTGCTTCGTACGCCACCGCCGACGGGCAATTTAAGCATTTTCTTGGCGCCGGACTGACCATTTGAAGATATTTAGAAATTTTTAACCGTCAAAATAAATCTTTCTTCAAAAAGAAAGATGATTTTTAGATAGCAGAAGTTTTGTTAGAGACCTCTTTTTCTCGGAAAAAAAGATTAAGAAGCAAAAGGTGATTATTTTAACTATAAACAGGGAATATTGAGTGCGATCTAAAAATAAATGAAAAAAGTGATTCTGGTCATTGATACTAGTAGTAACGTATTCGGTTATTATGTAGTTGATGAACCAGAAACGTGTAAAATAAGCGTGACAAAAAATAAACGTGGAGAATCCGGAGGGCGATGATTGCAGCTGATCCCTCAAGTATCCGATCAGAAACTTTCAAACTTCTTTGTTGAGCTTGACGCCAACTTCAGACACACAAGAATCCGCCTATTCATTTCCCCCATTTTATTTCAGACCGTCCCTATTTTACCTTTTTCATCGGAATTTTTAAGGCTCGTCTGAAAATAATGAAGGTCAGCGAATGGCCTTGAGAGAACGAAGATTTTTAATGCAATCATAACGAGCCTCTCCTTCAAACTTTTCATAAGGTAAATTATGAATTCATGATTTATTCACTCTTAAAATCTTATTATAAATAGAAATCTTTTAATCTGCTCAAATTAAAATTGTTTTTTTTGTCTCTAGAATTTTTAAAAGAATAGTTAAAATAAAATATTTTGGATTCTTGTGTAGTAGAAAAATGACAAATAATCAAGATAAAAAGTATACCACTTCTTTAATTAAATATATTTTTATTTAAAAAAATTAAGGATTTCTCGGCCGAGAATGCTCCGGTTCTGTCTCTTCGCATTTCTGTCTTTCCAGGGTTTTTGGTTGATCAGTTCCAAAAGGCTCCAATCACCAAGATCCGCACAGGTATTGTCAATTCCACCAGATCAAGTTCAAGCGCTTCCTAACGAGATTGAACTTGTCAGTTTTCACTTACCCGGTTGATTTTGTGATTAGACGACCACAGGTGGAAAATTCTCGTTGACCACCGGCGCGCCAACTCTGAAAAAGATCCAAATGACGACCCTCTTGAAGATCTAAACGATGCTCGGGTAGGAAATTTTGGCAGGAGGACTTGATCTTGAAATGTTTATCCCGTTTAGGAAAGGACGCAGAATTGGCTCTTTGCGATGGACAACCTCTCGCCAGCAGCTTTATCAACTCTCAAGAAAGAGCTGGAGAAACGAGTTCACTCGGCGATGGTCAAAAGTAATCGGCTATTACTGTGCAAATCTAATGAGCTTTTTTCAGTCAATGAAACAGAAATCCTAAACGATGAAGAGAAAAAATTCAAGCGCGAATTGCTAACAATGTTTGTTGAAGAACTGAAAGGCTTCGTTCAAAATTATGCGGTGCAGGTGTTACCACAAGTACCGGCTTCTGTTTACCGATATCCAATCAATGCATGGTTCAAGTAAAAACAATGAAACAAAAATTTTGAACGCGCTTGAAAGAGTCTGAGCGCGATATGCAGAATGCTATTGAGGGGCTCCGGCGTTCGCTGACTTCAGATTTTCGGAATCCGTTGGAGCTCAAGGGAAATTCAAAGCACAGGCTGGATTTTCTGCGGGGCGCAACGATGCACGAGGAGCAAAGTTTCAACAAATTGAAGGGGATAGAAGATATGATGGAGAAGTACGACGCTCAGATCAATTCCATTGGTGTCTTCGACGAACTGCTGAAAGACGTCGCGAGAGCGGCAGACGTCCTGGAGGATAAAATTCAGGAGCACATCGTAGACACGCCGCTTGATGGGAGACAAATTGAAGCTGTCATGCATATTCGCGAAAACACCAACCCTGTCGTTCACAAAGAGGGAGTTGAAGATGATGACGAGCCGGAAATCGACTCTTCTGATGTTCTCGTCGACTCGCAGAATAATAAATACGTCCTCTCAAAGGTAATTTGAGAGAGTTACGGTATTTCTATCGTGAGCTTCTTTCTAGCCAAAAGATTCCACCTCGCCCTTGATTGACCACCATCTCGTAATGGACTTGATCACACTACTGTTGATGTCATTTCCCATGGGCGCGGTTTGCGAGCGTCTGGGTCTGCCACCACTTTTTGGCTACATCATGACAGGTGTTTTTCTTGGCCCGAGTGGCATCAACAACTTGAAATCGATGGTACAAGTGGAAACCATTGGCGAATTTGGCGTCTTTTTCATTTTGTTCTTTGCTGGTCTTGAATTCTCGCCGGAAAAGATAAGAAATGTCTGGAAAGTCGCCATTCAGGGCCCGATGATGATGCTTGGCCTTATGGTAAGAAATCATTGATTGTTAGTAATAAGTTAGTTATTTCAAATTTTAAGGTTTACGTTGGCATCACAATGGGATCGATGATTTTACACCAGATTCATATTAAAGAATATGCGTTTATATCAGGAACTGGTTTACGCTTGGCGGCGCTGTCATTTTATTCGTGAAATCTGATTGGCTCAAGCATTTAAACCATTAACAGCTTGCCTTAGTTTGAGCAGTACTCCACTTGTGATGAAATTTTTGGAGCGCAAAGAAAAAGAGCGTACTGACTCTCCTGAAGCAGAATGCTCTCAATATTTGATGGGCATGTTGGTTATGCAAGATGTTCAATTAGGTATAAGCTCTCTCCAGTGCGAACTTCTAAACAAGACCTAAATTGACCATAATGTTTGTTTTAGGATTGATAATGGCTCTTTTGCCTTCTTTGGCTGAAGGGTCTTCTAGTGAATCTTCAAATGATATTTTCTTCAACTTTGTCAAAATCCTCTTCCAAACATGCTTCAACTTCTTCTGTGTGATGATCATCTTTTACCTCTTCTACCGATTCGTCATCAGCGCATATCTCAAGCTGCTGCAGATGTTTTCAAAAGAAGTCGAAGTTCTCGGAACTACTTCTGTTATCTTTGCCATGCTCTTGACCACTCAATGGTTTGGTATCTCGATGGAGCTTGGCTGCTTTCTTGGGGGCTTTCTTATTGCTCTTAGCAACAGTTCCTGCTCCGAGAATCAGGTCAGTTCAAATTCATTAATTGATCAGAGAAACATCCCAAAAATGACGTCGTAAGAGCTAATTTATCTAGGGATTAAATTAATTTAATTACTGGGTCAGTGATTGCAATTTTCTGGAGGTGAATTCTCCGCTCTAAATCAACCCTCCTAGGCAAGGGATTAGATTAATTCGTTAATTAATAATAACAGATTGAAGCATGACAGTTGCACATGCTTGATAACTCACAACAAACCGTCCGCTGGGAGTAAATCCACTTCTTTTCGTGTTTTCGATAATAAATGGCTCTGATCAGTGCGAATTTTAGGTCCACGAAATTGAAAAATCCGTTGGTGGAATGCGCGATCTCTTCTCGGTGGTCTTCTTCGCCACGATTGGATTTCATGTCTTCCCGTCTTTTGTCGTCGGTGAGCTTACTGTGCTTCTTCTACTGACGTTTGTTGTTGTTGGAGTCAAATTTGTGATCAGGTAAATAAACTTCAAGACATTTCAAAAAAGTCTGCACCCCAAATAACTGCACCCTCCCAAGTTAGCAGATGCTTTTATAATTTAAATCCTCCTTTATCTTAGAACAAATTTGTTTCAAGAAATCTTGTGTAAGGCTGCTAGCATAAATTATCCTTAGCGTTCCAAAATATCCCCATATGAATTCCCGAAAGCAATCTCATTTGGCTCTCTTTCAGGCGCTTCCTTGTAAGATCTAACCCTTTTCTTTGCCAGTGTGATAGTTCTCCGTGTCCTGTTGCCGCCAAAAGGACAGCACTTGCGCTGGCTCCTTTCATCTGGTCTTGCTCAAATCTCCGAGTTTTGCTTCGTCCTCAGTTCGCGGGCTCGGCGACTGAAAATCATTTCGCGTGAGGTTTACCTGCTCATTTTGCCAAGGGATTCAAAAACAAGCCACCATCGTTGCTAAAATTGACAGCGTTTGACAGACTAAATCAGAATCATTTTCGTTCCTTTCGAACATGGGAGCGGTCTGAAATTTCAACCCAAAGATTTTCAAAAAGAGCCAAATTTGAATCCCTAAAAGTCAACCACCACGCTTTCCCTGCTTCTTGCTCCCGTTCTATGGAGAATGTCAATTTGGAGCTTTCAAACTCGTCGTCGACGGATGAGTACTGTAGATAGAATTTAAAATGTTACTAAAAATTAACTGATATCTTATTTATTTATCATTATGCAAAAAGCCCGCCCTAAAGCCCAAAAATGTTAATTATTTTTAACAGTTTTAAGCAAATCATTTCAATATATGATATGATTAATCAAATTATTTATATTCAAATCAATAAATTGTTTATCTTCCTTGTCTTTTTAATAAAAAATATTTTTATATATATTCCTGCAACAAAGCTTTTACTGTTCTAATATTAAACCATATCTTCATCAAAGTTCAAACTTATTTTAAACTTTTTAGAAACAAAACTGTTCACACAAAATTGTATTTTCTGTATAATAAATAGAATAAATTAAACTTGAGAAAACAGAAAATCTACTTTGAATAAATAGTGGCCTGAGGAGCCGGAGAAGGAGAGCAGATTAGGGATGCCTTTGAGACGTTGTTTTCTACTTGAAAGCCACTTCTTTCAAATGCGATATTGTAATTGGGGGTTAACCTCGTTCGATTACTAGCAGACTCATCGTTATAAATATAAATCCATTAATTATGCATGACTATATATTCCTAGATTTAGGTTGACATGCCCTTATGTTATCATTAATTCATCACTGTCAGCAGGCAAATCCTACCAAAAGAGGAGAAACCCACTATTCGAGGATAAAAACAGATGGCGCCCGAGATTCTCAAAAAGCAGCAATGCAACCAGCAGCGCAACACGAGTTAGGCACACGCCCTTGGACGAGACTCAAGGCACCATCGACCAGTTATTTTGTAAACAGCGAAAGAGAGATAATTAAGATGCGACCAAATTGAAAATGATTTTTTAAAAACGAAAGAGCGATAATTATTTGAAGAAAAAAAACTTCCGACAATGGACAAAAATGGAACAGGTTTGCGAAGATTTTATAAAATTTAATAATTATATTTCAATATAACCTAATATCATCATTATCATTAATATCATAAATTATGAGTCATAATGCTAAAGAAACACTCTTCTCAGTTTTCTTAATCAAATAACATCGATAAATCAGAATTATAAGCAGTAAATTATGTCCAACAAAATAAACTGATGAACAAGACTGCTGGATTAGTGTCTGGTCTGTCTGTTAAATTTCATTCGTTCTTTGATTTTAGATACAGATGGACCCCAAAATGTCTTACAGACGAGCATGGCTGGCCTGGCTATCTTCGTCATTGTCCTCACTTTTATGATTTCATGCCGACGTTGTCTAATGAAGCCTTGTGGAGCTACAAAGTAAGAACTACAGCAAAAAATGGATGCAAAATATCGATATTTAAGGGCTGAAAAAGATGCAGAGCATTCCCGTCAAGCCAAACGCAGGTAAATAAGAATTTATCGTAAAGAAATGTGACACAGCTTGGTTTCAGTGCCTCAAGAAAATTAGAAGAGTCAAAGGATCTACGATCATCGCTAGAATCTATTCAGTCGTTGGCTTGAATCCATTTATGAATTCTTTTTGTCTAACTCCGCATTAATTATTTAGACACTTTCAATAAAATTCGACATTTATGAATTCCTCTAAAGGGGGAAAGGATTTTACTCTTTGAACAAGGAATAGTTATGTAGTTCAAGTGCTTTTGCGCATTTTTCTTCTATTATTTTGATCGTTTGCCGGTCCAATCGCGCTCTCCATTTATCCAAGCTACGTCGGACATTCCCTGATGTCTTGAATTTCTTATTTTCTTCGATACTAAACATTATTGTTAAAACTCATTGCTGGTCGCATATATTACCTAGCAAGCCAAGTGTTGTTCGAAATGAAATCATCTATTGACTGCTGATAGTCCAGTTGAACGAAGTTTAGGATGTCTTTTGCTTGTTCTCGTGGATGGAGAGCCACATCTTTGAAATATTCAATAGCGTTGTTTGTTATCTTACCTTCATATTTAACAAGTTTCGTTTTCAGGGCTAGATTTTTGTTCAGTTTGAGAGTCTCGTGATTCTAATTTGAGTTTTTCGTCTAATGAAAGGGAAGAATATTAACTATTTATATTCTAAAACATTCCTTTTCAAGATTCAAGCAGAGCTCCTCGATATCATCTATGAGCTCCTTCTTCGTTTTGCCGAGCCCCCTTTCGCGATATTCATCTGATGTGAAGATTTCCATCCTGCTTTGGAAAACGGCTCTAGGGCATGAATAACATTTTAGCTCCGGAGTCCGGTCCCTGCTCTACCTTGGATCACGCACAAGATAGACCACCTGGAAATTGAAAACTGGCAGGAGTAGAAGATTTTGCAGGCTCTAAAGGAAACTCTACTTTAGTCCGGAAGATGGGACAATTTGTCCTAGCATAGGATTTCAGCTCATGCAAAAGTATGAGTAAACTATGGGAAGTTTCCATCCTGATCCTGTATCCGAATGGTTTTTATGACTCGAAGATGTTTCAGGCAATTCCGTATCGCACGCCTCTATTTTATTCAAAACTGAAATCATAGAAGAGAAAAATGATTCGAGATATCCCTGTGTAACATAGTCTATGTAGTCTGTGTTACAGTAAAATAGAGTAATTTCACGAGTTTGTTTATGAATCTTTCCTTGTTACAACTGGCTTGCATTTAACATAGCAGTTCATGTATTCATGGCTAAAGTCTTGGTAGCAAAACGGCATTTTACAGAGCCTCCGACTTTTCGCCCGAAAAACGAAATTTCCCCGAAAATCCATTGGACGGACCGCGGCGTCTTCTGGATTACGTTCCCTTACGCGATCTCTTCAAACAATTTCCTTATTTTTGATGACGTTCGTTTCTCCTTATATATATTTTCTGGGATATTTTTTGAGACTCTTCCTAAAATCCTCCCAAGATAGATCTTGGCTCCGCAAGGGCTAAGTGGAATTTCATGACATAGAGAGAGATTAAGCTTAGAGAATATTGAGTATTTTTTCTTCCTCTACTTCGATTTTCAAGCCGTTCCTATATCTATCCTTGAACTGACATTTCATACTTCTAGCCAGATTTATGATGCATCTTGGCTGGTCTATCTTGCACAGCTGGTTGTGAGGATGAAGCGGCTCGAACTGGTAGAAGACATCGCTGTGTTCGTTGAAGAACTCGCCAAGAAAAGAGCTTCCAGATCTCATATAGCTTTTGCGTTTTCAATGATTGTTCATCTTTCTTTGTCATATTCACTTGTTTATTTTGTTTTTTTTTTTTCGAAAACTCCCTGAATAGAATGACGGAACGGTCCAAATTCCTCTCAAATCCTGACATGTATGGCGTTGCTGATGGTGGTGGTGTATTCACTCAAAATATTCCCTCTTTTCTTTGAATCTGCTGCATCAAGCCTCACCTGTTTTCGCAGCTTCTAATTCCTTCCTCTTTAGCAGAATATTTCTATAATGCTTTAGGTAAATAAGTCCCTGATAAACAAAAAATAAAATGAGCCAGGAATAACTGACTGCATAAAACAGCTTTCTCAAAAATCTCATATTTTCAATATTTTTATTTTGATCCCATTGATGATCCCCCTTGGCTAAGAATGCGCGATAAAATCTACCGGTGGGACGCAAGTTTTGCATTAATTATAAGATAGAAAATTGTTTAACCAGTCGTTAATTAAGATATTCTAAAGTGAGCTTATTAAGCTCCCATTGCGCGATCAGAAGAACCAAATTGGGAAAAAATTTGCGCTGTCAACATCAACCCTTTCGGCTGATGAGTGCGCCGCGCACCTGTACCGTTCCAATGATTTCTAATGAATCATAATTGGCCCCTTCAAATATCTCCAACGTCTCCAATTAGAAACTGTCACGCCGCAATTGTCGAATCTTTTTCCGACTTTTTCTGAATTAATTTGCGGCGAATTGACACTTCAATTTGTCTCTTCTTGAATCATCCTCGTCCACCGATTCTTTATGAATCATTTTTGATGATGAACATCTACTAAAATCATAGTTGTACTCTTCTTTGTCTTCAGTGCCAAGAGCATTATCGTTCGGATCCTCCTGACATTCATTACGGGTAGATTGGCCCGAGGGAGTAAATTCTCTCCCAAACCATTCAGGAAACTTTTACATAAACACGATTGTTCAACAGAGAGAATGGAAACTTTACCATGGCTAGGGCTCCCAATCTACTTTTACTTGAAATACGTACACGTTGAATATATTTTGAAGCCGTAAAAAGATTGTCGCCGAGAAGATCTTTCGTCTATTACCTGATTTGAGCGACGAAAAGTTCTTTTTCGCCCTTCTTCATGGGAAGAACTCATATCTTATTTCAGAAAGAACAAGACGAAATATCTCAGTCGATATTGCCTTATACATAAATTGCAATGAAAAGTTTCTCCCCGTCGAAATATCAAATTTATACAAAGATGCATTCGATAAATTTTGTACGGAAGTACTTGTAGACATCAAGAGCGAGGTTGATCACTTTCACGAGAGCCACAACCTCGGGGTCTCCGGCAGAATTGCTTCTGCAAGAAAAAGGAAAGGAGCTAATTTTCTCTTCTGATAAAAATTAAAACACATAGAACTCCTTGAAGCAAAGTAGAACTTATAGAAACAACTCCACTCTCGACATTCTTCTATTCCCGCAAAAGCTTTATGAAAATTTTCAATGGAAAAGAATCAACGAAAAAACTGGCGCTTCTGAAACAGAACTCTTTTCTAAAAAACTTCGACGAATCTCAGAAAATTCTTCTCGAGAGGCTCATCACTTTCTACTGACGCGCTTTTTTAAGGTGGTGGAAGTTTTCTAGCCCACTTCCGCCATACCGACCCTGGAACACCATACCTTTTCTGAATCAGCAGAAAATTTCAAGAATTTTGACCCTTTAAAATCCTAGAAAAGTCCACTTCCGGTCGATTCTAGAGCCGGAAGTTGACGAAATTTACGTGAAAGGGTGAAGTGTGACCTATCAAATTGATGCTCAGACGATTTCCTATCATTTAAGAAAAGAATCAGCACGAACGGAGATTAAACCAACAAGAAAAAACTGAAAAAAAATTGATCATTTTATGCCTTTTTTACATAATTTTACCAGTCGGTTTGACCACGTTTGAGACAGTTTCTTCTGACATATTGATTGTATGATGAGTCAAAATCTTCTGAGCATCAATTTGATAGGTCACACTTCACCCTTTCACGTAAATTTCGTCAACTTCCGGCTCTAGAATCGACCGGAAGTGGACTTTTCTAGGATTTTAAAGGGTCAAAATTCTTGAAAATTTCTGCTGATTCAGAAAAGGTATGGTGTTCCAGGGTCGGTATGGCGGAAGTGGGCTAGAAAACTTCCACCACCTTAAAAAAAGCGCGTCACTGTGAAAATAAATAAACAGTTTCGCCGAGTAAAAGTATAACGAGCAAATCATTTCAACAACTAAAAATACAAAAATGATCTATATCCTGATTCAAAATTGAAACGCTGGGAAACTCAAACGTCAATGGATTGCGGAAGCTCAAGAATTTTCCACATTCCAGAGCGTTCATCCAGCGTCCCAATCCGAAAATAATCATTTTCCATTCTCGCCTAAAATTTCGCCACAAACAAAACAAGGACAAATATTTCCATTTGTATTGAAATGAATAATATTCAAGGGAAGAGCGAGTTCTCAGGCAGATTAGACAGTATGAGGCCCACTAGAAGACGCAGCAGGAGACGGGGCTCTGGACTAGGATTAGGTGCGCATTCGCAATGGGATCTGAAGAGTCTCTCTGTCAACTCAGCTTCCTTTTTGGGCATTTTTCTCAGGCATAATGAGATTTATGAGAATATAACTTTTTTGAGACTCAAAATTTTCGCTATAAAAATGCAGTTTTTTCTGTTTTTTCAGAACTCTTTATGGAGAATACTGTTAGAAAAATCTGTAATAAAGATTAAGTATATTTAAGAATCTCATTTCCTTCAGTAATATTTCCACGACTTTCCGGCCAATCGAAAGCAAATGACTGGAATGATGTGATATAATAATCCGTAATTGAGCTCAAGGATCAAAATTGGGCCAAATTGAGCATTCAAACTGTCAAAATTTAATCTCTTTCCTGATTCTCATCTTTTCTGCCAGCTATTTTCATTGATCATGGAAAGAAGCACTCTTCGAACATCAAGAATAGTATCATTACTGTAATTTGACATAAATAGCATGAGCTGATCCCTGCGACATCATCCGTCACGAATCAAGTGTTGAAAAAGGAAGGAAAAGGACCAAAGTTCCAGAAGATTAGTGGGAACACGCGCTAGGGAAAGTGGGAGTTCAGAATACTCGCATACCAAATTTTTATGAGGCGAAGTCATTATCAGCTTATTCAATCCAAAGTGGACAGCTCTTCCCTGGAAAGAATCCCGACTCGAGTTGAGAATCTTAAAATATTCTTATTGACTCCAGACTCTAGTGACCAGAGTTTGCGTCAACTTCCGTCAATACGTCAGAATCGATAAAGAATTAAGCCATTGGAAAGAGTCGTAGAGCATAGGGCGCTATAAAATTTTTGAGTTCTCGCTTCATTCTTTGTCTTAGCAGAGAAAAGCAGGTTTCTTTGGATGAAGAAGCTGATAAAAACATCGCCCTATAACGATTTGGTATGCGAGCATTCTGAATTCCCCCCTTTCTTGAGGCATAATCATTAGGCTTTTGGGATTATGTAGCCATAATTTCGGTTAAATGATGAATATGAATTAATTAAATGACACGTTAGCTAACTAAGATCGGAAAGGTCTTTCGATAATGAGTAACTGAAACTTTCAGTTATCAGGAGCAAGATTTTACACATCCCTACTGGGAGTCTCTGGAGCCCCCGCGTGGATGAGGAGCTCACTAGGGAGCGCCTCAGGAACCAACATATCATTAGTGAATCTTGCCAAAATTCTAAATACTCGAAATTCGACAGCAAAACGAACTCATTTTTTTTCTCATTTATCCGAAATACTACAGATATAATTAACGATATGTCCAGCTTTGAAGAGGAGTCCCTCGCTGCAGATAACAGGGAAAGTCTCCACTGCTTATCAGGTACTAATAGAGACAACTCAACAAGTGATAAAGAGCTGCATAAAGATTGATCTAAAAATTGTGTATCTAATTGCAATTTACAATTATCTGATGATTGAATTTGACCATCAGCGAAGAAGATGAAAATTATTGAAAATGCCATTTCCGATGCAAGTGTGCGCTACGCGCTTTTTAATAGGAAACTCATTGATCGAAAGTGTTTTACTTTTATTGTTTCACATTTATTGCTCAAATGAGAGCGCGCGAAAAATTTTGGAATATCTCGAGGAGGAGATTTTACGCTAGCGAAAGGATCAATTAGCGGCTCAGCCGGGCTCATGGCTCGGAGGGAAGAGCTTGCTCCGGCTTTGCGAATTGGAAAGAAGGTGGAATAAGTGCGAATTCCGTATGGGATCAAGCGCATAGTAATTTTCCTCTCACGCAAGTTTACTTCTACGAGTTCGTTTCTTTTTTTTTTGCCATTTTTCAACCATATCTTTGTTCCAGATTCTGGATCGTTCATAATATCCTACAGGTAGTGACTCGAGGAATTCGATATCGATAGTAATTGTGATCGGATGCAAATTCCTCATCACTACTACATTTCGAACTTTGAAAGGCATTATCCGCCTTGTTGTTTTCCCAGCGCCAAATTGGGAGAGTTATCAAAACTTTCACCGATTCGCTCGAATGTCGATAATCGCCGTCAAATGATTGTGAGTTGCTCCATTATCCCACGTTAGGATTCTTCGGCGAGCTTCCCACAATTGTTCCTTGTAATCACATCCTCACACGCTGTACTTACGACTTTCCAGGGATTAAAATCTTTGGTCGTCAATATTTTTTTTTGCACAACTTCATTCCATTTCTAGGAGGAACGGGGAGAGACGCTGACGGCGGGATGAACCAAGAGGAAAATGGAGAGGACGACCAGGAGAGATCAGGATCGTTGATTAAATGCGAAGAATGTGGAATCTCCTGCGCTGGAAAGAGCCACTACGATGTTCACATTCGATCTCACACGGGAGAGCGACCTTATATTTGCAAAGTCTGCGGATTCGGATTCACCCAAAAGGTAGTTCGTGAAGCTAGAATTTCAGCATTATGATATTTTTAAGGGTAATCTAAGGAGACACATGAAAATACACTCTGACGAGAAGCCGTTTGAATGCTCCATTTGCTCCTACAAATGCCGAAGGCGCGATGCACTGAACGGACACATGAGGATACATTCCGGTACGATATTTTCAAATGACAAATTCTAATTTATTATGCCCAATTCTTGAAAACAGGATGAAAAGGCGCGCTCAGTGCTTACGTAGCGCAGTAAATCAAAGTTTTCTTGTATTATGAAGGAAACTTAGCGCCCCATCTAAATCAGAAGGATCCATACTTCGCCGTCCGTCTTCACTTTACGCGAAGAGTTGTCACCTCGGTCCCAAATTCCTATGCTAACGCGATCCCTACACGCATCGCTCTTTTTCCGTAGAGGCTCATCGCAATCAATCCCTGGAAAAATTATTCACTAATGATTATTTTAATATATTTCTAAACATCTTGCCCATTCGGTTCCCTTTCCACGAGGCCGATAATTTGACAGAGCATAATTATCCAGTGCCGCTATTTCCGCAGGGAGCGATGATTATTCTTTGATTTGAAATGAAAAACGAAAACGGAATCCCATTGGAATTCGAAATCGACCACCATTACCAAGCATTTTGTCCAAAGCGGCAAAGATTCAATTATCCTAGCTGGGAAGCGAAATCCAACCGCAAACATCCGAACGCTGCTTTCTAGCGTTTGTGTTGGAAAAATTACATCCCGAAAGTAAATTCCAGAATTCAATTTAGCGATTGATCTCTTGCCCGTGAAAGGCGCCGCGTGGTGGTGCCGTCTTCCGCCAATCAGATCGCGCGCCTTTCCAGATTTTTGATAACCAAGCTCAAGTTTATGATCAACTTCAGATCATCGCCCGTTTCGATGCAAGTTCTGCGACAGAAGCTACAAAAGCCGCCAGAGCATGAAAGAACACGAGCTCGCTTGTACGTACAAAATCAGCAAGCCTCTTCACGAATCCCTACGCGACCGAAACAGCTCTTTGGATCTTACTGAGCCCCTACAAGCCTCTCCCATCCACCATCCTGTGATTTCCCAGTCACATTCCTTGCTCAACACCTTGCCTTTTGGAAACATTAGTACGTTTGCAGCGAACAATCAGTTGAACCAATTTATGATGTACCAAAATTTATTTCCTCACCAAATTGCTGCCCGATTTCGAAGCCTTGCCGAAAATGCTCTGCAGGAAAAACGGAACGGGTAAAAAGAAATGTGTAGGAGAAAAATTCATGTACTTTTAAGATACAATTCCCATGTCTTATACCACAAAGATCAGTTTCTTCTTCTACTAAATCTTTCACAAAAAGCGAAGATGGTCTTCTACCTGGACAAAATCATGCGAAGCAAGACGAAGAAGAAAATCATCATAGAATGCTTAGCACTGAGCGAAATTTGCTGACTAGTCAAAGTACGGAAACAAAAATCCCTGGCGAGACTCTACTCCCCAAATGTCGTAAGCGAAGTCGTTCTGAAGAATCTGACACAGAAACGTAAGATGATGTATGGAAATTTTTGCTGAAGTATTTTTAGTGAACCTGCGACAAAACGCTCCAAGGAGTCGGATGAAGACAACGAGGAGGTGATTGTTGACGTGCGAAATCCAGACAGCTGCTCAGAACACGAGTCAGAGCACGCTCCAACGAATACTGACATAAATCACGAGAATTCCGAGCAAAAACACCCTCGGATTCATCAAAAGACGAAGATCTCATTGTTTATGTAAAGGGAAAACGAACAGTTATCTATTCTTGTCACATCTGCGACTGTTTCTTTCTCAAAGAGGTAGGATCCTCTTTTAATAATCATCCCTTCATCGTTATTCAGTCTGCACATTCCATACACATGGGAGCACACATGGGAAGTATTCGAAACCTACAAAATCCTCTGCAACTGGGTAAGCAAATAACCGGTGCACTTGCTGTTGGGATTCACTGAAGAAGTATTTCTGATAAAGAACGTTCATTCTCTGTATTTATTACTTCTGTAAATTTATGCTGTACTAAGTTCGTGTAAAGACATGCATTTGACTTCAAAATTCTCAAAGCTTGATGAGTGTGACTTAACATGTGTGCCTCTTCGACTCTAACAAGACTAACTCAAGTTTTGTTTGCTTTGACAATAATAATCAAGCGAAGAGAAAATGGAAGCCGGCAACGAATAAAAAAGCTCCAGTTGATAATTACGCCCATCGAATAATTCATCCTGGCCGAATATATTTTTGGAAAAGCAAAACTAATTGAGTACTAGTAAACAAAGCTTCGTCAATCGGTATAATGTTTGAAGTTCAAACTTTGCACAAATTGAATCATTTTCTATTATATATTTGTTAATTATATATTGACACAGAATTTAGGCACAGAGTAAACAGTATTTTGAATATACTTTTTTTGAAGATTTTCAATGCAGTGATTAGGTAATAATTTATCATAAGTTAGCAAGACAGAATTTGTGTTGGACTGAGTTAGAAAAACGTTCTATACAAGGTATGTTAAAAAGCTAGCGACAATTATTAAAAAGTGTGAGCCTTTGTTGAAATCTCTAGTTGCGCCTGATCCGCCACTCTCACTCTCTAAATCGATGATTTCCGAGATCGACGAGTTTCCACGGAAAGCGCCTTCCACGACGGGCGGCGCTGATGCAGTTTCTTCGGGTTCGATTTCGAGATAATCCTTTAAAGGCGTTATAAGGAGTTAAATTGTAGTCTCTTACATAATTTGCAGGTAGCCAGTGTTGAGGTTCTTTTGTTGGTTTTGTTCGCGGTGTTGTCTATGATAATTGTAAACACACAATCAGGTACAACTCATACCTTTGTGAAAACAATTTTTCTCGTTGAAGCGGTAGTCAACAATTTCTGTGGAGTTCGAGCAGGGGTTCGTGGACGCATCGTCGTAGTGGCAAGAGGAAGAGGTGTCCAAACTGGACGATTGAATGAAGCAGGAGTTGCAAATTTGAATTTAGTTGTTGACTTGGTTGTTTTCGGAGTAGTCGTCGTTTTCGTTTTTGAAGTAGTAGTTGTTGTTGTAGTTGTTGTTGTGGTTGTCGTTTTGGTTGTGGAAATAAATGATGTTGATGTTGTTGTCGCACTTGTCGGTGAAGTTTTTGTTGACATAGTCGTTGTAGATTTTGTCGTGGTCGTAGTTGTTGTTTTCGAAGTAGTTGGTCTTTTCTTTGGGGGCTTCGGAGATGTTTTTGGTGTGGAAGGGACGGTCGTTATAAATGTTGCTAGTGTAGTAAAGCCAGCTTTCGTTGACAAATCCGGCTTTACTGTTGATAATTTCGGTCGAGAAACTATTTCTACTGCTTCATCATCAAAAATTTCAAATCCATTCAGCAACTCTGGATCAATATCACCGATCAAGACTGTCTGCCCGCTTCCTTCTTCGAAAAGGCTTTCCGTCTCATCTTCTTTACTTTCCTCGGAGAGCGGTTCGAAGAAATCTTCTATGACATCCGTACTCTCCTTTTCATTATTTTTCTGTTTGTTTTTAATTTCACTAGGCCACATTGGAGGAGTGCCCTGTTCTTTGTTTTTCTGTCGCTCACTGGGCCAAATGGGAACTGATTCGTCGGGCTTCGATGTCGTTGATGCAACTGAGGTAGTAGTAGGATCCTCTGTAAAGAACTCTGTCGTACTCGTCGGTTCGACTGTTGTATACTTGAATATTACGTGAGGAAACATATGGTTAGATAATTTTTGGCACCTGTGTTGTTGAAGTTGCGATTGTTGTTGTTGGTTCTTCTGTTGTTTGATCTGGAAATGATGTTTTCTTCACATCTGTGGATGTCGGAATTGTTGTTGTTTTTGTTGCTGTCGTTGTAGTTTGTTCTTCTGTTGTTGCGCCAGATGTTGTCTCTGTTTCTATTGTGGTTGTCGGTAGTAAAGTTGTAGTAACCGATATTGTTGTTGTGGTAGCTATGGTTGTTGTTTTTGTCGTCGTCGACGTTTTCGTAGTTGTCGGTGTAGTTGTCGATGTGGTAGTTTTTGACGTGGATGTTGTCGATGTTGTTGTAGTTGTGATTATGGTTGTCGTTGTCGTTGTTGATATGGTTTTCGTCGTTGTAATTTTTGTAGTAGTGATCGTTCTTGTCGTTGTCTTTAAAGGAGCTTTTGGCGTCGTTCTAGAGGGAGATGCGGTTGCAGATATCGATGTTCGGAATGGATTTTTTGGCCACATGCTATCCCCTTTTGTTGTTTGAACAGGGGATTTTGATGTTGTCAAAGTTGTTGACAATGTTGTGGCCTTTGTTGGATCGAGTTGCTGCTCTGAGAGAAGTCGCTGTTTGTAGAGCGCAATTCGTTCCGCCTAAATCGAACTTTTAGTCGCGTCTTTTCTACTCCCATTAGTTGATCTCATAAATCAGCTTGTTGCCGCCTAGTCGGTGAGCAGAGCCGGATTTTGAAGAAAAAAACTATAGATTAAAACATTAAACTCGAGTTTCAAGGGTTTTATCCGAATCTGCGCTTTGAGATTTCATTTCACTGCAGCCCAAGACCGCAATTTCGATTTCAAACGGGCCCTTGAGCGTGCGGTCCAACGTGACATTTATAACACTTATCATCATTCTCAATAAACGTAGTTCGGTAAAACAACGTTTATGTTTACCATCAGAATTATTTTTTGGGAAATGAGATTTATTTTCAAAAAAAATGCATCTAGTCATTACCTTCCGCAGTTTTCTCCGCTCTGTAGTTGAAGAAACGGTTGTTTTTGTAATTGAGGTCGGCGTCGGTGAACTGCTCGCTACAGTTGAAGCTTGAGGCTGGGTAATATGTTCAGGTGCGGTGTCTTGATCCTTCGTAGGATTTTCCGGAGAATTGTCAGCTGCGCGGCTAAGAATACTAAGTGTCAAAGAGTTCGGCAATGCGGCATTTCAATTGGCTTATCGCATCGTGATAGAATTAAACTAATCGTGTTTTCGGGATGCATGAAAATCTGTATTTAGTGTATCAACTTGTTATCGCGAACTGATGATAGGTGCCACCGAGTGCGGCCTTCTTATTAATCACTTTCCATCATGGTACTGGATGGTTAGTTAGACGCCCAACTCGGTTTTCTTATCGATAAAATGTGGAGGGAATTGATATTTGAGAGCGGTTGGAAAAGCAAGAAATTAGAGGATGCTGCAGTCGGAAAATTGACTGTAGACTGTTTTGATAAGCAATTTTCGTTTTCCGATCGGGCACTTACAATACTGGAAAAGACACTTCCGGCAAAGACTCGTCATCATCATTGAACACTTCAGGATTCTCAGTAACACTCTTCAATTCTCGCTCAAAGAACTCGCCAAAACCAGAGCCCTCGAGGAATTTTTCATCGTCAAGCAGCAGCTTGTCGAAGCGCATTCCGCGGGCGAATCTGGGGGGCTTTCTTTTTCCCGTGACCATGGCTAGTGCTGGTTTCATCTTTTTGTTTTGGAGACATGTTCTACTCTTGTGGGCCCCAAGTTGTGGGGAAACTATCTCTTACCGACTTGTTTAATACATAATATATTTTCATTTATCTTCAATTGTTTTAAAATAAGTTTTTTAACATGGAGTTTCAATAAAAATTCAGATACCATAAACCATAAGGAAAACCCATAAGCCGGTTCATATTGACAGTAAGATGGATTGATTGTTTTTAGACTTATAGAAACCAGAACCTATAAAGAAAAGGACCAATATTCGGACTTCCATAATTTTCGTTTCTCTATCATATCCTTTTCATGTCTCTGTCTGTTTAAATTGCGACTTTTGTTTGTTTAAAAAAATATTTGCTCAACTTCTGAAAAAGGGCTCAAAAGAATGTTTGGTGCGCCTGGGGCTGCTGCTAGTCCGGCGGCGGTGGAGAGATCACCGCACCCAGATCAAGTAACCACCCAAACGCACCAAACTGTAAAAATGAAACACCACGAACGCCACCGGCTAAGACACACTTAACACCCCCAATACCACAGAATAAACTCTTTTACGCAATTTTATCACAACCTCATTAAAGACGAATTTGCTTAGACGCTTACCAGCTGAATGCTTCTAGCGCCGCCGCAAACCCGATTCTACCTGTCAGCTTGCCGAATTAGTGGCTTTTTAATCGCCGGAACTGATGCATCCTTGGTTGAAAGTGTGAACACAAGAACTAAGGGTCGAGCAGGCAGAGTTTATTTTAGGCGCTGATTGAACTTTTACAGAGGCACTGGAGTAATATGAATATATTCATAGCGTCAATAAGACGATTCTTGGTCACTGTTAGTAGGTTCTTCTGTCTTTGAAAGCCTTCTCGACTGGAATATCGGAGCCAATCTGTTGAGAGATGATTGTTTTGTGGCGTGTTTCTGGCCAGTTTTCTTTCTCTGCGACATTTGCTGAATTAGAGTTTCTAGTAAAAATTATAGGGGTCGTTTTACTTTAAGAGTTTGCGATTGTTTGTTTGGTAGTTCGATCAAACTCGTGATGGTATTCGTGTATCCGCCAGAGTGTACTTCTTCGTCAGAATTAAGCGATATCGATTCTAATCATTTTGCGATATATTTTCTCAACTAAGCTTTCCTACCAGTTCTCGATTTCTTCCCAAGCTCTACTCCTAAAGTTCCCTCGAGAAGTTCCTCCAGACGCTCAAGCTGGTCATTAAGTCGTTTTGAATCATCACTAAAGTATGAAGAATTTGAGAGTTTCCTTGCTGAAATGAAGCTTACCGGACAGACGAGTACAGATCACTTATCTCGCTCAACACCTGAGGATTGATTTTCCTCGAGACTTCATCCTCGTCATTTTCCGATTCAGAAGATTCGGAAGTTGGTTCAGTTTCAATCGCATCGCTTCTTTCGAGACCTTTTGAAGAGCCAGCAGGGGAAAACTAAAAGTTTCAATGAATATTTGTAGCACTTTTGAATTACTTGTACTTTTTGCTCTTCGTTATTTACTTCGCTTTTCATGGGAAGTTCTTTCTTTCGCTCGTCTGTTACTTCTTCCATCGAAGCTCCGGGAATTAACCCCATTGCTCCATCATTAACAGCAGCCGCTTTATCACAGGTCTTAATCCTTCTAACGCCGCAAGTTACGTAACGTTAACTTGCGCCCGTAAGATAAGCCGCCGCCTCTTTAGGCTAAGCAACGGTTAAGACCCCTTTCCTAAAATACTCGAAATGCCACCTTTGACGCTATCTCCGGCTACCAATTTCTGCTTTTTGCGTTTAATCTTCCGGAAATGAACACTCTCGCAAACGTTGACGGCGAGTTTGAGCTCGCGGTCGAAAGATTTCGCGTAATCGTTGTAAAAACCAAGCACTTTCTTGAGCGAGGCACGTTTGATCACGTGAATGTCGGTGAAACTAAGCGCGCGGATGTAAACCACACATTTCGCTGAAAAATTCGATCACCATCAATATCGTTTTCTTGTTTACCTGGGCCGTGGGAGAGCGGTCTTCTCCAAACATTATCTCCGAATGCATCCCCATTGCTTAGAACCGCTATTACTTCTCCGTCCTGTAGCACTTCTAAAATTCCCCTTGCTACAAAAGAAAGCTCGTCCACATATTCTCCTTTGTGGTAGACAATGTCTCCGGCCGACACGTGAATCGTCTGGAATTCTAGAGCCAGCGATCGAAGACATGCATCGGACGCCTCCAGGAAGCACCTGTGTCCGTTGAAAACTCGGCGATGTAAATGCACGCAGATGTCAGCTTTGAGGTCTTTCGGGCAGAGGTTGATCACAGCGTTCGTATCTAGTTAAATTAGCGAAGTTGAATTTTCGATCAAATTTGAGTCTAAAAAGACAGTGTGAAGTAGGGCTTACCTATTCCCTTCGTTTGCTGCCACGTAGTGACCATAAAGTCCATGATCCGCGCCTCTATATTTTGAGGCACTGAGTTGAACCTCGCGAATTCGCGCACCGAATTTAGCGAGTCGTGGTAGCGGTTCATATCCGCATAAATTTGGGAGATTATGGTCGTCACATTTCCGAAAATCATGGCATACAGTAACGCACCGAAAATAAGTACCACAACGCTGAAACTTTGCTCGTAGGGACTAAGACTCTAAGTGATTAATTATATTATTTGCGACTAAAAACCTGTAGGGTGCGATGTTGCCGAATCCGACGGAAGTCAAAGAAGACATGACAAAATACAAAGAAGCCAGGTAAGCATCCAAATGTTCTGGTCCTGCTGTCACATTGCAGCCTTGTTGGATTTTGTACTCCTTTGATATGTCATTAGAAAAACGAACAAGCCAGTTATGCTCCATCAATTTTCCCTCATCCGTGCAAATTGTGTTGATACCAATGGCGAACCACATGCAAGCTAGCCAGTGTCCAAACAACCCAAACGCGCCGACAAGAATCATGAGAACGACGCCAGAGTACTCTGCAAAATGATCCATTTTTCGGGCGACCCGGGCGACGCGGAGAAGACGGATAACTTTCAGCGCGGAGAAGAGGGATGTCGCAGATGAATTCGAGTCAGAAGAACCGATTCCATTCCTTGCTGTGTCTTTGACGTTGTTTAGGACGAAGTAAATTATATCGTATGGAAGGCAACTGAATCAAGCATCAAGTTTTGTTACGGCTTTATTCATACCTAAGCAGATCAAGCGTGTACCAGTTGCTAACATAGTTCATTTGTATAATCTTGGCGTCCTTGATCATCTCCCCAGAGTCGGACATCAAGGAAGTCATAAAATTCACCACGATATCGGCAATGAATACTTAATTATACCGTGTTTTTATTTTCATCTTTTGAATTGTTAAAATGACCCACCGACGTCAACAAATGAATCAATAATGAGCCAAAATAAAACTTGTTGTGCATTTTCCTGAGGCGAGCCTTTATACTGGAAAGCTACGGAATAAGGCACCATCACAGCTGTATACAAGGTCAGGCATAGAATGAACCAAGTCCAGGCAGATTTGAAAGAGCTGTTGTGACTTGCAGCGCATTTTAAGCATGTTTTGAAGTCGTGAAAAAGTGACCTCGGAAATATTGATGCAAAAAAAACGCATTCCTGAGGATGTAACTCGGCATAGTTGGTGCTCCAAATCCATACGAAATATTTGCCGCACTTTTCTCCGAGTTGTTCCCATCTCGTCTTCAAACGCGTTATTTTTGTACCGTAGTGATTTTATAGTAAAAATAAGCATAACTTCTTACCTGAGAATTCTATCTTTAGCGCGGAGATATCCACGTTTCGGAGCTATTTTATTTCGGCTTTGTTGATCCGTGCGAACTGGACTCATTAAACAAAGGGCTGTTTTATGTTTATTTATTAATTTATTGTATAATCTTCATATTCTGTAATAAAAGAAGCCCATTACTGATATGAAAATATACGTGACTTCTGGATTGCCATCCAAAGTCGATGAAATTGGTCGAACATTGATATTATATCGATGTGGGTCGCCATCTTTATTATAATAAATCTCATTTGCGGATATTCTGTACGAGTCTTCTAACGCTTCTTTTATTTTCACGCTTTGTTAAAGCTATGATTATATTAATAGAAAGGTTGAGGGCGCTACCTCGTGCTGGCCTCAGTTTCCTCGCCGGCCAGAAATTCAAGAGTGGCGCTTTTCCCCACGATTTCCGCTTTTGAGTAGCCCAGCTTTAAAAGAAAAAGATAAGCGTTGAGTCACTATCTTTAGCTAAGCAAAGACCCCACTGGGCATTAGAAAATGAACAACCTGTCGAACGAATTTGTCGGAAACGTGGACAATTGGAAAGCCCTCCAGTCTTGCATTTGCGAGTAAATAGCTCCCATATTGCGTTGATAAATTGCTTCTCTTGATGATCGCTTCCAGGAAAGAATTCTGCTTCCACTTTAAATGGGATGAATGGGAAACTGTCCCATCTGACCGAAAGTCGTTTTCCCCTCTCGCTAGGGAGATGCCCGAAACGCTAGAAATTCGATAATAGGAAAACGCTTAACATAATTGGCAAAGGGTTCATTTCCGGGCTCGATTTTATGGCGCAAGAAGGTGAACTTTGTCGCTGCTTCTCTTATCGCCAGGCAGATATCTTGAACTGCATCTCTGACTGATTTTTTTGTCATTTTCAAAGTCAGGAACGATGACTCTGTGGTCTTATCCCGGGCACGTTTAATTATTCTTTTCGGGTGTAGTTTGGGTACTTTTAGGTTGAATGCAACCGCTTGAATAATTCTACAGACTTGAAAGAAGCAAAGCTTAGCAATTGAAAAATATTTTTCAATGGCTATTTTGATATTTTAAACTTTTATATTTGAAGGCTCACTTTCAATTAGCGATAAAATATTGGCAAATTGAATAGTTCTTGGTCAAGAAAGAGTCTTACATTTTCACAATTGTATGGAGCGTCTTCCCAAGCGTACTGTTGGTTTCATTCTGTATGTCAACTCTCTCACCATCTATCTGTTTTCTAGCCATTTTCGAACTGCGTTCTATACTACAGTCGCTTCGAGTCAATTATGAAGATTGACTTAGCCGCTCAAACTCGCAAAAAAGCAAAAGTGTCGAGCAAGTAAAAAAACATCGAGAAACATTGAAAACGTCGCCGGCTTCAGCCTCGATTGATCAACCCTTTCCCCAAGGTCCTCGTTTATTCTGAGCCAGCAAGATCGAAGAAAATCTTGCACACATGATTAAAAGCTGCCTAAACTTTGATTTGTGGCGTGTCACTCAGCATCTTTGACAAGATTTTTTCAAAGAAAAATAATTAATAAAAATCAACTGCCACTTGATGATATTCTCTTTCCCGCTTCATCCCCTTTTCCTTTGGATCCTTAGGATCTCTCATCTTGTAGGAATTCGCTTCGAGAGAGACTCCCGTCTTCTAATGGTTCTGCTTTTATTCATTATCCTAGGAATTTAGCGTCTTTAGAAAACCATGTTTCTGAATGCCAAGAATACTTTCTCTTCTCTGTATCTGATCTTCTTGTGTGCTCGGAACTGCTATGCTCTAGCGATCAGAATAAGGATGAGTTTGTTTAAACAATAAAAATTTAAATTATTCAGAAAGCAACATCAAGCAGGAAAGATTGCATCTCGCGCTGGCTTGAGATAATAAAGATCTCGCAAGAAGAGCATTGATTATGTATATCTCCAATTTGATGATTTTTTTCTGGCGAAAGAAAAAAAACTGACCTCAAACGCAGACGGTCTTCGGTGATGCAGCTCCGACGCAAATCTCAAGGATTTCCTCCTTGCCATTCTTTTCTCTTTCAAAATCGCTGCTCCAGCTTTAAAAAAAAACTTGCGGACTGCTGATCAAAATTAATTTGCTCTAATTACCTGTGCCCAATTAATTAGAGTCCCATTCCCACCTCAAATGGTGGCTCTTTGGATTTAGCTGGATAATTTATTGCACGCTTTTCTTTCTATTAACGCTCGGTTCAAACTTTTTTCTTTTCTTTTTCTTCATTCAAAAGGGTTGATTTCGATGATTTCAAATGAAAACCATTTGAAAAAAGTCGAACTACTGTACTTGCCGATTTCTGTAACAATTAAATCATGTGTAGCGAGGAAACGGACTTCACCGTTGTACGGGATTGTACCCCAGATTCTCTGGTGATGACGTCTTCAGCATCGCGGAATTTCCAGAAACTAACAGGCAAAATGGAATTATCCTGCTAAGCGACTTAGTCGGTCATGTCTAGGAAATTGTGGGAATGCCCAAAACTTGAGAATTTATTCTCCCAGTCATCCTTCTGGAGATAAAAGTAGTAAAATGGTTATTGTCACTTATTGATGTAAATTTATTATTACTTGTACTGATCTAATACTTATATCCGTTCAGAAATGACCATCCTAAGATAGAAGTTCTATCATAGAACCGGAAATACACACAGACGCTTTATTTTACGGTTAAGTACTGAAGATGGTCACTTGCTGACTGACAGCTTAACAGTTAGTGACAGAAGAAGGTGAAGGATATCCGTTGGCGGGCAAAAGCGAAAGTTGCGCAGCACCGAAGCTGAGCTGCGCGCGCGGAGGACCTTTTCCTCAAACTCGCCCACGCTCATTTGAAAGAAAGAAAAAACTTTAGCGCCATCTTGTTGCTAAAAAATTATGAATTTTCACAACCAATCGGGGGTTTTTGATTACGGCCAATCCGAATCTGCGATTGAAAAAATCGAATTCGCCCTGAAAGATCGAGAAAAGCGCCTTCCTCGCTGGAAGAAGTGGATAGCTGAAGAAGGGAAGATTTTGGACGAAAAAATTTTTCGAAAAAAAATTTCGGACCTTTGATGATGAATGACCGAAGTGATTACTCATCGAGCATCTGATTGGTCGAGCGGAATTTGCGTAGGCGGAAACCCGATAGCAGAAAAAAGGTGGCCCGAAAGACTGGATTCTTTTCTGATCCCGATTTGATGGATTCCTGAAAATCTCGAATTTCCGATTCCCTTTTTTTCGAAACTCGTGAATCAGCGCCAGTGAAGAGCGCGACGAGCAGGACGGAGATCCCGATCCACGCGGCGGTCAGCGCCAAAGATGGAATTCAAAGAGAATCACAAGCCCTGGGCATGGGTCTTCGACGCAAAGATTTGCTGTACTGTTTGTGGCGAACAGGTACAGTAATCAACTTTTTCTATTCATCGTTTTATTTTTATTATTGCTATAAAAAATCAAAATCAATTGCTTTATTATGATGATTTCAAAAAACTTTTTGCGCGGCCGGAAATCATGAAAAAAGTGCTAGTGCAGTTTTGTCAGGCTCGTCGAGACGAGTCGATTGGTATAGGTCACTCTTGAAAATTTTAAGGATTTACCGGTTAACCGGCTGATTACCGGAAATCACGTTGTCAGCTCCCGTTTTTGTTCTAGTCGTCGGATTTTCATGTTTGAAGCGTCAAAATGATCCGTATGATCAGGGCTTCTGTAGCCTCCGAGATGAGCCCCATATCTCAACTCCTGCCGAGCTTATCACTAAAAGTTTGAATTTTACGCACTTTTTTCACTTTGACGGTTCATAACGTAAAATTTTTTCGGTAAATACTAATAAATCTTCTGCGGTTTTGATAGACAATTGAAAATTAATAATACCCACCGTTCAAAACCTTGTAACCAGCCGGTATAAAAGCGCTGAATCAAAATAATGCCTTCAAAAACCACTTTCTCGATTATATTAAATTTTAACATTAAAACATGACTCATGTTACATGACAGAAAAGGACTGAGAACATTAGATGCATTCAATGGTCTACCAACTCGTCCGAGCTGAAAGCGAAGAGAAAAAATTCGAAATTAACTGGAGTTTCCTCAAAGCCGAGTTTTCCAAGAAGAGATTTGCTCATCCGGGGGCTCGACAAAACATCTTAAATGTCCTAGAAGGCATCAAATGTCTACTAGAATCAAACTTGGTTAACCTGAGAAAAAATCGAGCAGTGGAAAAGGTGATACAAGAAGTTCCAGTTATGGAATCCAAAATTAAAAAAAACCCCTTTATTCTCCGAAAAATCCTCTTTCAAAAGAAATAACATTGATTTTGCGCAAAAAGGTCCCGCTTCTAGTTCCGATCTTTGAGGAGAAAAATATAATCAAAAAAGTGGTTTTTGAGGGCATAATTTTGATTCAGCGCTTTTTTACCGGCTGGTTACAAGGTATTGAACGGTGGGTATTATTAATTTTCAATTGTCTATCAAAACCGCAGAAGATTTATTAGTATTTACCGAAAAAATTTTACGTTATGAACCGTCAAAGTGAAAAAAGTGCGTAAAATTCAAACTTTTAGTGATAAGCTCGGCAGGAGTTGAGATATGGGGCTCATCTCGGAGGCTACAGAAGCCCTGATCATACGGATCATTTTGACGCTTCAAACATGAAAATCCGACGACTAGAACAAAAACGGGAGCTGACAACGTGATTTCCGGTAATCAGCCGGTTAACCGGTAAATCCTTAAAATTTTCAAGAGTGACCTATACCAATCGACTCGTCTCGACGAGCCTGACAAAACTGCACTAGCACTTTTTTCATGATTTTCGGCCGCGCAAAAAGTTTTTTGAAATCATCTATTACGTAACGTACATTATTATAAATGCTAGTACTAGTGTCGTTATCTTACCTTCAGATCAATGTATTCGGCCGCTGGCACGAGCACCCTCGCCTAAAAGTGATCCAATGCTCTCCCTGTAACAAATTCTACAATCAAGGGCGCTGGACAACGGACGAAGACGGCTATTACGAGCACTGTCGATGGTGCGGAGAAGGGGGCGACCTACTCGGCTGCGACGATTGCGTCGAATCCTTCTGCAAAAAGTGCATCAAACGGAACTTTGGCCGAGCGGAAACGCAGATGATCGAAGCTGCCAAGTGGAAGTGCTTTTGTTGCGACCCAAAGCCGTTGCGAAAACTACTCGACGATTGTAGAAGAGTCGTGGACGCGAGAAGGCAGCGAGAGGAGTTTCTCTTGGAAGAAGAGAAACGGCTGAAAAGAAAGAAACTCGAGAAGGAGGAAAAATTCAGACGAGAAAAAGCTGAACAGAAACTTTCTACGAAATCCATCTCGGTAAGCTCGCGATAAACAAAATTATCTTTTGACAATCTAATTTAGCCGGTACCAGCGCCCACAGACGAATTATTGAACGGAAACAGCCAAAACAGCGGCGAATCGACAGATTTGGAGGAGATTGACGAGAAAATGCACATTCTCCTCAAGCGCCTCCAGCTCAAACTCAACGATCCTGACAAGTCCTTCGAGCAAAAAGAAAAGGCGCGAACTACAATCAACACGATTCATAAGTCGATTCAAACGATCAAGAAATCAACAGAAAGCGCGTCAAAATCTTGGCCGGCGCAAGAAACTCAAGCTACAGTGATAAGCTCTGGCAGCTCAGAAGGAGAAGAAGTCGAGTCGGAAGCAGAAAGCGGAGATGAACTTTTCGCGATGACGAAAAAGCGGCGAAAGGGAAGCGCGCACGAAGGAGTTGGAAAGCTTAGAACGGAAACATCGTCCGACGAATACTCGGACGAAGAGTCGGCGAAGAAAATCAAGGAAGAGCGAAAACGCGAGAACGAAAAACGCGCTGAAAAAGCTCGCATTCGCCGCGAAGCCATCGCCAAACAGGAAGCAGAAAAAGAAGCTGCGGAAGAAGAACAGCGAAAGAGAAACTTGGAAAGAATTCGGATGCGAAAGGCTGAAAGTGCGCTGAATCAAGAAAACTTGAAAAACGCTAGAAATGCGAGGAAAGTATCGCCCAAGCCGCAAAACAACTCCAGCATCGTGGAACTTTCTGATTCAGACGAAAAGATGTCCCCTCAACCGGCACAGGGAAACGATGATTCGGAAAATTCTGGAGCGGAAGAAAACGGAGACGCCGGTTCTAGTGATGAAGATCTGGAATTCCTACCCGACGAGAACAACGTAGCGGAAAATGGAGCCGAAAATGGCGCTGCTTCCAGCCAAGGAAGTGACGACGAAAACATGGAAGCGGATATTGGTTCAGACGAGGATGTCCTAAAAAAGAAAAAAATCAGATGAAGACGAAATTCAAAAGAAAAGGTCTCCCAAACCGAAACGATCAGAAAAGGCAAAGGAAGTAATCGATCTTGACTCTTCTCCAGAAAGAATGGAAGACGATTCTCAAGAAAATGATGCTGAGGAAGAGGACGATGACGAACCAGCCAACAGAAGGAAAAAGCGTGATCGTCTGCTGGAAGACGAGAAAATTCTTTCTTCAGACGAGGAATTCATCAACAGTATCAAAGGAAAGGGAAAGAAAAAGAGAAAGCTATCAACTCAAGAGGAAGACCAACAACGGAAACGAAATAAAATCTCTTCTTCCGCGGAAGAAAGCTCAGACGAAGAGATGGAGATCTCGAAAAAGAGCAAGAGAAGGCGTCGGAAAAATCTCGACAGTTCAGACGGCGAGGATGGCTCTGATAAAGAAAACATCGAGGAGGAAGATGGAGAAGGAAGTGGAAAGAAGAAGAAGAAAAAGGAGAAGGCCAAGTCAAGGAAGATTATGACAGATGAGAAGCTCTCGGAGGAAACCAAGGCGGCCGAAAAAGCGGAAAAAGAGAGGAAAATCCGTCTCGCGAAGATTCGAGAGGAGCGTCAGACAGTCAATCCAGGCGAATCATTCGAGACTAGTGACTGGAGTGGCGTCTTGAACAAAACGCCGAAAATCGAAGTTGACCCGGAGCTGAAGGCACATCTGAAGACTCACCAGATCGATGGCGTTCAATTCATGTGGGATTGCACGATCGAGTCTGTGACACAAAAAGGCAACGAGTTTGTTCTTGGATCTAATGCCAGGGGCCACGGTTGTATTCTAGCGCATTGTATGGGCCTTGGAAAGACGCTTCAATCAATCGCGCTCATGCATACTTTATACATTCACGAGTTTCTCAAGCTTAACCATTACCTCGTGCTGGCGCCGCTGAATGTCTGTGAAAACTGGGCAATTGAAGTGGACAAGTGGACTGGCTCTTTAGAGCGCCCACTCGGCTGCTGGAACTTGCAGTCATCATCCGATTACCACGAGCGATTGGACATGTGCAAGGAATGGGACGCAGAAGGAGGCGTTCTTGTCTTGGGCTACTCCCTCTTCCGAATGTTGGCGACCGGCGCCAACATGAACAGAAAAGTAAAACGTCTGATTCCAAAGTTCAAAGAGTTCCTTCTCAAAACACCAGATTTGATCGTCGCCGATGAGGGCCACCAGCTGAAAAACTCAGAATCCGCCATTTCTAAGGCAACAAAGCAAATTCATACGCACCGTCGAGTGGTTCTCACTGGTACTCCGATGCAAAATAACCTCGACGAGTATCACTGCATGGTCGACTTTGTCCGCCCAAATCTTCTCGGTACAAACAAGGAATTCAGAAATCGTTTTGCCAACCCTATTCGAAATGGAGAACATATCGATGCCAGTCAATTTGATGTGAATCTAATGAAGAAGCGCGCTTTCATTCTGGCGAAATCGCTTGATGGAGTCGTCCAGCGAAAGGATTATTCTTACATGTGCCAACATTTACCTCCGAAACATGAGTACGTCCTGAGTTTGCAACTTACCGAAACCCAGATCAAACTGTACGAATACTACCTCAAGGTAATTTGTCGATTGGCAATTATTTGTATCAAAAGGTATATCAAAATCTATTATTATTATATCTAATTAAACATGAATCGTTATTCGAAATTCAGAACAAATCAACTGCCCTCGTCAGTGGAGGCAAAGTCTCTGGAAGAGGACTCTTTGGCGACTTCCAAACCTTCTTGCTCATCAACAACCATCCCCGTTGTCTCCTCCAGCAAACTGAGCAACAAGAGGACCGTGCTGACCGCGAAGAACTGAACAGATTCGTGACTGATGACACCTCTGAAGAAGAATCAGACGCGGAAGACTTCAATGCCGACAACCTCGATGACGACGACAAGGAAGTCGTTGACACGCCAGATCCAAAAGATGAAGACGAGCTCAGGGAACTCAGTGGCATGAAAATCCGCCAGTATGTCATCGCCAAAGCTGGTGGATATCACCACTGTAATTCGTCTGATCCACGGGATCTTCTGCGACGAGCGATCGAGCTCTTCCGAAAAGAAATCGATCCAGACAACGAGTATTTGGAGGAAGAAATCAAATTTCTGAAAAGAGACAAACTAAAAGAACTCATCCTTCGAAAGGGCGGCACTGATGCAGATGTAACTGGCAAGTCTAAAACGGATCTGCGAAATTTCGCAGCACATCTTCATCGAAAATCAGTCATGCCTCCTCCCGACAGAGTCTGGTACGAGCAGGTCATGAATGACACGAACGAGAATACTTTTGATTGGGATAAAGCGGAGCTCTCAATCAAAATTAATGCGCTCATTGAAATCATCAACATCTCACACCATCTCGGAGACAAGTTGATCGTCTTCTCGCAGTCAGTCATTACGCTTGACACGATTGAAAGCTTCCTTCACGAGTCGACAGTTACGACAGGCTTTAATCTTGATGATGAATCGCCCAAAATGCCCTTGTTTGTCGGCAATCAGAAGTGGTACAAAAACATTGACTACTTCCGAATAGACGGAAGCGTCACAGCGGCAAAGCGAACCACTTACATTGAAAGCTTCAATGACCCTGAAGACGATCGAGCCAGGTAAGATCGTTTTTTAGTATTTCATCTTTATTTATTTTCGATTTAAGACTCTTCCTTGTTTCTACAAAAGCGGGTGGAATTGGAACGAATCTTGTTGGAGCAAATCGTGTCATCATTTTCGACTCCTCGTGGAACCCCGCTCATGATGTTCAGTCCCTCTTCCGAGTTTATCGATTTGGTCAAACTAAAAGTGTCTTTGTTTACCGTTTTGTCGGACACGGTACGATGGAAGAGAAGATTTACGAACGTCAAGTTAACAAGGTAGCTCAATAGATCCTTTCTTTTCTGATAATTATTGTAGTCGTCACTTGGCTTACGAGTTGTCGACGAACAACAAGTTGACCGCCACTACTCTGCTGATCAACTGAAAGATCTCTACAAGTTTGTGCCGAAGCCTGAAGGAGAGCGAGAGCGTCTTGCTCTTCCCAAAGATGACTTGCTCAAGGAAATGATCACTCATGACAAGACCAAGGACTGGATCCTCAAATACCACGAGCACGACTCCTTGTTAGAGCACAAGCCCGAAGAAAACCTGACGAAAGAAGAAATTGACAGAGCCTGGGAAGAGTACGAGAATGAAAAGAAGGGAATCTTCACGCATCGTTACAACCCATCCGTGCACTTCAACCCAACGCAATCTGTCTTCGCCAACACCCACAACGATTCTTTGATCGAGAGTGAGAATTGGCTAATGGGACTCTCCGTAAGTATCCTTGAGCATCAGTCACATGATTATTTGTTTATTTAGAACCCAACTCTGACGGCTTTGGTCAAAGTTGGCGAAGAAATCTTTGGCGAAAAGTACAACTCCTTCTTCGCCAATAGATACCAGGTAAGATCATCATTCTTCTATTGGTTTTTATCTGGTTGTTCAGCCGAAAGTTCCAGAGATGATGAAGCTACTTCTGTCTTACAATCCCAACACGCCGTATATCGACGCTTATCAGAACTCTGTTCGTCTTGTCGGCGTTGTTCAACAAATGGTATTTACTCAAAAAATCACCAGATAGTGACCAATTTTAGCTTGGGAACGAGGAAACTATGTACCAAGAAGGCTTCGCCATCTACCAACAACTCTTGAAGCGCTACGAAGCCCTCAAGAATGGCTTAGGTCAAAGCGCCTCTGCGAAGGTATGATAATATCGTAATACGATTAGTCACTATTATTCAAAATATTTTCAAGGTCCCGATCAAAATCGCACCGCGCGCCTATTTCAACAAATAAAAAAAATGCTGCCACTTTGCTATTTTCCCCGATAGTTCAAATTCAACAAAGACCTTTCCGGCTCCGCAACCTACTGAAGACAACATTTATTTTCCCCTCCCAATTGCTCTTTTGAACTATTTTTCCTTGTTTATCCTCCGTCTTCGTTTTTGCGGAAAGTAGTCAAAGCTAGAATTTTATCTCTGTTCTGCTTAACTGCCAGTGTTTTTTTTTCAAAAAAACTGATACTCATTCTGTTAAATAATAATCTCGAAGAAAACAATAAAATTTAAGAAATGGAAATATTCAATCGACTTGACTCTAAGCGCTTTGAATTGCCAAAAGTGAAAAGTTCTGAGAATGCTCCCCTTTGTGACTATTGCAAGAAAAGAGAGGCAGATTACGAGTGCGAACAGTGTGAAAATGAGACGGGAGAAACTCCTATTCGGTATATTTGTGAGAGACATCTTGATAGAATCCGCAAACATGAGGTTGTGACGCAAGAAAGTAGAAATTTCTAACGATTTATTAGGAGCCCAACAGACATAACTACAGAAAGATTTCCGATTATTCGGAAGATTCGCTGGTCGATTTGATGAACACGTCGAATGTTCATATTTCTTGCCTGAAAGGTCAAATAGCCCAACTAAAAGGCGAACTCGGAGAAACAAAAGAAAGAATCGAGGATCATTTCCAGAGGCTAATTCAAAGTTTCACTGAAGAAGTAAATTTGCACAAGCAGAAATGCATTAGAGGTTTTTAAGACTAGCGCTACTGACATTCTTATTTTTTGTTAATTAGAAATTGAGGCTGAAAGCAATAAGAAAAAGAACGAGCTGCTATCGCAAAAGTCTACGTTGGAGAGAATCGTTGGACACATAAAGACGTTAAGGTGGAAGAAAATTATCCTTGAAGTTATCGTATAAAGAATTTCTAGCGATCAAGAAGCGGAAAAGGCAGACGAAAAAGCGAAAGAGAATGAAGAGGCGAATACGAACGTGAAAGATACGCAAAATCAAATTTATGACGACGCGCAGAGAGCGAAACAGTATCGTCCATCTGCGGGGCCTTTCTTCAGACTACAACCCTTCGATGAGAATATCAAGCGTTTGGTTCGACAAGTCATCGACTACGATATTGTGACTGAACCGATTGACTTCAACAAACTAAAAGAAGCAACTGGCATGACAAAACCGCTCGTAGCTGGTCATGTTTTTGTAAGAATAAAAAATAAGAGAACTGATCTAATTATGTTTCAGTCTTTCAACGCGCAAGAAATTCCCCTTTGGTGCCTGCGGGATTGCCCAGTCATCATGCTCCCCATCCAGATTTGAAGGGAAAAGGAAAACTCGCACGAAAACTTCTTGAGCTCCAGTGCACCGCAGCTGTCGAATCCAGCTTGGTTGAGCGAACTACGCAAATACAAGATATCCACGGATGCTCCTTGCTCAAATGTGGAGATGGTATATCGAGGAGGGTAATCCTTCGAAGGATAGACGAAAACAGTGAAGCAGCTACAGACCCCGATATGAAAGCAGAGAGAAACGTCATCGAGTTATTTAGCCCAACAATCGCGAATAATCAGTACCAAAAGAAAGAATTTGTCAAAATAGCAAATGCGATTGATAAACATGTGGAAGAGTGTGCCTCCCTTTATAGTGAGAAACATCGAGAAATGCTCAAATATCCTGTCAGGCAAAGGTCTATAATTTAAATGCGCTTACAACTTCGAAGCTGCAAAGTTAGACCTTCTCAAAAGGGGAACGTATGGACGAGGTGGAAAGGATTGTTGCAAATTTGATCTCAAGCTAAAGAATCAAGTATCTCTACTACTAGCAGTTCAGGTTTTAAAAGAATTGGTAAGATCACGAATATAAAAGTTAGTGCTGTTATTCGAATTTAGACGGCAAAAGGCAAAGAGCTCGAAACAATCTCCTGGGCGATCCGAGCTAAATATTTTCTCTTCTTCATCGACGAAATTCATATGGCACCTATTCCAATCGACCTGAACCTACCAGATCCCCTCAAAGATCTCGAACTCTACGGTATCATCGACGATATCGATGTAGATTCAATTCCACCACTTGCAATCGAATGTTGGGTCCATTTGAATTACACCAAACAGAAAGATCTTTCGAACTGCGAGCCTTTTAGCTACAAATTTCACAGTCCTGATGTTTCGGCCGCGTTAAGAACCTTTCTCGATGACGCTAAAGAATTCAAAGTCGAGTTCATGGCAAGCATCGAGGGAACTGATTCCACTAACGCATGGTTAACAAACGTAAGCAACAAATATTTCATACAAACTGAACATTTTAGGTCACGGCAAATAAGGAAAATATCGCTGAGAAAGTCCGAAGTTACTTGGATGTTCGTTCTCACTTCACAGTTCCCAGAAAAAGTTCATAAACCTTCACCTTCACTAAATTAGATCTATCTCATCACTACCAAATTGAAAACATCAACTCACTGAAATAAAACAGACATTCTTGATTAAAACTCGCCTCTTCAATAGCTTGAAAATATGCCGTAGCTATTGGATAGAAACAGTTTTTGCAGTACCAGGTGGCACCGATAAACAAGCAGGCCATGTCGGTAAAACCGCTAACACGTCCCGTTACAAATTCCTCTGAGCTCTTCGTCGGGGTGATCTCGATCGGTTCAGAATCACAAATTTGACCACGTTTTGAAAGAGAGATGCGGATATTTATTTTTCTAATTTCTTGCGCGTTTTCATCAGAGATTCTTGCGAGCGGGATTCAATTTGAGTTTCCGGAATTCAACGGAATCCGATTGTTTTGGTAAATAAGATTAATCAAGGAATTGAACTGAATAACAATTTGTAAGCCCGATTGATGAACTCAAAAAGACAAATGCCCATCCAAATTGCACAGATTCTGCTTTTAAAAAGTCAGAATGCTCATTTTCCTGCGATGAAGGTCAAAAATACACTGACTCAAGAGGCCATGCCCATCCACTAACGAGCAGATGTACTTGTCAACGAGCTCAGTGCAATTGGAATCCTCCTCTTGCAAAATGCCGCAGTGTTGGAGAAGTAAACAAGAGAAAACTTATGCCAAAGGTTGTTCTAAAATCAGGGAATCAAAAGTCATCGAAAAAGTCGACTGGTTGGTGCGTTGAGTTTTCTCAGGGCCAGAGAAGCCTTGTTCGATCAGGGACAGGGATGGAAATCTGAGCGGCACGGCACGGCACGGCACAGCGGCATGGCACGGCACGGCACGTGCCGTACCGTGCCGTGCCGGAGAATAAAATCTGGTCGCGGCACCGCGGCACAGAATAACAAGTGTTAAAATAGTTATTTTGAAATAAAATTTTTTTTATCCGTAAAAATAAAGGACGGGCCGTTTCAGCCCCGTTCCTTGATTTTTGAATTTATGGGGCTTGACATTGGCTGGGAACATTGCTTCAATCTTAGTAACGTCCCCAACCCACCTTCACCCATTGTTTGAAAAATTCTAATTACCCATGATTTTAACTTTATTATGGTTTTCATTTAAACTTTTCAAAATTCCATAAGTACACTAGCAGCTTAAATTTTTTTCATTTTCATTTATAAGTTATTTGATGCAAATTTGTGCCGTGCCGTGCCGTACCGTGCCGCGGCACGGGTATTTTGGTTGTGCCGTGCCGTGCCGGTGCCGCCGGAAAATTTTGTCATATTTCCATCCCTGATCAGGGAAATGTTTCTGCCCTTCTGGTTGGAAGAAAGTTGGAGGTTGCGTGGAGCCGAGGGTGGATAGAATCCAACCTTGTTCTTTTGAGTATTCAACAGTAAATTGTACAGGAAATAAGCTCTCGGAGATCTCTCAAGCTGATGAGAATGAGGGAGAAGTTGTCGGGCTCATTTTTGACCTGATAGTCCCAGGTAAAAATTGAGTTCTTTGAACGGACGCTTTATCTTTTTAGGTGACGCAGACGAAATCATTTTCAAGAATTCTCATCTGCATGTCATCCCAGACAATCTCTTGCAGGGGACCTACAAGCTTATCTACGTTGACTTTTCAAACAATTTTCTGAAAACTGTCCCTGTCGAACTATTTCGTAAAACAGATTTGGTGACAAATATCGACCTCAGCTTCAATCAGATTTCTTTTCTTCCGTCAGGAATCTTTGACAACCTGGGCAAGCTTGAAGTTCTCGACCTCTCACACAATAATTTGAAGAAGATCAATCAAGATATGAGCAGCCTCTTCAAGCTGATCGATATAAGTTTATCATTCAACAACCTTGAAGAAGTCGATGAAAATGATCTTGTCCTCCCTGGAAGCGTGGAGTACCTCCATCTCCAAAATAACAGGATCTCTAAAATGTCGCCCAATATCTTTCCGTTTGCGCTTTACAACATCGATCTTTCAAATAATCTTCTAAAGGACGATTTCGAAGAATCATTCAAAGGTGCTCCTAACCTTGTCGGACTGAATGTTGACAACAATCTTCTCGAAAGATTTCCGACGAAGAAATACCCGAATCTTCGACGAGCCGAGTTGAGTGGAAACAAAATAAAGCTATCAGGCAGTGAAAATCTTGCTGTGAAGATGCCCTTATTGGAAAAACTAAATCTTGCAAGAAATCAAATCACAAGTCTGCCCGCTACCTTTTTACCAGAAAAATGCGACGTTCTGAAACTTATCAATTTCAAAGAAAATGGATTAACCGAACTTGCAAATGATGAACTTGCATGCGAAAGGAACGATTTCAAAATTTACACGTGTATCAACTCAGATAGAATCAACTCCTAGAATATAATTTTGAGATAATCAAAGCCTCAATCACATTTTATTCGGACGAAACAAGCTTACGTCGATTCCCACTGATTTGGTCAACATTAACTCTCGTATTATCGACTTCAGCTACAACGATATTCCCGAGATTGCTGATGACTTTTCCGATTACGGAGATTACCTTCGTCACGTTTACATGCATAGAAATAATCTTAGCTCTTTCCCGAGGGCTTTACTTTATGGAAAACCAAAGCTCCGCGACGTTGATTTTTCGAACAATGAAATAACGAGAATCGCGGATGCTGATAACAAAGATTTGGAGGAGTTGTACAAATCCGGTTTCTTGGAAAAGATCGATCTAAGAGGAAACATTGACCTGTTCCCCTTTATGAACTTTGCGTTCGTTGGACCAGATGCGGAAGAAGCTACTAGGAGCGGCTTTTTTTTTTTAGTTTATTGATCAAAATTATCTTTCTAGGTAAACAGCGGAGAGTTTTGCAGTGTAAGCTTTACCAATTGAAACCGAAAATATCGAGAAATTCGAGAAACCAGTTTCGTTTTGTCGTTTTCGTAGAGGTAGTGGTTGTAGTAGTCGTAGTCGTCGGGAACTGAGTCGATGTCGTGTCTACAGTTGAGCTGGGCTCCCAATCAGGGTCGTTTGCTGAATTGGTGCTAGTGCTTGTGGTAGGATCAGCAACCGTTGAAGTCGGGTCACCTTCGATCGTTTGCGTTGTAGTCGGAAAGTGAGTGGAGGTAGTGTCAATTGTGGTGTCGGGAGTCCAGTCGGGGTCGTGGACGGTCGAAGTCTCATCGGGGGCAGTAGTCGTTGTTAGTTGCTCAGTGGTGGAAGTAGTCTCGCTCGTTGATGTCTCGATGAATCGACGTTCTCGTGACTGGTGGCTCTCAAGGAATTTCTTAAAGGCCGGCCTGTCGAGTAAAAAGACGGGAGACGGATCCTCCTCGTTGCTGGAATTCATCTCGTACACTCGCGTTTCCGTTCTAACTTCGCTTGCGATCTTATCTAAAAGATTTCCTCCTAAGTCTTCAGCAGGCCTTGCGAAGGAGGAGCCAAGGAAAAGCATGGTGGATACGTTTTTCATGCTGGAAAAAGTAAATTTTCGATCGCGATTGTGAAAGTGATGGATTGAGCCAGTTCGAAGTGCATTTTATAAGCTCTAGTGATGACTGCAATAGCCTCGGGGCCCGTGATTCATTGAGAATCTGGTGCAAATAATGGTGGTGCAAGTTTTAAGCTCATGAGTCACTTCTAGGACATAGTTATGATGTCATAAAATCGCATTAACGATGTTCGAAATCAAGAAAAGCCGAATCAGCAACTCAAACTTTGTGGATTCTTCAGGGAACCCGTACGACTCCTTTGAACGCGCACTTGCAGAATTCAATAAAGCACAAGTTTAAGCCCTTTCAACATTTATCTGTCAATAAATTAAACAAGTTTATATATTCAATGAAAAATATGCCACGTTTATGGTAGATGCTTTCGAGCTGAAATAAAATACATTGTCGCTAAAAGCTTCAGTAGTCATGAAAACAAACTTATTTGATAATCGCTGGGCATTCTCTTTAAAATTCAAAGACCGTATCGAAAATAATAAGCTCATAAATATAAAAAAGAAAACAGACGCGGCTTTTTTCGCCAGTCAGAGAGTTCAAAAGACGGACAAAATCATGTCGGAGGAAACGCTTTGCTTGGACATTCCGTCGATAGAGTCCATCACAACGTAAGCAAATCCCAGTGCTATGAAATTAATGTCAATAGCCTATCGATTGGTACAACAACACGAGTCTGGAATTACGCTTCGCTCGATGATATTAAGTACGTTCACGACAGTACCTGCTTTACAGACGTCCCTCCTCCACCTCCTTCCACTTTCCACGATATCATCATCCTTATCGATGGGTCTGACAGCTTCAATGATCAAAATGGATTCGCTGATGCTCAACGTTTGATTAACTCCGATCTGATTCCAATGCTCCAGAATAAACTTGGAAGCCGGGCAAGCGTGACCATTATTCAGTTCTCCGGCATCAAAGCTGGAACAAGCTCATACAAGCCCGGATCCGGGGGAAAAGACACTAACTCTGACTACATGCACTACATTGTCGAGCAAGATTGCGTTCCTTTGGAAAACGCTGTCCGAGAGGTGATTGATTCTTACCCGTTCACTTTTTATTTTTTCGAAGGAAAGCGAATTCGCAGAAGGACTTGATGGTAATAGCCAGCTCTTTCTTTGTTTGCAAGATTTGAACCTCGAAAGCTACCTGGAAGAATTTTCAAGGAAGATTGCATACGATGATGGTCCAAGACGACGCTCTATGTTCATTATTTCTGACGGTGAATCCGACATTGGAAATCTTCAGAGCACAACAAGTGACGGAATCGCTACTGCCGAGGAGGTTCTTTTGAAACTTTGAGCAAATGATCGAGCCACTTTAGATTGTTGCTAAAACGAACGAGAATTACACAACCTATCCTATCATCGTCCGACCAAAAGGATCGACTGCAGAAGACGAAGCTTTCTTCAAAAATACTCTGGCGTCTAGTCCACGAAACTTTTTCCGCCTCTCTGACAAATACTTCGAGCGAGATCTCAAGAGTGCTTTCAAAGAAATCGTCCGAGATTTTTAGAAGAACAACAAATGATTGCTATTTTTACTGTTTATTTTGCATCAATCTACTAATACAAAGCATGACGAAAATGATATCAATGGTTCAAGGTGATGAATTCATATTTGACCCTCGATCATGAGAGAAACCAGATGTTTTTCATAATGTGTCCAGCATTGCTCGTTAATTGAAGAGCATTATTATGAGGGGGTTTTACTTAGGAATAATAGGAGCTGCTAAAGCTCAGAATAGTTGCGATTCTTTTTGTCTTGCTGAACTAGAGAGCTGTATTTCTGCCTGTCCACCGGAAGATGCAAGCTGCCCATCAATCTGTGCTAGGTATTGTGCTAGGTTTCATGAAATGAAGGTCCCCAGAACCTGTCTTAGAGAAAATGCTTCCTGTGACATTGAATGCGCTGCTTCTGAGTTTGCACTTGTAGTCGGAGTATGTGTTATTAATAGTGTACGTGTTGTAATGCTTATTTGAAGACAGATGCCTGGGATGTGAACTTTAAACTTGATACCATTCAAGAAAATGCTTCGTTTGACTTCCGCGACCATGAAATTGACATGGTGTGTACAGTTGAATATGAAGGGGATTTCTATGTGATCGGTGGATTTTACGACGAGTACCGTGTATCAAAAGCGAATGGCTGTCAGTTCAAAACTGTCGCGAGACTACCAATCGAAATGTATCAGCATCGGTGCACTGTGTGGGAGAATGACATTTGGATGTGTGGAAACGCGGACGATCCTAAAAAGTGCTACCATTATGATTTACGTCAGTGGCAGATGGAAATAATGATTTTTTAGTGATTTTAGATAAGTTCGATGAGGGGCCCGAATCAACATTGGATCATCGTTTCGGAGGGCTTGTTAATTATAATGATACTCTCTTACGAATCGCTGGATACACCAATCAAGTAGAAAGCCTCTCTTCGCCAGCGGGAGAGTGGGAAGATTTCGGTGCTCACTTGACTGACTTCATCAATGGTTTCACTACAGTCGTCTTTGAAAATCACATCTACACGTTTGGCGGATATTCGGCTTTGCAGCAAGATTACATAACGAAAATCAACAAGTACTTTCCTGAAACTCATTCTTGGGGAGCTGCAGGATTTCTGGCGAACAAAAGGTCGATACTTTTCTCAAATCAATTTTTCATTTTTAGCTAGGCATAATCACGCATCCGCTGTTGTTGGGAACACAGTTTTTATTGCTGGCGGTTATGGTGATCTTCCATTTGAAGCTTTTAACCTTCCCGAAGGTGGTGTGACGTAAGTTTTTACTGTGTTATCTGGTAGTGTATGGTCTATTTAGGGAACTCCAGTCGAAGTTAGAGTACAAAATCTTCACGGAGCTGATTCCGAAATCATTCCTTACCTGCTAATAAAAGAGTTGTCACATTATCTCTGAGCTTTTTGTCCTTTGCGTTTCTCCTGACCTTTTTGGGAAAGCCCCTCGTACTCGTATCGCGTATCACAAACAAGAGAAAAGCGAATGAAATTGAAATAATGAAAAATATACGAGGTGTTCTGAAAGGATCGAATATTGCTTTGATAGCTTTCTCGTTTACGCTTATTATTACAGAAGTGCTTAACTGTGGAATGGAGTTTTTAGAGCGCCACAGATTCGATGAGTACAGAACTGTTAGAGGTATTTTTCATATTTCGTGGGGCTTCGGTCTGATCATCGGACTCCTCGGCCTGGCAACTGGTTACTTCGGATTTAATGCTTCCAAAAGATATGGGCGAGCGTACAGAGAGAATAGAAATTTGAACACTATGATGGTACTGTGAGTAATTGTCGGCCTATTTTATTTTTAGGCCTCTGGAACAGGAATCGTTTCCATTGTCAACTTACTCTGGACGATTTGGATTGTCGGAATCAATGGATATCTTTTGTTCTCAGGGAGATATAACATGACTTCCAGACACATGTGCTTTTCAAAAAGATGAGGCGCTCAGCTGATTTGGTAAATTTGTAAAAAATCATAATTTTTTTAATATCTTTGAAGGAAATCGAGATTAATAAAACCCTAACGTTTGACGTTTTTCAATCCGAATCAATGGCGTTAGAAGTTGTGGTTGATTCTGATGAGGATTTCCGTGAACTCGAGACTAATGTAAGAACAGCTAGATCAGCTGATGAAGAAGATGTGTACACAACTATGATTCCGTCGACCACAGTGAACATGACTGAGGCAGCTCCAACAGCAGATCCAAATCCTCGACTTCAAAATGTAGATTCAGATCGCACGGACGCAGAAATACCAAGAAAGCGTTTTACAACTCAGCTAATTGTTGATAAATCGAATAAGTAAAAAACATTTAATCAGTGTGCCGGTAGTTAACTGGGGCTGGGGTGGAAAGGCGGACATTCATATCGACACGAAATTTGAATGGAGCTACCATTCATTCGGCCAAGACGAGTTTGTAACAGAAAATTACCCGACGTACATCCGATGGGGAGGCGTCAGAACGAAACGGGATCACATTGAACTTTGGACGATAATACACTTATTGACAATAAGTTATTGTCGTGTTTTTAACAAATCATTTGATCCGATTGAAAGACACGCAAACCGACGACTTACAAAGCAAAAGTGCGCACACCAAAACCTGAATACGTCGATCCTTGCGAGAGCTACGTTGGCGACATTCCACTTGGTCCTCCAATGCTGACCTATGCATTTGGCTTAGGACTTGTCCTTCAGTTGTTCTCATCGATGGCCGTTACTTTTTGTGTTTCTTTATCGCCAATTTTATTGGCTGTACTTGCTTTTACAAGGACGCTTATGACCCGAAATCTTCCTTTGCTAAAGGTAAAAACAGCTTTTCATGAAAGACATTGACCAATTGTCTCAAGAGTTGGAAGGAGAAGACACTGAAAGCGACCTCATACGATACGAAAAAGAGAGACTCAAAGCCCAACAAGAACGAGAAGAAGAGGGAGAAGAATGCGAATTCAAATGCACCGACTGTATGACCGCTTTCGGGCAACTTTGTATGATGTAGCTTAGAACTAGTTTAAAAATGATCTGTTTCATCAAATGAATAAATATCCGTTTAGTATCTGTTACTGCGGTTTTTCTAAGATTTTGATTTACAATTATGTTCCCATTAATCAATTTTTTGGGCAATAAATACGATATTATTATTGAATATCAGCGAAAAAATGGTGTTGAGAAACAGGAGTACCCAGTTGGCGTCATAAAAAGTTCTCAAATAGATTATGCCTGGCATTCGAGTAAATATCACAAAGGAAAATTTGTTATTCAAAATAAGGTTTTCTTCAATTTAGGGAACTTTCATATTTTCTCAAATAATGGCGCCAAGAAGAGAGAATGAGAAAACCGTAAAATTTGCAAGGGGCTCCATTAGAGGTTGTTACGAGGCTTGTCCCAGCTCATCAACTTTATGCTGATGAGCTTTCCTAAACAATTGTGATTTATTTTTAGAGTCGCGGAAGATGTCCATCTTCAGAATACCAGAAAACATGCGCGTAAGTCTTTTGGAAAAAAAAACATTCTTCCATGCCCGGAAATTTGATTGATTTTTGTACTGATTTCCATATAAGCGTAGGAGTCCCAAATTTATGAGAAATACCGCGTCAGTTATATTAAATGGCGTTCATAAATGTTGAATTGAATTTTGAAATTCAGAAAGCAAACGAGGAGTTTCAGCGAGAGAAAAATAAGCCCATCATATCGAGTAGGAAAGGTTCTTGTCATTGCGAGTTTTCTCAAGAGGCTCAATGAGTGGCTCAGTCAAACGAGGAGGTCAGGGCTTCTCCTTCAAAAATTAATCCCAATAAAGGGGGCAGTTTAGATTTCCTCCAAAGCCTATCTTCACTGGTACCCCTGTATCGGCATTGAAATACATGTACACATTGTTTTTTCAAGACTTGATAAGTGTGCAAGGGGGATTATACTGTATAGTAGGAAGAGAGGTAAATGAAGACAATCATCATTGTCATAGCCACGCATGGTTCGTAAAATTTATATTTTCATGTAAACAAAAGCTCATTATGATGTCTGAAAAACAATTTCTCGAAAGACAAGAACCCATTTTACCAGTTCCAGTCGAAAGTTCTTTGCAAAAGACGACGAGACGCGTCGGAAATCATCAACCTTCAGCATAGCCAGCTCGTACATCATCGATTTGCTCACTGGGCCAACTGCGGAAACGCTTCCTGACTCAATCCAACACCAAATGAGACGAATTTCGCTTCATGGGAAAGTTGTTAACGTAAGGAACGTGTTTTGAGAAAAAAAAAGTGATAGAGAAAAATAAGTTTAACGCGGTAATTTATAACTTGTCTTAACAATAAACTAGCGCGTACTCCCGATATTTACGATTCCAATTAATTATTCTCGCCCAATCTTTATCCATTCCAAGTTTGACAAGTTTCTGATCTTTTATCTCAGAGAGAGAGAGATATGACCGGAGGTCGAATGAGGAGGGATAAAATTTGTCCGCGTCGGTGATTTCTTCTGACTTTGATAAATGAATGTACAGCGATCGGAGGAAGCTACAATCTCCTCAGAATTAACAAACCCTGTCTTTTGCGCATCGAATCAGTATATAAGGAGATATAAGAGAACATGGAAGACATTGCGTCTATAGAGAATATCAGAATGAGCGTCAGGAAGATGAGCCGTGGGTTTATGCACGAGCAGGGTCAGCAAGTTTTTCACACTAAACGAGAGACCAATATTTTAGTAATTACTAATTAGCTTTCTTGACCGATAAATCATCGTGAACTATATAATTTCTGTTTGAGACCGTTTTTTCATTGCTCAAGCTCTAGTAGCACATCTTTAGTATATGATCGGGTTACGATTTTTTTTTTTTGTTATTTTCAGAAAACAACAAAACAGAGCTTGACAGATTTTAGTGCTGGCAGCGCTGGAATTGAAAAGGCCAACTGCCAACTCCCTTTTCAGAGGAGTATTGTCGTCGTCTTCCTTGATCAGCTCCGAAAAGGGCTTTTATAAGTAACTTTTTGAGAATGATTTTTTATGATATTAAAGCGTTGCCAATCGTGGTAAACAAATACATTCTCGCTAACCCATCGGAAGATAAAGCACGGATGCAAGAGACAATCAAATTTTTTCAAAACTCGAACGAAAGACCACTCGGTAGCTCTGCCCTCCGGATTCAGCGATTACAGGACACGGGGTTTAAATTCGATTAGCGTCGGTACCCTCCCATGGGCCATGGCAAAAAAAGGAACACTTGAAACTTTACCGGTTTTCAAATAAAGAAATGAACTTTTATTCGAGTAAAGAAATTTACCCAGCAAAAGATTTCAACCCCGGAAAGACGAAACTTTACAATTTCTTCGAGAGACCGACTTTTTCACTGAGAGATAGATGGACGATAGCATGCAGTATTTACCACATATCTTCGTAAGTAACAACAACGAGTCTGGTGGGAAAGGGTTGTTACTTATCACCGGTTGCTTGCGGCGGCGGTGATATCTTTTGAATAGAAAGAATCTAACGAGGGGCGATTTGTGAGAGAAATCTTCGATAATGAGCTGGAGGATAGTTTTAAAAGAAGGAATTATTTTCAAAGTTCGAACATGTGTCTAAATTATCTCATATTTGTTCACCGCGCTGTCTGTTTTCAAATGTCAAGGTTGATGAAAATCCTCAATATTGTGCCGGTAATTGTTAGTTATTGTGTAAACCCCACACTGAAGTGAAGTCATTGATAGATATTAAATCGCGTGAGTACGCAAACGAGCGAGAAAACTTCCCAAAGCTCGAAATGAGCCAAACCCATGAATCTCAGTAGGTGAAGCCGTTATCACTTCCACGGCAGGCATAAATCTAGACACACTGTAACAGGTGATTTTGATTTTGAATTCCTGCTCTAGAGAGCTGCCTAGATGTCGATTCATGATGATCAATTTTGTATCTGATCGGCTGTTATCAGAGATTACACCCCTCTGGACCGTGTCGTCCGTTTTGAAGATTTGAGACGCGCTAAAAGCTCCATCGTTAACATTTTCAACCTTTTGGAATACTAAAGCGATATCCATCATTGAGTTGGTCACTTTTTCGCGCAGCTCGAAATAGAAGCAGAGAGATAGGCCATCGAAGAGAAAGTATAGAGACACAAGAATAATGGGCCGTAGAGTTTACGGTTGCGAGATGCAGTCAGATAACAGGGTTGAAATCAAGGAGGAAAATGACAGGCTGCACGGCCGACACTTATGTTTTCCTGTCGACGACTCTTAAAAGGTCAACAGACCTACCTATATCTTTACTTGAAAGCGTTCTCGATATTCTAACAGAACATTTTTATTGATTTTTATTTCAACCCTGCTCTAAACCAGGCCGCACATGCTTAGGCTTACCGCGGCTGAAAACTATTTTCCAGGTTCTTTTGCAGAGACACACCAAACTTACAGAATATATGCACCATGACACGCCTTACAAAACTGCACTAGCCGATTTTTCGAAACGGCTCATTTTTGTGCATTTTTTGGCGATTTTTGATGAGAAAAAATGTATATAGATGAATTGTTCCAAAATTTAAGGGTGTTCCCACATACCGATTCTTATCATTTTTGGATATGTTGTAGAAGAGGGTTCGCTGATTCTTTGGACCACTGGACGAATTCTGCAGACCTCGATTTCGGTACTTTCTAGAGCTTCAAAGTCGACAAAGTCTGCCAGATATGAAATTTCAAAATTTGCAACTTTTGATCTACGCATTCTACGGTGACGATTTATAGCTCATCTTGGAGCTTATGAACCACTGAATTCAGTAAGGTGTTTTTTCTGAACCAGCTGGTCATTCTGGCGGTTCGTCGCGGTTCAAGCATTTAAAAGAGCCGGGATCCGGAAATATGTATATCAAAATGCATATTTTTTGACGACGAGTCGTTTCAACACATTTTCGAACCGAACCACTTGGCTAACCGCCCGGTTCACAGCGGTTCAAAGCGGTTCAAGGTCTGAATGTTCACAAAATATTGAAATATGTATATCAAAATGCTTGTCTAGTCAAAAGGAGTCTTTTGGACAGATTTTCGAACCGAACCACTTGGCTAACCGCCCGGTTCACAGCGGTTCAAAACGGTTCAAGGTCTGAATATTCACAAAATATTAAAATATGTATATCAAAATGCTTGTCTAATCAAAAGGAGTCTTTTGAACAGATTTTTGAACTAAACCGGACAGCTAACCGCCCAGTTCACAGCGGTTCAAAGCGGTTCAAGAACTGAATGTTCACAAAATATTGAAATATATATATCAAAATGCTTGTCTAGTCAAAAGGAATTAATTCAACAGGTTTTCATACCAAACCGCTCGGTTGACCGCCCGATTCACAGCGGTTCGAGGCGGTTCAAGCTCTTTTAAATTGCAAAATGCTGAAATATGTACATCAAAATGCTTCTCTACTTATGAAAAATCATTAAAACAGGTTTTCGAACCAGACCGCTTGGTTGACCGCCCGGTTCACAGCGGTTCAGGGCAGTTCTAGCTCATAATACTCACAAATTGCTGAAAAAAATAAATCAAAATGCTTCTTTACTCATAAGAAATTGTACGTTTGTACAATTTAGTCTGAGACGGGGCCAAGCCGACCCGAAGGGGAGGCCAGGCCCATTTGAACAATTGAGTCTGAGACAGGGCCAAGCCGACCCGAAGGGGAGGCCAGGCCATGTTGTACAATCAAGTCTGAGACGGGGCAAAGCCGACCCGAAGGGGAGGCCAGGCCCGTTTGAACAATTTAGTCTGAGACAGGGCAAAGCCGACCTGAAGGGGAGGCCAGGCCCGATTGTACAATCCAGTCTGAGACAGGGCCAAGCCGACCCGAGGAAGAGACGAGGCAAGTTTGAACAATTAAGTCTGAGACGGGGCCAAGCCGACCCGAAGGGGAGGCCAGGCCCGGTTGTACAATTCAGTCTGAGACGGGGCCCACCCGACCCGAAGGGGAGGACAGGCCCGTTTGAACAATTTAGTCTGAGACAGGGCCAAGCCGACCCGAAGGGGAGGCCAGGCCCGATTGTACAATCCAGTCTGAGACAGGCCCTAGCCGACCCGAAGAGGAGGCCAGGCCTGTTTGTGCATTTTAGTCTGAGACGGGGCTAAGCCGACCCGAAGGTGAGGCCAGGCCCGTTTGTGCATTTAAGTCTGAGACGGAGCCAAGCCGACCCGAAGGGGAGGCCAGGCCCGTTTGAACAATTTAGTCTGAGACAGGGCAAAGCCGACCTGAAGGGGAGGCCAGGCCCGATTGTACAATCAAGTCTGAGACGGGGCCAAGCCGACCCGAAGGGGAGGCCAGGCCCATTTGAACAATTGAGTCTGAGACAGGGCCAAGCCGACCCGAAGGGGAGGCCAGGCCCGGTTGTACAATCAAGTCTGAGACGGGGCAAAGCCGACCCGAAGGGGAGGCCAGGCCCGTTTGAACAATTTAGTCTGAGACAGGGCAAAGCCGACCTGAAGGGGAGGCCAGGCCCGATTGTACAATCCAGTCTGAGACAGGGCCAAGCCGACCCGAGGAAGAGACGAGGCCCGTTTGAACAATTTAGTCTGAGACGGGGCCAAGCCGACCCGAAGGGGAGGCCAGGCCCGGTTGTACAATTCAGTCTGAGACGGGGCCAAGCCGACCCGAGGAAAAGACGAGGCCCGTTTGAACAATTGAGTCTGAGACGGGGCCAAGCCGACCCGAAGGGGAGGCCAGGCCCGGTTGTACAATTCAGTCTGAGACGGGGCCCACCCGACCCGAAGGGGAGGACAGGCCCGTTTGAACAATTTAGTCTGAGACAGGGCCAAGCCGACCCGAAGGGGAGGCCAGGCCCGATTGTACAATCCAGTCTGAGACAGGCCCTAGCCGACCCGAAGAGGAGGCCAGGCCTGTTTGTGCATTTTAGTCTGAGACGGGGCTAAGCCGACCCGAAGGTGAGGCCAGGCCCGTTTGTGCATTTAAGTCTGAGACGGAGCCAAGCCGACCCGAAGGGGAGGCCAGGCCCGTTTGAACAATTTAGTCTGAGACAGGGCAAAGCCGACCTGAAGGGGAGGCCAGGCCCGATTGTACAATCAAGTCTGAGACGGGGCCAAGCCGACCCGAAGGGGAGGCCAGGCCCTTGAACAATTAAGTCTGAGACAGGACAAAGCCGACCTGAAGGGGAGGCCAGGCCCGATTGAACAATCCAGTCTGAGACAGGGCCAAGCCGACCCGAGGAAGAGGCGAGGCCCGTTTGAACAATTTAGTCTGAGACGGGGCCAAGCCGACCCGAAGGGGAGGCCAGGCCCGGTTGTACAATTCAGTCTGAGACGGGGCCAAGCCGACCCGAGGAAAAGACGAGGCCCGTTTGAACAATTAAGTCTGAGACGGGGCCCACCCGACCCGAAGGGGAGGACAGGCCCGTTTGAACAATTTAGTCTGAGACAGGGCCAAGCCGACCCGAAGGGGAGGCCAGGCCCGATTGTACAATCCAGTCTGAGACAGGCCCTAGCCGACCCGAAGAGGAGGCCAGGCCTGTTTGTGCATTTTAGTCTGAGACGGGGCTAAGCCGACCCGAAGGTGAGGCCAGGCCCGTTTGTGCATTTAAGTCTGAGACGGAGCCAAGCCGACCCGAAGGGGAGGCCAGGCCCGTTTGAACAATTTAGTCTGAGACAGGGCAAAGCCGACCTGAAGGGGAGGCCAGGCCCGATTGTACAATCAAGTCTGAGACGGGGCCAAGCCGACCCGAAGGGGAGGCCAGGCCCGTTTGAACAATTAAGTCTGAGACAGGGCAAAGCCGACCTGAAGGGGAGGCCAGGCCCGATTGTACAATCCAGTCTGAGACAGGCCCTAGCCGACCCGAAGAGGAGGCCAGGCCTGTTTGTGCATTTTAGTCTGAGGCCCGGTTGTACAATCAAGTCTGAGACGGGGCAAAGCCGACCCGAAGGGGAGGCCAGGCCCGATTGTACAATCCAGTCTGAGACAGGGCCAAGCCGACCCGAGGAAGAGACGAGGCCCGTTTGAACAATTTAGTCTGAGACGGGGCCAAGCCGACCCGAAGGGGAGGCCAGGCCCGGTTGTACAATTCAGTCTGAGACGGGGCCCACCCGATCCGAAGGGGAGGACAGGCCCGTTTGAACAATTTAGTCTGAGACAGGGCCAAGCCGACCCGAAGGGTAGGCCAGGCCCGGTTGTACAATTCAGTCTGAGACGGGGCCCACCCGATCCGAA